TCCGGCCGAAAGACTTCCCATATACAGAGGAACAGTTTGTTATGTACAGCGTGTGGAATATTTTATAACCATAAAACCATATATGATAGCTATATAATGATTATAATTTAAAAAAACGCCGCGTTTCCAAAGCGTTTTAAAAAACGCAGCGGAATTAACCAACTTTTAATACTGATAAAACAATATTTTAATAATAATAATAATAATAATAAACAGTGGTGGCCTAGTTGTTAAAAAGCCCACCTCTCGTGCATGAGGGCTCGGGTTCGATCCTGGCAAGTACCAATGTGATTTTTCCGAATCATATGTACTTTCTGAGAGTATTTAGACACCACTGACAGGCGGTGAAGGAAAACATCGTGAGGAAACCTGGACTTATAATTTCACAATTATAAGTTTGAAATCACCAACCCGTCTTGAGCAAGCGTGGTGATTAATGCTCAAACCTTCTCCATGTGAGAAAGAGGCCTTTGCTCAGCAGTAGGCTTTAATAGGCCGATGACGATAAATTAAAAAAACGCCGCGTTTACCAGCGTTTAAAAAATCGCAGCGACATTAATTACTGATTCATAATAATCATTTAATTAACAATGTTATGATATATTACAGTATATGGAAGTGTACCTGACAATTAGTTGTATGTGTTAGAACACCTGTCTAACGCAGCTGAGTTGAAACACTCATGACCTCTGTGTCAGATAAACTTTACGTTTTGTAAGGGACAATTAATGGCTTATTTATTATAGTTAATTATGTTATTATCTAAACCGCTATTTATGTCTTAAAAGGTAATTTTAAATCGTATTATTAAAATGGTAATATATAGTAATTGTTTTTAAAATTGAAGCGATGTTATTGTATATTTGAATTTAAATATAGAATATAGAATGAAAAATTTGATGAACAAGATTTGAACTAGCGATTTTTTGAAAGCTTCTTTCACTAACTTTTCTGATTAATCTATCGTGTCTTCATTAATTCATTGACTGAATTCTGTATAAGCAGAAGCTTCAGTTTTAAAACCTGCTTGTATTGGTTAATTTTGCATTGGAAGTTCGTTATTTGAAAACAAATTTAATTTTCATTGTAATAGTGACTTGTTTTTTTTATTTTTTTGTTTTTTTTATCACTCCTCAGTTTACGGATTTAACCGACCATGCAGGTTACAATCAGATTTAAAGATATATTATTCTACTTTGTTGTGAACCATGCATATTCAATACGAGATTTTCGTCTCATTGTTAGTTGCTTATAATAATTATTATATAATTCTCTACACAGCTGATCTGTAGCCAGCCGGATACGGTAACACGTGGCGTGACGTCACTCTCATTCATCAACATCCACTTCCGTTTCAGTCTCGCGCATACATATTAACAAGCTCGCCATTAACGAATAGATTTAGAAGCAAATTTAAAACTAAACGAAGCACTAACAATCATCAGACAGGCCAAACTGAATTATGTGCGAATATATGCGTGTCTTCTCTATACGTTTGTACATCTTCATCTCATTTGATGTTCTAAATTTGAATAATCCTTATTAATTGGTCGGTTCAATGATTATAACAATATGGCGGTCAGTGTGAACAGTGTAGCAGGTCGCGGGCCCCATATGCGTCGTAACTGTCGGCGCGTGCGCAGGTGTCGAGACACCTGCCAGCTAACGCCATACGATTATAACAATACAGAACTTTATGAACAACCATTATAATGTATATTGGATTTGATTGTGCGTTCCAACTAATTATATTATAAATTTGTATTTATTATTTTATTCCAAATAACTTTTAGATTATATTTTTGGTACGATAGAATATTTTTAATACTTTTTTTTTGAATTATTCACACATATCATATATATAAAACTCCATATAATTCACACAATAACAAATGTCAATAAAATTTTACCATAGACTTACATCCATAGACTTGTTTTTTCTTAATTTCAAATCCGCATTAACATCTGCGTTGTTTGTTTATTATATATCTAAATATTCCAGCGGATATTATTCCATTCTATGTATTAAAACTTTAGTCTTCCGATTTTTAGTTATTAATAATAAAATATTATTTATCGTTTCAATGTATATATAGTTTCATTAATACGTTGTTTTATAGATCGTAAATATCGGCCGGTGTTGCCAGTACCGATATATTTTTGTATTCGCGGTTGATGTGACGTCACTTGTATTTCGCATCAATTTTTTTTTTATATGTGTGTGTGTATGTGTGTGTGTGTGTGTATAAATCATATAATAAAATAATAATAGATTATGATAGAAAGACATCCATTGACAAAGCGTCCGTAGCTGACATTAATATATTCGCCACTTCCTGTCCGATGCTCCAATTTTTATATTTTGATTTAAAATCCATGCGATGACAGCGATTTCCTCATATTTTTTCATGTAGATGTCACTTTTCCCACGTTTATTTTTATTATATATGTGTATGTATTTATTTAATTTTTCTCGACGTTGATTATGCAACGCTCATGTTAGTTGACAAATTATTAAATAATGCTAACATGCACCTGTTCTGGATACTGGAAATGGATTATATAAATATTTTAATCTATATACATGAAATCAAGAGTCAAATATTTAACTATTATTTAGATACATTCACCGTTTCTGAACGTACATTTTCATTATAAAATTTTATCTGTATAGTCGTTATATTTATCAAAGTTTTAACATGAAAACATATACATATAAATAATATTTTATTTCCACTCATTAATTCATAATATTATAATTTCATTCTCTGTTAACGAACGTGAAGTGATTCGTTTGACACGAGGCTGTCAGCGAGCGCTCACCTGCGTCTGTCTAAATATATAAAAAAAAAAACATATTCCGACTTCCGCTCCCGAATTGGAATTGGCGCGGCGTTGACTAGAATTCTAATAACTGCATAGATTTTTTTTAATAAGCAAAGCTTTTTGCTTCCAATATGAATTATTATAACCAATATATAAGGAAACATTCAGAATTCCGTAATACGATCGGGTATGTAAAATATTTTTATTAATAAAATATCGTTATTAATTTGGTACGCGGCGGCACCATATGGCCATTAGCGCGTGCGCACCAAAAAAAGCATGTCACAAGAATAATTTCGCAGCTCTCAAATTTCGTGAAGGACTAAAAAAGTTATGAGCCGACTAACAGCTGTTGTCCTCTTAAGTTACTCCGATACATTCATATACATATAGTACAGAAAGACAGAAGTTATAGGGAAAAGTTTATCAAAAGGAGGTTTACAGAAAAGAGTTTTCATTTTAATAGTTGTCTGAAAAGCGTCGTGCCAGTTCCGCGCCAATGGAGTGCGAGTCCCGCGACCTTTCAACCCGGCGGCCGAGGCGTGGCCGCGCTCCATTGGTCGCTCCGCCCTCAACACGCCTCCCCGGTCCCCGACCAGCTCGTCTCGCATTCATCTCGTTATTGTATGAAATATCAATAACCTTGAGGCTGTTCCAATTTTAAAATTTATATTTACAATGGAACAATACTTGGATGATGTATCGATCACACTTAGACCCGTTCAGTCCTGGCCGGTTACATTGAGACTGTTAAAAAAAAAAACAAGCAGTTTTTTTCATGGTTGAAATACTTGTAACTTAAAAATACCATTAAAATACTAGTAAGTTAAATGCATTCAACACATGTTATGCTCCTGGTTCCGCCGGGTCAGAGGTCAGTCCCGCGGGAGCTTTTTACGTCACCTGAATGTTTTTTCCATAGATTTACAGCGACAGCGTTGACTGAGGAATCGTAATGAGCCCCGGATCATTAAAATATTTGTATTAGTGTCTAGTGATTTGTTTACTCTCTCTCGTTTGAAGTCTCTTAATTATTATCTGCGACAGAACACTTCGTTTACGACGCCATTGTTTTTTGGTGACAATTAAAATGTCACACGGATGTCGGATTTATTTTATCTTTGTTTTATTATAGTATCTACATTTTTGGTTCGTTTTATGTATATACATATATTATTATAATATATATTAAGGGTCATCGACCTCGAATAACATAAATAGAATAACATTTTAGTAACAAAGCACGCAATATAATTCACAGAGAACATAACATACTTTAAATAAGACATGCGTGACCGACTACCACAGGTACATACAAACGAAAATACACTTTAATACATTGATATAAAGCTGAAATTACTTTGAATACTAACGATGTCCCACAACTTTTTAAAGGAATTACCTTGATTGCAAAATATATGTAACCAAAGTTGCTATTGGAAGTTATTTAATATTATTATAATATACATATATAAAATCTTCTGTTTAGTTAAATTTCATAATAACTTACCAGTCATTTGATGAAAAAAAATTGCTTTAGTATATAAAAAAATTATTGAAGCTAATAAATTAGAAATCAAAAAATGTATGGACAAAAAAAAATTAAATCCATACAGCCTTCACAATATATAGAACCTTACCAAATTCACAACCACACGAGATCGCTCGTTACGGTGGTGGGAGGAGGGGGAGGGGGGGGGGCATCACACGAACAGAACAAAGGGCGCTCCTTGAACCATGACCGTCACGGCTCGACTGACGAGGATCAAAGACCAGGCCAGATATTTAGGATTTATAACTTAACATACAGTATGTGGATACGAAAATAACATATATACATATATATATTGATTGTATATAGATATATCATACTAGGTACTTTGATTTCAAGTCAGTACTTTTTTTTCTATGAAAGTTTCAATTTTTTTTCTAACTAGATATAAATTCACTAATAACATTAACTAACACGATACTCTATACTCATTCTGTAAAGTTTTGAAAAATTTAAATATAATTTCAATAGAATAGAATTGTCTGTAAAATTTACACATAGTCATACATTTAACTACTGTGATACAAGACATCAATCAAAGATTCCTAATATTTGTACTCTACTACAATATTGAAACCTATTTCAGTAGTTAATAAGTACCTTATTTGTTTGTTTATAACAGGCGGCTACACGACCGGAGGGCCTCGCGAAACGAGCACCTACTACACGGAGGCCGGCGGGGGCGCAGCACCCCTCGCGCCCCCCGCCACCTCCCCCCTCGACGAGTACTACCAGCCGGAGTACCCGCCGGCGCCTGCGCAGCCCTACCTCGAGGACTACTATCACCACGCGCACGCACACACACAGCCGATACTCACACACGAACACAAATATCAGCCGCATTCATACACCAAGCCTTATCCCAGAAGTGAGTACACTACCTACTAATAATATTACTGTAAAATGAACGTAGATTTTGTATACTTATTGTTCAGTATGATAATGAGTTTATATATAATACCAACTTAGTAAAGCGTACAATATAGTCCAAGTGGATTATTTCTCTTATTTAATGAATTATTATCTTCAGTGACGATTTAAGATGAGGGTCTGAAAACTTACAAAAAAACCTTCAACATCATTTTTCTTTAAATGACATCGCGCTAAATAATATAGTTTTTAACTACTCGTAAACTTGGGAAGAAATTACCTACTAACAAAGCCTGAGTTAGCAACGATTTTAACTTTTTGTATTCATTCTAATCACATATACTCAATAACTTAACGTCAATACCGTCCGTGTAACGTTCTAACTCATGTAAGTTTTATTGAGAGCAGTACATGATAACAACGCCACATAATTACACAACTCGCTATCATCCAATTAAAGTCGCATTTCTAAACAGGGACACGTATCCTGTGGTGCGTTTCCATTACACTACGTCGGCTTTCATTAAACGTAACACTATATTGACTTAAATTGCACTGGCTGTATACGTTTTGAATATTCTAAACAACTGACAGCGCCATCTATTGTCCGTAACGGGTAACTACATGCAAAAAACAAGTAGCATATTATTTTGCAATATTATAAAATAATGAACCAAAATATTGTTATTAATTATAGTCTATGTTTTATTCTAATATATTAGCTATATTCTAGTAAAATTTCAATGAAATCCATTCAGTAGTTTTCACGTTGTACGATCACAAACATAGATATGAATCAACACCTTTCCATGTTAGTAGGATACATAAAATATTTCTTTGTTTTGCATCTACGGTTATTATGCTAATATCTAACATTCCGTATATAAAAAAATAATGTAAATAATATAAACAACAAAGAACTTCTCATGTAACATTTAATTATGTACATATTCAAGGCGCGGACTAATTAGTATTAATTCAGTGTCAAGTGTTACTGTAACACTTTGTTACTGAACACGAAAAATAAACAGAATCTGTCATAAAAAACTATTTACTTATATAAAACTCATTATTTTGTTCAAAAAACTTAGCTATAGTCCAAGTAATTATATTATAGCCCTAATTTAGCGTTATTTGCTAGAAATTCTCGCAAATTGTGTCTGCATATAGCCAAAACCTATCACATGTACCAAAGTTTTCGTAATAATATCTAAAATGCTCAATAAACCTAATTGTAGTCTAAGCAATATCACTATAGCCATACTTAAGCGTTTTTTGGTGGAAATTCTCCCAAAATTGTTGTCCACAATATAGGCAAAATTGTTATATATACCAAAATTTGGGCCTACCCTAGCGTTTTTGCTGGAAATTCTCCCAAAATCTGCCTTTATATACAAAAACTAACAAAATTTTCTTAATTATATTATTATTTCTACAAATAAGTTATATATTTCGTGTTTTCAGCCGCCGGTCGGTACGGAGGCGAGGTGTATGGTGAGGGATACTCCACGGAGTACGGTGGCTGCGCTGAATGGGCTGAGTGGCCAGAACAACACGCGCTGCCCCAGGACAAGCTGCCCTACCCCGCCGCCGGACCTTGCTTCACTGGTAACTATATACAAACTAATAGTTTTATCACATTCAGCTTAGTAAATGATCTATATCTGCTTCAATGGTTATATAATCGATGGATGATACTGTAACGTAATAAATGAACTTAATAAATTATTTATTATGGTAGTTTGGTTTTGTATTACAATATGCTAACATTTATATTCGAATATTAATAATATTTTCTGAATCATTTCTTAAAAATTCTTTAATGCGTTTTTCAATTCTACGAAAAAGATTACTTTGCTGTTTTTTTATAATTCAAATGTTTCTTGTTATAAGTATTTAAAATATATACTTACGATATAAAAAGTCAAATCATAATGAAATAATATTAACTTTTTTTGTTTAATTCATGCAATAGTTCTAAAACGTTCCATTATTTCTTTATTCCAAATTGAAACTACCCACAACTATATCACAAAAGAGGTTCAATATATAAAGACTTAATAGATGTATGTGCCAATGTCCAGTATATCGTAAAGCAAGTGGTTGCAACCTCCAGGTTCAGGGCCGATCCAGTTGTGGCAGTTCTTGCTGGAGCTCCTCACTGACAAGAGCTGTCAGGGGTTCATCTCGTGGACCGGGGATGGATGGGAGTTTAAACTCACTGACCCTGATGAGGTAACATAGAATACGAGTATAATAATATTATTATTATTTGTTTTTATAGTCTATGTTATTTATTGTGATTTTTCCTCCAGGTGGCTCGTCGCTGGGGCATCCGCAAGAACAAGCCCAAGATGAACTACGAGAAGTTATCCCGCGGCCTAAGATACTACTACGACAAGAACATCATACACAAGACGGCCGGCAAGCGCTACGTATACCGCTTCGTCTGCGATCTGCAGAACTTACTCGGGTAGGCCTCTATCATACACATTAGTCTATTACAACAATATATAATACATACGTTGGGTTTACCTTGACCTATATTCCATAATTTTCCTCTATGCTATTCGTTATTCTATATCCTCTTCCAAAATATGTATATCTGTACTATACATTGACCTCAATTCAATAGTTTGCCTCTGTGCTATTCGTTATTCTATATCGTTTTCCAAAATGTGTATCTCTCTGTTTTATACATTGACCTATATTCCATAATTTGTCTCTGTGATATTCGTTATTCTATGTTATTTCAAAACGTTCAACTAGAAGTATATAACACCGTCATAATATTTCCAGCATCTCCCCGGAGCAGCTGCACGCGATGTACGAGCCTAAAACTGAGAAGAAGGACGACGACTGAACCCGACTTGATCACTCTACATAAGATATTATTTAGCTAATACGGAATCATAACTCACTTGTACTAACAACTCCCGCCCCTTCAGACACGGCCACCACATGCAAACAATATTAACATGATACCTGCCGTATTAATGATGATGTCATTAAACTGTCGGATTTGATCTCATGCACAGCCAGTGGAACTAATTTAATTATTAACATCCTTCTAGATCACATTAACGACGCGAACACATAATTTTAAGTACAACATCTAACCAACGGTGCCTTAACCCTCACAGACTGTCATGTCGTATGTTTTGTTTTTATTATACCAGTTATTATTCAAGTCCATATTAAAATATATTAATAATCTTCCATAACAGCGCCAGTATTACGGAGCCCGTCAAATAATGAGATTAAAATCACATTCAGTACCAGCGCCATCTCTCGTATGAACCCGGAATTATTTTCATCGCTTACAATTCTTGTGTCTTACTCCTAAAATAGTGATATCTGTTTAAAATAGAATTAATAGTAAAAATTCTGCTATCATTTTAATAATACTGTAAATATAAGTTAATTTTTTTTGTTACTTTATAAAAAAAATAATTAGGTATTATATTATACTAGGTATTAAGTGTTGTATGTTTGATGCGCAGATTGTTGCAATGTGCGTAAATAAATGCATAGTTAGAAATGACGGACAGATAAATCTATTTAACTACAAGAGTCCAAAGATTTTTACGAAAAAAAAATACTAAAAAATGAAAACTATTCGCCCACCAATTGGTTAAAAGGTAGTACTGTGGAATGTTTACGGTTTCTGTCAAACACCGGGTGACGTCACTCACTGATCTCGTGGTAGGGATTGTCTTACTAGTTATGAAATTAATTAATTATATTATTATCATTTTTTATAGCTCCTAGCATACACCGAAGATATTTCGATAAGTTTTATTATTTGTATTCCATCAATATTTTACATCAAACTTGTATTCTCTGTTCGGTGCTGTGTATATTATAAGGATGTCTTCCCGCGTTTTATTGAAAAAAAATTAAATAAATATAATAATTAATTAATGTATAAAAATGGTTTCTGAACGTTCTATTGTATTATTATTGATGTAACCACCTGTCAGTGTTGTATGTATTGATGGAAGATATAAAATTAAATATATATATTTACGAAATCATTTATGGTTTTTTATTGACCCTTATATTTTTAAATATAGAATTTATTATTTAAAAATAGAGAAACTGTCATTTTATAACGTGTTATCAAGGTTTATAGTAAAATCTACAATATCTAATTTTAATTATCGTAAATGAAAAATTAAATGTATGAATGATTTGACTATAATTCTTACGTTCTATCACGATTCTTTGTTTCTTAATCCATTTTATTTTTATTTTTAAATATAAAAATATTGATGTTTTAAAAAAAATCCGCTGAAACCTCCTATCCCCAAATTTAGATTTATAGCAGAAAAATACACAAAAATATTTTAGGACCAACAAATACAACTTTTTATAAAGAAGATTCTTGATATGACGAATACAATGCTATCCAAACATCGTGGCAACCATAAAGTCTTGGGTATGGGTAATATGTTAAAAAAATATGATAACGTATTTTGTCTAAGCAAACTTATATATTTTTCCTTTAAACTACATGTAACTAGGGTTTAACTATTATTATAATATCTATAGTTTTGGTATAAATATTTAACATTGCTCTTATTAAAAGAACAGCATTAAGATTTAAGACCCATCCATCCAAGTTAAATTTACTGTAAGCTCTATGAATAACTTTATAAAAACAAAAACCAGCGTATGATGATCCGCAACAGACATCGCAATTGTATAATATATTGCTTTAGGCAAACAAACTCGATTTGGTTAGAACATCTTAAAACAAAACGGTTAAAAGTTATGCTTTGAAGATTTGCTATGACTAATTTGGCTTTACACAATAAATGTCATTCTCATTTTTTTATGATGCCTGACATCTGCACAGTATATTCTGCCAATGACTCGCAGAGTACACAAAGAGAAGGGAACCTTTTTTTTGTTTAAACACCTTTGACTGAACTTATTAACATGTTACTTCTTGTCTGAAGCAAAAACATAGATAGGTATATATTTATGTAAAAATATCACGAGCTTCTTTTATTTATTATAACTTATTTATAAAATGTCTATTCAAGGCTGTTAAAGAGTTGATTGAGTACAGATATAAACATATTTGGTATATTTTTAAGATACCAACAAGGGCATTCCGAAACTAAGTACTTTATTAATATTTTTAGCAAGCAAGCTTTTGTATCTCGATAAAGCTCAAAATTTATTAGAAACCTTCTCTTAAAAGACAGTAAGCGCAAGTGTAAAGAAATATCAAGAAATAAAATGATAACTAAGATGTTCGCAAGTACTCATTTAAGTGAAACTGAGGTTTACGGATAATAATAGATGAATTTTCAACCCCTCGTCTCCTTGATCATGGTTGCTGCAAAGGAACCCAAACTTCGGGATTTTGGAGTCAGGAAATAACAAAAAACGTAGTATTATTCTCAAACCTTAGTTTCATTTATTCGGAACAATTTAATATATTAATAAAATCACCAATTATTACTAATGAAGTACCAGAATGGCAGTGTCCCAACGTCTAAACAAACAAACCAATGGAATCCCTTGACACGGAACGTTTTAAATGGTTGTTTTCTTTGAATAGATTTTAATTAAAACTTTGACATTAGTAAAATATTTAACAATTGCAATGTGAATGAAGCCTTAAACTCGAAAAAAAAATCTACCTAATTTAAATATAACAACACAAATAAAATCATAACAATATAGATAATAAAAGCAGTGCGTCTTCTGTAATAAGTATTAGATTGTAGTATTGCTTTGAAAATATAAAAATTTTGATGTACAGACACCAAATTTATTTGAGAAAATATATATTGCTCTGGTGTTTTGTAGTATGCTATAGCGAACATTTTATGTTTACATTTAGCTCAATTAACATACATAATAGACTGAATTAGTCCAAATTACCAAAACACCACGAGAAAATGCAACCATATCATTAAAACCTTTCTTGTTTTGACTTAGTCTAAGTGATTATTTTAATATTTGAAGGGAAAGTGATCAGAAATTTGTGTTATTAAATCATCAGAAATTTTAGTAAATGTTAATTTTATGATTATATAATCGATAAAACTGCGATTCTTAATTTTGCACTTTGTATTCTCGTATACAAGTACAAAGAAAAATTTATGTATTTTTAGGAGGTTCTACATATTTCAGAGCAACTTATTCTACTTCCAATATTTTTGCCTAATATAATTCTAATTAAATGATAATAAATAAAAAAATATAATAATTCTACCAGTTTATATTTTCGTTTATTTAAAATATCAATATTTATTCAAAAATGTTTACATGTATATAATTCACAAATTTCAATGTTTCATTTGAGTGCACTAATAGCACTCTTGTCTATTGAAAAATAATGTTTCTAATTTTAAAGCGAATTCCAAAACCACAATAAATTAAAAGTCGTCGTTAAAATAGATTCATGACACCTTTTTCTGCTTTATTTTACTGCTTCATTGATAGCCCGTCTAATAAAAATAAAGACTAACAACCTTTTCAACGGTCATCCGAAACTAAATATTGAGTGCATATTGTGATTTATACTTAAAAAAATTATAATTCTTTTTGACGTTCTATGTACTTACTTCGATGTTGTTGATGAATTTTAGTATATCGTATACGATTAGAATTAGTTCTAATAAAAGAGTAGTAGGTACTTTTTGCGTAGTATTACATTGTTTAGAATAAATCATATTTATTTTAAAATAAATAATCACATAATTGTGATGTTTGCTACTTAAAAAGTAAAGTATTTTCAAATTCTATAAAGAAAGTATTTTATGTCTCAATATGCGCATAAATTCCATGTCATTAATATGCGCACAACTTCCTTAAATATATTTTATCTGTGACTAGCGTATTATGACATAAGAGTAAATAGATGTTGAAGTGTCAAATGTCAACCTAATTCGTTAAGAATAAGTAGAAATTTTTGCAAAATATAATTATTGAATATATTTATTTAATAAATAAGAACTCACAAAATGAAATTGACCAAAGTACTATGTAGGCAACATATAGATTTTATGTTCAAAAGGCATTGGATAATTCAAGGGAAACGTGTGCCGATTAATTTGGGTATTGAAAAATATCTGAAAGAAAAAGGGATCCCAGTACAAGATGCCTTAGAGTTTGTAAAGGAAGAACCGCCACAACGAGAAAAGTAATGTTATTCCTTTGTTATATACAATTAATTAATTACAGTTTAATATATCATTATTTCTAAGCAATGACACATTGAAATGAATATTCTATTAAATTGTTCAAGATTTCTATATTATTATTTTTATTTGCAGAGTTAAAATCGTTGGGCCCTATGAAATGCCATTACCTCTCGACGAAAATCATCCTAATTATAAAGAGAGACCATGTCTTACCTTGAAACATACAAATGTACTCTTAGAAGGTATTTCACAGGCACAAGTCCTCACTAAAACCATAATATCAGAAGACAAACTACCTCATAGAATTGAAGAACTTGCAGAACTGCCAGCACCAAAATCAGTACATGAAGGTGTTAAGAAAGCAATACTTAGTGCTAACATTTTTGATTGTGAACAGAAGAAACTGCCAAAAATCAAAGATCCTGAAAGGCCAGCTTATAACTTTCCTCGCATCTTAGGAATAACTGATAAAAGGAAAAAGTAAGTTACTTAACTACTAACAATAAGTTAATATATTAAAATATAAACCTTTACTTAAAAGATGGCTGCTCGGTAGTGGCAACAAAAGTAACCTGTTTATAGAAATATTAGAAATGTTTTCAATAGGGATATTTTCAAAGTACCACAATAAGAAACAATATATAAAATATCTATCTTATATACTTTCATGAAACATAAAATAATAAATTTAGTTAAAGTTAAGTGAATTTTATTCAAGATTTCTGACTTGAAAATTATATTAAATCAATTCAATTTTAATTACTATGATTTTTTTTTATATATTCAATTGCTTGAAGAGGTTATTTACCCAAGTCACATTAAACTATATTCTGATTTAAAGGTCTAAAAAAAATTCAATCTTATTTGTCATATTCATTAATGTGTAACACTATTTCAGTGAAATCCTAACAAATAAATTGCTTCATATAATTGAAAAGAGCAATGATTCAGAGGTGACTCTCAGCAAGTATGTCGTGAATGATATTGAAACAAACAGTATATTTGACAAGGAAGGTGATCTTATTCAGTTCCAAGACGTTTCCAACATCCTCGTAACAAGCAACAAGCCTCTCAAGCATGAGCTCAATGAAACCGATGTCTCGTACATTGATATACCGGACATGTATCCTGTTAAACACACCGTGACACTACCACCAGAACATTTTTATAATGACAACAGTTTTTACCGTAAGTTATATACATATGTATTATAGAAAAAAATTTAAGTATAAGTCCACTTTCATATTTTCTCACAATCCTACTAATATTATAATTGCGAAAGTTTATTAATGTGTGTCTGTTTGTTACTTCTTCACGCTCAAATGGCTGAACCGATTTTGATAAAATTTTGTATACAGGAAGCTGACATTCAGGAATAACACATAGGCTACTTTACATCCCGGAAATCCGCGGGTAACACCGCGGTTCGCAGCTAGTTTGAAATATATTTAAGCTTGTCAATTATTTATCTTTCTTCTGATTAAAAAGATAATAATGTTAATGAATCTGTCAAATATATTTTATAGATGTTTTTGTGTATTTTTATGTCTAGCGATTCAACGTAGTGTGCCTATGAAGCACCCACACACAACCTGGCTTCATTTCAATCGGACAGAAGTCTCCAACATTTTCGAAACACCGGTTACACCATCACAAATCCTCGGCCGTTCTCTGACACACGCATTCACAATAGCCTCGTCATACGCAAAGCAGTTGTATGGGGTAAATAAAATGTATATCAATGTTAAAAACACTTATATTATACTATATAATAATAATTTTGGTATTTACAGGAGGATGTCAAAGACCTACCTGATCCGGTTCACATAAATTGCATCCAAACAGATGGTCAAAGATTCCATTTCGGTGTTTTTGAACTGAACACATTGAATGTTGATGGTACAGATGGTATTAAGAACGTTTGGTATTGCAAGAATGACATGAAGTTATACGACTCTAGTAGATACTTGAATGGTATGCCAGTCCTAGAGAATTACAACCCTAAAGTTTACGGATATATAAATGCCTTTTATAACTGCTAATGTAGATTAACTTTATTATAGTATAGAATAAAAAATTCAATAAATAATATAGAATATAGTATAGTAGTTTCATTCAAGACGTGACTATAGTGTATCTAGTGAGATAAGTATTATATTAAATGTATTCATGTATATATCCAAATATATTTACAAGAACACAAATACATTTATTATTATTATTTAATTAGTATACAAGGCTGGACTTCGAAAACACTTTGTACATTATAATAATAGCAATAGGTAGAGGGACACGAAAGTTTGTTATATACGGGTGTTCACTTTTCTGCACTAAACTTCTGTAATCTACGTCGTCTGAGCTCTTCGGCGTCAGCATCCGATATTTCCCTGTAAATATATTAACATTTAGAATAACAAAACCTTTAATGTAATTTAAATATAATTGGAATGTTTATTTTTAAAGTGGTGTAAGTCCATTTTCTTTTGTTTCGAGAAAATTAAAGGACTATATTTGTTTATCTAAAAATACACGCAAATCATATGATGTTTCGCATTGTTTCTATTGTTTTATCAACATTTAATTTGTTTATATTAATTTGTTTTTGGCTAACTAGAATACGATAACACATAATATTTATGTGCTGTAAATGGACTTAAATTACTTTCAAAATTAGACAATTAATAAATAGTTAAATTTCAATTTTAAAAAATCAAATATCGTTTAAAATATACTTCATTTTAGTATAATTTTGTTTACAAATACGCATAACAACACATAAAAATTTATTTTAGGTTGTAATTACATAGTCATTATAAGATACTGATTACAAGAATTTACTTATTCTCTGCATTTGGTAGTGTTTTAAAATATGCTAAAATATGCATGATGCACCGGAGGTATAAAGGGTAGTAGGTGCTTCATGTCTTTATATTTTTCGTACGTAATAGTTCTGGCATTTTGTTACAAACGCTTTAGGGCGATTTTTTCAAATTTTAACACTTCTCGTCATCCATTTGCTATGCCACCTACTTACTTACTTACCAACTCACATAATCGATGATTATGCAATTTCATTTATCGACCGATTTTAAGTTGTACGAAACATTTGATTTTTGACATATAAAACACGGACTAGTTAAATAAAAAATTACATTAAATTAAACATGAATTATGTGATAGCACATTTTGCTTAAAAATAGACCTACACTATTTTCAAAATAAACGGACCATATAATGCGAAAGTAATACAAGTATGTATAACATTTATAGACATTACATGATTTAGATGTGTTTTGAGTCCAAATGAATCCTCACCTATTCACACTGGTCTCCAAATCTTCAAAGTCCTGTCTGCTGGATGGTCCAGGTGTATCATTGTAGGGTGTCATCTTGGATGTAGAAGCGACAGGTTCCGGTTCCGGCTTAACACGCACCGGAGACGGCTCGGGGGAAGGTTCCGTCCTTCTGTATCAATGATATAAAATTTAATTGGTATATTTAATTAGATTATTTGCTATAACTTCATTATATCTACTATTAGAAGAGTCTACATGAAAAATTTTGTTTTTTTTTTTCTCATTAATACTAAATACCCAATATAAGTGCAGTGTAATCCGTTGACAGTTTTCGAATTAATTTGACGATTGTGACTATTATAACACTTAAATGAATTTAATATTGTTCGGATATATTACGCTACCTTATTTTTTTTTTAGAACTACATACTCGCAACATTTCGGCTACTTTTCAGAAACCATGATCACGGTGTGATCAAATGTCGTGAGTATGTATACAGTTTAAAAAAAAAAAAGAGTCCAAAAAATATTAGTTTCATTTAAATTAATAATACTCGCGAAAGTCTTAGATCTCATTACTATAATACTGTTTCCATATACAATAACAATATTTTTTCTAACCGTATGTCTGTCTGTGTGGCCACATTGGAGAGGTTGGAGGGCTGGTTGGACACTACGTTGGAGTACTGCTGCATCAGGAGCACGGACGCGTCCAACATCGACTGGATCTCCATTAGTAACTTGAATGGAAATATGTATAAGGATTATTAAAAATTAAAATATGTTGGAGAAAATCTTTCCATTCCTAAATTACTATGCAGAATATACTTACGGCCACTTTACTGTTTATAATGTACGCGGCTATTCTATGTACATAATTATAAATAATATCTAATCTGGCCAGTATTTAAGTGTAAGTTTAGGAGTTAGTTAGTTTTGGTTTTAAATACAACAATAAAAGAGAAAAATTCTTAAACAAAATAATATAAAATATTCGTATAGCATTCAGTTTAAGTACATAAATAATAATCATACAATTATTGCGTCATCAAACTAACTACATATTTTTAGTTTATTCTTCACAAATTTTCCTCATTTGTTAAATTAATTAACCGAAGTATTTTCAGTCCAGTGACTTCCAATCACTTTGTAATTATGGTTTAAATCAGCTGAGCTTAATGAATTATGACTTTTATCTCTCTTTTCAAGTCCACTACTCTGTTGGTGAAAAATGTGACGAATAAGATGACCATACCATAACTTGCGTTTATACTTTCATTTTGCTTCTATTTTAGTAACCCTAGATATAATTTTAATGAATGCTTGTGGTCGTTATCTTGATGAAAAACATTATTGCACCCCGTCTAATTAATTGCAAAATCCAGACTAAATTGTATTTTCTTGCAAATTGTTCAGATAGCCTTCTTTAAACAGTTTCGCGAGTATTCCAATCAAATGATCGAGCTTATTTTTACCAAAGAATCCTCAGAACATCCCAACACCGATCTTAACTGACTGCTTAGTCCACGCTTCTACTGCAAATTCATCTTTTATCATGCAAAAAACACGTTTATTAGATCCAAGAATCTAAAATAGAACTGATCTAATAAAAGGATTTTTTCCAAGCTTCCATTGTTTCAGTTACTATGTACAGTCTACTTTAGACACTTTTCCTTATACTTAATAGCTATTTTTTTGGACATAATACATGGTCCTAAGAGAACAGCAAGTAAACATCTTTTTACAAATGTGCTAAAACTTTTTGAGGTGGTAGAGCCTAGCTGTGGTCAAGTGATTGCAGCACGAACATGGGCTGGCTCGACCTGGGAAGTACCACCCTCTCACAGAAGATCGGCGTAAAGTAACCTTAGTGGCTGCGTTTCGTCCGGTGAGTGAGAGAGCCGGTTGCCCTTTCCCTTTTCCCATCCTCTCCTACCCCTTCCCTTTTTCCTCCCCTTCCCATTTTTCTTCTCCCTCTTCCCAAATCAAGGGTGGTGACACATCGGCAACCAGTTGTTTGCACGATCACTTTAATGTCCCATAATAAACTGAACTCTAAATATGAGATCAGATAAGATTTATTTAAAAAAATAACATTGTTTTAAGTCCTCAATTCTTTTTTAATCTTCTTAAAAGTGTGGAATACATAAGTAAATAGTTTTTTTTTAAATTCTCGTCTTGATAAAGTTTGTAAAAATAAATTTAACATTAAGGAAGGTTATATTTAAATATTAGGGGAGAGTCGGATATATCGTACCACTTTTCACTTTAACTCAAATATTTCGACTATAACACGTCTTATAATAATTAATACATATGTAAAATAAAGTTGCATATTTTAGCTTCCTAAGAAGAAGAGAACAGATCCTTGCGATTATTCTAACATTGTTAAAAATGCTTTTTTATAGAGGCTTGCCATCGGTACGATTTAGCCGACTAGTCGTTTTAATCGTACCACTAAGTCTTTAAATCGTACCATAGGTGTTTAAGTCGTACCACTGAATGAAAGACATTAAAATTCTCAATCAAATTATTTATTTTTAACTGTTAGATAAGTAATAAAACAACATTATTTATATCTTTTAGGTAATAGAAACATAATTTTTAACTCTTAGGTTATATAAAGGAACTATAAGCTTTCTCAGTACAATAACGTGATTATACTATGATAATGAGATCAATCAACATAACTAATAAAAATGAGACAAAAAAAGAACAGTAAACTATAATAATAAATTAATAGTTGACAAGAATGTTATTTGTAATATAATTATTGTGCATATTTCTTAATGGAAACAATCATGACAAATGTCTGGATTCGAAGTAGGTACATGTCTTATGTAGCCACCGTTTACAGCGAACGCATTGAATCCAATCAACTTTTGGACCCTTCTCATCGTAGTAAGAACAATTGCACTTTCCACATATATTTTCAAGATAATCATCGCTTTCATCATCATCATCATCTAATTCTACAACAAGTGTCTCTCCTGAATCATGGCTATTGGTGATAGAATGAGATCGTTTCCTTTTATAACATTTGTTCTTAGCCTTGGGTAGTACTTACTATACGTACTTGCGGTAGTACTATAGGTACTTGCGGTTGGTAGTCGGGTAAATCGTACCAGTACAATTCAACCAACTGCAAGTGGTACGATTAAACCAACTAAGGCATTTCTAAAACAAAAGCAAATATCCGGCATAAACTCAAAACTTAGACACGCAACAAAAACACCCAATAACCTAGTATACAATTGTGGTATAATAAAAAAAAACTGAATTACTATAGCTTACCTTGATTACGAGTTATCTCCTTACGAATGTACGACAATATTTATATTAATTCCTCCAAAAAATGTATTTTTTTATTACGTGCACAGTTGTTAACCCACGTCGATTTAAACTAGTGGGTTAAGAGGTATGGTACAGGGCCACGATTTGTTGTTGTCAATGTGGAAAAAAATATTCATTAAATGGGAAATTTAGAAGTGGTACGATTTAAATGCTAGTACGATATAACCAACTCTCCCCTAACTTGAGTTTTTACCTAGTTATTAAATTGTGATACCGAATTTTTGGACTATTATGTAAATACATAGCTTAATGCCTAATTTTGGTATCATGTTGTATATACATATACTGACCTGAAGTCTCGCCTCTATATTCCTCCTCTCGTTTCCCTCCATTCGTCTCAGTTCCTCGGTAGTAAGAGTGGCGAGGGAGGCCGGCCGCGGAGGAGGGGGAGGGAGCGCCCAACCCATCATCGCTGAGCAATGCAATGTATATTATGATATGATCACTGTTTTTATATTGGATAATATACCTTCTTAATCGCGCAAAAAAGGCACACCACGTTTAAGTCGAACAAATAAAAATTATCCAATACTAGCTGACCCGGCAGATTTCGTACTGCCTCAATCAAGAAATTAATATTTTTTTATTTATATTTTTGGAGTTTACCTTTAAGCCATAAATCTCCGTGGTTTGAAGTGCGACAGAATGATTAACATATTAGTTATTACATATACATATTAGTTAGCTGTCAAATCTAATGTCAAAAAAACTGTTTGTATGGGAAATAGAAAAGGACTGTTTTAAGGGTTTTCCCGGAAATTATTAAATTTTTTTCAGCTTTTAAATCTTCCCTGAACCTCCACGAACATTTCAAGACTAAGATAAGATAAATCCGTTCAACCGTTCTCGACTTTTAGTGAGACTAACGAACAGCAATTCATTTTTTATATATGTATATAGATTGTCTTTTTGTTAGGCAATGTTAAATTGAAATACGGACATCTATTGGTAATAATAATAAAGACAACACATTATAATAGTATTAAATATATATCAGAGCACTCACGTGGTGGTGGCGGCATATTAGGAAAGGGTGGTGGTGGCGCGGCTTGTGGGGTTGGAGCTTGGACGTTAGGCACGTTGACGTTCGGAGCGACGACGTTCGGCACGTTGGCGTTGACGTTAGCGTTAGGCGGCTCTGGCGCTGGCGCTCTGAGGACGTTTAGGCGACACGTGGGGCAGGTCTGCTGGCGTTGGAACCATAGGCGGAGACAGGCGGCGTGGAAGATGTGGTTACAGGGAAGTTTCTTAGCTCCTGACAACGAAAATAATACATTTATGTATTACATATATTTTATCATAGCTTTCCGCCCGCAACTTCGCTTGGAGTTCGGTTATATCGCGTTTCCAAGAAAACTTTTCAAAAGTCTGGGATAAAAACTATCCTATGTTCTTTCTCAAGGTCAACTCTATGTCTGTACCAAATTTCATTAAAATCAGTTCAGTGGTTTAGGCGTGAAAGCGTAACAGACAGACAGAGTTACTATCGCATTTATAATATTAGTAGGGACTAGGGGACAAAATTTTATGCTTAAGATCTATTCCCATAGTATAATGAGATTAACAAACAATGAATGAAACCTAATGTTACAAGTATCGCCATACGTGCCGTACTAATTACAATTATTTAAAATATTGAACCATAGTAATTTTGTAATGGCAACATTGAAGTACCAACTTATATTTATTTGAAAACAATAAATACTAGATTCAGCCATTTTGTATGACTTAGTTGACAGTAACACTGAACATTAAAAATCAAGACTTAAACTGTATTAAACACTAACTTAATACTATTGCATAACCTACTATCACAGAGCGTAGTTAAATATATCAACTGTAAAACTACAGTCAAATCTTACCACATATACAGGGTGTATGAAAAACTGTCTCAACCCTTGAAGGCACGTATACATATAAGTATAAGCTTATTATAAAAAATAGTATAACTTAAAAAAAATCAAGCAGAAGTTAGTTACAGTGCATAGGCTAAGTAAGTTTTAAATCGACATTTTTCGAAAGAATGTTTCAAACATCTGACATACAAGGTCAAGACACCGTATAGTCGCTACGGCGCATGCGTGACCATTGACCGCAGGCGACGGGCCGCCGGCGTTATTATTACTATTCTGTTATTTGTTCGAATAGAGATTTGAAAGTGTAAAAATTAGTTATATCGATAAATATTCTATCGACATTTTCAATATTGTTATAAATAGTTATGCTTTTCACATTAAAATAATTTCATTTAAAATAACTTTTATTAATAATAAATATTATAATTTGACACTTGTTCAGGTAAATTAACTACATATGTTGTATTATTAGGATAAATCGTTAATCTATTTCTGTTAAAAATGGTGTTTTACAATCAAACATAATATTAATGTTCGATATATCAAAATAAGTATCGAAATAATATTAATATTAAATATTTATTTATTGTTATGATTTTTTAAATATCGATATTTTCAATAATGTGAAAGTAACTTCAAGGTCGTCACAGGTCACAGGTCACAGGTCACAGGTCGGACGTCATTGCGTGTCATCGTGTTATACCAGGGTTTACAAACATTTTGTTACTCTACATATAATAATCATTTAATATTTAATTTTATTATTTTTATTGAAGAGTTTGTAAATGTAAGTTGTTTTATTGTGTTACATTATCGTTACTGATAACGTAGTTAAGAGGGTTGACACAGTTTTTCATACACCCTGTATAACAACACAATCCTACTTATAGTATAATTGCGAAAGTTTGTGAGTATGTTTGTTATTTCTTCACGATCAAACGGCTGAACCGATTTTGATAAAATTTTGTATACGGGAAGCTGACGTCCAGGAATAACACATAGGCTACTTTACATCCCGAAAATCCGCGGGTAACACCGCGGGGCGCGGGTAGTTAAGTATAATTCTCTCACCGCTATGCATCTCCTCTCTACATATAATACATTCATTGTCAGCGGCCGCTAGCTCCTCGGCCGTAGCGTCCGGATACAGGGTGTTCATGTTCCTGATCGCTCGACGTGACAACACCACGTCGTTGTACGCCTTATTGAAACTCCTTGAAGCAAGAACAGATAGATATTAACATTATAAATCATCAGCCTATCAGAGCCCACTGCTGAGCAAGGGCCTCCTCTCACATGGAGAAGGTTTGAGCATTAATAACCACGCTTGCTCAAGTCGGGTTGGTGATTTCAAACTTATAATTGTGAAACTATAAGTCCAGGTTTCCTCACCATGTTTTCCCTTACCGTCTGACAGTGGAGTCTAAATACTCTTAGAAAGTACATATGACTCGGAAAAATCACATTGGTACTTGGCAGGATCGAACCCGCGCCCTCATGCATGAGAGGCGGGCCCTTTAACCAGTAGGCCACCACTGATGTATAACATTATGAATATATTGTTATTTAAATGGAACTAATATTTTTCGGATATACTACGCGACTTTATTTTTGATAATAACTATATACTCGACGTTTCTCACTTACATTTCATCTGCTCGTAATCACGGTTGCTGAAAAGTAGCCGAAACGTCGGGAGTATGTCCGGTTTATCAAAAATAAAGTCACGTAGTGCATCCGAAAAATATTAGTTTCATTTAAATGAATAACACTCGCGAAAATCTTAGATCACATTAAATATATTGTAATATTTATACTATAAAAAATCTAATTAATGGTTAATAAAATTTTAAAAGAAAATTAATCCTACCTTAATGTCTCGTACATAGGTCTGAAAGCGAACAACGGCAGTGTGTATATTCGCACCATAACAGCCACGAAGCCGATGTATAGAAGAACTTTGAGGAAGTTGATGGCCAGCTCAGTGTACAGAAGAACAGCCGCCTTACTCTCCCACGGAGCCTCCCAGCGAGAGTCGATCGCGTGTAGCATATACTATATAAAACATATATTACTATACTATATAATATATAAAACAGGTACATATATCGTTCTAAAGGAAGAAATCTACAAGGAATATGGTTCTTACTAATTTAATTGTGACCTTTTAATACATTTGATGTATGACATAACTTAAATATACCCTCATTCTATCTTTCATTTAAATTATATATTTATATAAAAGATTTGAAATATCGTGATCAACATTTTTCCTATCCGCAAAAAAAATGTTTATAGTTCATAATATTATTACCGATGTTATATAAATATGTATAGTTATAAAGAAATCTTAATAGATCAGTACATATTGCACAAGAGTAAAATTATTGCAACACACTTTCAATTCGTACAAAAGTAATAAAAAATTATATGCGTGAATTAAAAAATACTACAATATCGCGGAACAATCGTTACCGGTTTTTAATTAATCATTTATTTCAAGATCAATATAACAATATAAATGTCATTATGTTTGACATTTAGTAACAATACACATTGATAAGTCTTACGCATTGACGTATGTATTGTTTATTTTAAAGAATTTTTAATAAACGTTGACATTGGCAAAATATTCCACGATTCTAGTAAGAATGAAGCCTAATAAAATAATAATTTTTTATATCGAGATTGGCTCAAAAATCAATATTGCACAATTCAAGTGTGAATGGAGCCATAGAATTAATAATAATAATAATAGAATTTTTGGTGTATTTATTTCCAAAGCTGGCAATTGTGAAAGACATTTGCCTTGAAAAATTTTCGTTTCACATATTAATATAATGATGATAAGAACTTGAGATAGAATTAAATAAGAAATGAAAAGTTCTTATTGACATTATTTTTGTTTTGGTTTCTGTCAACCCTATAGGCTTGAATAGCATCACTGAGAGTTGATATAAAGATTGAAAACTAAAGACATGTTATGAAAAAAAATACAATTTTTAATCACAAAATGATGTATATAGTTTTTAATGGTTCATTGTTAGAAATTAAACTGTAATATAGAAGTTGCATGTTTTGTGATTATTATTATTTTTTTCAAACTTTAATCGAAATTATTAAGACAGTTTCAGTAAAAAGCAATTTTTTTTTTTTAATGGACAGAGCCATTTTCAAGGAAAAGTAATATTTTTCTATACAACTTGATTCTGTAGTCAGTTATATTATTAAATTTTCATATGTAATAAATGCTAAAATTTCTTATACAACCAATTAAGACAATTCTTTGATGTGATTATGTTGTGCTTTCATTTAATAATTAATAATATTGTTATAGTCATATCCAGTTAACTTTAAGTGAAGAAAATTTGCTAATTTTATTATAAGATATATTTCTATTGCTTTGATTGTAATCAATTTTCAAACAGCATCAATATTTGAGACATAATAAAGTTGTTAAGAATATAGCAAGTCTCTTACCTTGATTAAGATATTCGCAATCATAAATATGAGAATGCTGTACTCAAATCCAAACACAACTTGGACCGACGGACCCTTCGATGTGGTGAAAGAGTATGCATGATGAATGAAGTACAGATCGGCATGAGCCAAAAGCGTTAATAAACTTAGAATCCTAACATGGAAAAGCCAGCCAATCACCGGGCTTCTTTCCATCTGAAACAAATATATAATCATTAAGAATAATAGCACGTTATAAAAACACAATTGTTAATGAAAAAATATCTCACATAATCAACTCGGTCTTCAGCGAGCCAATGGAATGCTTTCAAAAACAGCAGGAGAGTGAATAGCGCAATGAATTTCGGATTGAAATCATCTCTGAACACGGTGAATGCAAGGCAAGTCTCCGTTATAGCATACCAAGATCTTTCTATTAAGTGCTGAAATTATACATATATATAATATTTGTTTTCACTGAGAAACAATATTATATATGATTTTTATATTGTGGCAATATTGTATTTAATTAACCAATAAATAAACACACTCAGACATAAAAAAATAGAGATATTTATATATTGATAAGAGATTTTAAATTCATATTTTACAAAAAAAAAAATATCCAGATTCCTATTGAAACTAAATCTGATTTACTTAAAACATTTAAACATATGTTTACAATAATGTCAGCGCTCGGTAAATTATTGGAATATTATGTGCAATAAAAACAATATAAAAATAGTTTAACTGATAAAATTCAACCTTCAACTGTGAAAACTAATTGGATGAAGAGAATAGCATTCATATCAACAAGTCTCTTTTCACTGAGATTTTATTTACATATAAGTGTACTTAATATTTCATAAAAAGGCATATTCAATCAAATGTAGCTTCATTAAACATGACCTTTGACATTCAAGTGGGTTGAGTATGTAATTAAACAAATTCGTATAAAATTTTAGATGCTGAATTTTTTACATATGTCTTAAATTATTTTATATTTAGGGAAAATTCATGATTTATCCTCTCACCTCGAATTCGGCTGGCCGCAGTTGACCAAAGAAGATTTTGCGCAAAATTTTACCAACCAATAACACCAGTATGAAAGCTTGTAAATACATGACCTATAATAAACAAATACCTCATATGACGACATTTTTCAATGAAACTTATACAAAGGCCACATTAACAAAATATAATTACAATAACAAACATGATCCTATTAGATAAGATTTCGAAATTATTGATAAGAGAGATATTTAAATCCTGCATATTTTAAGATTTTAATTACTTACAGCCATACTAGGATTGGAATTAGTGAGATAAACTACAGATGGATAAAACTGTTTCTTCTGGTAATAGGCATTGCCTATTACCACAGTAGTGAGGGCCAGACTGATCACAGTCGCCACTAAAGCCTTCATTTTCATTGATAACAAGATCACTTAGCACTTCATACACTAAAACTTTACAAATAAATAACTTCCGAAATTTCTAGGCTCTTTGTATTGGCATAATTTTCAGCAAATACATTTTCAAAACATCGTTTCGTATCACTCACTGGAAAAAAAACCAAATTTGACGTGTTCAATGTTCATTTGTGTCATAATACCACAGACTGGGGTATAATCTCTACAATATTACTTCATTCAATCTGATTAATTAAAATCAAAAACATTACGATATTTGTTATTATGTACAGAGTTTAGTTTAATACATACCATTTAATATATTTAAAGTAAATTATTTTGAAATATAAAAAAACGCTAAAAACGAGATATGATTTATAAACTGATTTCTTAATGGCAACAAATATTAATTATTGTCATCTTGTAATCGAAGATGGTGTTCCTATTGTTGTATTCCACGGATAGAATTGAATTTATTCAATATTTTTAGTAAGAAAATGATTGTTACCGTGTTTTAAGTACTTAGTTTACATTCAACAGGATATATATCGTTGCTGTAATTAATTTTAGTTACGGGGTCAGGGACAACTAGCTTATTGCCGCGCAATTCACTTTCTTTCGATTGATCCCATTATAAGTATTGTAATTTTAAAGAAAGACAGTTCACTTTCATTGTTTTATCATCAATTTCTATGGTTTACAAGTAATCGTATTATAAGTTATACATAACTTGACAATGAGACATTACATCGTGTCTAACTTGTTACGTTAAGTTTGTATGCGTCGAGTCTTGTAAAGAAATTAACAGGAAGATTGAAAAAAATTGGCAAGATTATTTTCAGCTTTGGATATTCAGGATTCGCCTACCGTTCAGAGTCTCATAATGGTGAGTGTAATATTTTGTGTGTAATGTTAGGATAACACGATAGTATAATATTTAGCTTAAGTAATACTAAAATAACACATTCTGATACAGCAGGGTGATGATCCACCTTTCCTACCAGTGGGTACGGATGTGAGCGCAAAATACAAAGGTGCATTCTGTGAGGCCAAAATCAAGAAAGTTGTGCGTAACATTAAATGCAAGGTAAGATGACCTGTTGCTATATTAATTTGCCCAATTAATATCCATAAAAGGTTACTAACAAGCAAATAATGTCAGCTATTTAATAAAGGAATCTTATGCTAGCGAGAAAGCATTTAATTCCCATCTGAAACTAAAAAAAAATGTTATTCAATCATCATTTTAAGTCTTTCATTATTATGGCACTAAACTAATTTGAAAATAAAAACATTATTATTTTTTAGTCTTCATATACATTAATTACATTTAATTTACTTTCTCAATTAAATAATATTGGTGTAGGTGACTTTAAAAGCTGGTGGCATTACCACGGTCAATGATGATGTCATCAAAGGCACTCTAAGGGTCGGGAGTACTGTGGAAGTCAAACAGGACCCTAAGAAAGAAGCCATGGAAGCCGTTATCACGAAAATACAAGACTGCAGCCAGTACACTGTTGGTATGTGTCATATAAGTTAATCCATATAATATAGCTTCTTTTTCTTCCTGGCAATTTCCCAGCTTCAGCCAGGGTCTGCCTTACATGTTGTAAATAGTTTTGGCTAATTGTTTTTAGAACTGGCCGCCTGCCTGACATCAAACCTCTTTGGGAACAATCCATATTATATAGCAAACTATGATATTGCTTGAACTATTTAAAATGTACATAATGTTTTTATATAAAAACATTTCCATTATATTTTATACTAGCTTTCCGCCCGCAGCTTCGCCCGCGTCGAGTTCTGTTATATCGCGTTTCCAAGAGAACCTTTCAAAAGTCTGGGATAAAAACTTTCTAATGTTCTTTCTCAAAGTCAACTCTATGTCTGTACCAAATTTCATTAAAATCAGTTAAGTGGTTATGTCGTGAAAACGTAACAGACAGACAGACAGAGTTACTTTCGCGTTTATAATATTAGTAGGGATTTTGTTCTTTCAACTGTATATTGCCATAAGTACCATATTATAATAACTTAAAACAATGTAATTTTCAACAGTATTTGATGATGGTGATATAACAACATTACGACGTTCAGCACTCTGCCTTAAGAGTGGGAGACATTTTAATGAAAGTGAAACCTTGGATCAACTGCCGCTGACACATCCCGAACATTTCTCTACACCGGTTATAGCTGGAAGGAGAGGTCGTAGAGGAAGAGCACAGTGAGTTGAATAACTTTAGACTTATAAATCTCATTATACTGTGTCATACATTGTTATATACTATTGAATGTATAAGTCTAGCTCTTAAGTCCAACAATATAAAATTTTAATAATGATATCTAAGATTTTACTAACCACACATTTAAATAAAGCTACAGTACCAAATTTACTAAGTAATTTATTGTATTATGTTTTACATATGTTTTGATAAATACAACAACCATGATCATTGGCATGACAGTTAAAATGTTTTGTGTAATTTTGTATAGTAAATCTGAAAATTATATTATGATTTTCAAAATGCTCGTTAAAAGACACATTAGTTGTTTATTATGTTTCATTTCATTGTATATATATGCAATGAAATGGTCCTAGTATGTATTACCACTGAAATCAAATAGAAACATATTCTTTCTGTTGAGTACACATTGAAAATAATGACACCAATATCTTTATTCTTACTAAACATGTGATGATGTATAAATAAGATAAATTATAATAATCTTTTGAAGTATCACATATTTCATATTCAGTTGAAACTGTTTTTCTGTTTGGTATGTCTAATTTTAATCAAACATTATATGATACCAATAGTTTGATATTCAGTACTCAGTTCAAAGTATATGTGTGACTTCCTATGTCTATAAAGTTCTTCAATATTTATATTTAACTCTTGAGACAATGATAAAGAGAGTTTACTATGTCTATAAAGTTCTTCAATATTTATATTTGACTCTGCAAGCTATGTTAAAGATAATAGTCGGCTATAAATGATGTTTTTTGTCAACCAGGTCAGACGAAAGTGATGGTGAGGGTACGGCCCCAGTGAAAGCGGATAGTGCTGAGCGTGAACCCCACGTAGGTCGTGTGGTGTTAGTTGAAGCGGCGAGCGGTGCGGAGAGACGAAGACCTCATCAGCCCGCCTTCCCAGCACTTGTAGTGGCTCCAACAGCACAGATCAAAGTTAAAGAGGACTACCTCGTCCGATCCTTCAAGGATGGAAGATAGTGAGTGTGATCATTAAGTTATAATTTAGATATCATTTCCCTATTGCTAAAATTTGCAACCCATAGATAAGATATCAAATTTGTATGGATATGTGGATGTTTGTTGTTTCAACCAAAAAATGCTTAAAAGATTTTGACGAAATTTTACAGTAATGTAGTTTTAACTTCAGAATAGGATATGGCAAATAATTCATCCTCAAATTCCATATAATTCTGTAGTGTTACAGTATAACACTAGTATTTTGTGTAGAGTCATGTGACACAGACTATAGTTGTCACAGCCAATTGGTTTCCATGTCTATTGTTTTGACACACCATTAATTTTTCTTCAAGTCCAATCCCAAAGTAGAGGCGGATGAGATCGCGGTCAGAAATTAAAGTTAACATTTTTGAAATCTCAACTTTTTGTTTTTATAATTAGCGAACGAGAGCGCGGACAGAAACTAATTCAAATTATTTGTAAACTTAACACGATTTTTAGTCTTTGAATAGTTTATTTTTAGATTTTTTTTGTTGTTATTTTATATAATAGGTATTGGAAGTTTTGGTAGTGTTTAAAATATATTGTTAGTTTTCATTTTACTACTTTATAAGTGAAGTAATAAGTAGTAGGTACGCATATAAGTTAATTTGGTTGTGTTTAATTGTATTAATAGTTTATTGTCGTAATTATTATATAATTACTATATATAATTGTAAGTGTAAGGTAGCTTCAGTTACCGTGAATTAAAAATACACAATGCCACCTAAAAACGACCATATCTATCTCGAAATTCGAGAGATGTGAAAAGGATGAGAAATGCGCGTTCTCAAGAATCAGTAGAGGAAAGAGCACATCGTTTAAACTCTATGAGAGTTAGTGCCTCAACCTCTCGAGCCAATGAAAGCTCTCCAGAGAGAGATGCTATTAGCAGCTGACAGAGCGAGACGAGCTATATCACGGGCGTCTCAAAGCTCTTTTTAACTAGAGCTGAGGCTTACCATTGACCGAGAACAACATGTGTTATCCCGAGATGCTGAAACTGCCTCACAACGAGAATTGCGTCTGACTGCTGACCGCGAACGGCATACACTACATCGCGAGTCAGAAACCTACACTGACAGGGAATTACGTCTCACTTCTGACCGCGAACAACATACATTGTTTCGCGAGTCAGAAATATTCACTGACAGAGAATTGCGTCTCAAAGCTGACGGAGTCGCGAGCACAGCTATCTATATTTTTCTGACGGAAGTCACTATTCCACGCGGACGAAGTCGCGGGTAAAACCTAGTCTTTAATAAAATTTCAACCAAAGACAATAATTATTAAAATTATATTGTGATATACTAGCATGGGCATATGACTATACTCTTAACACAGAATGTTTGTACCTTTAAAGTCGATTAAATTATAAAATCTTATATAAAAATATAAATACTATAAAACTCATATCAAAATAAAAAAATACTGAGTTATTAAAGTAGATATAACAATCATAAATTTCACTATTTTCCTTAAAATTTAAGAGTAATTAATATAAACCAAACACATTGCATGATATTGTATGTAATTGCTTAAAAATATTCCCTATAATTTTCCAGCTACACGGTGCCGAAGAAGGAGGCTCGTGAGTTCCGTAAGGGCGCAGCACCCCTCGAGTGGTGCGGCGTGGAGGCGGCGCTACAGTACCTGGCGCACGGGGACCTGCCGCCGCACTGGGACCGGGACGCGCTGTTCAACGAGCCCAGGAACACCTCCGACGATGTATGTAACACACACACACATCTGAGTTTACATACTGTATATGGCAACTATTTAGTTACCTAGGAATAACTCCGATGATGTATGGATTAAAATATACACCTTAATACATCTTGTTCTACTTCTTCTAACTGGCAATTTCCCAGCTATAGCCAGGGTCTGCCTTACATGTTGTGAATAGTTTTGGCTATTTGTTTTTACGACCGGCCGCCTGCCTGATATCAACCCTCTTTTGGGAATCAACATTAATCAGCGATGTCTAAATACTCTCAGAAAGTACATATGATTTGAAAAAAACACATTGGTACTTGCCCGGGCCAGGATCGAACCCGCGCCCTCGTGCATGAGAGGCGGGCCTTTTAACCACTAGGTCACCACTGATTCTAATACATAATTCACCTTAATACATAAAAACACTCATATCATTTGAAATATTTCATATGGCAACTATTTAGTTACCTTTATTGTAATTTAACATCTGTTGATATTATTAAAAGCTTTATACTCTTAACTTATAAAGTATATTTAATAGACAAATTTAATTTATCATCTATATATTATAATATATAGATGATAAATTAAATTAAATTATTATTTGATGTTCGCTGACGATAAAAAAGTCTACTGTAAAATAAGATCAGTCGAGGATTGCCTTAAATTACAAGATGATCTAAATGCCCTGACAAAATACTACGCGAAAAACAGAATTACAGTAAACATTAAGAAATGTCATTATACAACTCTGACTCGTAAAAAAACAAAAATTAATTTCGACTATAAAATCAATGGCACGACCATTACTAAAAAATCCACCGTTACAGATCTAGGCATTATAATTGATACTAAACTTTCAATGATTGAACACATTGACGCAGTAGCAAATAGGGCGTACAAACAACTTGGTTTTATTAAGCGAGCAACGCAATCATTTAAAAATATTGAATGCATAAAAATACTCTACTTTGCATACGTTCGAAGTATCTTGGAATATGCAAGTAGCATAAGGTCACCCTTATATAAAAATCATATTCAGAGACTCGAATCCATACAATATAAATTTCTCAAATACTTAGCGTACAAAGATTTTAATATATTTGACAGTTATGAAGAAGCCTGTATTAATTATGAACTAGATTCGTTAGAGCAGAGACGGAATCAAAAGGATATGCTGTTACTACAAGCAATTTTAACTGGTACGATGGATTGCCCCAGTTTGGTGTCAGCATTTTCTCTAAATGCCTCCTCATTTAGATCGCGAAACCCCCATCTACTAGTTGTTCCTAAATGTAACACAAATTATGCAAAAAGTTCTATAAGTGTACGTCTAGCACGAACATACAATAAATTATTTTCACATTTAGATCTGTTTCACTTATCAAAAAAACAATTAAAGAATCAAATTATACTATCTTACCGCCAAAAATAAACACGCACACACCCACACGCATACACACACACACACACACACACACATACACACACACACACATACACACACACACACACACACACACACACACACACACACACACACACACACACACACACACACACACACACACACACACACGCACATAAAAATACCCATATACCTGTTGTTGCATGCCTTAACAATTATTTTCTTTACACCTACTCTCTTTTTGTTATCCACTTTGTTAAAAATATTATATTAAACACTTTACAATGTAATCTCTGTGGCCATAGTCTTAATGAAGTTTTAAAAACTGTACAAATATAATCTGTATATGCTGTTGATTACAAATAAATAAATAAATAATTAAATGGACATATTTACAACAAAATTGCAGTACAAATTTCAACTATATTAGAAAAACCTATTCTTAATAGCAGTATAAGACTTGTTACAAAATGTTAATTATCTTTTAAGACATAACTAAAAAAATGTAGTTAAAGTATACATATTGTTATTAGAAAAACAATGTAATTATTTAAGTTATTTTTATATTACCAGAGCTCGGATGACGAGCCTCGTGAAGAAAAGGATCACTTCGTGGCTCAGCTGTACAAGTTCATGGATGACCGAGGAACACCACTCAACAGAAACCCAACCATCGCCAACAGAGATATTGATTTATATAGACTGTTTAGAGTAAATATTAACCATAAACCACGATTTATTCTTAAAATTAATATTGCCATATACAAATTTATTATGTAAGGCAACATTAACATTGAATTCCTATATTGAAATTTAATCATTTCATTTATTGTAAAAATGTATTTGAATTTTGTCTATCAAATTAGTTACACAGATTACGAGCGAGATGTCCATACATAAGTATGTTATTCTTAAAAATACGCTCTAATTACTTGGAAATGTGCATTGATGAATAATACCTATTTTTTGTAATAAATACAAATAGTTTTCATAAAACTTGCTGGAAGGTAATGTAAGCAAAACATACATAAATTCAATTAAAAGTACATTGTTCGATTTATGATAGAGTAGTAAAACATATGTAGTATACAGGGTGACTGGTGAATTACTACCAATATTTAAGGAGAATACTGGATACATATGTAAAAAGAATAGGTACTTAATTTTTGACCAAATTTCCGTATAAATAAATAAAGTGTGGACACGCTCCAAGTGTTCCAAGTGTGGACGCGCGCAGCGGCGTGCTGATACAACAGCACGCCGCCGCACGCGCGTGTGTGTGTGTGTGTATACCTAATCTGTAGGGTGTTCACACGATGCGTAATTAATTACATAACTTTTGGTTAACTTTACTTAGAAGTTTATTAATATTTATGTTATATTAATTTTTATTTTGTCATATATGATCGTCAAATATCACGTCCTCAAGTATCAATAGTAATTCACCAGTCACCCTGTATAGTATATAACAAATTGTATGTATTAATTTATTTGTTATTATATAGGTGGTACAAAAACTAGGAGGCTACAATCGCGTTACGAACCAAAACCAGTGGAAGACGATAGCTGACAAAATGGGTTTTCATCCAGTCACCACTAGTATTACTAATCTGTGCAAGCAGGCTTATAAAAAGTAAGATATTAAAAAAAATATTATAAAAAATTGTAACCATTTGACTTAAAAACAAATTATTATTGATTTCAAACATATGAGAAATCTTACTGTGAAGAACAGAAAGATATTTTTCTTAATTCTATATAATAAGAGATAATGTGAATCTTAATATAAAAGAATGTTAGCTACACTAATTATAACTCAAAAATGACTGTAACAGGTTTGGCTAAAATTAGTAGATACTAGATATAGTTTAGAACAAGCAAAAGGATATACATGTCATCTGATGGGAAAAGAAAAATATAAGTTGATCAAATCCAAAATCTCCTTATCTATTGTTTAAGGAGGAGTAGAGTTCTAAAGCAGACGAAGTCGCGTGTAAAAACTAGTATAATAAAGGAAAGGACATAGGATACTTTTCATTTTATTGAAAAAGAAAAAAAAAGTTGATCAAATCCAAAATCTTCTAATATATTGTTTAAGGAGAAGTAGAATTCTAAAGCAGACGAAGTCGCGGGTAAAAAGTAGTATATAATATATCTTATATTATTCCAGGTTCCTACACAGCTTCGAGGACTTCTACCGTAAGCTGGGCGTGACGCTGGTGGCGCACCCTCGTGGCGCGCGCACGCCGCCCGCCGGCCGCTCGCTTATCAGGGACAGAGACAAGCTGCCGCCCGCAGCCTCGCCTTCTACACCCGGCACGCCCGGACAGGTAGACTATAGAAGAATAGACTGTAGAAGAAATAGATTTAATTATTACCACTATGGCAACACTTATGGACTAAATAGGTGCGCCCCGCGGTGTTACCCGCGGATTTCCGGGATGTAAAGTAGCCTACGTGTTATTCCTGGACGTCAGCTTCATGTATACAAAATATTATCAAAATCGGTTCAGCCGTTTGAGCGTGAAGAAGTAACAAACATACACACACACTCACAAACTTTCGCAATTATAATATAACCTAGTAGGATAATTTCACAAATATAAGATTGAAATCACCAACCCGTCTTGAGTAAACGTGATGATTAATGCTCAAACCTTCTCCATGTGAGAAAAGGACTTTACTCAGCAGTGGGCTCTGATAGGCGGATGATGGCGACGATGGCAACACTTAAAGATAACGAATGATGGTATCCATTATCCAGAGCCGTAAAAATATTTACAAAAAAAACACGAATGATGAATGGAAGAATCTGTAGACATAGATCTGATTATTACCACGCTTTGATTGTAACACACTCCTTTGAAACGATTTGGACTCCCTTTGATCAGTTAGATTTCTTTTAAAAAATGTTTTCTTCTTTTTATTTCGGTTTAATTCAAAAACCGTGTTTTGTTAGTGGTTATTCAATTTAAGCAAGTTTATTATATGTGTAAAAATAAATTACATATATACACTTAAATTTATAATAATATGATGTAATAGAGCAAGATTTCAATATGACACTTAAAACTAACAGTGACTAGTTAATTATTCAACTTTATTGTGACTTCATTCATTGTTTTGGTCAAAGTTATAAAATTTGCCACTCAATATATTGATTTCATCGTTTATAGTATGAACAAATTACAAATGTATATCTATAATATTAATTATTATACTTGCAGCGCAAAGACAAAGATTCAGACAAAAGCGAGACGGAAAAGAGTGATAAGAGTGACAAGAGTGAGAAAGAAGATAAAGTTGAGAAACAGGAGAAGAAGGAAAAACCTCGCGCCAGTGACGAAGATGACAGCGGGGACAACCAGCCGTTGATAACTACTACACCCAAGTTAGTGAGGTTTAACTTAATCCCTGATGGGTTAAAACACAGTATCTAATATGAATTTTCCATTTTTATATAGAACTTAATAGCAAAATAACTGCTATTCACAAAATACATATAACTGTACATATATATACTATTGAGATGATGTTATTAAAATTAGAGTAAGATTTCTATAAAGATAATATATTTCTATTAGAACGAAAACCTAACAGTTTTACATATAAGTTCTCAGTGATGCACAATGTTGCCAGTTAACAGTTTTATCTTAAAACTATTTAATATAATAAAATTTATAATGTAATATATACAAAAATAACAGCCGTATGTTGGGAGTAATCTCTAATAAGGCAGAACTAATTTTGATGGTATTTACGCGAACTTATAGCTGTTGTAATAAGACATAATTCAGACTTGTTTTATATCACTTTTTCTTATCAATATAAAAATTAAAAACAATAATTTTCTTGTGACCGAAGTTACACTGAAAATAACAAATTAGGCTTCTGATGCAATTCATTAACAATTTGACTGTTATCGTATATTTGATATTATTTGTAGAATCGAAAAGGACAAGGAGAAAGAGAAGGAAAAAGAAAAGGAGAAAGAAAAGGATCGAGAAAAAGAAAAAGATATCGAAAAGGATAAAGAAAAAGATAAAATTGTACCAAGTGAAGATAAGAGTACAGTTAAACCTAGATCACAGTCCAAGACGCGGAGCCTGCCGCCCGTCAAGAACGAGTCACACGAGAAAAGAACTACGAAAAGGAAGACGCTATCTTCTAAATGTTTGTATCGTTAAAGCATTTTAATAATATTTTTAACAAATTTTCGTCAATATTTCTTACAAAGAAAACTTCATATAACCATCAAATAGTTAATACAATAAAATTAATACTCTGATTACACTTTCGCTAACTAAATAATTACTGTATAATATTTTTTTTGATATTTTATTTAATAAATATTTAATAAAAAAGAACCTTCATGAAACAGTATATACTTTAATATTATGTTGACTAACTAAATTAATAGTCATTTGTTTTATAATATATATTATGTATGATATTAATTTTCCAATCTTCTAGTAGGTGAGAGCAGCGGCAATACATTAAGAGCGTCTCGCAGGCCCCACGTGTCTACAGACAGCGATAGTTCCGGTAGAGCTTCAAGGTACATAATAAAACTTATACCAAAAACTATCTTCTTCTTCTTCTACCTGGCAATTTCCCAGCTTTAGCCAGGGTCTGCCTTACATGTTGTGAATAGTTTTGGCTAATTGTTTTTACGACCGGCTGCCTGCCTGACATCAACCCTCTTTGAGAATGCTTTAATCAGTGATGTCTAAATACTCTTAGAAAGTACATAATATGACTCGGAAAAATCACATTGGTACTTGCCAGGATCGAACCCGCGCCCTCAAGCATGAGAGGCGGGCCTTTTAACCACTAAGCCACCACCGTCTAACACATATCAAACACTATATTTGTATGAACATATCTCAGTAACTTTAGTATTGAGAATTGTATAATATATTGTCCTTATAGATGTGGCCCAACGAAGAAAATGCAGAATCGTCGGAGCCAGAGCGCTAATTCAGCGAGCAGCGGTAACACTATCGCTTCAAACAGTAGCAAGAGACCGCGGAAAAGGAAGAACACTGAGTATGTATATATAGTTTAGTATATACAGGAGAAACTCGATTAACCGGACTAATTGTTGTCGATAGGCATTCGGATAATCGAAAATCCGGATAATCGAATGTATGAAGAAGAGACGGTTTTGTGCATATATTATATTAGTTTATTAAAAAAAAGTACATGTATGTACTAAAAACTGCAGATTTTAATGATGAATTATAATAATAAGTTTAATTTGGTTTAGAATATATGGTAATTGTCATTTGACGCACGCCACTCTCAACAACACCACTCTCTTACGCTTGGACATATCTTTTTTGTCCGGACTTGTCCGTAGTCCGGATAATCGCGAATCCGTATAACTGAGGGCCGGATAATCGAGTTTCTACTGTACATTAAATTATATATTGTGTTTAGACATAAAAAACTATTTATAGAAAAAGATTTTTACATGTGGTCTTCAAGTATACAGGGTGACTGGTGAATTACTATCAATATTTAAGGAGCATACTCGGTACATGATTCTCATTCGAATTATGTAAAAAAAATAGGTACTTAATTTTTAACCAAATTTCCGTATAAATAAATAAAGTGTGTACACGTTCCAAGTGTTCCAAGTGTGGACGCGTGCGGCGGCGTGCTGATACAACACTACGCCGCCGCCGCGTCTGTGTGTGTGTGTGTATACCTAATCTGTAGGGTGTTCATACGATGCGTAATTAATTACATAACTTTTGGTTAACTTTATTTAGAAGTTTATTAATATTTATGTTATATTAATTTTTATTTTGTCATATATGATCGTCAAATATCACGACCTCAAATATCGATAGTAATTCACCAGTCACCCTGTATATACACTTTTATAATCGAGATATACCATTTGTGAACAAGAGACATATAATTTGTTATTAAAATTAATATTTTGTATTACAGATCATCAAACAATGAACCAGCCAGATCGTCCGGACCCAGTGTGAAAGCTCAAGTCGGTGACAAACTTAAAGTATACTATGGTCCCACACAATCAGAATCAAAGGTGATCTACTATTTATTATCATACTTCTAAGAAATCATTAAATATATATTATTTTTAACTAGCTGCGCCCCGCGGATTTCCGGGATGTAAAGTAGCTTATATATTATTCCTGGACGTCAGCTTCCCGTATACAAAATTTTATCAAAATCAGTTCACCCGTTTGAGCGTGAAGAAGTTACAAACATACACACACACTCACAAATTTTCGCAATTATAATATTAGTAGGATTGTAGGAATATTTTTAAGTATGGAAAATAGTATATTGTTTAAATATAAATGTTTCTTTGTTATTATTTATGCTAAGTTTATTAAAATATTATGTTTTATTTGACCAGGTAACATATGAAGCGAAAGTCATTGAAATATCATCAGAAGGTATGCTTCGTGTACACTACACGGGTTGGAACACTCGCTATGATGAATGGATTAAACCGCAGAGGATTGCTTTAAATGTTACACAACATGATCAAAGAAATAAGAAGGTAGGATATAATATTATATATATCGTCAGGGATAGTGCAAATCCGCGTAACTACCATTGGATAATTCCGCGTATCTACATTGTAAGCAGATTATGAGAAGAAAGTTTGAGCTTAAAAATATTTTCTATATTAACGACTTTTAAGGTAATTACTATAATTACTAATTGTGGAAAAATTACCTCAAAAGTTGTTAATATAGAAAATATTTCAGCTCAAACTTTTTTCTGATAATCTGCTTCCAGTGTAGATACGCGAAATTATCCAATGCTAGTTACGCGGATTTACACTATCCTTGACGATATCTCTGTAACTAATAAACATCTATATAATTATTATTGAATAACTTTTTTTTTGTCAAGTTATTGTAAATATTACTAATTATATTTCCTTGTTTCAGGGAACTAATCTAAGCAGACGCTCTCGAAGCAAACGCACAGAAGGTTAGATACATTTTCAATAATAATTTTAATATAGTTTATAACATGTTTACAATATATTGATTTATTTAGTTATGTTTTCAGAATCGTCCGCTCGCTCTGACAGCGACACTGATTCAGACAGCGACGCGAGCGTTAAGAGACCACCAAAAAAATCTGACGACAAATCTATTAATAAAAGTAAGTTATTCCTTCACCTTTCAATGTAAATACGTAAAAGAAGGTTGTATTAGTTGCACTAGTTATAACTCAAGAACCTCTGTAAGGATATGGTTCAAAATTGGTGGATGATAGCTTAGATCCAGAAGATGGACATAGGATACTTAATTCTGTTCGAACGAAAAAGAAAAACTTAATAAATTCCAATATCTGATTATTTATAGCCTTCAAGGCCGTACAGATATCGCGCCCGGTCAATTATACATGTAATATACATCACTAATTGTAATTAATTCTATTGTTTTTGTATATGAAATTATTATTTAATTACTATTAATTGTTTCACAGCACCTTCAAGATCAAAAGATACGAAATCAAGCGACAGCAGTAGTTCAAGTAAACCGAGAAAGAGGCCGGTGAGGACTGTATCGACTCCCGTGATGACGTCACCAGCTAAGAAACCCAGGATCAGCGTGTCGAGCCAACATCAGGGACGAGACTATGACCTGAACGAGATACGATCAGAACTAAAAGGACTACACTCAGTCAAACAAGAGGCAGATGATACTGGGAAAACAGATATAGCGCAGGACTCCATCATGAATCCTATAACTCAGCCGCAAGAAATACCCGAGAAACAAGCAGAGGATGTTTACGAGTTCAAAGAACCGGAACCTTTTGAGCTTGAGCTCCACGATGAGAAGAAGAAGCGAACTCATCGTATTTTCGATGATATTTCGCCAAGTAAATACACATCGACGCTGTCCAAGTCGCTGAGTGAAGAAATATCTGAGGAACCGTTGAGAGTTAGGCCGTCTTCATTCAGATCACCGTCCTTGTCACCGTTTAGAGACTTCGGGTCTAGTCGAGACGTACCCAGCAGGCAGAGTCCGGAAGATGATTCCAATAACGCTCTTTTTTCCCTCGATGACGATTCATTCCCCGGGGAAGGCAGTTCCGGGCCAATCTTCGAAGGTTTCACACCAGCGAAGAATCAAGAGACGTATTCTAAGAAGAGCAAAGTGTCCAAACTACGGCAGTTGATTGACGACTCACCGGACAGTCCGGCTGATGACGAACAGTCTTCAGACGATGAACCAGAACCGATCGTTAAGGAAGAGAGGCAACCCAGCCCGGTGATTAAAGTAACGGAAACTAGTAAACAGACGGAAATAAAGATGATCAAAGACGAAATAAAAACTCAAGAAACTAAAAAAGAAGTGACGGTCGTGAAAGAAATACCACTAGCACAGAGTATACCAGAACCGCCCAGTACACCACCACCGAAACCAAAACTAGAAGCTGCTAAACCGAAATTAGAACTTCCCAGCCTAATCATAACAGCTGCAACTTCAAAGGATAAAGAAGAAAAGAAGATTGAGAAAATTATAAAGGAAGAAGTGAACGAAAAAATAATGAAGGAAACGATCATGAATATACCGTTACCAGAACCTAAAGAGCTACCGAAGATAAAAGTAGATCCGGAACTATCCTCAATAATGGAACCGCCGTCGAGTCCATTGATTGATACGGAGGAAGACAAGTCTGAACCTGACAGTCCGGCGAGGATCGACGTACTCCCAGAACCACCGCCGGGCTTCCTGCTACAATCAGAAGGACCTAAAATAGCAGAGAAACTACTTAAAGCCATCAACAGCGCTAAAAGACTATCAATCTCGCCACCTCCAGTCGACGATAGACCCGACACGCCCAAAAAAGATGTTATCATAGAAGATAAAATATCACCAATATTAGAGAAACGACCGCCGAGCAAACCGGAGTTAATGAAACCATTGAAGCTTGATCCCATCAAACGATCCTCCCCAGCTGACACAACCGACTCTATATTCGGCGAACCGTCCAATCTAACTGACATAAAACGAGATCTATCAGACATCAAGAAGATAAAACCTAAAGAAAATACACCGCCTCGCTTACAGAGTCCGCTTAATATATTGGAGAGGAGGAAAAGCGTCGCCGACCTGCCGCTGAGCGCGCCCGGGAAGAATAAGGTTCTCAGCGACACTATACAGAAACTGTCGAGTCAAATCAACCAGTCAGTAGCCGCGGCCAGTATACCGCTACCACCCTTTCCGCCCGAAGACAGGAGCGAATCCAGTGATTCAGACGATTCTGATAGAAGGTATGACAATAACACGGTTTTGATATACAGGGTGACTGGTGAATTACTATCAATATTTAAGGAGAATACTCGGTACATGATTCTCATTCGAATTATGTAAAAAAATAGGCACTTATTTTTGACAAAATTTCCGTATAAATAAATAAAGTGTTGACACGTTCCAAGTGTTAAAGTGTGGACGCGTGCGGCGGCGTGCTGATACAACACTACGTCAAGACACGCGTATGTGTGAGTGTGAGTGTATACCTAATCTGTAGGGTGCTCACACGATGCGTAATTAATTACATAACTTTTGGTTAACTTTACTTAGTAGTTTATTAATATTTATGTTATATTAATTTTTATTTTGTCATATATGATCGTCAAATATCACGTCCTCAAATATCGATAGTAATTCACCAGTCACCCTGTATATTTAAGTTATATAACACTCAGTCAGTGGTGTCCTAGTGGTTAAAGGGCCCGCCTCTGGTTGCCGAGGGCGCGGGTTCGATCCTGGCCCGGCAAGTACCAATGTGATTTTTCTGAATCATATGTACTTTCTAAGACTATTTAGACATCACTAATTAATGTTGATTCCTAAAAGAGGGTTGATGTCAGGCTGGCGGCCGGTTGTAAAAACAAATAGCCAAAACTATTCACAACATATAAGGCAGACCCTGGCTATAGCTGGGAAATTGCCAGGTAGAAGAAGATAACACTCGATGAACATTTAAGCATCAGGTTACAGAGTTCCACATCAACATCATTGACTAACACGTACAATATTTAAATGAAACTAATATTTTTCGGATTATACTATGCGATTTTATTCTGTAAAAAAAAACTACATACTCCCGAACTTTCGGCCACTTTACAGCAACCGTGATCACGGGCAGACGGGATGAAAAATCTTAAATCTCATTACGTACAATCTTCTACCTGGCAATTTCTCAGCTATAGCCAGGGTCTGCCTTACATGTTGTGAATAGTTTTGGCTATTTTTTTTTACGAACGGCCACCTGCCTGACATCAAACCTGTTTGGGAATCAGCATTAATCAGTGATGTCTAAATACTCTTAGAAAGTACATATGACTCGGAAAAATCATATTGGTACTTGCCAGGATCGAACCCGACAACGAGAGGAGGGCCCTTTAGCCACTAGGCCACCACGAATATTAATATTACGTCAATATTATTTTTAAATAATTACAATATTGAATAAAAATGACTAATAAACTCTTTATACGATACAGGTTGATAATCGACAAGCTGTCAGTGGAGGAGTGGGCTGGTGGTAGTGGTAGTGGGGGCGGAGTCACCACCAACGTACCGCTCGCGAGGACACAGACCGCCGTGAGGGCGCTGCACGCGGGGAAGTCCCCGGGCGAGTGGAGCGCGGGGGAGTCCCTGCTCATGCTGGAAGATGCTTGTAAAAACGAACGGAAACACAGTGAGTTACAATAGTTTATCATTCAAAATGTTTATAGTTAAAAAATATTAATAACGACGTTAGACTTATTTTAAGTTAACATATTCAACCAATGTTAAAATTATTATATTTAAGATCGAAAAAGACATCAAATATGTAATAAATATTCAAAATAACTACATATACTAAACTATCACAATAAATAATGTATTATTTCTTCCTACAAAAAATACATCTAATTACTATACTTTTAATTTTACTAACTTATCCAGGCGCAAGCGTAGTAGTAGCAGGTGGTACACGGCCGTCGGGGTCCGCAGCTACCCCAATGGTAGGTCCTGAAGAGGACAGCTGCGCCTTATTACTGTGTGAGGAGACGATCCCGGGGTCCCCTGCACCGGACACGGAGCCCGCGCCCCCCACACGAGCCCTGCACCTACCCTTCGCCTGCACGCCGCAACACCACCCCCAGAATACACACTCACATAAAGGTTCATATCAATCAATAATAATATATTGTTCATTAAATTCTGATTTAATTGAATACTTTAATTCCTTCATCTTTGATAATAGGTGAATGGAAAATATTTTAATTTTTAATTTAATATGTGTTGCTTAGTCAAATATGACTTTTTTGTCCTAGAAATATTTTATGACTGGGACTCTTTTTAAAACAGTTCTTCGTCAGAAATGTTCCAAGGTATCAGCGAACTTTAATATCTACTTCAGTTAAAAACATTACTCTACAACAGTCGGATTAAGTTACGTCTATTTAACCAGTATGTATGTTGTATAGCGGAGGAGCGGCGAGGGTCCGGTGGGTCAGGATCAAGTGGTGCTGGTGTGTCCGGTGTGTCAGGAGTGTCCGGTGTGTCGGGAGTGTCCGGTGTGTCAGGCGCTGCCGGGGACGAGTGGTCACGACGAAGGGCGCTCCTTGACAACACGCCGCCAACCACACCTGATAGCAGCCTCGACCTATCGCCAAGGTGATTAATATTACATTATATAAATACTAGCTTACACCACATACTTAGTGGAGTTCGGTTATATCGCGTTTCCAAGAGAACCTTTCAAAAGTCTGGGATAAAAACTATCTTATGTTCTTTTTCAGGGTCAACTCTATGTCTGTACCAAATTTCATTCAAATCAGTTCAGTGGTTTAGGTGTGAAAGCGTAACAGACAGAGTTAATTTCGCATTTATAATATTAGTAGGGATGATAACAAATATTTACTCATAAGACACTTTTTACTCAAAACGTTGGTATGGGACTACATATATCATTTTTACATTAAGACTTGATAATATCAAATATAATATTTCTAAGATTAGAATTATAGTATTAATTATCGTATGTTTTTCAGGGAGCGACGTATTTCAGAGCGAGACAGTCCGTCTGACAGAAAGGAAGATGATGAAGACGCTCCGGTACAAGACTCATGCGTCGCGGACATCGACAAACCACATAGTATGTATTACTTGAAACTTACATTTCTACATATATTTTTTGTACAATGTAATTTGTTTTTCCGTGTTTATTTATGAATAGTTAATGATTTGAATTATAATTTTTTCTCATACATAACTTCATTATAAGCTTAAACTGTTTGACTGGCAGTTATTTCAAAAACATTATTTATATCAAACAATAAGCGATCTTAACTCATATATACATATAGTCCGAAATAATAATAATATTTGAAATATTTAAATATTATATTTACTTATTATCAGGCAGCGGTCGTTCCCGCAAGGCTTCGGAGTCTTCAGGCCGCACGAGAACAAGGCGGAGACGAGACACGGACGACACTCACGCGCCGCCCGCACTCAAATATAACTTCTATGTGGACCTCGGTATGTATTATATGTATATATACTGGCTGCGCCCCGCATCGTTACCCGCGGATTTCCGGGATGTAAAGTAGACTATGTGTTAGTTGTTATGGACATACGTCAGCTTCCTGTATACAAAATTTTATCGAAATCGGTTCAGCCGTTTGAGCTTGAAGAAGTAACAAACATGCACACGCTCACAAACTTTCGGAATTATAATATTAGTAGGATATATATATGAGTGTGTGTGTTATTACCCTGGTGGTTCTCCAGAAGAGAGCTCAGAAATAAATGTATGAACTGTGTTAAAGCGATATATTATACGGTATTCAACGGAAGCGACATCTATATATCATATAATTTCATTCAAAATACAACTTGATTCAACGAAATTTGGGTACAAATTATACGTCATGTCTTATTCTGCACCCTGAGCCAGATAACTGTAAAGTTTGATCAACATCATTAAAGTAGTTATTGAGTGAAATAACTTCATATATCATTGCTAACCTACATTTATAATATTAGTGGAATTGAACAGTATTAACACCGTAATGTTGGCAATTTATGAATACAATCTTCCTTACTTTTGAAAATGCATATTTCTATATACCTGCACAAGTAACACAGTATAATACAATTAAAAAATTAATGTAATATAATAATTACAGTCACATATAACGTAACAGTTTTTGGGATCTTTTATTATATAAGAATAAATATATTTAACATTTTTCAATATAAATGTTATATTTATCTTCAGATCCGTCGTGGGATTGTCAGACTCGTATAAACGTTCTGTCGACTCGTCTATCCGATCTACGCAAGGCGTATCACTCAGTGAAGGCGGAGCTGGCTGCCATCGACAGGCGGAGGAAGAAACTACGGCGGAAGGAACGAGAAGGTAAACTACTAGCTGACACTACTAAAATAGATTTTATATATAAATAGAAAAAAATATATGTATATATATTGTGAGTCAATATGTGGTAAATGTGTGAAAGAAGCATGGAGCTCTAGCAACGTTAAAGGAATGAGAACTAAAATTTTGCGAGTATATATTTAAATGAAACTAATATTTTTCGAACTTCAATGCGTTATTTTATTATTTTAAACAACATACTACAAACGTTTCTGTTACTTTGTAGCCGTTTCTCAGACCTATTGACTATAATGTCATAAAAATCGGTTAAACGGTTTCGGAGGAGTATGGTGACCAACATTGTGAGGAGAATTTTATGTAAAAGATACCTATGTATATATGAAAAGCTTTTAATTACAGGTGTCCCATACTATCATGGACATCATTTCTAAATATATTTATAAACATAACACAAAAATAATAGTCGTTTTGCAACTTTTTGACCTGTATTTTTATTTCCAGCTATAAAAGCAGCAAAAGCCGCGTGTTCCTGATGAAGAATGCTTTAAGTCTGCTGTGCAGATGATCTCTGATTATATCCAATAATAATGGACTGGGCTCATTCGTTTTAGAATGAGCTATAATTTGGATAACATAGATTATATTGAAGATTTTTACAAATGTGTTGAAAGGATTTCAATCTGTGGAAAGAACTTATCATAGATTAGAATAAATAGATTGTCAATAAAAAATAAATAAAATCTGAGAGAATGATAAAGACAGAAATTTTAAATGCCTTTACTTAAAACACACAGGGTTGTGTGGAGGAAATATGTAAATTGTATGATAGACTATGCCTCAAGAAATGGCTATTATAATAATAATATAACTTTATGAGACAGCTTTTGAAAACTTAATAATGCATAGAAATTAATTATATTTAGGTTAAATTATTTTGTTTCCACTAATTTCGCAATTCTACCAACAATATTCTATATACACATAGAGTCTATGTCATAGAACTTAATAAATATAGTTTATTTATATGATAATTAATGCATTTATAAACAAGTGATGCATTGTTTATTCTCCAATAAAATAATTATAATAATAAAAATTGCAATTAATATGTACTTGTAAATGAAGAATACATTAGAAATTGTAATGTGTTTTAATTTAGATTTTATGAAAGGTGAAAATAAAAGTTGTAGATACATTTGTACCTATTGTTTGCAAACTTAGCTTAAGAGGTGTTGAATAAAACATTTTTTTTAATAAATTTATTTTTTTATTTTTTCATAACCTATAAACGGTGCCATAGCTTAATTAGAACGCATTCGCAAATTAGAAAAAAAAAATTTCATTTCCGTCATATTCAAATCAGCTTGAGCTAGTGTGATTAAAAATTAGTACAACAGTACTTGTGTCACTCGTGAAGGATGAGATGAAATCAAACTTGTGTTTCATTATTCTTAATTCTTAATAGTAGTTGGGGTACTGCGGCCAGGGGTGCGGGTGGTGAGGGTAGGGCCCCGCCGCCTGCTGATAGCCCCAGGGCGGCGTGTAAGGCTGCGCGTACGACTGGTCGTAGGACTGCGCAGTCGCCGCCGCGTTCTGGTAGTATTGGTTTGCGCTACTGGCTGTGGTCGTGCTGGTTGTGGTCGCACAGTTCTCTTTCTTCTTCGATGGATCCGCACAAGCACTGGGATGTTAAAATATAATTAAAAGTGATATATTATAAATATATTGGCAACTAAGATCAATTCTCAAAACCAATATGTCTTTCTCTAAAATTACATAATTACTCTCTGTAAGTCTCTTTTTGTAATTTTCATTAAAGTATTGGTTTTTTATATGTACAACAGAGAAATAAAAGACAAAGGAGATCCATTCAGGTTTCGTACATTTTTAGGCCTTTTCTGAAAGTGCCGGCCAACAAAAAAAAATGGTACGAAATAATGTACAAAAATGATGAATCATAGAACTTGTATAACTTCTATATCTTGGATCCTACAACTTTTGCGCCATATTAACTATTGCTCCAAATGGTTAGTTCTAAGAATATGTACCATTTTTTTTTTTTTGTTGGCCGGGACTTTCAGAAAAGGCCCAAAAGAATGATCTCCTTTAGTTTGTTTTTTAAATGTAGTGCACTCAGCGTGTTGTTGAGTGAGTGTGTGTGTGTGTGTGTGTGTGTGTGTGTGTGTGTGTGTGTGTGTGTGTGTGTGTGTGTGTGTGTGTGTGTGTGTGTGTGTGTGTGTGTGTGTGTGTGTGTGTGTGTGTGTGTGTGTGTGTGTGTGTGTGTGTGTGTGTGTGTTACTCACCCGTGATGGTGTGCGTCATGCTTGGCGGCCCGCGCCCTCTTCCTCATGTGTTTGTATAGTGTCCGTGCGTGTGTGTGTGCTTGTCTGGCGGAGGTCGCGTCTCCCAGCTCCTCGGCCAGTTCCCTCCTCCTCGCCGCCAGCGCCGTACTAGTCTCTATCTCTGCACCCTCTTGCTTCTCGTAGCTCATCAACAATTCTATTAACAAATGTACAGTTTTATATATAAAAAACAAGATTACAAATGGTAATAACATATTATAAATATTTTCTTAAGAAAATATTTATTTATGTGTTATTATGTAGTTTGAACAACAATAATTATATTAATTATTACACCTACATATTTTATAGGCTGGTTCAGCTAAATAACTAAAGGAACAATATAAACAATCAGTTTATATATTACATATGTTTCTATGATCATTACCTTCCAACTCCTCGTACTTGGTGCCAGGTGTGTGTAATGCCAGATCCAGCCGCTGCATGTGTATCCTGGCGTTGAGAGGGTCCTTAACTACCGCGTCATCCAACACCTTCCTCGCGGCTTCCGGTTCCCTCTTCACGTGAAACAGGAAGCGTGCGTATTTAATAGCTAGCGCGGATGCTATAGCTTTGTTTTTAGCTGATGAAATGTAACCTTCATACAACTGGACGCACTTGTCGTACTCCCCGCGACGCCGCTCGAGATTGATTCGCCTGTAAACGGCGAAAGTCTCATTAATCCTACTAATACTATAATTGCGAAAGTTTGTGAGTGTGTGTGTATGTTTGTAACTTCTTCACGCTCAAACGGCTGAACCGATTTTGATAAAATTTTATATACAGGAAGCTGACGTCCAGGAATAACACATAGGTTACTTTACATCTCAGAAATCCAGGAAATCCGCGGGTAACAACTAGTAACCATATATTTATAGAGGATGTAATAGACTGAGTTTTTAGAAATCATTGACACTTTTTTTCGATTTCCTTCATATCGTGAATAAGATGTTCTAGGCAATTCTGTGACCAAAATCATATTATTCCAATAATTACATTACATCACCTGTACTGTATCTGCACCAGGTTGGGGCAGGTCTTCTCGATCCTATCTAATATCTCAGCCGCACGACTCGTGTTTCCGTTCGCCTCCTCAAAGTGTGCCCAGTGCAGATGTAACTCAGGCTTGTCTAGATGATGTACGGTACACGCTCGCTCTAGAGCATCCCGTTGGAGAGGAATCACTGATGGGTCCGACGCTGCATGTTCTTCTAGGAACTTTATTAACTGTCAACAATAGAGTAAGTTATACTTCATTAAGCTGCAAAAAAAAAACAGATTCAAACAAAACAATATTTGTTTTAGATAGTTAAGAGTTAGTTAACAGCAACAAGTTTTTATTTCATATTATGTATCCTTTAATAAAATGATATTCGGTCCCTAGTAGGTTCTTTTCAAATTTGGTTAGGTAGAGAGGAACTTGGACAGTGGAGGTGAGCGTTTTTCGCGAGTTAGATAAACCTGGGTCGCAAGTCCCAGACACTGTTTAAGCTCCTCTCCCTGCAATGATAAAGGTAAATAAATCCATTGAATGCTAAGAGGTTTCTCTCATAAATAAGACAATTATCATTCAAGAACGTTCTGGAACTTGTAACATATAGTAAAGTAAATCACCCGCATCCAGAATTCTTCATACAGTGCGCACGCTATGAGACACCGTTCGTGTAACACCAACGCTCGTTTAAATGATCCGTGCTGCTTCTCCCACTCGAGGTACGCCTTCCAGTTCTTCAACTGACATCTCTCTAGAGGCTTGACGTGGAAGTATGGCCGTTTTATCTACATACAGACATTGCAACAAATTATAATAAATATGTAAATTTTATTGAAATATCAGTGTATACATACTGTTTCCTGTTTTTGCTGGATGTTTTTAAAATTCAATTTTAGAACACAATTAGATTTTTTTCTACGTAATTTATTGTCTATGGGCATACTATATTGATGCTTACAATATATCAATGTTATGTGTTGCTTTGTTGAAATAAATTTTTTCAGTTGATTTCTGATAGTTCGGTTTAAAGACATTTATTTTCTCATAAAGAACACAAAAGTTCACTCATAATAAGAAATTACAATAATTTTGCATGAGGGTACATTTAAAAGTCTACCTTATGAATTATATACAGTGAAATAAAATGTTGCGGGTAGTTATATTACACAAACATGTTTAGGTAAGGTTTACATAAGATTATAAATTATTTTGCACATATTCCATTACACGTTTTTTGAATATAGGAAAACTCTTGCTATCAATGATTGAGTCTGATAATTTGTTATAAATTGGAACTCCTTCTTCAAATAAGATGTTTTTCTTTCCATAGTTGGTTCTGGTTTTTGGAAGTTCTAGTTTATTACGTTTTCTAGTGTGGTATGCATGTGTTTCTTTTTGAAAGTGTAATTGTGAATGTGTTTTATTTCTTATTATTTTTCTAATCAATATACATGTTTTTAAAGCATATGGTGGTGGTGATTTATATTTAAAAAAAATTGTTTTTCTGTATAATTCAACGGATGGCGTCATATAATCATACTTATAAAGAACTTTAATAATTTTATTTTGTAAGGTTTGTAATGTCTTTATGTTAGACTTCGCTGCAGTTGCCCATATCTCAATAAGATATTCAATATGAGGTTTTACTAAAGAATTATAAATAATAGGACGAATTTTAGTAGGTATACACATAAGGAAATTTTACGTAGTGCTTCTATCAAAGGGGATATTTTATTTTTTAGATGATCAATATGATATTTTATTTTTAGGCGCGAAGATCATATGATGTCTTTTTGGTATTAATAGTTAATAAATTATAATTAGATATAAGTTATATTCTATACAAAACACAATCTTACCCCTTCTTCAAATGCCCACCTGGCCGCTACTTCTTCTCCAGTCGTCTTGTGAACTTTTCTTCGCGCTGCTATTATTCGCTCTTTGATAGCTTGAGCCTCGTCTTCTGAAGCCTGAGTATTAAGAAATACTTTTATATTAACAATAATATTTCATCAAACTTTTTTCGCGTGTAATACTTGTGAGTTTTCTATGTCACCTTGATTTAACATTAAAAAAATACTTTTCTTTATTACTATTGTATTTAGACCTTATGTTTTGTTGATACATTTCTACGAGTAGACGGACTTTTTTACGTATATTCTCTGAATTTGTTAATGCTAGTCACCTCTTGAGGTATCTTAGAGGCAGAATGGGGATGAAACCACTGGTCAATCTAACGCATACTACCGCTCATCAACGCGAACGAAATAGTTATACGATCCAAATATTAAGACCAGGTTGTTTCCTACCCACAAGGTCAAAATATCCTAAGATAGGTAGTCCGACAATTCTACTACAATGAATAAAAAATGTTATTGACAATGAACACATTTTTTTTCAGAAGGAAAGGTAATAACTAGGGCCCGGATAAATATGTATTAAAAAATCTAAAATATGTACATAAAATATGGAAAAAATATGGAATATAAAATACTTTCATAATGAAACATTGTTCTACTATAAGAAAAGGGTCACTCGTGACGTACATCGTTAAGTTACATTTAAGAAACGATGAAAAAAAATAGCGAAATATTTGTTTCAACAAAAAATAAGTTTTATTCAACTCCCATTACACTAGCCTTATCAAATTGGTTGCAATACACAATGACGTGCTTCTTAAAATTATCAAAATGAAAACTGATCATTTGGTCGACATATAGCATTACATCTTCTGATTGGTCTCATCTCAAGTCATATGACGTGATGGGTGAATACTTAAACATGCTTAATTCAGTAATTGTGTAAGCCATGTCTACAGCCCTCGAAACTTTAACACAGCATTTTGTTAATTTTTTTAGCGTATAAAATCCTTTATTTTATCCAAAACATTAGTGGCGGGAAAGTAAATTTTTATGTATTTTTGTGAATATATGGGTGATTGTGACATTTTCTTATAAAATATGGACTTAACTTTGAAATATGGAAAATAAAAGTTGGTTTTTCACAGTCTAAATATTACAGTCCATGTAAAAACACATTCTAGACCGAAAATCGCGTAAATTAAAAATATGTATTTACATATTAATCCGGGCCCTAGTAATAACAATCTATATATGATATGAAAAAAAGTTAAAAATAACAGAGTTATTGACATAAATTCTTATTACAATTTTTTATTTAGTCATTTATTAAGACATTCTAACTTGCTTGTCACGAGACTTATCTGTGCTTATATATCTCGTGTATGTCTCGTCAGTCGCGACCAGGCCCAACTCACCACTCATATACTCTAAATGAGTAGCTTAAGTGATAGTGCTACATATATCTATCTTCTCCTACCTGGCAATTTCCCAGCTATAGCCAGGGTCTGCGTTACATGTTGTATATAGTTTTGGCTAATTGTTTTTACGACGGGCCACCTGCCTGACATCAACCCTCTTTGGGAATGCATTAATCAGTGATGTCTAAATACTCTTAAAAAGTACATATGGCTCGGAAAAATCACATTGGTACTTGCCAGGATCGAACCCGCGCCCTCGTGCATGAGAGGCGGGCCTTTTAACCACCCGGCCACCACTGACTTAACTGCTATATAAATCTATATTGGTGCAAGTGACGTGTCACATACTATATGGTCAGCGGGCTCGTCCTCGCCGGGGGGCAGGTCGGGCGGCGGCTGTGCGGGGGCGGAGTCCCTCACCTCGGCGCGGAGACGCACGAGCTCCTCGGCGGACACCGCCCCGCAGGCCGGCTCCGACATCACGTGCTCCTGGAAACTATACACACTTACGGTTACACCATAATATATAATATTATGTATAATATATATACAAACAAAATATGTGTCTATTTGAAATCTCAAAATAACTACAACTATACAGGGTGACTGGTGAATTACTATCAATATTTGAGGACGTGATATTTGACGATCATATATGACAAAATAAAAATTAATATAACATAAATATTAATAAACTTCTAAGTAAAGTTAACCAAAAGTTGTGTAATTAATTACGCATCGTATGAACACCCTACAGATTAGGTATACACATACACTCACACACACGCGGCGGGGGCGTGGTTTTGTATCAGCACGCCGCCGCACGCTTCCACACTTGGAACACTTGGAACGTGTCAACACTTTATTTATTTATACGGAAATTTGGTCAAAAATTAAGTACCTATTTTTTTTTACATAATTCGAATGAGAATCGTGTACCGAGTATGCTCCTTAAATATTGATAGTAATTCACCAGTCACCCTGTATATATATTTTTCTCAATATTTTTCTCTCACACTTCTTGTCTGTCTATTCCTTTCAACCAATCTCAAAAACAGCTACACCTGTTTCAAAATACTTTCACTCGTATATAGCTGATGTTACGAGTAACTTAATCCTTAACTTAATATTTCAGATTTTCCTTGTTTCTATTGATATAAGAAAACAAAACACTTTTCAAGGAGGAGGAATAAGTTTAAGTCAAAATACAAACTCCTACAACTTCAATTACCAAAATGTATATACTTATTTACTACTAAACATAGTTAAGTAATAACGTTTGTTTCCGTCATACTTGTCAAAATGCGAGGTGTATCCCAGTGTCGGCGTGGCCAGCAGCCGGTCGTATATGTTGGTGACGTTGAGAGCCGAGCCGTTCTCCGCCTCCCACTTGATGTAGGACTCCCACAGACGGTCGGAACGAAACTCCAGCCCGCATGCGTCTACATTACAATCGTTATTATTGTAGTTTATTATAAGTTATATATATTTTGTATATAGTATATAAGAGTTACCGATCGCCCTCTCGTACTGCGACCTAATGAAGGTGTGGTCTTCAGTCCTCGTGGTCTTAACGTGGTTCAGATAATGTATCCACAGATCAACGGACAGTGGGATGGCTTTCAGCCCCCTTTCCAACACCTGCAACACGATCCGCACATTAATAACGCACCGGGCGGTCTAGCGCCGCCTGCACGCGCGACGCTTGAAGCAAGGGAATATTGAATAGCATTATATAATGTTCATGTAATAGGGATGGAGGAAACGAGCGGCTGGCTCCAGCCGCCCGCCTGCCTCCACCGCTTAATATGTGCTCGAGGTACACCTGTTAGAGCGTCGTCCGCGCCGCCGTCGCAGCCCGGCGCGGTGGGTCGCCGGCGCCTCATGATAACACGGCTCGATTACAATACACTCTTACACTTAATACATTATAATACAGAGACCGACTTAAATAATTCATATAACATATTCACAATATCATATAACATATCATGCGATCGTATACAGATAGTAAAATGAATGCATTCATGTACAACACAGGCGTGTGACCACTATTGTATGTATACAAATATATAAGTACGCGACGCTAACGTACGCCCCATCGCGTACCGACGGCATTGTCTTACGAACACGGGCCTCGAAGCACTGTTGGGAAAAAAAACAATTGCACAATAGCAGTTAGGCTAGTTTAGGACTAGAACTAATATAATATACCAAGTGTTATGTCACATTGAAAAATGAATGTCACCAATTTCATTCCTTACATGACTCACCATGTCTTAAATATAATATTAAAGATGGCGGCCGTGGGGACTCACCTCCAGGCATTTCTTTTTACTTCCTTTACGCTTCTCATAGTCGGCGTACTTGCGCCAGTAGCCGTAGCAGTAGGGGTAGTGAGAGAGGAACGCGTCGTAGGCTTCGCGGGCCGCTTCGGCGTCGCTCTGAAAACAGTTACAATATTAATACTACATATAAACATTAGAACAGATGGCTGATGGCCCGCGTTTCAATATTATCAGTTGGCCCTTGCAAATCAACAGGAGTTTCAGTTCTCATCGCTTCACAAAGCTGATGAGATTAGCATTTGTTTTCATCATTAAATTATATAGTACAGTAGAAACTCGATTATCCGGCCCTCAGTTATACGGATTCACCATTATCCGGACTACGGACAAGTCCGGACAAGAAAAAATGAGTGGTGTTGTTGAGAGTGGCGTACGTCAAATGACGATTACCAAATATTTTAATCCAAATTAAACTTATTATTATAATTCATGATTACCAATTTCAAATTACCAAATACATATTGTTATTTATTTTTTAAGTAAACATATACCTAATATTATGAACTACATAAGCACAAAACTGTCTCTTCTTCATACATTCGATTATCCGGATTTTCGATTATCCGAATGCCTATCGACAGCAATTAGTCCGGTTAATAGTTACTACTGTATATATTATAATATAGAAGTATGTCTTTTCTATTCCTACCTCTTGATCGACGTATTGCAACAGATACGTCCACCCTGTGAAATCCGTTGGGTCATCGTTAACAACCTTCCAGTATTTGTCTAGGTCGGGCAGACTCTTCTTCTTAGGTTTTTCATCAGCTGAGAATCTTTTTTCTGCCGACACTGGTTTGCTTTCACCGTTCTGTAAATAGAGCAATAATACCAGTTTTATTATCAAAGAGATACGAAATAATAGACTATATTTCTAAAACAACAACAATATAATTAAGAACAAGTAATGATGATGCAAATTCTTTATGATTTATTTCATTGATGATGATCAGCTTTTATTTGAGCAATATCATACAAAGCCTGGAGCCTATTTTGATTGATTGATTGATTAATTGATGTCTAGAACATTTTCAATACAAAATTAACACGCATTAAACATTATATGTAATAAATTATACATATAGAATGTATTATATAATATATAACATTCAATAACTGCCTCTATTTAAATAATGTGTAAATTTATTGTCTTGATACAATATTTTTATTGTGGCAATAGAGAGATGCATAAAGTTACTATTGTTCGTAAGACTAACACAGCACAGACAGAATATTTAATCACCATAATAAATGAAATGACTTTGAAAAACTAATAAAATGTTGAAGGTCTTAATATAAACTAGCTTTCCGCCCACAGCTTTGCCCGCGTCGAGTTCGGTTATACCGCGTTTCCACGAGAACTTTTCAAAAGTCTGGGATAAAAACTATCCTATGTTCTTTCTCAAGGTCATCTCTATCTCTGTACCAAATTTCATTAAAATCAGTTCAGTGGTTAAGGCGTGAAAGCACAACAAACAGACAGACAGTTACTTTCGCATTTATAATATTAGTAAGGATTAAGACATGTTTAAAAGCTTGATAACGTCGTCAAATTTTTTAAAGCGATATATTACCTTAGAGACAGCTTGTTTCTTGTTGGCCGACTCCGACTCTGACGTTGGTGAACCAGGGTCATAACCGTCACCTTCCTCAGTTTTTCGTTTCCGAGACTCTTTGCCATCCTTCTTGGACGTCGGCAGTTCATCCTCGGACACAACCTGTTAACAATAACATATTGCAGGAGACAAACCAAAGGAATATATCAAATATTCTCTGTTAAAACAACCTCAGTATCTGCCGGTAGTTCGGCCGGTTTAGGTCCCGGCAATTCATCATCGGACACATTCTCTGCATCTTTTACACTCGGTTTCTGAATGGCCGGCAGTTCATCTTCGGAAACTACCTCGGTCTCTTCGGCACTTCCGACCTATGCATTCACTCTCATTACATTATATGATTTAATATTGTATTAAAGTAATTTAAATTTATTAAATACATATAAAGCCATAAAATATACATAAAAAGTATGTATATATTCATTTTGACATTGAACTTCTATCTTATTGAACAGTTAAAAATTACAAAAATTAGTAATCATCATATGAAGACTATTAATTTAAATTAGTCACCATACCTTAACTTTTTCTTTTGATCTTCCATATGAACTATCCTGACTGTTTCCTTGAGTATCTGTTGCCTGCAAAATAATATAAAAGATTGAATCAAAAGTACTTTCTAATTTATGCATTATAACAAGTTTCATAATTAAAATACTATCAAGCGTAAATTACAAATATATCTTTAATATCACTGCATTACATGATTTTTATTCATACATATTTCTTTGGAAATACATTATGAATACTGGACTAAGTGGTCGTCGCAACTGCTAAAGAAAAAGTTTTGTAATCTTTTGTGTTGAAACTTTTTATAATATTTTTTTTTTTAATTAATCATAAAATTAAACTTAGTTAATGAGAAAAAATATGGTTGATTTAACTAATTTTCTTTAAAATATGTTTAAGCATTTAAATTTTTAGTAGAATTTGGCACACTCTAATGGAAGAAAAATGAGATGTGATGAATGGAAATTTTGTATGTATTTTTAATAAATTATAAGTATTCTTAAGAAAACATGACATTTCAAAGCAGGTACTCAATTTTTTTTTCATTTGTAACGCAGTGTATTTATTGAATTATCATCATGCTTTACTCTTTCCTTACCTCATATTCTCTGTGTGCCGAGTCCTGTTTCCTATCACTTAATCTATTCCTATCATTAGAGTTCTGGTTTTTCTTATCATCTTCATCCTTTGATGAGCGTCTTTTCTTTCTGGATTTCTTTACTGACTGTTCGACCAGCGTGTCGTTGGTGTTATCTTGGTCACTTGTTAACGTATCATTTCTCTCGTTGAAAGAGGACATGTTAAAGTCCTGGTTGCTTCTTGTATCGTTGGACGTATCCTGGGTTAACTCCATATCGAGCTCTAGTTGAGACACAGTCTTCTGATTCGCTGTAAGTTCTATATCATTCGGCGTCGTTTTGAAAGCATCACTCAACCGCGAATCGCCGTCTGACAGTACATTGTTTAAAGAATCGCTGGGGAAGTTGACGGCGTTGTCGCCGACATCGAATGAATCAGTGTTAAAACCGCCCGTGTTGTTATCGAGATAATCGCCGACGCTGCCAGTCGATAGCTCGACTGCATTCAGAAAAGCCTGATTCGATGTAGACGATTCGTCAACAACCGCAGCGTCAACACTGTTAAACTCTCCGTCGGTTAATAAATGCGACAAAACCGTTAGAATTTTCATTTATTAACGGACCCTCATCAGTGTCCATAGCACCCTCTGATAAACATTTCTGAAACAAGACACGCATAATATTTCAAGGCTTGAGTGCGCAGCCGTATGCAATATAACCTTACTCTTTCTTACCTGTAAATCTGAACTCATTTCATCATCCATTTTTATTTAAATATTCGCTATCACCACTTTAATATACACTAATAAATCAACGTTATTGCAAAATATCGTTTAAAGTCCAGTGAATCCCAAATAAACATTACACATTAATTCACAACATAATCCGCATTAACTTTCCGGAATTCGGTATTTGACTCTATTCTAAATTCTCTATGGTCATTCACTATGCCATAAATATATATTTTTTATAATGCCGTTTATTTGAAATTACAATAACTGAAGTACATTAAAAATGGTAGTAAAAATTGCGACAAAACGCCACTATTGACTTTTATCACACTTTCATATTAAAAGTATTACAGTATAATATTATAGTAATATATTTGATAAATAGAACTTGATACTGTGACCGATTAAAGAACCTTTTCCAAAAATCTTCCACTAACTTTTTGATGCAAGCATACAAACCAATATAAATAGATGAATTTATTTTGGACATCCACATTATTTTAATTCAAATCATTTTTACATATTTTTTTTTTACTTTACGAACTCACGGCAACTGTCATTTTTTTGTCTTATTATCATATAACCTCAAAAGTTCATGTTAACCCTTATTTATATACTATAAATATCATAATATCTAATTGAACCCTTTTTATGTTCAAGGGTTATATAGTATAGAATATCAGCTTATATATATCAAAAATGTTCGGTATCCGTACAGCATTATCTAAAACAATTGCTAATGGTCCAAATTTATTACACCAACAAACAAGGGTAATACTAACAAATATATTCAATATTATGTGTAAACGTTCGTGACGGCAGCTAGAATATATTCAATATTATTATTTTTTTATATAACTTTTAACTTTACACGCTTTGTTCTCAAATTTTTTGAGAAAGAGTTCCAAATAATTCATAAATTGTTCTTAATCACGGACTCGTAATTAATTTCAGAATACATTTATTTTGAAGAGAAGATGGCCCCCTCCACTGCATAAGCAAGGAGGGAAACCCGGTAAAATGAAAGCAAGACATTTTGTTTATGATTTAATTGAGGACACTAGTGTATCTAAAAAACAGGATGTACAAGTCATCTTAAACCAATTCGTTGAAGGTAAAACTAGAAGTCCATTTATATAATGACTAATATTGGTATATATTTCTATATTGTTTTTAATTTCAGGTGTTGGTAATGCTGGTGATCTACTCACTCTTCGTCCCACTATTGCCTACAGAGACTTTCTTATGCCCGGCCTAGCTGTATATGCCAGCCCAGAAAATATTTCTAAGTTCAAAGTTGAAGAAAATAAACCCAAAGTAGAATCAGAATTCAGTTCACCTTATGCTCAGAGGGTAACTTATAACTTTATGCCAAAATTCTTGGGCTATATCATTAAAAATCTTAATCTCTTGAAATTCAATAATTTTATGTTCAAAGTGGTTGATTTCAAAAGTTTTATATGCAAAGTGATCTATTTACACTCAAAAATAACCATATTTTTAGTCAAAATTTATTATTTATATAATTCACCTAAGTTTGGCATTTTCAGACTATGGGATGTTTGTCGAGATTAGTTTTGCAAATCACGATGAGTAAAACAAATCCTTGGACACTAGAGCCCTGGCATGTTAAGACGTCATTCAGAAAAGCGGGATTTGTTGTTCCGGAGCATGCAATAACAATGCCACCAGTAAAAATATCCGGACCCAATCTAGAATTGCAGGAAAAAGAATTTTATGTTACTGTTAAAGTAAGTATTGTTTTTATTATCACTTAATTTGTTTATTTCATCAGAATTACTGAAAAAAAACAACTTATAAACTTCTTCCATTATAATAGGTAGTTATATTTTGAAACTACGACTTTTTGTCTCATATTTTAAGTATATTAATTAGTAAAATTGCATTAGTGTGATTACTGTGAATGTGCCACTTATATTTCACTAATCTAAATCTTTTCTGACATGTATATTACCAAAAAAAGTTTCTGCACATTCATTGAACCTATCATAAACAATTTGAATATTTTTAGATAAATAATAAGGAACAAGTGAATGTAAGGTGCAGAATCCATCATTGGGCTACAGGATTAGAAAGACTAGCATGGCAAAAAGAACATTGGAAGAAACCCATGGAAGCTCTTATCCCAGAACAAGCGGCTGTCTTGGAAAGTATGCCCTTACAGCAATAGATACTAGAGAAAAAAGTGATTGTAGTTGTTTGTCAGTAATAAAGTAAATTAAAACCTTGATTATCTTTCAATAAGTTTATTTCATGAATAATTTTAACAAAATCATATATAGATTAGAACAAAGAAAAGTAAAGAAAAAATATGTTTTTTGTAAAAAAAGAGTACAGAATTTTATATGACTTTAACATCGGGATGTTTAACTTCGGATGTTTGCTTGATATCGTTTTTGTAATCTTGGTTTTCAGCTGATTTGTTGGGGTTTTGTATGTACTCGTCTTCTAAATCCAGTTGTTGTTCAATTGCCTCTATTGCCGGAGCTTCTTGCACAACGGCATACTCTTCTGTTTCATAGCCTTGTGTGTAAGCGGAATCGGGTTGATCTCCTAGTTTATTTTCGTATTGTTCATTAGTTTGTGCGTTATCATAGTAAACAGCTTGATCTCCTTTGCCGGCTTCCTTGTCTCCGCTTGCTACAGCCTCATAGTTCTGTATCTGCTGCTCTTGATAATTTTCTTCATGTTGATCGTAAGCTTGCTGGTTGTATGTATTTTCAACGCCATATTCCTGCGTTTGGTATTCATTTTCGTTTGTAGCTTCATAGTTATTCGCATACTGTTCTTCGTAGTTAGGATCGTAGCGTTCATTGGTCTCCTCGTGTTCGTTTATGTCGATAGGATAGATTTGTTCCTTTTGTATGTCTTCGTAGTAATTGGAGTATTCTTGATTTGCGTAAGTTTCGTTTTCCTCTGGATATACATTTGTATCGTCTTGTTTATATACGCTACCTGTTTCCTCGTAAAACATTTCTCTTTGTTCGGCCTCAAATTCATCATTAACATCCACGGATGCGTTCTGTTCTACATTTCCTTCAGACTTTACGTCCGACTCCTGTTGTTGATATTCGTGATGTTCTTTGATATCTGTTCCTGGTTCTTCTATTAAAGGAGCCTCAACTTCTGCTAGTTTTGCTATGACCAAGTTCTCATTTTTTATGATCTCTGGACTATTTGAATATGTTAATGGAATTTCTTCTTTAGTTTCTATATTCACATTTTCATCGTTTATAATAGCTGGTAAGTTTGAAGCGGCTTGAATAATATTTTCTGTAGGCTTTATTTCGACTTGTGTAACATTTTTTTCTTCGGGTAAGTATTTATCCTCGCATACTGAAGTTGGTTGCGGTGCTTCGGTCATTTTTTCATAAAGGTTATTTTTTAAATCGTTTTCCTCTTTTAAATTGCTTTTATAATAAATTCGATCTTGGTTTACATCCACTTCATAGTTTTCTGGTAGCAAATCATTTAACGGTGATTTGGGTTCTTGATCGTTATTTTTGTCCAATGGTATTTTATCTTGTTCCGCACTTAAAGCAGATGTTGCTTCAATATTTAAATCTTCAGTATTTTCTGGTTCTTTTTCTTTATTTGTATAGTTATTTCTCTCTTCTTTATTTGGTCTGTTAACTGTATTTAAATCATAACCACCTTTATTAGGTAAGAGCTCTCTGGTATTAGAGTTCTCGTCTTGATAGCTTGTTTTTACATTATTGTCTTTAAAAGCATAGTTTTCGTTTTTAACGTCATCATGTACATTATTATCTCCCTGTCGCTTCTCAAATGTTACTTTAGGACTTTCACCTTTCTCTTCTCTTTTTAGTTCGTCTAAGATACTGTATTTACTTTTCCAATCCATATCATTGGAAGGGTTTTGTACGTGTCCAGGATCGCCCGAAATCGCCCTATCATAGTTATGTTTAGGATGATCCGAGGCGCCTTTCGGTATCAAAATATATTTCTGGCTGATTTCTTTTAAAATATTCAGCTCATCGCTTTTTTGATAATCCGTTTTCACGTACGTCTGACGTGGTACGTCTTTAGCCCTTTTAATAACACCTCCCTGATAGTCGCAATCGTCTTTGTAATATCCCTGAAATGTGTAAAAATATATAAAGATTATTTTATTTGGGACATTGCTTTTTGATTTGGATTTTTTGGAATTTCATAAGTTTCTTATGAGTGATCGTTACCTTACATCGTACTTGGACCAACGTAATACAGGATCGCATTTTTTCCAATCTCTCCAAGATGTAATCATTTCTTTCTTTACGTTTTTTATCTTCTTCTAAAAAAGCGTCATAGCGTTTTCTAAGGGCCTTTATTTTTTCCGATTTATTTCTGAAAAACAAAATAATCCAAGTAAGTTTGATATATAAAAATATAAAAAGTTTTGTCATGGAATACATATTATATATCTCATACACACTTTTTGTCAGATTTTCCCATTTATTGCTATTGTTAGCCTAAAAAGGACTTAAACTTTTTTTTTTTTGACCCAACTGACCCTATCGAAAGTAAACAGTGTAATGCCGCCCGACCTTTGCGAAGGTTCGCGATCTGACTTTGATGCTTGGCAATAATATTTGTGGTCGTACAAACTAAGCGAACGCCTTAGAAAACCTTAATACTTTTGTTTTAAAATAATACACATTGAATTTTGATCGTATATTGAACTATAAGGATTTTTCACACAAAGTTATAACCATATATTGACTATTATGGTCTTAGTAAATTTATTTAATTTCATATTAAGATAAACGAATTATAAACTGTAATTTATAAAATCAATAATTTAAAAATCCTCAATACATAAATACACCAATATTATATATAACAAAAGATAAATTCGAAAGAGTGTGAGAGTTAACCATATGTGTAGGGTGATTGTGGTGTCAGGCTGTACGTGGTACGATTGTTGCATGGTTTTGTCAAAACATTTTAAAAAGCTGTGACCTTCGACTGTATTTATATAACCCTGTCATGAATGTTGTTCTTTCGTCTCAAGTTATCACTCATAGAAAACAATATCAAACCTTCTCCATTATAAATAGGGAAAGAAACAATCCAACAAGCATTTTGAACATTTATTTTATATAACACTGCTTTTGCCGAATTTTTTCTTACATTTATCTCAATAATTAGTTTCCATTCAAAAATCTTCCAGTTTAATTTTTTTTATGTAAAAGGTGGCAAACGAGCAGACTGCCTACATAATGGAAGGTAGTAACCGTAGCCCATAGACATCCGTAACATAGGAGATGTTGCTTGATTTTTTAGGAATAGGGTGGGGTGGGAATGAGGAAAAGGTAGGAAAGGGTGGGAATAGGGAGAGGGCAATCGGCTCTCTCACTCATCGGACGAAACGGAGCCACTAAAAGCTACTTGACGCCAATCTTCTGTGAGAGGGTAGTACTTCCCCGGTCGAGCCAGCCCATGTTCGAGCTGTAGTAACTGGCCACAGCTAGGCTCTACCACCTAGCATCTTGATAAGTACTAGTTATGAGAACTGATTTTATTCAAAATCAAGGTGTTCTTTCTAAATTATTACGTCACTAAGGGCCGTTTCGTGATACGTGATTTAATTTTAAAACATTGAAATAATATCATTTTCCTAACAGTAAAAAACAAAATGAAAGATCTTATCAAAATGTATGTTACGTGCTATTACTATGTTACAAGGAGTTGGTTTTATGACACTGGTTACCAATTCCAGAATACTATATCTGATCTCAATGATATCTAAACAACGTACAAAATGGTAATGGTAAGTTCATGTAAGTTCACATACATACATTAAGTTGTTTGTACTTTGTAGTTCTGCTCCTTTTAGAACTTTAATTATGATAAAAGGAACATTATTGTCACTGATAGTCAGTGGTGGCCTAGTGTTAAAGGCACGCCTCTCATACACGAGAGCGCGGGTTCGATCCTAGCAAGTACCAATGTGATTTTTCAGTCATATGTGCTTTCTAAGAGTATTTAGACACCACTGACAGTCGGTGAAGGAAAACATCGTGAGGAAACCTGGACTTATAATTTTACAATTATAAGTTTTAACAACAGCATTCCCAAAGAGGGTTGATGTCAGAATTTGATTTCTCATTTTGAATTTGATTTCTGATTTCTCATTTTGAAAAAAGATACGGTTTACCGGAAACATTTCTACATTCAACCACAAAACCTACATCCCGTCAAAGTTAATTTGTTAACATTCCACAATGAAATCACTGGACTTTGGTTTAAATACAACTGTATTACTTTAACTAGTTTTGAGTTTCTGGTCATTAAATTGCATCATGGCCTTGAATTGTTTATAAAATAGAAATACTTACATCTGGCTGAGATTGTAGCAGATAAATTTCAATTTGCGTATAGTAGTTTTCACTAAAATGAACATACGTTATTAAGTCTTTAATAATTGTATTATCAAGCTAAATAGAAAAATTCAATTTTGTTACCTATTGGCGGCATTTTCATAACAGTATAATATGTAAATACTATATTATTGCATTTCCTTTTTAAAATATATTCAAGAATATATGATTAGACTATTTCCTTATGTATTCTGGATTTATTGCTAAGTACGTCAACTTTCTTCTGAAAGAATGTGAAATAAAAAAAAAATGCTTAAATTCTTGTTGGTTTATATTATAAATTTACAAAACTGGGATTGGTTTAATTTTATAATACTAATGAGAGTTATGTGTTTTCCTCAATTTTTTTGGATCTTCATTTAACTTTACTAATAAGTTTTTGCTTATACACTTCAAATAGAATTTCATATGTTCTTTTATTTTACAAATATATTTTTAGTTTGTTTAAACTATAATAAGTATAATATTTATATGTCCGACGTCATATAATTATATAATAATTAAAATATTACTAATAAGCATGTCATTATCCACTAGATTTCATTTATTGAACGTGACTCTATTACCGGGTTGATTTAAACTGACATCTTGTCAAAAGTCACGTTTGTCAAGTGTCAGATTTAAGTCACTAAATGAATAATATTTGTTATTGCTAGAGGTTGTAGTATAGAATCAATTACATAATTAATTTGATTATTTATTAAAATGATTCATAAATGGTGGCACAATTACATCCGGCGTAAAACAAAACCTATTCCGGGTGATGTAGCTGTTTTATGGAAACGTCGGCTTAGTTATGCTTATGGTTTTCTTGCGTGGAATGCTTTCGGTCTCCTGATTTATAGTATATATAATGGCAAAGCTGATTGGGCGCATTATTACGGTCTTAAAACAGATGAAGAAGCCAAAATGTCGCCAGGTATTTGTAGTTTCTTGTTAAAAATATATTAATCATAATATGTAATTTATATTAATACTGTAATATAATATGTGTGTTCAATTGCAGCACTCGGTTGGGCCAATACTTTAGGTATCAAAAATGCTAAAGTTTACAGAATATCTGGATTAACTAAAGTTGACGAATATGATATCGTGGAAGGAGAGAAAAAAACAGTCCAAGAAAAACAAATAAACAGTGAAGAATTGGAAACATAATTTATTATTATTTTGATTCATTGTAGATAAAAGCTTAAAATAACAATATCTGAACTTTAACTAAGTGATTTTATTATAATGTATAATATTCTTAATATTGCCTTATACTACAACAAGTATAGGAAAGTAAGAATACTTTAATAGAAGCATCCCATAAATTTGTATAAAGGGTAAAAAAAATAATTATAATTTATTCACATATGTGATGATAAAGCCAAAATATATTTAATACTGTAAAGGCAATTAATAAGGCACTTAAGACATTTAGGAACAATAATATACAGGGTGACTGGTGAGTTACTATCAATATTTAAGGAGCATACTCGGTACATGATTCTCATTCGAATTATGTAAAAAAAATAGGTACTTAATTTTTGACCAAATTTCCGTATAAATAAATAAAGTTTGGACACGTGCCTTGCCGGCGCCAGTGTGTCGCTACTCCCCAACCCCCGCCCCGTGGCTAGCGGGCCATTAGTGGGCTATTAGTCGCGCCAGCGCCGCCGTAAGGCCCGTACGTTCGTCTTCCCGCGCGCGCGCCTAGCGATCGATCTTACGCGTATACCTAATAATAATCTGTCGTGTGTGCGTGTGACCCGTTATTACTTATTAGTAATTAAATATGGCTTTTCAATACACAAATGCAGAATACTTGGACATGGTTCATGCGTATGCGCGTGCAAATGAAAGCTTGCGGGGCGCAATCAATTTGTACCGGGAGATGTTCCCCAATCGTCGAGTACCTACGGCCAGCGTCATCTTAAACGCTAATCAAAGATTACGAGACTTCGGACAGTTCCGTGTTCCAACACATGCCCAAGGAAACGTCTTGTGTATGCTACAATGTATGTAAACAGAGAGAAGTTGAAATTAAAAATCAATAGTGATTTCAAAACTATTAAAAGTGACCCATTCGTATTAAATCGTGTGAAAGACAATATGTGTAAACGTGCCGAACTGTGTATCACACGAGAAGGAGCTCACTTTGAACATTTGTTAAGGTTAGTGTAGTTATGTAGGTAAATAGGTAGTTTAATGATTGACAATTGTTGTAAATAAGTATGATTCCATTTTTAAATACGCCGGAAATACCAAGATAGGTAAACAGTTCATATTTTTTTTTTGTGTCAAGGTCACACCATTTACCTAGTCAATAAATTGGTTGCTTAAACGAAAGAAATATCTTGGTATTTTTGCCTGTCCTAAGCCAGGATTAAAGTATGAAGGGAAATGGATCATTTTTGTTTATCTAAGGTCTAACACGCGGCGGCGCGCGGCGTTTGGATGTAGGTAAACTACCGCGCGATAACTACATATACCTACGTACATAACTGTTTTGTGTCGATAACGCAGCTAGGGTATCCACGCGATCCGTAATTAATTACATAACTTTTGGTTAACTTTACTTAGAAGTTTATTAATATTTATGTTATATTAATTTTTATTTTGTCATATATGATCGTCAACTACCACGTCCTTAAATATTGATAGTAACTCACCAGTCACCCTGTATACATAGTATACTTATGTACAGTATCATAAAAAAACTTATGTTAAAATCACAGTTTTGTAAGGCATTACACTGTTATGTTTAATAATTTGAGTGAGCATGGCACGATTTGGCCAGTCTTCTTCTTTCAAGTTCCTGTAGCAAGGCCGACCTGAAAAACATGATAATTAAATTAATTATTCACTTATTAATCTTAATAAAATGTGGAATTATCTTTTAAAAACTTGCAATAGCAACCTGTACAAAAATAAATATTTGTAATATATATTGTGACAATGTTATGAGTTACTGTTATATTTTTTATATGTACTATAATCTAATAAATGCTACATACTTTTTAGATAGCATTCACATGTTAAAAACTGTAGTTACCTACAAAAACTGTTGCATAAAGATTTATGTTAGATAAAATACATGTTTTTCTTCAAAAACAATAATTTTCAACGATTTTAATTTGATGAAAGTATGTATTATGTAGCTAATAGATCAATTTTAAAAAGGTTACCCTAAAATAAATTTCACAAGCATTTATAGTTTATTATTTGAAAACATTAAGCTAAAACTTGTAACCTAATATTGAAGTTTAAAAATTAATTTAGTACACTATTTCAAAGTGTATTTTTGTGTTCTGTATCAAAGAATATTATTTTGCAAGATATTCAAGCATTTCCTAATCCTCCATATATTTTACTGTTTATATAAATAAACCAATCATAGATAAATGTCTTTGTATATATTTCTACTTTTCTAGATCACTAAATTCAAGGTTTTTTTGTTACATACCTATATTGTATATATTTCTACTTTTCTAAATCACTAATTTCAAGGTTTTTTTGTTACATACCTATACTGTTCATACTTCATAACAATCAACTGTAGTTCCTGCTTGTACAGTCTTGTGAGCATATCTGAGTAACAGTCTAACTCACTCAGTCTGAACATGTTCCAACGTAGCTTGTGATCTAGTTCTTGATCGGCTGTGAACAATATTATCAAATCAAGGTGATAATAATATTAATATTAATAATAAAAATATATAAAACATGCAGCAAATACCACTTATAACGTTTGTTTATAAAATGACAATGAAATTACTACTGATTAGAATGATGCTATAAAACAGAAAAAATGGTATTATTAAAATTGTAGTGTCAAGTAAGTATATTAAATTGGAAATATTTGTATTGTGCTGAATTACAACATTGACAGACAGAATGCAACATAATTTATCTATAATGATCTACCTAAATTATGCTTGGCATCATATTATTTAACAATACTGAGTAAGTATAACTAGAACATAATACAAACCTTTTGAGTATACAATCAGCCAGTGAGGTATTTCCTCCAACAAGTACGGTGGCACCAGGGCTGGTACGAGTGAACTAACAAGATAGCATCCTCCGACAAGACATGGATGAACATATGTAGTCTGATGAGTTATCTCACTGTTAACAGTTAATGTAGCATTAAAGTCATTTAAAGTGTTTTGGTTCGATTATAATTATGTTAATTCACACTACAATTACGGCCATGAAATATATAAATGTGACATTTTTATTGGCAGCTTACTTTTTATTAAATAATAAATATATAAACAATGACATAATTATAAAATTAAGTAAATGTTATAATATGGTAATTTTTTTACAAACATTTTATTAGGTATGCTAAATCTATTCTTACAAAACCTGTTCAAAAGTTATTTATAATATCTCCTAAAAGTTACGGCATCTCTGTCACTATTTGATTGTATCATGAATTAAAACTATCTAGACTGTAAAGGGTTTTATAACTTAAAATAGCATAGTGATGTATCTTCTAATTAAAATAACTAACTTGAAGTAGTAAACTCCATGATGTGGCGTGGAGACGCGGTGCCAGGGACGTGGTACGCTCTCCAATGGGTGTGTCCAATGTGTTGTTTGTGTATTATGATCCATATAATAACGACGGCCACGCAGGGTGCGGTCCGCTGACCAGCCCGGTGGCAAAGGTAGCTCGCATTCTTCGGAACCTACGTCATTATAATCTATGTATTATTTGGATTTACATATGTATATGTATAGCTTATATAGCTAAAAAAAACTTAGTAAAAAAGTTAAGGAAATTATTGACACGAAATCCCTACTAATGTTATAAATGCGAAAATAACTCTGTCTGTCTGTGTGTCTGTTACGCTTTCACGCCTAAACCACTGAACTGATTTTAATGAAATTATGTACAGAGATATAGTTGACCTTGAGAAAGAACATAGGATAGTTTTCATCCCAGACTTTTAAAAGGTTCTCTTGGAAACGCGACATAGCCGAACTCCACGCGGGCGAAGCAGCAGGCGGAAAGCTAGTAAGTTATAAATGATCAAATCTTTATACTATATTTACATATGTTTAAATATAAATTTCCTTCTTTGAGTCCAAAATATTTAACTACATGATATAGTCTGGTATAATTTAAAAAGGAAATCATAATTCTTCTATAGATTTACCTTGACTAGAAGAAATTATGTTGCCTTTATTATGATATGGCAGTGCTGGGAGCGCTGGAGTGTTCACATAGTTAGAATATATTGGAGATGACTGGGTAGCTGGTGGAAAGGCTGAAAGTCAAACATTCATTTAATAGATCACAAAAATATATAAAAGCTATTATACAGGGTGACTGGTGAATTACTATCAATATTTGAGGAGAGTACTCGGTACATGATTCTCATTCGAATTATGTAAAAAAAATAAGTACTTAATTTTTGAACAAATTTCCGTATAAGTAAATAAAGTGTGGACACGTTCCAAGTGTGGACGCGTGCGGCGGCGTGCTGATACAACATTACGCCGCCGTACGCGTATGTGTGTGTATACCTAATCTGAAGGGTGTTCACACGATGCGTAATTAATTACATAACTTTTGGTTAACTTTACTTAGAAGTTTATTAATATTTATGTTATATTAATTTTTATTTTGTCATATATGATCGTCAAATATCATGTCCTCAAGTATCGAAAGTAATTCACCAGTCACACTGTATATATGTATATACTTACAATCATTACAATGTAATCTGATAGAGTGAGGAGAAGGTGGATGGAGTCTCGGAGTCAAACTCATGTTGGATGAAATCCGAGGAATACTCGACTCCCTTGAACTGTAATGCTGGTGTTTTTGTTGTTGGACCTACAATAAAACAAATGAATATAGACTATACAAAAATATGTTGGAAATAATAATATTAAATATAACCTACTTGCTGCTGATTTTGATAGATAGGATCTTCTGTCTGTGCTTGTCTATAGTACCTGTGACTTGTCTGTCGGCTAAATGAATCGTCAATTTCATTGAGGGTTGAATGAGATGCCTGTAATTAGATTTGATATTAATGTTGTTTAAATAACCAGTATGATATTTGTATGTGATTAACTTACTAAGTTTACATCTAAATGAAATTGAGAATTGAAATTGCTTGAAGAACTGGCTGTGTCACCGGTGGATAGACTTGCAAATCTGAAAAAAAAGACAAATATTAAGAGATAATCTAATCTCTAACATATTTTTTTATTGACTATAGTAACTTACCTGTGAGCCAAATTTGGTACTGATTCACTAGGAGTGTATTTCCCTGCATGACCGCTTACAGTTTGGGCTTTACCAAATTTGTTTTCTATGCCTTGCATATGCCCTTCATTAGATCCGAAGGGTTGGCTACGCGGCCTTCTGTTGTTACCCGTTGTCCAGACATTTATAACTACGACAACGATAATATCATTAAGCTAATTTTCAATATCGATTGCTTATAAACTAAAACTATTTAGTCAATCCGTTTCGAAAAAACTGGTTTCAAAATCACTTACTAGGTAAATCTGGTGGAGTATCTTTTTTTACATATTTGCCAACAACCCCTTCGTTAATAGCTTTTTGTCCTTTACGGGATATCATAATTTTATATTACTTAATTTATCAAATATAAAAACATAAAAAATAAACAAAGCAACCTATGATTGCCTTAAATAAAAATATAAATATAATTAATGGGAAGACACACTTTTCATTGTTTAATGACAATTGACAGAAAAACTGTAATCTTATTTTTTACGTCAATTAAACTGACGTTATAGTGTTGCAATCTATTATCACTTTCATAATAAAATTGAAAAAGGAATTTACGGTTTCAACAAGAATTGCTCTGTATACATATTGGTTTTATTATGATTCTTCGTATAGTGACTTAAACTACTTATTTTCTATTTATAATAAGAATTTAAATAATAAATCCATGTATATTAAATGTTACCCATTTTTATTTATCTTATAACCAGGCTTCGTAACAGGCAATATATCAGAATATTTATCAGAGATCCATGCCTATGGCCATGTGGACTAAACTATACATGCTACCTAAAAGTTGATAATAACTAAAGATTTTAATATCAAAGAAATATGTTTTTCTTAATTGGTTTAGGACTAGGGGATGCGAAGGATGTTACAGTGAAAGGCTTAGAAATTATCAGAAAGTGCGATAAAGTTTTTTTGGAAGCTTACACTTCTATTTTAACCGTTGGGAAAGAAGTTTTGGTAAGTCTGCTTTTTCTTATATTGTTGAAAAGTTTTATATGTAAAAGTATCGATGTATAAACAAATATTACCTAACTATTTCAGGAAGAATTTTATCAAAGGCCTTTAATTGTAGCGGATAGAGATTTATGTGAAAGTAATATAGATGAAATATTAAAAGAAGCAAAAAATCAAGACATAGCTCTTTTAGTAGTGGGTGATCCTTTAGGTGCCACAACCCATACAGATATGTTAATCCGGGCAAAGGATTTTGGTGTTGAGACAATGGTAAAATGGTATAATAGTTGTGTAAAAAATCAGTTATTAAATTTTTGGTTGATATTTTTAAAATTATTATAAGAATATTGTTATTATATAGTACCACTTCCCATTTACATTAAAAGTGAAACCATGTTAAATGATAAAGTTGATTTGTTTAACTCTTCTATATGTAAACAAAACAAAAGAAAACAAAAAAAAAAAATTAGTACAAAAAATAAAGTCTTTTGGATGTAACTCAGTCAACCATTCGTCCAATTTAAACAAAATGGTTTATACACACAGATATAAAAATTAAAACTCTTAAGTTGCAATTTTAAACAATATTTCATTTTTTTTTCTTAGTAGATAAAAATCAAATTGATTTCAAAGGGATATTAAAGCCTTTCCAGTACCATAATGCTGAATTTTATAAATTAATTATCATATTTATTGTGTTTCAGATTGTCCACAATGCTTCCATAATGAATGCAGTTAGTTGTTGCGGGTTACAGCTTTACAATTTTGGAGAAACTGTATCAATACCGTTTTGGTCGGACACATGGAAGCCAGATAGTTTCTTTGAAAAGATTATCGGAAATTACTCAAGAAATTTACACACTCTTTGTCTGTTAGGTATGTTTGTTGATTAAATATAACATCAATTTATCCACTTTTTACTAATATTGATGGTGCTCGCTTTAGATATAAAAGTAAAGGAACCCACAGAAGAATCATTGACAAAAAAAGTTAGACAATACATGGATCCAAAGTTTATGTCAGTCAAAGAGGCAGCAAGACAATTAGTAGAAATAATAGCAAACAAGAATAATGATAAACAAGGTATGTCAGGAAATAAGTTAAATTTTATTTATATGAACCTTAAAAGCACAAAATACTTTAAAGTATTTCATTGCATTCCTAGATCAGATAATCATAAATAAAGGATAAAATTACATTCATTTCTTATTAAATCTTAAAAGTAATTCAAAATATGGTTGTACTGGTTTCAAATTGCGATTTCTTTATATCTATTGTTTACAAAGGATAATACTAGTAAGTATTTTAAATTTAGAAATAAATTTATGTTCATTATCTAAATTCTAAAGATATAATTATGTTTGAGATATAGTTTATCACTTTTTTCTATGAATTCTGAGATTATTGAGGGTTTTTGGTCACATAACAAATGGAATATAATTTGTCAGATATCGGTCAAATTGTCATTAAAACAGTTTTTAAACAAGATATTTTGTAAGTAATTATTAATATTTACATTAAGTTTGATACTTTTTCCAGATCTAACAACAGACACACTTGTGGTTGGCTTATCAAGAGTTGGTGCCATTGATCAAAAGATAGTCGCTGGTAGCTTAGAATATATGCAAAATTGTGATCTCGGACCCCCTCTACATAGTCTTGTAATCCCAGCTCCTAATTTGCATCCACTTGAACTCGAATATCTGGCTCAATTTAGATAGCTGGTTCATACACCAAGTGTTTATTAAATGAAACCGTTTCTTTATAATACATATTTATTGGCTACAAATGCCAAAAGTTACTCACAACAACATATTTTGTTGAACAAGAGAAATATTATATTAAATAAATGTTTAAGAAAAATTTAATTATATAGTTTTATTATTATTTACAATTGCAATAATTAAAATGATATTATAAACAAATTACAAACTGCTACTACGAGAAATAACATTCAAACTCATTGTTGGTCCTCAAAGCTACCAAAAAAAACTACCACATACAAATATTTTAAAATCATTCTTGAGTCATAAACATTAAAAGGTACATTAATTATTATTTGGTCTAAGTTGCGTATTATAAATAATGAAATTATAAAAATATACAAAAAACGGAATGTAGAAATACCAAAGGTGAATATTATTTATATAAAAAAAAATATCGTAATCACTACACATTAAACATCTCTAGATAATATAACTGGAACATGGTGGGTCACATTAATTTTAATAACATAATTAATAGAGGCATGGCTTACGACATAATAATTTTACACTATGTCACACTATGACAAGTTTTAAATTAATGTTAAAATTATACAGTCTTTAAACTTAATTGTAAGGACTACATACATGAATACTATAATAATATTAAATATATAAGAAAAGATGTTCGTGCGTTCTATTCGTCGAGTGAGATTACAAAACTGGTTTACATAAATAGATATGAAGAGTATTTAAACAGCGGACACCTGCTGGTCGTCATCCTCGTCGTCTGGAGCATCGTGGTAGTAGTCGTACGAGCGGGTGACACCCTCGTGTGAGTGCGCACGGCTGAGTCGTTCCAGACGGGCGACCTGTGCGGCGAGGGTGTACGGCATCCTCGGTATTGGTGGCAGCGGCCGGACGCAGTTAGCCGTCGTACATGACCCGTGGCCGCTGTCGCTGGATGTAGCTGAACCGGTCTTTCGTAATGGCAAGTTTACTAATGACGTCACACTGCTGCTCTCCGCCGACAAGTCCACGGGCAATGGCGTCGGAGTATCCGAGTGCGATCTCTCGTGCGCTGCACGGGAACAACATATACCGGGCCCGGGGTGACCGTCCCTACGTTGCGAACACGGAGACGGCCCCGGCGGAGGTGGCCTGGGTTGATGAGGTCTGGTCTTAGCAGGCTCAGATAAAGCAAGTAGCTTTCGTACAGCCTGCGGGGAAGCTGCTCCAAACTTATTCCCGGCGAAACTCTTCTTACTCTCGCTTGCCGATGAAGCGCTACTGGTTGTGGAAAGGGAAGGCGAAGGATGCCGTCGCCGCGGCATAGTTGGAGCCGGTCCGGAACCCTCACACTCTAGAGACAATGCATGAAGACGTTCTTCATCTGTTTCTACATGCATTCTATTTAGATATGCTTTCACTCTCCGGACCATCTGTGCTTCTTCAAACATCTTCTTCGGGTTAGGAACGTTGGAAGATTTCTTCCTTCTTTTAACTGTCACCTGTCCTTGTTGGACTCCAGTTGTAAGTTGATTTAAAGCTACCATAGCGTTAGACGGTGGTTGTTTCCCTAGTTCTAGCAGTGTGAGGAGATCATATGGCGAACTGCACATGTTGGTTAGAGTTCGTACCTCCTTAGCAATCATGCGCAACTTTTCAAAATTAACCATCCCTTCCACTTTCGTATCGTTACCGAGATGAATGAATGTTAAATCTTTTCTAACAACTGGATAGAAGGGTATCACTGGCGATCTTCCTTGTTCTATCGTTACTAACTGACGATATTTTGACATATTTCTGGAAGGATCCATCAGCATTTGAAGGTCAGAGAACAGCTTGTTATATTTCGTGGGTAATTTTTCCCAAGTCATTCTTAATCTAGATACAGCTCCATGTCCCAATCCAGATATGATAGCGAACATAGAATTGAAATTCTTACACTCTTTGCAATGACGAGCTACTTTAATGAACTGTTTTATAATTTTAGATCTTCTCACAATATTTTGTTCATTGACAACTTCTGTCACGACCCAGAACATTTCTTTGTTAACCAAGCCAGCAAACTGAGATAACATGGGTGTTCCATACCTACTTTTTAAATCAAACAAATCGTCAACATATTCGGTGCTTTCAATTTGTCGGAATATACAGAAATCCTGTAAGGTTAATTGCACAGCAACTTCAACAGCATTCAGTTGTAAGAAATGTACAACACTTTCCCTTAAAAGCTCTGGTGCCATTTCGTCTGGCACTAATGTTTCACTTACGCCGTTTGTCTTCAAATAGTACCTCGAACTCAGTCCAATACGCTCAGCGAGATTTTGCAACTGATCTGGTAGGCGATGTTGTTTTATTATGCCGCCTTGCGCTACAGATACTTCACATAAGGAAAAATTTGAACTAGGATCGGTTATACCGAACTCTTGTAGAGTAAGCATGACGACTTCTCTAGCAGTTGTCTCCTTGTGTACTAACAAGTATTTGCATGTTTGATCAGCTCTATACACTTTTAGTACATGTTCAGGATAGTCTGATGATTGGTATTCATCATAACATATTGATATGAGATCTGGGTTGCTGTGTGAGTTATAGAATGATGTACTGGAATTAGGTTTGTGCAATGACTCAGAATGTGAAAGAACACTATCATCATTATGAATGCCATCATTGATAGTATTTTTAGGAAGTATGTTCATTTTCATCAAAGCTTTTTGCAATCTCCTTTTAGGACCCAATGTCATAAAACCTTTTTGGGGCTCTTTTTTGATATTCATTTGTTGCGGTTTTTTGGTTGGAGATTGGAACATCGGTGTCAATGTGATAGGGTCATCACTAAGGAGTTCTGCTGTTGACAATCTAGCTCTGGGGTCCGTTTGCCAGCGGACCATATTTGCGCCCCCTCTTTGTCGCGGAGAGTTTTCTGGCATTAACATCATCTGTTTAAATGCTAATAGATTACTCTTAACTGTAATGCTCAAATGTGTGGAACCCGTAATTATTTCCATGGCTTTTGCATGACTTACATGTTGAAATGATTGACAATTAACTTCCAATATTTGATCTCCACGTTTCAAACCTACGTCTTCAGCTTTCGAATGTTTTTCAACTTTCAAAACAAAAATTCCATATCCCCTTTCATATCCTCCCAATATAGAAAAATATAAAGGCTCATCTCTCGTTGGACGAGACAAAGTCACACTCCTGGTCCTTGCTTTCGCCGAACAGGCAATATTTAACAATCTTAACTGTGATTCCATTTTTTCTTGTTCCAAAGCCATTTCAAAGTTTTCCAGAAACTCCATCATGTTTGGGTCTGTTTCAAAGTCTGTGAAATGGTTATTCACCCAGAGAAGTACAACTCTCGTTACTTTGTCACGTACTGACGGTTCCGAAAACCAGGCAAGCAACTGTTTGGCCACAACCAGTGGGCTCTCTATAAAAGTTCTGTGCGTTAATAAGAAATCTTCAACGTATGTGGAATCGCGTGAGTTGTCTTCAATAAGTTGTAGCATCAAATGTTCCGGTGTCCCTCTTATGACTACATGGCCTTGTTGATGACCAGAATCCCCTGCTGCCCCTCTATATTCCGTTACAAGAACTATCACACCATTTTCATTCTCATGCCTTTTGATGTTCTCTTCGCCTTGATGTAAAATACGGTAATAATCTGTTTGAGTAACGCAAACAAATTGGCAATCATCACATCTAGTAGTCATAATCCCTCTGTGATATAGTTTCTCCAAAGTAGCTTCTGCCATACCAAAACTATCACCTACATTCAGGTACTCAATGTCTCCATTTTGATGCTCGATACCAACTTGGCCATTGATAAGAACGGACCATGAGTCATGTTCTTCACCATCATTCATAACGACCGTCTCAGCTTTTTCGACAACAGCAAAAACCATAACGGCACACAGTGCCCTCCTTACTGTTAAAGTCATGTTCGTGAATGCTTTTAAGTGTTGAGTAAATTCTAGAAGAATTTCTATATCCTCATCTGTTCTTTCACTTGGATCTTTCTCAAGGCATTCTCTTACAGCGTCCCGTACAGTCAGGCTGTCCATACTCTCCTCTAAATCTTCTTCCTCCTCGGAGTCTACTATAGACTCGAGGAGGCCAGACAGATCTACCTCCATATCCATATCCAAAGAGCTGTGTACTGAAGTCATGGTGTCGCTGCCACTGTACGCGGAGCTTGTGTCACTGGCGTTTGAACACTTGAGTGTGTGAGGGTACAGCTCTGGACTGTGACGGCCACCGCGCCCACCTCTCAACATCGTGAATTTTCTGGCCTGGCTTTATCGACTACCAGCTACTGAAAATAACATATATAATATTCTTTATTTGTAATAATAATGAGTACTAGTATATTAGAAACTGTTGTATATATCAAGAGTTAATCAAAATAGTCACTCTGGTTTAGTATTCTTTAAATAGTGTTTTATTGAGTTAAAAGAATAGACACTCGATAAATCGTCATGGTACATTTTCCGGAAAGTTTAAAATTATAGGTTTACGGTTCTCAACACAAAAGATACAATTTAAGCGATATGAAGGTCGGTTAGAGTGTGAAAGGATATTTATGATATAATTGATAATATAATATCCTAGAGGACTTCCTCCACTGCGTTGGGAGAATATTAGTGTATGTTAAGTTTTGAAATAATTCCTGCAAATTCTGTTTTTTACACATAATAATAACTTTTTATGAGACTTATAATATATACAATATAGAGATTAGTGTTTGCAAAGTGTTTATCAATAATATTATACTGAACCTCCACAATTTCTATTTATTTTGCATTCATGGCGGAACTGTCAGAGCTTCCATGTTGCTTTCCAATAAGTCTGAGACCAACGGGTAAATTATAATTCTCATACACTTCCTAACGAAACAAATTTGTTCACTATACGAATTATACTATAAGAAACACTGGATTATTTAGTTTTTCGAAAGCGATCAAGACGCCAAAAAATTTAGAAAGCTACTTTCTCAACGTAAGTATCCACATAGAACAGATAACAAATATTTTTATTATTTATTTGAAATCCTGTAAACTAAGCATAGATAACATAATATATTGCATGATTTCAGTTTATTAAAAAAACTTGTTTTTCAATACAAAGTATCTTTTTATAACAAACCTTTTTCGCTTATTAACTAGACATAAAAAAATCTCATTTAAGTTTTATTAATTAAAATATCATAATGAAATTTAAACATATATGTATTAAAATTGCTAATTTAAAGATTTCTCAATAGATGTAAATAATATATGTGAATAAAATAAATCCAAAATACTTATATAGATCTAGTAGACTTTTTATATTCTTGAACGCGGTCTTAACTATAACAATAAAAATAGCCTTTCCGCTTATAACGTAAGTGATATTCTATTAAGTCTTTTTAAACATAATTCTTTTGGGTGGATAAATTAAATTTCCTTATAAAAAAAGTCATCAATTAAAGCATTGAAATCGAATAATTATTATCGTTTAACTTTAAAACACTATTTAAAAGTGCGTCGGTTGTCTCTTTGAACATTTTTATATCTCCATCTATTTTCAGAAATAGGTACTTTTGATTGCTGGCGTTTTCGCATCAAAACCAGTGATGATTATCTTTTAGCTAGATAGCTTTTGTAAATTGATCGTTTATTCTAGTGGAAAAAGTCGCAGAAATATATTTGTGTTATTTGTGAATGTGCAAACAATCGTATTTATCTAGCGCCCAACAATAAAATGCGTCTTGATTCACTGTCTGAATCGAAACGGATGGTGAGCGATGGCGAGAATACGGTGATAGATTTTTGGTGTTAAGAATTTGCTCTGTGTCATCGCCGTTTTAGTTTTCTAATACACTAAAGAGGACTATATTTGTTTAATTTTGACGTTTTCCGTGTTAATATTTCTAATTATTTAAATATTTCGACGATTATTGTGTGGAAATTAATATTGTCATCGACTGACCGGCTGATATTACACGAGGCTTGTATGTAGGTATATGTGACTTCTGCCTTCTGGTAATAGTGACACGCCTCAGAAAATAAATCTTAATTTTATGAATGGACTTTTCATATTTTATTATTGTGGCGTTTTTGTGATAAAGACGTTTTAAAATTACGTAACTGTTGAGGAATCTTAGTGTATTAAAGAATGGCCTGAGTGTGACCACTCCATTACCATCATGTGTGACGAAGGATTGTTTCTTTAGGCTCTAATATTTTGCTGCGACTTTAAACCGAGTGCGCATTTGACTCCTGGATTGGGCTGGATCATGAATCTATCCGAAACAAAACAAGTTTTGCATTGATCGTTCTCGACTTATTGTCATTTCGGACGCTTTTATATAAGAAAAAAATGTCTTCGGGAACGTTTGTGGATAGGATTGATCCTTTCGCTAAGCGGTCGATGAAGAAAAAGACGAAGAAGTCGCAGGGGTCCTCGCGTTACCGTAATACGCAGGACGTAGAGTTACAGACATTGCCTTTTTTTAAAGGTGGGTTTAACAACATTTAGCTGTTACTATTTACTATACAATTAATTTCATAACACCATAATAATTAATATAACAACTACTACATATATTAAAGTCTTATCAGATTTTAAAATGTTCAGTTTTTATCATTATAACCTATACTGAAATCTATTCCTAAGCAAACACTATGCTATAGTTTAGTATTTTTTTTATATATATGTGATTAGTGAGTGAGTATATAAAATTAAGTGATAGCAAATATTTATTACAAAAAGTATATTGACATTCAAACATACAGTTATATTTGTATATAATTTCCATTTTGTAGTATTTTTATTATGATTAATATATTAAATTAACTCTTATTAATTTCTTTAATATTTTAATGTATGTTCTAATATATTTTAAACATACTTAAGACTGAGACTGTCTGGTACAAGTTTATCTAATTTTAGATGTTGTATCATAGAAGAGTAATCTTCACCAAACATTACTTATCTTAAACCTATCAAGGTTGTAAGGAATTTTAATTTCAAAGAGTTGTCAATATAAATATATTTATTAAAACTAAACAGGCAGAGGTTTAATTTGTAAGGAAATTAAAAAAGTTTTTATATATATTAATTTAAAGTTTTACAATGGGAAATCTTAAGGATATATTATCACATTAATAGATTTGATATGAAGTAGTCTCGGTGTGTTATAGTACTGATATGTTGCTCGTTTCTATGTGTCTAGTAAAGTAAATATTTGGCATCACAATGTCTGCTTGGGTCAATATAATTTGAGTCAGTATATTTTTATATTGGTAACACTGTTTGTGGCTAATATTTTTATATTGGTAACACTGTTTATGTTTCTGATAATGTGTGTAAATCTTACAGATGTACCCGTCAGTGAACAAGAGGAGCTTTTTATTCGTAAACTCCGCCAGTGCTGTGTCGCTTTTGATTTTATGGACCCAGTGGCCGATTTGAAGGGGAAAGAAATTAAGCGGGCCACACTCAACGAGCTTGTAGAGTACATCCATTGTGGCCGTGGTGTACTCACCGAACCTGTCTATCCGGAGATGATTAAAATGGTATCCTATCAAATATAAATATATTCTATGTCAATTGTCAACATAAAAATTCTCAATTGACTGGTTGCAACTATCAATTGATGTACTCCAGTCATCATATGTTGATATCTTGTATAAACAGATCAAAATTTATTATTGCCTATCAAAGTCATAAAAATCTTATTTAATCTTACTCTTTCTCGTAAACAAATAACATTAGTGTTTTATTGATGTATATGGATATATATTTATGTAAATTAAAAGCTACAATTTATTTAGAAGTAAAATACCTGTACGAGTGTGAAATAAAACCCAATAGACATCAAAAAACTAAGATTCTAATCAATAATATTTCATTATTAATTATTTTAAGCTATCTACTATCTACAATATTTAAATGTTAGTCAAATGTTAGTATGTATATGTATAAAAAATACAAAGTCATAAGCTTCCTATTATAAGGATTTCATCTGTAGGTGGACAAATAATGTCTATTATTTAATACTATTAAATATATGGCTTTTGACATATATATGTATATATATAAATGTGTATGTTTGTGTCTAAAAGTAACCTGTTTGTCATTTAAGTGTAAAATGATTATAGATGAGATTTCTAATGTAAAGTGGACTTTATCTATCCTGTAATAAGGTACAGATAACAAGAGAATGTGTGGTTAAATAAACATACACAAATAAATTACACTATTAGTAAATAATAATAATGATTAAATGGTAAATATTGAAAATTATTTTAGCAGTTAGCTTCACATATTACATCACTACAAAAAAAAAACACAATTGTGCTATATAAATTTAAATTTTTTATCATTATTTATGTATGTGTGTGTGAATATAATTGTAATTAAAATTCTGTAATTTCTATTGTTTAGATATCAGCGAACCTGTTTCGTACATTGCCACCGAGTGACAACCCTGACTATGACCCGGAGGAGGACGACCCGACCCTGGAGGCGTCCTGGCCACACCTTCAGCTGGTGTATGAGTTCTTCCTCCGTGCGCTCGAGTCAACCGACTTCCAGCCAACCATCGGCAAGAAGGTCATCGATCAGAAATTTGTTTTGCAGGTAATATTTAAATTTAGTACTAATACAAATTTATTGACTACAATTTTTTTTTACATATTAGAATATATATATTTTTTATGTAGTAAATTTTAAGTTATGTATTTATAGGATAAAATCTAGTCTGTGCTAGAAGTTGGCTGCCAAAAGCAATATTTTATGCAAATTGGTTATTAATTTTTTCATATACTGTGTAACAAAATAAAATATTTTTTATTGATTATGATATATGTAATACAATTAAAATATAGCTTCTATTTTATGACCTAAAAATATTGTCTTTAAAGTTTTGGTATACACAAAGTGTATTTTTGTATATAAAATATTAATATATCTAAACATCAATAAGCAGTAAGATTTTAATGTAATTAGAAAACATATTATTTCTAACATCTATTTATAATTATTTTGTTCAGAAATTAGAAAAAAACATATTTATTCTTATATTTAAGAATATTTCCATTTCAATTTCCACTTCCATTTGAAATACAATTTAACTTGTTGGTTTGAGAAGTGTTCAGCTTTAAAAACATTTACTATAATTAAAACACAAGTTAATCTCATTATCCACACAAACATCATATATATATATATTATGAATAAATAAAATAATATAAATTATTTTAAAACCTTCATTTAAACTAATATATGAACTTTACAAATGTTCATTAAACTTCAGGCTTGATCAGTTATAATGTTATTAATCAAACATTAATTGTTTTTCATGAAATTAATATGGTTTTTAAATTTCTTTATTAAAACTAATGCTACTGATTAAACTTCTTTATCAAGAAGGTTTAGTGTCCTCTTCATTCTCTACTAAAAACTATCATTTGAATTTAATTTGGAGGTTTTCAAGGAAATAGTCGAAATTATTTTGCTGTATGATAATTTTCAAATAAATTTCTGTAATAACTCTCAATTTTCCCGAGTCTAAAAGACCTAAACTCAAGCAAAGTTATATGTATTGAAGTTCAAAATTTTTGTTAATTTTTCGCATATACAGGGTGACTGGTGAATTACTATCGATATTTGAGGACGTGATATTTGACGATCATATATGACAAAATAAAAATTAATATGACATAAATATTAATAAACTTCTAAGTAAAGTTAACCAAAAGTTATATCATTAATTACGCATCGTATGAACACTCTACAGATTAGGTATACACACACACACACACACTCGCGCGCGGCGGCGTGTTGTTGTATCAGCACGCCGCCGCGCGCGTCCACACTTAGAACACTTGGAACGTGTACACACTTTATTTATTTATACGGAAATTTGGTCAAAAATTAAGTACCTATTTTTTTTACATAATTCGAATGACAATCATGTACTGAGTATGCTCCTTAAATATTGATAGTAATTCACCAGTCACCCTGTATATAAATAAGGTATAACATAATTTATATATTTAATTTTATTATTTACATCTTATTATTATTTTAAAAAATTAATATACGGGGTATTTTAAAATATTGACTATAGAATTATATTATTTAAATTTTACAACTACAATAAGAATATTATTATAATTAAAACTATTTTATATTATATATTCTTATGTCACATTTAATTTTAATCTCCACTTTCTATATTTCCCTTTGAATTAATTCGATCTTTAAACCTAGTTACTTGAGCTAACAACACTTACATTACAATCCAAAAATACAAATAAAACCTCTCATACACATATTTTTTATGTTATCCTATTCAATTCTATACAATTTTTCTTCGTTTTATATACTATTACAATATATCAGTACTTCTCAGTCCATAATATGTGCCATTTTTGTAGTCCTATACAAAATTCTTTAAGAAATGAATCTTTAATGTTATCCAAAGTATTTGTTCAATATTTTCTTCATCTCTCAAATGTCAATAAAACTTCAATCTCTATTTAAACTCTCAATAAAATGATACCTTTTTTTTGTGTTGCAAATTTATCTATATGTCATTTTATAAATTATTTCATTTCTTTTTAGATAGATCAAAAGAATAACGGGCTTAATGCATTTATATCCATTAAATTATTGATTACATTTCATAACAAAAATATCGGAAGTATTTTAAATGTACACTATTTAAAAATATATATATATACAGGGTGACTGGTGAATTACTATCGATATTTGAGGACGTGATATTTGACGATCATATATGACAAAATAAAAATTAATATAACATAAATATTAATAAACTTCTAAGTAAAGTTAACCAAAAGTTATGTAATGAATTACGCATCGTATGAACACCCTACAGATTAGGTATACACACACACTCACACATACGCGCGCGGCGGCGTGTTGTTGTATCAGCACGCCGCCTCACGCGTCCACACTTGGAACACTTGGAACGTGTCCACACTTTATTTATTTATACGGAAATTTGGTCAAAAATTAAGTACCTATTTTTTTTACATAATTCGAATGAGAATCATGTACCGAGTATGCTCCTTAAATATTGATAGTAATTCACCAGTCACCCTGTATATATATATATGTTTCTTAATAAAACTGTTACATAACATACTTACCGAGATAGTATATGTTAACAAAATTCATAAATACACATTCTGTACGATCTAAATGCAGTTTAAATAAAAATCTGAACTCAGCATCACGGAGGCTACTCAATATTGATAGCGTTGTAATACCGCGAACAAATGTTCGATTTTCAAATAGCCCTTTCAATAGCGTGGTCTGTATTCCATTTTCAAATATTTATATTTTTTACAGTAAATACTTTTTGTTTAATAACATTTATTTATTTCTAATCTCGGCTGTATTCTAAGGATATTTTTAATGTATATAAAGTGCGCTAGCTTTCATCGTGTGATAGATGTAGTCAGGTGTTTGAAGGTGGAGCGTGAATAATGTTTTGCAATTGTATGCTGTCAATACTAGTGCCGCGGTCGTGCCTAATGTGGCTGTATGGTTTGTGCATTTACGCAATGACATTCTGGTATCGGTAAATAAATATACTATTTATGGAATAAATCTGTCGGCTATAAATAATTAATTTGAAAAAAGAATATTTTATATTCTTATTTCGTATATGTCTTAATAATTAATAGACGCTTATACATATACGTTTCTTTCGACTGTACGTATCATAAAGATTAATTTCAAACTCTATATAATCTATGTTCACAGATATAAAATATTTTGTATATGTATATGTTTTCTCTAATTCTTCTTTATATATAATAGTATGTCACTTATACACACTGTGCCATCAATTTCCTTACCATTCGTTCCATAGAATTATAGTTTACACGATCATATATCAACTACCACGAGTTTGAATTTTAAAACTTTAAATAATTTACAATTTTTCGTGACGTACGAGGGGAGGTCAAAAAGTTCGCGAAATGGAGGGGATGGAGGGGGTTGATTTACTCGTCCAGGTAGTAACTTGTTCAACACCTCATTAATAGTATATATACCAAGTTTGAACCAAATCGGGTCATTAACTTTTGAGTTGTTGACCTGCAAACAAGTGAATCGGGAAGAAGTCAGTGAGTATGGAGAAAATTGAACACCGCGCCGTTATTAAGTTCCTCACCAAGCAAGGAAAATCCGCTCAGATAATTTTTGAAGAGCTGTTATCAGTTTACGCGGACTCTGCCCCTGGTAAAACCATGGTTTACAAGTGGCATGGACTTTTTAAACAAGGAAGAGAGTCCATTGAAGATGACGCCCGCTCCGGACGACCGATTGAGGCCACCACACCGAAAATCGTCGCAAAAGTAGAAAAACTTATATTGGAAGATGCCTGGTTGAAGAAGAAACGGCTTGGAGCAATGGTTAGAGTATCTGAAAAAAGCATTTTTAATATCCTACATCATCATCTTGGGATGACTAAGGTCAGTGCAAGATGGATTCCAAGAATGCTCACGCCACTTCAAAAGAGCGATCGTGTCGAGTGTTCTCGCCCGTTTTTGAAGCTCTGTGGAGAGAATAAGGACGAAGTTATGGACCGGATTTTTACTGGTGACGAAACCTAGGTTCACCACTATGAACCTGAATCGAAGCAAGAATCGATACAGTGGCATAAAAAAGGCACAGCTCCTCCAAAGAAGTTTAAAGTGTCACAATCGGCCGGAAAGATCATGGCGACTGTCTTTTGGAATACAGAAGGTATTTTGCTGATCAATTATAAAGATCGTGGTGTGACTATAACGGGACAGTACTACGCTTCTTTATTAGATAGATTGAAAGAAGCTATCAAGGAAAAAAGAAGAGGAAAGCTGTCAAAAGGTGTGCTCCTTTTGCACGACAACGCAACAGTCCACACGTGCCATGTTGCGACGGCTGCCATTCACCGATGCGGACTCGAAAAACTACACCACCCACCATACAGTCTAGACTTAGTCCCCAGCGACTATTATTTGTTTTCAAATATGAAAAAAAAGCTGCGGTGAAAAATATTTGAGAAGTCAAGTCCGCAATTTCGGCCTATTTTGATAGCCAAGATAAATAATTTTTTTCGAATGTATTAATAAATTATTTGTGAGATCCGAAAAATGTATTAAGGTTAAGGGAGACTATATTGAAAAGGAAAAATAGTTTCGTGTTAAATTTCAACCCCCTTCCCGCTCATTCCGCGAACTTATTGACCTCCCCTCGTATATACTTATAACTGCAAACTATAGGTTTTTAGTTTAATAATGAAAATAAATGTGGTAAGATAATTTAATATTATAATCAACATACATTGATTAGATTTAGATTATTTTGTTTCGATATTTATATGTAAGTTATAGTCCTTATCTCCACGAGTACCAATTTGACACTTAATGTACATTATTATAAGAGCCAATTTAAATTATCAAACCCCCCACCAGTGACAACTCAGTAGGAAGTTAATTTAAATTGGAGAAACCGTCATGGCGTTTTATATTTGCCAGTTGCGGTGTCGACGGCACTTGTAATTTTTAATTTATCTTATCTTAATTCTTATCTTTTCTTTTTTTTTAAATATATCTTTATCTTTATTTTTCACGAATTCTTCTGTTTGAATTTATCATAATGTTAATTATAATGTTATTGTGATTATCAATTGGTTTTCACATTGTAGTAATGTTTTAATTACTTTCTCGTGGAGATAAAATCTTTTTAATTTTATTATATTTGTCTGTAATACTAGTAAGAGTTTGCAATTATACTTATATATCTGACAATTTCATACAAAACTTTATGCTTTCTGTCTCTGTCTCTCTAAATATATACAGGGTGACTGGTGAATTACTATCGATATTTGAGGACGTGATATTTGACGATCATATATGACAAAATAAAAATTAATATAACATAAATATTAATAAACTTCTAAGTAAAGTTAACCAAAAGTTATGTAATTAATTACGCATCGTATGAACACCCTACAGATTAGGTATACACACACACTCACACAGACGCGGCGGCGGCGTGGTGTTGTATCAGCACGCCGCCGCACGCGTCCACACTTGAAACACTTAGAACGTGTCCACACTTTATTTATTTATACGGAAATTTGGTCAAAAATTAAGTACCTATTTTTTTTACATAATTCGAATGAGAATCATGTACCGAGTATGCTCCTTAAATATTGATAGTAATTCACCAGTCACCCTGTATAAACATTAGCTTTCCGACCGCAGCTTCGCTCGCTTGGAGTTCGGTTATATATATTTCCAAGAGAACCTTTCAAAAGTCTGGGATAAAAACTATCCTATGTTCTTTCTCAAGGTCAACTCCATCTCTGTACCAAATTTCATTAAAATCAGTTCAGTCGTTTAGGCGTGAAAGCGTAACAGACGGACAGAGGTACTTTCGCATTTATAATATTAGTATAAACATAGAAAGTTTTTTGTGTATCTGCATATGTTCATATATATAATCGGCATTTGTTCATAAGACAAGTTTTTATAAATATTTTTTTCTATTGGAACATGATATTTGCGTGCAATAATAAATGATTGGAAAATGTTAGCGTTTTGTTTAACGTGTTTATTACATACTACTGTGTCAACGAGCGATTGATGAGATTATTTTATTGACTAGCTTCTAGCCGCGGTTTCGTCCGCGTTGCCTATTATATTAAATAAGCTTTTTGAATACGAAAAAAACACATAAGTGTTAATGTAATGCCCGTGAAAATTATTGTTTCTGAATTTTTTTTACAACTGTATATTAAATAAAGGTGACATAAATTTCTGCGGATGAAAACCAAGTGTCAGGAAGCAAAATTTATGTCTGTTTTACCTTTCTTTAGTTTTGACAGCAGACTTCCAATACACACAAACACACATAAATACATCCTTATTACATTAAAACGATAGTCTTAACGGATTAAAACAATTCTTTGACCTGTTTTTTTTTAACATTCCATCGGATTCGTTGATCTGTTAAAAACATTGAAAGAAATTATAATAACATAACTACGATTTATTTAGGTCAATAAACAGAGGCATTGGAACTTTGAAATATTAAATTTTATATAAAAAATAATAAATATACATATTGTATCAGGGGTCAATTACTAGTTAGCAACAAATTACATAGAAATAAGGTAATTTAATATTATGTACTAAATGAAAATTCTATACTTATATGTAGATAAAATAAGTGAATTAATTTAGTTTAACGCAGGAAAAAAATTAAACTATAAGGTATATGTATATGAAAATTAACTGATTTTAATATGCAATGAATTATGAAATTTTTTGTTTTTTATATAGTTTAAGATTTCTTTATATGTAATGCATATATTAAGTAATTTGTATATATTCGTAATGTACATAGTAACATTATCATGTGTTTGAACGTTAAAAATTGTATTTTTTTGAACGTAAATCCGTCATTACGTCTAGAAGTAATACTAAGAGTAATTTCGTTAAAATTAAATAAAAATTATATATACAAAACATATACTAATTATCACGTTAGTCTTTATTTTATTCAATGTTCATATATTTTTCACATATTATGAATATTAGAGTTACAATAACGATATATATATGTTAAGGTAAGAATTTCTAACATTCAGTCTATTTTTAAATATGATAAATACTAGTAATATAATTCTCTATATATTTATTTCTCCCCAGTTGTTAGAGTTGTTCGACTCCGAGGATCCACGCGAGCGTGACTTCTTGAAGACCGTTCTCCATCGCATCTACGGCAAGTTTCTGGGGCTGCGTGCGTTCATCAGGAAGCAGATCAATAACATCTTCCTCAGATTCGTGTATGAAACGGAACACTTCAACGGCGTCGGTGAACTTCTAGAAATATTGGGAAGGTAAAGACGAACACCCATACACACACACGCATACATGTATTGTCACACACCCAAACACATGCATATTCAAACACACATACACACATTTTGTTGTTATTCTACTTTAAGCTTATTATTGTTTTAGACGATGGCCCAAAAACGAACCTTCCGTGACTATCCCTGTTTGAGTATGAAAATATCCATCAAATTTTGTTAACAATAAGAATAGTTTAATGTCTAAAAAGTATTATTTTTTGTTTAATAAATTATATGTAATTAGCAGTCATATGAGAGTTCATCTCTTAGTAACTCTAGAGACGATATTGTGTCTTGATCTTATACTATACTAGCTGCGCCTCGCGGTGTCAGCCGCGGATTTCAGAGATTTCCGAGATGTAAAGTAGCCTATGTGTTATTCCTGGACGTCAGCTTCCTGTATACAATTTTATCAAAATCGGTTCAGTCGTTTGAGCGTGAAGAAGTAACAAACATACACACACACACAAACTTTCGCTATTATAATATTAGTAGGATTAATGTCTTTAAAAGTATTTTCTTATAAAAATATATAGCTATAATAACAGCTGTGACGTCATTTTGGACGTTTTAGGTTAGTTTTTTATTTTGACATTGTTTAGTTGCTTTATTTTGTCATTCCCCCTAGAAAATTATTTTCTTTACAAAAAAATAATATAATGAAGATCTTCTTAAATCCTAACATTTTTATAGTTTATTTAACTAGATGTAGTTTAACCAAAAACTGGAATTGATGGTAAAGGAACTCTCAATACTATACAAGTAGAATATTTGTCATGTTCATTAGCACTTGTGTGTTTGTACGTTGTATTATAATACAACTCACGAGGAGAAATACATTTGATGTTATTCTGTCGTTTAAAATCAGATTTAAACAAATTTTTGAACATTCATACAGTACTATTATATATATATCTATATAAAGAAAGTTGTGTCAGTTACACAAATTATAACTCAAAAACGGCTGTAGGGATATAGTTGAAAATTGGTGAAGAGATAGCTTAGAACCAAAAGATGGACATAGAATATTTAATTCGTTTCGATACAAAAAGAAAAAAAATACTTAATAAATTCCAATATCCGGTTTTTTACCGCCTCTAGGGCGGAATAGAGGTCCCCGGCCGGCTATACACATATTACTAATTCCGAAATTAACACGGACTAAGTCGCGGACAAGAACTAGTATATATAAATATACATATACATATTATATACAGGGTGACTGGTGAATTACTATCCATATTTGAGGACGTGATTTGTGACGATCATATATGACAAAATAAAAATTAATATAACATAAATATTAATAAACTTCTAAGTAAAGTTAACCAAAAGTTATGTAATTAATTACGCATTGTGTGAACACCCTACAGATTAGGTATACACACACACTCACACATACGCGTGCGGCGGCGTAGTGTTGTATCAGCACGCCGCCGCACGCGTCCACACTTAGAACACTTGGAACGTGTCCACACTTTATTTATTTATACGGAAATTTTGTCAAAAATTGAGTACCTATTTTTTTTACATAATTCGAATGAGAATCATGTACCGAGTATTCTCCTTAAATATTGATAGTAATTCACCAGTCACCCTGTATATACATATGGAAAGTATGTCATAAATACTGTTTCGTCATAATTGTGTAACAAATATACAAACACATAACATGTAATATAAAGTGCTCTTGTAACAATAGTATGCATCATACATGCCATTCGATGCCTTGTAAGTCGCCGTCTAGAGTGCACTCAATAATAACTTTGAAAATACTTGACCTATCTAATCATTGATATTAAATGGTAACGCGTAAATTAACTGTTTAAATTATATAACATATATATAATTACAATTATTTCAGTAAATTAGGACACATAAATTTATAATTAACATTTAAGTAATGATTATATAAATTGAAATTTAATTAATTTAAAATGTACACAGTTAATATAGTATCTCTTTTTATAAAACGGCTGTATATAAAATAAATCTTTATATACTTCGTCAACAATCGATCTCTAGCTGCCTTTTGTAAAATGTTATTATTTTTAATGAGAATAAATTCCCATCAAATGTCATACACGACCTTGTTTTTGACAACCACATAACATAGACAACATATATCTTGCAGCATAAATTAAATATCATATAAATATGTTTCTGAATAACAAACAAATGAAACCAAGATCCCATACAATACAGCCAAGTAATCCCTACTAATATTATAAATGCGAAAGTAACTCTGTCTGTCTGTTTGTTACGCTTTCACGCCTAAACCATTGAACTGATTTTAATGAAATTTGGTACATATAGAGTTGACCTTGAGAAAGAACATAGGATAGTTTTTATCCCAGACTTTTGAAAGGTTCTCTTGGAAACGCGATATAACCGAACTCAACGCGGGCAGAAAGCTAGTTATTAATGTTTTAATCTATGTTGCAGCATAATAAACGGATTCGCGCTGCCGTTGAAGAGCGAACACAAGCAGTTCCTTGTGAAGGTGCTGCTGCCGCTGCACAAGGTGAAGTGCCTCACGCTGTACCACGCCCAGCTGGCGTACTGTGTGGTTCAGTTCCTGGAGAAGGACGCAACTCTCACGGAACCCGTTGTACGCGGCCTGCTAAAGTTCTGGCCGAAGACTTGCTCGCAGAAAGAGGTATGTACAGAGACGAAACTTCTCAGCATTCAATGGATTCTTTGCGGGTGTGGTCCATCGTTGTAGAGAGGAGCTTCAACAGTGACTGGGACTTGCAACCCAAGTGTAGGTTTAAGGAGCCCCTTCACTAACGCGTTTTATACGCTCACATCCACTGTCCAAGCTCCTCTCCCTATGTATAATGTATATAACGTCGGGGATACTGCAAATCCGCGTATCTACATTGGAAGCCGATTATCAGAAGAAAGTTTAAGCTGTAATATTTTCTATATTAATGACTATTAAGGTAATTTTTTCAGAATTAGTAATTATTTAGTGTTTAATTTATTACTAAATAGGATTTGCACTATCCCCAACGATATACACTTGTATATGTGTGTGTCTGTGTGTGTGTTTATGGTTTATCAAATTTGTTACTTTGGTTTACAAACTCGTACACCTTAAATATGAGGCATCCCTTTTTATTTACCTGTAATGCTTTACAGTATTAAAAATAGTTTTCTCTGATAGCGGTATTTCTTTGAAACTTTGTTTTATATAGTGGGACCTTGAATAAGTTCTTGTTTATTATTTTTTATAAAATACAAACTATTTATTTGTTTCTGTGGATGTTGATAGTTGTGCAGGCGAATCCACTTTGAATTACCATGGCGCATCAGTTTTTTATTTCTAATTGCAAAATTCTTCTATTTACGGGTAGCTCAAGGAGTAATTCAAATGCCGTTAGAAGTTTCTTGAATAGTATCCAAATCCATGCTTCTAGATCATTCCAAACATATTTAAACGTTTTGAAATGGTTGACTCGTCAATAATGTTCATGGGTTAATTCCTACAATTTTCTATACAAAGTTTTTTATCCAGCCATAAAATTCTGTGTTCAATATCCTAATTGAAGCGTCGAAACCAGTCTGTGCATGAATCCGACAGAGTATTGGCGTCTTAAGTCAACGAGAATTCTTCAACAGTTGAATTTCTCGTTTGATTAATATAGAACAATAAAATTCCCCGCAAAAACACTTTAGTCGGCACAAGAATGGGCGTTTCTAAAGTATTATAAGATTACTTTTCTAACTGTACATTGAACAATCATTCATTGAAATGACACCTGAGATGAATTACTCCCTTGAAAATATGTTCCCGTGCGAAATTTCAAGTGAAAAGAGCTATTACTTATTCAAGGTCCCAATATACCGTAAAACATATATTATTAGCACTGAAAAATTCTTTTTGTATACGAAATTGGTTGTAATTTCTTTTATCTCATGAAAATGTTCTAAGTAATAATATTTTTATTGTTCAGTGTAATTAAGTCTTCATCATTAAACCTTATCGTATTATTTTCCAGGTGATGTTCCTCGGTGAGATCGAAGAGATATTGGATGTTATTGAACCGGCACAATTTGCTAAAATACAAGAATTGTTATTTAGACAAATTGCTAAATGTGTGTCCAGTCCACACTTCCAGGTATATATAAATAAAAATTAATAAATAATATACCTATCAATATATAAAATTCTATAATCTATATATAATGCACGATAATTTCAGGTCGCGGAACGGGCGCTATACTTATGGAACAACGAATACATACTGTCACTGGTTGAGGAGAACAATCAAGTTATAATGCCAATAATGTTCCCAGCTCTTTATAGAATGAGCAAGGAACATTGGAATCAGACCATAGTCACGCTCGTCTACAACGTACTCAAGACCTTCATGGAAATGAATTCTAAACTGTTCGACGAACTCACCGCCAGCTATAAGGCGGAAAGGCAAAAGTTAGTAACTCAGATATAGTATTGTAGCGTTTAATATGAAACAGTGGGGTAATAATGTTATTAACTGTGTTTCCAGAGAGAAGAAACGCGAGAAGGAACGCGACGAACTGTGGAAGCGGCTCGGGGAGATCGAAATAAGCCAGAAAAGGCAGCAGGCGGCCAAGTGATGACCTACACGACCGCCCTCCACCCGCTAGATAATGCATACCATTTTATTTTCACTTATGTATTCATATTTTGTATTCGATTACATTTTTGTTAATGACGTTATTAATTTTTTATACCTCTTAATGAACGGTACGTTCGGCGCCCTCGTCCCGCCACAAGCCGCGCCCCTGCGCCACACGACCGCGCCCCGAATGCACTAACATTTATTGTAATAGTATTTTATATTCGTTTACGTAGGATACTAGATTACTTTAGGATTTTTAATATTGTTAAATTGTTTAATAAGTTAAAAGTTGTATGTATTATTGATGCATGAACGATTGTATTGCATTTCGGATCACCGATGATTGTATTGATCGGGCACCCAGCTTTCGGCTGAAAAATGATTGTACAAAAAAACTAATAGGAAAATTCGAATATGTAATATGTTTAGTATGCGGGTCCCGGCGCGGAGGGCCAGCCGTGCGCGGCCGGAACGCTCGTCCCACACGCGCGGCTCACACGCGCGGCCGACACGCGCGTCCAACACGCGCGTCCGACACTCACGAGCGGCACGGTCGTCTGCCGGGACCCGCGCGTAGTATGTTCTATGAAAATTTGTTTTACTAGTTGCTGGATACAAAAATGTAATTTTGTCGTACTATCATTTTGTATAGATACATAGTGTAAATAGGCATTTATTTATTATAAATTTATAGCAGTGTGATTTTTATACATAGCTGCGGGAGTGGGACACGATAACTGATCGGAGACCGATCTGAGAACACTGGAAACAAACATGTATCACGCATACGGCTCGGTAACACTAAAGAGTTCACTGGATTACATTGGAGTAGAACAATGCTATAGAGTAATGCTATATTATATAATAATTTGTAAGGGAATAGTCATTAATTTGTATGATATTGCTATAGCCATTAATTTTTCTATCATCACTAGTAGAGCGGTCCGCGCCTCTTTATATAGTATGTACGGTACGTGTAACGCGTATGAATGTATGTACACTATGGAGATGTCTGTTATGTAAAATGTATTAACATGCAAAAATTATATGATCTTATATATAAATTACTATTATAGTACACAGTATGGAAATAAAAAATTGACTCACATGAAATGGATTGTTTAAGTATGTGTAAATGTAGGCGCGGCGGCCCCCCAGTGTACGTGAGAGCGGTCGCTCGCGTGCACCCAGTCGGCTCGAGCCGAGTGAGGCCGAAGCGAGCCGAGTAGAGCCGAGCAAGGCCGAGTAGAGCCGAGCCGAGCCGAGCCGTAGTGCCGTCCGCCGAGCTGTTCCGCCGCTGTCCCCTCTCACGTCCTTATATTTCTCGGTCTCGCTGAATGCATAACAAATACACGAGTCATTTTCACTTTTATTAGTTTTTCATTTGTGCTAGAACACATTCGAATATCTGATTATATTATTATATATTACTTTTATCGGAGATTTATTGTTATGAGTATCGATTGTTTAGGTTAAACATAAACAATAATTGTGTTGTAAAATATGTGTACTTGGGTAAAATAATAAAAAAAAACACAAATATAATAAAAATTTTGATAATTCTTGTACCACAAATCTGTAAAAAAAAAATAAAACTAATTCGTAACCATTAGCGCTGAGCTTAATTGGGCTTACTTTTTACTTATTTCTTGCTTACACATCCATACTATCCGATGTCGCGGTGTGGTTGTCGAAATTCGATCCATACCACAAGAATGACTGGTGACGTCACACAATATCTTATTTCGAAAGAAAAAATTGCTGTTGATTTATTTTTTTAATTTTCTTATAAAAGACTGCACATTGCTTATACCTAAAGTGTAACTCGCAACCCTATAGCTGGGATCCCGTTGACTCGAAACGCTTATAGAATTATAATATTAAACAAATATAAAGAATTAAATGTAAAACGATAGACATTTAAGATTTTTGTGCAGTTTTGTTAATCTTTTTGTTTAAATAAATGTAAGTTGACAGCAGCATCTACGCTCTTATATTATTTACAATAGAAGGAACCTCGTATAGGTGTTAATCATTTTGTTTTACATACATTGTGAAATTGAAAATGAACGACAAATATATATTTTACAATTTATTTATATAAAAACCCAAGTTATTTCAAATATTTCAGTTGGAATATTAATAAGTTTTATTTAGTTTACTCTTTTTATCCTTATAGTCTTTCAAATTGAATCAAATAATATGATATCAAGGTCCAAATATAGTCGTAAAATAATACTCATAGAACTATTGTTTAACACATGTATACAGGGTAACTGGTGAATTACTATCAATATTTGAGGACGTGATATTTGACGATCATATATGACAAAATAAAAATTAATATAACATAAATATTAATAAACTTCTAAGTAAAGTTAACCAAAAGTTATGTAATTTATTACGCATCGTATGAACACCCTACAGATTAGGTATACACTGACACTCACACATACGCATGTCGTGACGTGGTGTTGTATCAACACGTCGCCGCACGCGTCCACACTTGAACACTTGGAACGTGTCAACACTTTACTTATTTATACGGAAATTTTGTCAAAAATTAAGTACCTATTTTTTTTACATAATTCGAATGAGAATCATGTACCGAGTATGCTCCTTAAATATTGATAGTAATTCACCAGTCACCCTGTATATTAAATACATTATGTAAGGAATTTAATATTATTGAATATTTACTATAAAGATACAGTCACATATCTTTAAACGTAATAGTATAATAATGTGTTCGTAAATAGTATTTTTGTTATACCTCACACACAAATTTTTGTCGTTTCCATATAACTTTCATATTAATGAAGTCAATACAGTTAAAAAATTAAAGTGTACGAATATTTTCAATTTCACTCTGTATAAATATTATGATATAGGGATATCCTTTAGAACCAAAATCATAAATGTATTACCAGATACGTTCTATTTTTAAATTTTGGATGTCCTTTGTGAGTTTGGCGGGAAATTGCTTTAGTCATTGTTTATTTAAGTGATGGCTGTGATCCACATAGAACAGCTTAAAATACATTTTATTAGTATTGTAAATTTTTAAAAACCTGTTCAAATATTGTAACTACATATGACGATAATGCTATTTCTAAAAATATATGAACTTTAATAAATAAGGAACAGAAATATTGTTTAATAAAATAAATATATAGCATGAGATTTGAAATCTTCTTATCCTAAATTGAAGTTATATAAAATCAAATGGTTCAAAAGAAAGTCTCATAAAATACATATCTGGCTGCGACATCGGTCATGCTGAACTTATACCGATCGATAGATGTTTATAGATGTAATAAGTTCAAGTAGTAAAATTGCCATAGCTACCTGATCGCAAACATTACACCTGTTTCTCCGCATTACGGCATTAAGTAACAATCTGTTGCAAGTCAAACAAGTATTTCTTGAACATCGTTTATATTATAATAAAATGAGCAGGAACTCTCGTTACTATACGGCACCGGTGCCGAAGATGCCACCAGGTTTGATCGAGCTTATGGATGGTCTAGCGAGGGATGTGCTTAAAAACAATCCAACAGATCTATACGGGTTTTGTTCTGAACATATGAAGAAATTACTGCAGACCAGAGACAGCTCAGAGGTCAAGTCAGGTTTGAGTAAGTATATATAAAAATATAAGCAATTAAACACATTTCAAACTGATTTTGTTTCTACATTGTTATCAAATATTCGATAGAAGTAAAGCAGTCACTAACGTTGGAGCAAAAAATTGCAATAGTCCAAAAAATTATCAACGAAAGAGCAGTATTACGACGAGAGGCGTATGACAAAAACACACAAATAACAAAAGCTCAGACTGTAGAAAATATTAATATTAAAGAAGACTGTGTTAAAGATTCTAATACAGATAATGATGTGAAAAATAACGTAACAGATATACCAGAGCAATATATAAAAGACAATGTTATACAAATAGATGAGGTTAGTTTATCTGGTAATAAAGAGCATGAGATTACTGTAGGTAATGTTGAATTAAGTAAGGATATACCTTTATCTGAGGCACCTAAAGATGACCCTGTACTGGTTAAGGATGACGATGATAAAAAGGAAATTATTGAAACTATTAATAAAACTGGTCCTGATGCTGGTGCCGACCAGAATGTCTCGAAAGGTAATGGTTTAAAAGATGATAATGCTATACACAGTGCAGAAAGTGATGTTTCCGTTATAGGAATAGAAAACAATGCCGATGCCGATAATTCAATTAATTTAGACAATGTTAATGCATCTGCACCAGTTGTGGTTCAAAGTTTGATTGACGAAACAGTTAAAAATAATACTGAAATTGTCGAACAAATAGTCGTAGCCGAAGAAAAGAAAGACGATGACAAAAATAATGAATGTAACAAAAACGATATTGTAAATGAAATTGAGGCTAAAGAAGATATTGATATTCATGACACTAGTAAAGATGCAAGTAAAATAGATCAAAACAATGATATCGTAGATGACAAACAAGATGTAATATCTATAAGTTGCGAAAGTGAGGCTCTTAATTCTGAAAAGCAAGGACAGGCTGATGAAATAAAAAATAATGATATAACATCGTCTGAAATTAACAACGACAGTAAGAATAAAACGGAATCACTAGAAACTGAATTAAATCTTAAACCGTTAACATCAATAAATAACGACAATTCCAATGAAAATAATATTAATGAGAAGCCTTTGGATAACGCAAATGAATTGATTAAAACAGAAGCTTCAACTATAAGTGCTGATAATAATAATGAAGATAAAGAGTTGAAAGAACCGTTTGATAGAGAAAACATATCGGATCATAAACAAAACTCTTTAACCAATGATGACAAGGATAAAAATGAACAAAAACTTGGTAACGCAGTCAATGAAACTGCCATGGATCTTGAGACAGCAGCAATAACGATACAGAAAGTGTTCCGTTCTTTTCTTTTCAGGAATAAAACTTTAAGTAGCGACGACGCCACTAATGTGGACATTAATTTGTTGATTGAGGATAAAGATCAGAAGGTACCATAAATAGCATTCTTAAATAATACACTATAAGTTCACACGATTTGTTTCCGACGCCTTACCCTGTGTAAATTGTTTAAGTGACGCTATTTTGTTTTCCCAAATCCTTTACAAAAGATTGCTTTTTATTTTTTAACCTCTTGCGTCGATTACAATCTTTATAAAAAACACGCAACTCAGCGGAAACTAATCATGTCACCTAACTTTTACTAGCATAAGTATTTCATATTTTTCATTAAATTTTTCAGGATGGTAATGAGATTCTATCTGGTCAATCGAATAAAGATCGAAGAAGTCTAGGTTTAAGTAGAATTGACAGTGTTTTACAAACTGTAAACGAAGAGCAGTCTCTGTCTCTGTCAACTGATGATTCTTCCACACTATCAAGCGCTGCCACTATCATACAGGCTCATGTTAGAGGTTTCTTGGTAAGAAACAAACTGATTGGTAACAAAGCTAACTCCAGTACCTCAGGTTTTGATTCGGATGGGCATTCTATTGCGTCGTTGGAAATCGATAATGATGGACGAAAAAATAAAACCGTCCTTAACATCCATATAGTTCCCGAAGGTGGTCATTTTATGAGTCGGGATGAGAGCATGCTTACTTCTATCGATCTGTCGGTAGATGGCAGCCCGCGGGATTCAGTTAATCTTCATCCTATGGGCCATGATACTAGTGAGAGACGAAAGCTATTGAAAAGAGAGGATGCCATCCAGTCAATCTCACCGCCGAGTAACAACAGCGGGAAACACAGCGAAGAAGTTGATTCAGTGAAAGAAATATTGGAACAAGATACACAAGCAATGAATCAAAACGAATGTAATGGCATCATAGATCCAAATAAATCAAATACAAATGAATCAAAGGAAAAGTTACCTGAAGAAAAAAACGATGAAATTAAAAACGCAGATGCGCTTGGTTCATCAAAATTAGGAACATCAGACTTTAGTCTTCCCTCTCTAGCATCAGACGAAATGGATGTAGTCACACCGTTCACAGCAACAGACACCGACGGTGAATCTAGAATAATTCATTCAGGCGAGTGTCATGACGTGTTGCTACCAACGACGGTGTCACGTACAGACACCTCAGTCGTCCGTGGTGAGTGAAGACATCTTGTCAGGTGATAATAATTAATACTTTCCCTTCTATTAAGGCCAACGCATGATTGCTTACAATTTTTATCTAAATAGTTATTTTGCTGTAACTAATTTTGAGCTATTGCTAGTAAAAAAACTAGTGTAAACTGTAAAGTCTTAGAATTTGAAATCTTTTGGAAGTTTTATATTTTAGAAATCTAATTATGTAGACAATCTAAATGATTTGTTTGTAATTAAGTAATTAGTTTTTGTAAAATTGCCATTATTACATATTTTTTCTATAAAGGCACTTGCACTTATACCTTCAGTAAGAGAATTGTATGCGAAGGCTTGGAGTAATACATTTTGGTAGATTTTTGTACAAATTGAAAACCTCTAATTACATCTTTAAGTATTTTATATGATTTTATTTATATCTTAATGTTTGTTTTTCAGAATTTCACAATGTCTTAGTATATTTCTTATTATGGAACAACGCGTAACTAGCAACAAACTTTAAAAGTATTTATGCATTTAAAATTTATACCACTTCGACCGTAGTGGATGATTTTTACATAAGATATGTTTTATTACACTATAAGATTAATTTTATAAACTCGACACTTGATAATGTTTACAAATTATTCTAAAATAAAAAATTTAAAAAAGTTTTTAATTTCTTTTTATTCTTTATATTCCTGCATTGACGTTATCATGAAATTACTATTAAATTAGATTTTTAAAGCATTTCATTTTTTGTGAAAGTGAGTATGGTTGCATGTTACCGCAAATCTGTTTTGATGAATTAATTTGAAAAGAAAACTATCTGCCTTTATTTAGTAAGTGATATTATTTAACAAATTTAAGTTTCTAAAAGTCTTAAAAGCTTAAAAAACTTCTTCGTCATGTAAAGTTCAAAATAGTTTAATTCCAAATCTTTTTCAAATGAAGCGCTTTGTGAAGATACTTAATTAGTATCTTTAATAATAATTATAGAAAAATAATTGAACTAAATCTACTAATATTTTACAATTGAATATACATACATAAATATATTTGCATACTTTTTGTTATTCTTTATTACTACTATTTGTCATGCTTCGGTGCATCGATTTTAAAAGAAGTGAAAAAGAAAAAGCATGAATTTCTTGACGTTCATTAAAAAGGATAATTTCGTGGTCTTTTATTTTATTAGATTTTTACAGTAACAGATACCAACTTCTGACTAGTGTTTTTTTAAATGATCACAGGCAATATATTTCTATACAGTATAGACTAGGAAAAACTTCGCAATCAATGCAAATTTCAAATATCTAACCCGACAGTTTTAAATGCAGATCTATAGTTTTATTCTATCTTTTCTATAATATTATCCCAGTTTTCAGTTTAAGCTTCGAAATCTATTGTTTTTTTCTTAAGATGTTAGAGTCATCTAAATTAGATGCTACGTAGTAGTGTTCTATGCACAAAGTTAGCTTCAGTAAAACCTGTTATATTCGATCTGGAAGTGACCCTAAAATCAAGAAGATTTACAAATTGAAAATGAGGTAGTAGCTAGTTATACTATTTTATTCTTTGCCGACGATCAGCTATTATTTCATTTTATGGATTATCCTTTCAAGATGTTATAAATAAGCTACTTGAAAAAAAAAAGATGGATATAATTATATCCTGAAGTGTTATAATACTAGCTTTTAAATATTACCTATTTTATGACTTATGAGTAAAACATTGATTAAAACTGATAATCACATGACTTTTCTTCGTCATTAATTCACTCTTTAAAATGTATTATTTTCATTAACTCTATTAAAATAAATAAAGACAACATTGTACATAGGTGTTTTTTAATTTGATATTTACGACGTTTTTGTCTACATTTTTACTCTATGCTGAGGTTGGCGCAACTGTCTAATTGTCAAATACTTGGTTCTCGTGCTTAGTGCGTGATTGTTTCGATTTATCGTATAAAATACACAATTTATAAAATATAATTGGTTTCTTTTTAAGTTAATATTCCAAAGATAAAAACCATATATCGAAGAAGTATAAAAAGTTATTGAACCAACAATAAGTTTCCTTTCGAAGAAAAAAAGATATATATTTACAATTTAAACATATTTATTTCATATTTACCAAAAAAATATGCCTTTGCCACCTGCGTTGGCTGCTAGATTGGCTAAGCGAGGAATATTAAAAGAAACTACTAATACTGATGTAGCATTTGATGCACCAACAGCTCAAGTTAACGAGGAGATTATAGCAGAAGATTACGATAATAACACAGACCAAGTGAATCATAATGAACGTTTCTGGGAAGGTATAGAAGGTGTAAATGTTGACCCTATTAAAGGTCATAAGGGTTGCCCCAATAAAAGTAATATTTACCATGAGTGCTCGAAATATTGTGTTAAAACGTGGAAGCAAGGCAAACCGTCACCATCTGACAAATATTTGGAAGTCAAACGAAAAGTCTTAGAACTATGGCCCTTACCACCAGGATGGGAAGAAGTATACGACGAAGGTACTGGGCATTATTACTTTTGGAATGTTCACAATAATTTAGTGTCATGGTTGCCGCCATCCCATCCTCGAGCAATTCAAAGCGAAAGTGCGGCACATCTACGCGAAGAAAGATTATTACGTGAAGGGGATGAAAGTGACGACAGCAGCGAAGCTTCAGATCAAGAAGTGCCGCAGCAGCATCAAAGGATGAAAAGAGTTGATAGGAAGGATAGGGAAAGAGAAATGGTTCATCACAGGGATAAGAAGAGGCATAGGGTTAAGGATAATGACCTAGATCCTATGGATCCCGCCTCTTATTCAGATATTGCGAGAGGTGGCTGGACGGCAGGTTTAGATGCTCATGCGAAGACAGGGGTTGATTCAACAGCTTCTGGTTCTCTGTATCAGATGAGACCTTATCCTGCTCCAGGGGCTATCTTGGCTGCTAATGCTAAGGGCTCATCACCACCTCCATCTCCCAATTAAGAATATTGAATAAAGTTAATGATTTCAAGTTAATATTCACATTTTTATTTATCTTTGTTGTTATAAAGGTGAATGGTTAATTCTGAAATAGACAATTCATGTACAGGTTAATATAGACATAACTTGTGTGTTATTTTCGACACAGATGAACTAATGTGAAATAGAAATTGAAAAAGTAGACTTAAACAGGAACTCCAGAGATAGAAAATAAATGTTTTTAAATAATATCATCCTACATAAATACTATCCAAACCCTTCAATGAATGCTATAAAATGTTCCCTAAACAAAAAGGATCTTTCAAGATTAAAAAATAATATATATCAGAGAGTAAGAAAAGTATAATTATTAATTGAGGTTGCTTAGGATTGATAAAGTAATATGAAGTTACTTGTGATTAAAAACAGCCTGGACTCGGGGTTGTTGAAGAGACTTGTTCGTCACATGAAAATCTTCATTGAATCTTAACTTATTAAGTGTTAGCATGTTAGAAATTTATTATTTTGATGAAGAAAAACGATCCACTATCTGTAATATACACATGGGAGGGAGTCTAGAGACACCCTTTTAAATAAAATTCTGATTCTATATTTAGTTCAGGTATATTTTAATGTATCGGTACAGTTTACCCTATACTTACTTACTCTTTATCGTCATGATTACTGGAATAAGTCATTTTTTTGCCAATATTACTGTAGAGTGTGAAACAAGAGACAAAACGTCCCAGCATTCCATGGATTCACCGTGCGGGTGCCGGGTCCATCGTGATGCAGTGAGAGGAGCTTCAACAATGCCTGGGACTTGCAACCCTATCTAATCCAAACGCTTACCTCCACCGTCCACGCTCCTTGTTCAACCTGACCTGACCAATTTTGAAACAAATCTATTAGGCCTGCCTTCAACACACTTTCCAAGAATGAACTGATGATCGTACTGGACTGGCCTAAGTCTTAGTAGATTGTAGAGAGATTTAGATGTTATACCTTTTGCTCCCACTTCTACCACGTACAAATTTAGGAATGAATTTCCATTGTGAAACTCAGTGAGTTAGTAATACTTGTCGATTTGGTGGCATGATCTGGTTGGGGATGTTGGTTTCCCAAGAAAGCGTGAGTTCTATTGGCTCAAAGCGCTTTTTAATTTGTGAATATAAATGTCTGGTCTGGTCACAAAAATTCTATAAGATTTTACATGACTTCTCATATGTATCCTAGATATCACTGGAGCAAACCACACTTATCCCAACTCATTTAGTATTTTTTTAAGACAATATTTACTATAAAATAAACAAAACAAGCAGGAACCAGTACCAATTTTTATTATGAAGGTACAATAATTAATATTATAATTTAAACAATATAATTATTAAATTATTCTTTTTGTAAATTTCACTACTGTTGGAGGGAAGACAAATGTTTATATTTCATATAAATGCAAAATATTTATTATGTCCTATAATTGTATTTTATATTTATTGACATTTAAAAATATGTCTTAAAATTGTATATACTAAATTCAGTACATTAAAAAAAACTTTAGAAGGCCACTGTAAATTGTATACAATAAAATGAGTATATATTTGAGTAATAATGTTATTTGTGAACTTAATCTTTCAATCTATGTTTTCCTTTTCATATTTCATTTCCCATTCATCTTATGTTTTTTATTTGTGACATATTCCAAGATATCTTCGGATGTTATGTATCCCACTGGCTTTTGGACATGTTGTTCACCATCTGAAATGTTAAAAATTATATAAATCCTTAATATTTCAAATATATATTTATTTTTTATCACACGGGAGTTATTTCACATTTAAATTAATAAGCTTGAAGGTGGTAGAGTCTAGCTGTGGTCAAATAACTACAGCTCGCACATGGGTTGGGTTGAATCAGGAAAGTACTGTCCTCTCACAGAAGATCAGCGTGAAGAAGTCATTATTAACTGAATGTCGTCCAATGAGTGAAAGAGCCAGTTGCTCTTTCACTATTCCCACCCCCCTTTCTTGCAATTTCCTTATACCCACCCCTCCCTTTTCCATAACAACTTAGGTTGGTAACACATCCATACTCTCTGTTGCAAATGTCCATGGGCGATGGTCTACTGACCATCAGAAGGGCCATCTACTCAATTGCCACCTTTTAATTAAAAAAAAGTTACTCTGCAAACTAAAACAACATATTTTTACCTGTTTTAACAACCACAACATAAGGTGCTATATCTAGTATTCTAGACACACTGCCCAGCGTCGGATTGTCAGAGAGGTCGACTTTGTAGAACTTCTTCACTGTGAATTTATCAAGAGGCTCTTCGGTGGATCCTGACAGATGGGCCAGTCTCCGTCTAGCGTTGTCTCCACTGAATATACCACTGATTGAACTGAAATATTATAAAAACTATCAATTTAATTGAAAGATTCGACGTTATTGGTTTATGTTGAAGAACTGTACAAGTGATATTACACATATTTACTGTTACAATGCTTTTGAGGTTCAGCTCTTGAATTATTTATGTAAGAACATATTATGAATTATTCTTTTCCGTTACTAGAAGCGGACTTTTCTGTTTTGGTTTTTCGACTTATTTCTTATTCCTGCGTAATATGTTCAAGAAACAAGATCACTATGTATGTATATATCATTAAAAGAACAAGGAAGAACAACATCAGCCTGAATCATAATATGGATTTGATAATGAAAAAAGGGGTTTTAAAGAGAAACTGTTTTTAAAATTAAATTTTAAATTTCGTCATTTTGTTTGTCAGTGTGACAGTAACTTTTGACGTATGATTCCTTATCAGTTGTTATTATTTAAAGGTTAATAAATTACTTCTAGTTATTTATTCTAAAAAGCAAATTTTGTCGCAAAAAATTCCCTTGCAAAATATAAATGGTTTCGACAAATTTATTGAATTTATAGATATTAAATATGCAAATAGTATTAAAGCCTTCCTGGTATTCAAACATCATTTGAAATGAGTTTAAATGAAAAATCTTAGAAAACTAAATCTAGCTTCTTTAACCCATATTACTTTTCGTTTTCGTCCTTTTAATATATCACGAATTCGTTAAATTTTGTAAGGCTAGAAAGGCTGATTATACTTGATGCCAGTTAATTTTAACTTTCGATATTTTAATTCATAGATATTATAAAAGTTACCTACCCCTTGTCATTCACGATAGGAAGGAGAGTGGATTTGTTTTCTCTCAAAGCTGCTATAGCTTCAACAGTAGTACTGTCTTGTGATAAACTCTTAGTTACTTGGACTAAATCATCAGTCAGAGGATTATTCCACCACCTGCAAGAGAAAATAGTTCCTATAGATTCGACGAAATTTTGTTTATTGCACAGTAATAATAGTTGTATTTGTTATAAACAGAGTTTTGTTTCTTCTATCTGGCAATATCACTGCTTTAGCAAGGGTCTGCCTTACATGTTGTGAATAGTTTTGGCTAATTGTTTTTACGACCGGCCGCCCTCCTGACATCAACCCTCTTTGGGAATGCATTAGTTAGTGATGTCTAAATACTCTTAGAAAATACATATGTCTCGGAAAAATCACCTTGGTACTTGCCAGGGCCAGGATCGAATCCGCGCTCTCGTGCATGAGAGGCGGGTCTTTTTAACCATTAGGCCACCACTGACTTAAACAGAGTTTTGTTTATACAAGGACTTAGTTTTCAGAGGTTTGAAAATTTTGTTGCATTATTATTAAAAATTAGTTATTTACAATTTTTGTTTTCCATACTTTCCCTCATATCTCACTTGATACGAGAATTGAAAAATATTATCATAGTTTCAATTGTAAACAAAATTTTGCACGAGAATTCATTGTTTGGGATTTTAAATCGTATTGACGAATGACGATAAATTTTAATAACATTACATCACTTTAGCTGCGCGATATTTGTGACAAATCGATTTAAACGAATCGAATGACGTAAAACCATGTGTTGATATCGATTATGAGTTTATCAGGCAGAGTTTAAAGGTGTCACATTATTTACGAGTTTCAACGAAGGTCGATGTTCGGGTTATTTAATGAAATATATAATATTTTTTATGTTCCTGTTATTAATTGAACGATAATAGTGTCAGAGGTTTTTGATTTCTTTTATATATTAATTTTTAATGTAATATCGTTTCTTTTTCAACGTCATGATTATACTTCGGACATTGTCTACAACATACAGATTTTTTTAAATATTTCATATACCTACAATTAGTACGTCAACCGTTTGTGATTAACCAAAAATTTTAATTATTTTTAAAAATAAATTTATAGCATCTCATTTTCTTTTATTATATTAAACTTTATTTCAAATCTTACCATAGTTTTTCGTTATTATCGTAAGGCTTAAAGCCGCGTGCCTCCATCCACTGGTCAGAGATGAATTTCGTCATATAGTTACGTATATTGTCTGGTAATAGAACCACACATCTTTGACCCGCTTTAAGAGATTTCGCCGCTTGTATTGCTCCCCACATCGCGGAGCCACTGCTGCCTCCTGTATAGTAAAAATATTAAAATATAGTATTAAATGTATATATGGGATTTAAAGTAAGTTTTGTCTAAATTATTTCCTACTTATCCATTTTTAACTAGTTCAAATCTGCGACTTCGTCTGTTTTTAATATATTAATAATTTTTTGTAGGTCTAACAAAATATTATGCATTATATAAGTATGTGGTGTTGTTTCGTAAAATAATAATTATACTATATTAAATTATGATATCGAAATATTATTTCGTTTAGAATAACATTAACGAAATAGTACACATAGAAATGCTTTTTTAATTTTCACTTTGAATATAAAAAAGTTTATAGAATAACACAAGTTTTGAATTTATAATTGTCTATGGTTTTTCCTTCATAAATCGTCCTAAATAACTTTTAACGTGGAGTTATTTCAGCAAACTGGTGACTCTGCGTATTTAGTTACACGTTTGAAACTTGTGATAAACATACAATATATATTTTTATCAAATATAACAGGAGCTCATAGTAACAGCGAGAGTTCAAACCGGTTTTACATCCGAATTATAAATAATAATTTAATAGTGACTCAGATAAAGATAAATAACATATAAACAAGACGAGATCATACAAATAAAAAAATATTTTCATTGAAAATTAAAATTTACATTAATTCCTTCTAATATTCAAAAATATTAATCCATTTATATTTTATCAACTATAATCTTTGTTATCAGAATACTATGAAATAAATAATTATCCGACCGCGACGTAGTTAAGGATGATTCAGTTATTGACTTTTTTTTTACAAAATATTCAACCTCAAGACTTTGACTAATATCACATATATATGTTGTAAAAGGAATTTCAATGGTATTATAATGATAAAAAATTATAATGGTCTATAAATAATGGTCATATAATATATTTATTACCGCATAGTAATCCTTCATCCTTGATCAGCCTCCTTGCCATGTTTAAGGAAGTCTTATCTTCTGTCTTAATCCATTTGTCAATGACCGTTCTGTCTAGAGCCTTCGGTAAGAAATCATATCCAATACCTTCCACCTGAAGATAAATAAATATACTTAAGTAAAACAAGATGATATATAAATATTTTTAAATATATAATATCTTTGTTGTAATTAACATTTTTAAGTAAAAGACTACACAATATTGATTTTTTTTTACACGAATATACACATGCAGATTTTTTTTTGTATGAACCATTTCAGTCACTTCTGTCAATTTAGAATCTTAACAAAAAACCAATTTGTTCCAAATTTAAAAATTCAGCAATACCTTATAAAAATAACTGTAACTATTTTGACACCTAGATTTTAATTTTAATTGTTTATTTATTATGCTGTGTACATTCCTGATAGTAATAATATAATGAAAAATAATATTAAAAAAAGAATTCATAGTTCAGAAACATACAAGTTTTATACACAATAAATATTTTTTTTTTACCTCATACACCGTTACATCGGTCTCATTTAAATCTTCAGGCTGAGCCAATATTGATCCATAAGGGTCCACTCCAACAACTATACATTTAGGACATTTTTCTTTGATCTTATGTGCGACCCCGGAGATCGTTCCACAAGTACCAGCTCCTATCACAACCATATCAACATCATTGTCGAGCGACCAAAGAATCTCTTCAGCGGTGCCATCGTAATGAGCTAACGGGTTGCACACATTATTGTACTGGCGACAAAAAAATATATTGTTATGTAAATTTAGCTTTAAAGAAACTTGATCTGATTGTGGGAATAGCTATCAATAATAATTACCATAACAATGATTGGTATTTTTACATGTATAGTATAGTGAAGAATTATACTAATAGTTTACAAGTAAATAGATAATTACATACATAAATATGTGCATGTATGATTTTATAATTAAATTAAATAAGTTTAGTCATACAAAACTATTTAAGAACTAAACATTTTTAATATAATTAAATACCATTGTTTATGTCACCTGATCTAATAGCACAGCATCAGGTATTTCCTTGGACAAACGTCTTGCAACCATGATGTTACTATCGGGGGACTCCGAAGCTGCCTCGGTAGGAGTCCTAATGATTTCTGCACCCAATGCTCGGAGTGTATTCACCTTTTCATCTGACATCTTTTCCGGTAGCACAATAATACATCTGTATCCTATTTAAATTTGATAACATTTACTTATATACGTAACAAGGTAACTTTATTTTTTTTATCAGTAGATGAATATATAATATACCTCTCACAGCTGCTGCTAAAGCTAATCCAATTCCAGTGTTTCCAGAAGTTGGTTCAACAATCACAGATTTTCCAGGTTTCAATATTCCCTTCTGCTCAGCATCCAAAACCATTCTATAAGCTATGCGATCTTTCACTGAACCTCCAGGGTTCAAAAACTCACATTTTGCATCTAGACAAATGTGAAAAAATAAATTTAAAAATATTTCTGTGCATTAACTCGTTACCTTATTTATTATAAAATGTATGTTTACATTGAGTGAGGAATACTAACACATTTCACATTGTACGCCCTCTTCCTTTGGTATTTTCGATAGTTTTACGAGTGGTGTATTACCAATTACGTTTAATACATTTTCCTGAATCTTAGGATTTTTATCTCTGTAATAAAGTTATAAGTTATTAAGTATAGAAAAATTTTAAAACGATATAGGAAATAACTGTGTTTAACAATGTATTAATTTACTTACAGTGTTTTTACAATGTGAGTCAATTCCTTAAGGTTAAAATACTCCGAAGATAGTTTCTGGCCGTTTTCCATTTTGGTTTTTATTATTATTTTAAATTAACAAATTGTAAATGAGATACAGATTTAAAACACATACACTTTTGTAATTTGTGAGATTTTTATTACAATATATGTAAATAAAATTGATACGTACTAATTCGAGCACGTCCGTCCACACGCTGGACGTATTTAAAATAATTTTAAAACTTCTAAGTTGGTGCCTATTGAGTACTGTACTACTGTCGAGAGTTGTGAATCTGTCAGTTGTCCTCCGATTTTTCTTTATCGATAGTTTCGATATTTAGATTAAAGAATATTTGATAATATAATTTTTTTACAATCAAAACTTTGTTCTATATCTGTTAAGAATAGTAAATATTTTAAATTACTTATAGTGTATCCATTCGAGGTGAATTTAGTTCTTATTTTCAATAACTACTTTTAAATTATGTAGATAAATTGGGCGTAGCTTAGATAGCGTACAAATTATTATCATTTTGGGTTTTGATTGATATATCGATTAAATGTTTTATGTCCATTAACTTGTTTAAAATTCATAAAGAGATATGTATAAAGATTCATCACAACATTTCTATAGGATATATTAATTTTTCAAAAATAATTTTCATAGGTATTATAGTCCGAGAGCCAGTAACAGATTTATATGACCAAGTTCCTCTCAAGTGATAATTAGTAAAACGCATCAAAAAATCGAACTATAAAGCCTCGTGAATGTCAGCTGAGGCTCGGTTGGGGAATGAGCAGTTGTAACCTCCCACGCTTGAAGAAAAAAAAATTAAATTCACTCATTTCCTCTCGGCTAAAAATTTACCAGATGATAGCTTATATGTAACTATTGATAAATATATACGTCAGCTGGCTGTAATTCGGTGGAATCGTCAGCTGATACTTTGAAGGTCGTTACGTAGAAGTTAGCCAGAAGCATTTACTGACTATTTAAAGGCATCAGCTGACCAGGTTTCCCTCGACTTATTGCTAGCTGATTTTTTTTTATTTATAACAGTATTATATTTAAAATCAGCTCACAAATTTTCGTGTGGGAGGAAATAACGACTCTTTAATTATTCGGCATAGTACTCCAAGTACATAGTACATATAAGCTGTCATCTGGTAAATTTTTAGCCGAGAGGAAATGAGTGAATTTAATTTTTTTTTCTTCAAGCGTGGGAGGTTACAACTGCTTATCCCCCCCAACCGAGCCTCAGCTGACGGTCATATGAATTTATGATACTGTTGTCTGATGCGTATCGCCAATTATCTAACGAGAAGAAATAATTAACCAAATTTGCACCTGGCTCTCGGGCTATTATACTTGTGGAAGTCAGAAGTTGCGCAAGTATATTATAACGTGTAATGACAGGAAGCTCCCCAAATTTCCGACATGCAAAAGTTCGTGAAAATATTCCGAATTTCAATTCCGAACTTGTGCAGTCTTGCGTTTGCCAAAATTTTGCATGAGCGTTCACGTGTGTGGTAGCAGTTTGCATTTCGATTAAAGTTTAGTATTGTTTATGCGGCCTACATGTGCACGTTATTTTCGCGTCCAAATGAACGAGACTACAGAGAGTTCTCGCTGTGATAGGAGAATTTATAAATATATATATAGGAATGAGCAATCTTTGGCAAATAAAAAACAAAAAATACCAACACAGGGACAAAGAAAATTGCTTATATATAAATAGATTAATTGAGCTATACCAAAATATGAATCAAGCGCCAATTGTGAAGTAGTTTCAAAAATTAAATGCATAATGCATTATGTACGAATTAGTAAAGAAAAGAAAAAAGTCAACTGGATCTGAAGCAGGTATTATGGACGAGGCATAAGCTAAGCTTTGCATTTGTGTGATTGCACACGGATAGTGTGGGTATAATGTAACATTTTTGGGTGCCACGTTCTTTTCTAGGTTTAAACCGGTTTACACTGTTTTTACTCCGCCCCGCACCTTCCGCACTTCACCCTCTGTACTGGTAGCAGATACAAATGTTGAAACGCAATGTGAACTGAAGAAAAATGTGTATTTTTTAAAATTTTTATTAATCAAATAATTTTTTCTATTATATTCCTATTTCCATCTGGCCTTTTACAAGTTTTGTTTATTGTATTTTTAATCTAGAATAGCTATCGGACTTATTTAATGTGTCTATTTAAAACATAATAAATTTTTAAATAATTTGTTAAACAAATATAAAGTATAAAAATACCATAATATTAAGGCATTCTATTAAATGAGAAACAAGGTAACGCTTCGTACGTAGTGTGACGATAAAAACTTGGACTAAGCATACTGATTGAGGACGGTTTGAAAGAAACAAATTCTAACATTTTATAACAGGTTTATTATTAAATCTTGTTAACGTATCATCTTAGTAAAACCAAAAAATCTCTTAGTATTGTTGTTATATAACTTGTGTTACAATAAAACGATACTGTTTTATCTTATACATTATTGTTTAATAAATATTACTTAAAATAAATGATAATCATATTATATTCTTTCATTTTCCATTCATCTGGACATTCTTATTCGTGATGTATGCTAGTAGGTCTTCAGACGTCAAGTAGCCCAGTGGTTTTTGGACGTGATGCTCATCTGAAAAAATAATAAAAGTATATTAAAGAAATACTTCGTGCTTTTCTTTCTACCTTTCGCTATTCTATGTCACTGTTTTCATAACAAATCATTATAATTTATATGCTTAACATAGTTTGAATTTTCATACTATGAACAAGGCATTTCACTTGTCTTCTTTTTTTATGTCAAAGGTGGCAAACGAGCAGACGGTCTACTTGATGAGCAGTTGTGACCGTCGTCCATGGATATCCGCAACATAGACGTTACGGATGCTTTGCCAACCTTAATTGTTGAGAAAAAGGGAGGGGTGGGTATAGGGAAACAGCAGGAAAGTGTGGGAATAGGGAAAAGGCAATCGGCTCTTTCACTCATCGGACAACGCAGCTATTAAAGGCTTATTCCTGCCGATCTTCTGTGAGAGGGTAGTACTTCCCCGGTCGAGCCAGCCCATGTTCGAGCTGTAGTTACTTGACTACAGCTAAGCTCTACCACCTAATAGATATTCTTCTTCTTCTTCAATAATCCTAAATAAGCTTAATAAATATTTTGTGAAGATTTATCAATGAAAAGCTCTTAAGTCTCCCTTCTTAGTGTGACGACGCAAACTTAAAATAAAATCGTATCTATCACTTGGCAGAGTAAACGTAAGACATTAGGTATAATAAAAATTGAAACATTTTTCTAGTCTTCATAATTCCTGAACCAATAAGGAGGTCTGAAAATAATAGGGAATTTACACGATTGATTATTAACACCAAAAATTAAATGGAAATGAAGTTCCAGTTGCTTAACTGCGTAAGCATTTCAAAGGCCTTTTAACTTAGGCTTTTATTACATGTGGAACTAATAATAAAAAAAATCTAAAGGATTTTAATTAATAAGATTTGATACAGCCAATCAGTTTCATCGCTTTTGGTTTCTACTTGTTATTTACACTTTTTTTTAATACTGTTAATGTTTCTTAATTAGTGGAATAGTAAGTTTTATACCACCGCGGCATTTATTAGAATTAATCTTTAGTGTTGCCACTACATAGGTTATTAATTAGAATAATATCAACAGCGGTTTTCATTGAAACTTAATTAAATTATTATATCGATGGTTATATGGATGGTTATATCGATATTACCTTCGATTTAATGTCTGATATCTTAAAGAACTACTATTTATTGGGTTTAAAATCATTAAACTTTGATTTACTTATAAAAAACGTTATCAAGATAAATTCGAAACTTTTAAGTTTTTTAATTTCAAAATAGTTTTTATAAACAAAGCTTATTTATAAAAAAGCTTGATGAGTTTAACGATTTAAATTACTACTAGCAACTAGGTCCACTACTATGATGCTTTGAACTATCATAGTAAACTCTTAGATTTATACTTTAACATTCTAATTAATTTTTCTTTTACCTGTTTTAACAACCACAACATAAGGTGCTATATCTAGTATTCTAGACACACTGCCCAGCGTCGGATTGTCAGAGAGGTCTACTTTATAGAACTTCTTCACTGTGAATTTATCAAGAGACTCTTCGGTGGATCCTGACAGATGAGCCAGCCTCCGTCTAGCGTTGTCTCCACTGAATATACCACTGATTGAACTGAAAAAAGATTCAACAAATTTATGAAAATTTATTGTAAAATTATACTAAAAAAAAGGCAATAAAATATTATTTTATACGTCTTAAATTTCTGGTTTATTTATTTAAAACCTTTCACTCTACTCAATAAGAAGTGGGTATTGGAAATTAAGAAAAGTTAGAAAAGAAGTTACCCGTTCTCATTAACGATAGTGACGATCAACGAGTCACTTTCTCTCAAAGCTTTTATCGCCTCCGAGGTTGTGTTGTTCTGACTTATATTCTTTGTGATCCGCACTAAGCCTTCCGTCAAAGGTTTATTCCACCACCTGAAAAATATGTATAATACATGAATATAAGGTAAAAACAATTGCATAGATTATATTATTTTGAAGTACTGATGCCAACCATTGGTTAATCATTCCTTTGAAGTGACTAATTAGTTATATGTTTATGAAATTATAAAGTGAATTCATGTCTAAAAGAACTTCTATTCCATTTTTAAACAAAAAATATCTTAAAGATTATTTTGTGACCTGAACTGATTTATGCGAAAAAGCTGTATTTCTCCGAAATCCGAATATAGTCTTACCATAAATTCTCATTACTTTCGATGGATTTATATCCGCGGACCTCCATCCATTGGTCTGTGAGGAATTTTGTCATATAGTTGCGTATGTTATCCGGTAATAGAACCACGCATTTCTGACCCGCGTGTAAAGATTTCGCTGCTTGTATGGCTCCCCACATAGCAGCGCCACTGCTACCTCCTGTAACATTGAATGATTGATTCGAGATTAACTTTGAGACTGCTTGATGTAAAATTATTGGTGAAATTTTTGCCAATACAAACCGCAAAGCAATCCTTCTTCTTTGATAAGTCTTCTAGCCATCTGGAAGGATAGCTTGTCTTCTGTTTTTATCCATTTGTCTATTATTTTAAAATCTAACGCTTGTGGTATGAAGTCGTAGCCGATACCTTCTACCTGTTAAAAAATTATTAGACATTTACTATCAATAAAGATTTACGACTATGTATGCATAAAAAAATTTATATCAGATCAAAACGGATGAAAAAAAAAGAAATGCCGTTTTTGTGGTCAATTTTCTAAATAGCCTATGTTGTTATTAAAATTTACTTTTTGATAAAGTGACTATAAATAATAAAATTGATGATAATCTTTTTATATTAATATTAATAGTAATGTTCTACCTCATATATTTCTATGTCATGTTCATGAAGCTGATCCGGTGGCGCCAGTACAGAGCCGTGTGGGTCTACACCGACTACGACGCATTTCGGGCATTTTTCTTTAATCTTATGAGCAATACCAGATATGGTCCCACAAGTACCAGCTCCCAACACCACCATGTCCACATCATTATCCAGAGACCAGAGAATCTCTTCAGCGGTACCGTCATAATGGGCTAACGGATTGCTAGCGTTGTTGTACTGTGTCAGAAACGTTATTTCTTTCTGAACCATATATTACTTATAGTATTCTAAACACATTATAATTAATAATTCTCATATAGCTGAGACGTTTTAAGCAATAGGTTGATGGAAAGTGCCTTAAAATTAAGATGAGGGTATTAAACTTATTTGAAAATATATTTGTTTCACCCGTATTCTTATTTAGGTTGATGCTGAATATGTACTAGTTTTTGCCTGCGATTTTGTCCTCTTTACTTTCATAATTAGAAATGTATAGCTGACCAGGCGGACTGTTTAAATTTAGAGGCAGTGAATAAACAGATTTTTGCCCGGCAATTTTTTTTGGTCGAAAAAATTAAAAAGTATGCTATGTCGGTCTCCTAATTCCAAGCTACCTTTCCCACAAATTTCCAGACAAATCCGTACAGCAGTTCTTAAATTATAAATAGTGTAACTAACATGACTTTCTTTTATATATATGGATGTACGTCTTGAGAATTACGTAATATTATAATACCAAATTATTACCTGATCCAATAATACAGCGTTAGGTATTTCTGTGGACAAGCGTTTAGCTACCATGATGTTACTTTCAGGGGAGTCCCAAGCTACTTCAGTCGGAGTTCTGATAATCTCAGCTCCCAAAGCATGTAAGGTGAGTACCTTCTCATTGGACATCTTTTCCGGTAGAACTATTATACATCTGTAGCCTATGTGAGAGTTAATCTGTAGTCTTTGTTTTAGTGATAGATTTTAATTGCTATGGGTAAACTTTTGCAGTGATCAACTATATATATAGGTAACTCGAAATTATGATATTGTACATTATAATATTTTTAAATAAGTTAAATTAATTTAAAAAATACGAATCAATTTTATAAAAAATGGTTATGAAAATGTATTGTTTCATTAATAAGAATAAAAGTAACAATAATAATACATCTGTATCGTATTTAAATTCGACAATGTTTACTTATAAGTACCAAGATAGCTTTATTTTTTTATCAGTGGATGAATATATAATGTACCTCTAACAGCTGCTGCTAAAGCTAATCCAATTCCAGTGTTTCCAGAAGTTGGTTCAACAATCACAGATTTTCCAGGTTTCAATATACCCTTCTGCTCGGCGTCCAAAACCATTCTATAAGCTATGCGGTCTTTCACTGAACCTCCGGGATTCACGAATTCACATTTTGCATCTGTATTAATAGGTATAGGTATGTATTTTTATTAGGCATCTTAGTTATATTTTTACTCCATTCTAAAGGAACAAAATAACTTACACATGTCACACTTCAAGCCTTCTTCCTTTGGTATTTTGGATAGCTTCACCATTGGTGTTTTTCCAATAGCATCTAATATGTGCTCATAGGTTTTTGAATTTTTGTCCCTAAAATTAAAGAAGTTTTAAGAAAAAATGTTAATAAATATGATAAAACTATAAATATGATATGTTTACATAAAACAACTGTGAAGGTACTTACAGATTTTTCACTATGTGTTTCATTTCTTTGAGATTAAAGAATTCTTGAGATCCGTTACAAATGCCGTTCTCCATATTTATTTTTGTTTTTTACCTGAAAATAAGACCGATATGACACTAAAGATACAGAAAATAAAAATGCAGGCTTTGATCACGAGATGATTTTAATTTTAGTCGAACTAGACGATTTTATATTAGTGAAGTAATGAATTATTTCATTATCACATTATGAACATGCACGGCAATCTTCACGTGCTAATGAAATCGTAGTGACTTACGGTGTGCTTGAATTAACACACGATCAATTTTTCGTCCAAAAAAAAACATAAAGTTATTTTATAACATATAAAAATAGATTATTATATTAAGTATGTTATGATTATTGTTATTTGTAAAGAACGTGTATGCCTTGTAGTTTTTTGCTGTTTCACATTAGTGGTAGCAAAAGTTTTAATCAATCTAATATTAAAAAATACAAAGTTTTACATCGATTACTCATCAAAATAAGAATTATTGGTGAAATTTCCTTAGTACCGTCTATGTTTTAGTTGGCGTCGAAAACTTGTAGTAGACACAATGATTTTATCAACAAAACTCGAGTGCACGCGCGTACACAATCGTATTAATTGAAAATGTCAGTACTGGAAGTTAGCGTAACACGAGAGCATGAGCTTCAACGAAAATAGACGATGCGTACACGCGTTATTGTGAAACACCATTAAACTTACTCGTTATATGCAGCGGGTGCATTCAATGCATGCATGTGGATTTTAGCCGATGTTTTTATACACAAAAGACATATTTCTTAATAAAAGTACGTCTTTAAGGCAAATTTTAATGTTGTCTGCATTTTTTTTTCCAGCAGAAGTAGTAGTAGTAGTGATAAATATATATACTACTTATGCCAAACAGAAAACAATAATCTTTTGATATCAGAGTACATATGTTTATTGGAGACATCAATCTAAAAAGTGTCATTTTTATCCTTTTGTGGATCTCCAAATTGTACAGTATGTTGTATATTGTAATTTTATGTTTTAAATATATATTTTAAATATATGTGATCCATCTTTGAATGTTTGTTTGTTTTTAAGCTTCAGTGTCACGGTTGATACTTGATAGTAAGACTATATTTTCTTAATTTATCTAGTAATATTTAATCAGAACGTCTTATAAACCCTTAACATAGAAGTGGAAGTGTCAAATTATTATTATAAAAAAATTAAGCGGAAAAAATCTAAGGTTTGCAAATAAAATTATAAATAAAACGTTGTTTATTGATTTTTCACTAAAATTAAGATTCAGTTTTGTTGTGACTGCTGTAATATTTTGTATCTTTATTTTTCCTATTCTCCTTTAGGCGCAAACTAAGTTTTTTTTATACAAACCTAAAATTTTTTTAAAATTTAAAACAGTATACAATAATTTGACCCTGTACCCTGAGTATACAATAATTTGAGTATAATTTGACCCTGCTATACGTAAGTATTGAAGCAAACACTAAATATATAATGGATATGATTATTATTAATGCATTAACTGAAAAGGTGAAAAATGATTTTTTTTTCTTTAGCATATGCATATTTTTTTTCTTTAGCATATGCAATAAAACAAAATCTTATAATTACATAATTATAAGATTTTGTTTTTATTTGCTGACTTTGTTTAATAGTCATCCACTTAAATCATTTTGCACATTTGAGTAAGACCCTTGGAGTAGTAAAGTCACAGTTTTTTTTTATAATTAACGTATTAATATAAAAAAGACAAGGTAAAAAACAGCCAAAAACGTACGTATTGCAGAAAAAAAAAACAAATTGAAAAAAACGTTTAATACTTACAAGAAGATTCAAACGTATTTGTTGGCAATTGCACTGTATATGATTCAATATTTAAATAATTGATATTATTTTAAATCAAAAATCATTGAAGTACGTCATTTCCTAGAGTTGCACAATCAAAAATACCCTGAAGACACAAAAAGTACACGCTACTTTCATATGATATAGATAATATGAAAATTGCATTTATCTTTTTTTTGGTAATTTAACTAGTTTCATCATTCAGCTTTCTCTCCGCGGATTATTAAACTTATATTTATTATGCCATAAGCATTTGTTAGGACTTAGAATACATCCTATATTAAAACTAAATTTAATTTTGGTTTTATGTAAATTTAGAAAAAAATTTAAAATCTTCATTATTAAATATATTGTTTATTGCATTACATATTTTTCTACTTCTTCTACCTGGCAATTTCCAAGCTATAGCCAGGGTCTGCCTTACATGTTGTGAATAGTTTTGGCTATTTGTTTTTACGACCGGCCGCCTGCCTGACATCAACCCTCTTTTGGGAATGAACATTAATCAGTGATGTCTAAATAGTCTTCTAGTCTAGAAAGTAGGATCGAACTCGCGCCCTCGGCTACGAGAGGTGGGCCGTTTAACCACTAGGCCACCACTGACTTTATTTTATTTTCAATTACATAATTTGATTCTTTAAGTACATTATGTCGCTGTTATTTATGGTGATTTTGTTTTTGTTGTTTTTTAAAAAACTTAATTGATGTATCGAGAACATACATAATTACAGCTTATAAGTGTAATTACAATGAAATTATATGATCTACCTATGATATATGGTAAAAAGTAGAATGAAAACTTCGTAACTGGTTATTAATAAAGCATCGCAGTACGTTTTTTATCAAGTACTTGATAATGGTTGATAAATTCACCTCACATAGTGACCCTCTAAACTATTTACCCTTATCCCCATATTCTTAAAACAAAGTCTTCTAATTTCATTTTTGGTTGGTTGTTTTAAATATGGTTTTCATCCGTGCAAAGAGGTGCACGGTATATGCTGCAATACTTTTATTTTTTGGACATCCCAATAAGATTTATTATCAACGTAAATGTGAAATTATTTGACACTATCCAGCATAAAAAAAAACCTAAATAATAATTTTTATTGCTACAATAAACAAACATACAAACTGTAGCATCCAAATAAATATAGATTAAATATTTTTTTAATAAAAATAGATGTCGAAGAAATTAATAATCTAAATAGGTTATTAATCGAGTTTCAAAAATGATTGAATATGTTAGATAGTGAGATTACTGTCTTATTGACAAGGTTAAGACGGGAAATTTTAGGTTTTTATTTTATAAGTACAAAAGAATTATATGTATATGTATCCATTTTTTTTTATAAAGTATATAGAGCAATGGAACAAAATTAATTGGGAAAAAAATTCAGATATTTAAATAAAAGAAATTGTAAAATATATTGCGTTTATTTAATTCTATGAAACAAATTTTTGTAATCAGGTCATAATGGATAAAAAATGTATATACAATTATTTCACATCATTATATTTTTATATCCTTGGAATTTAATTATACAAAGATGGCCATTTCGTGGAGGTTGACTTCATTTTTTTCCACTTACTTTTTTTTGTGCACGGTTAACAAAAATATAATTTAGGACATCATCTGCTGTTGCCACGCTTTCAGCAATAAAGTGAACTAAAAAGACGAAATAGCATATCAAATTAGTTACTGTTACAAAAATCATAAGAAGTATAGATTACCTATACCTAATATTGGATTTACCTTGGCCAAGTTCATGTACATTTCTTCCGATGACAACAAATTGTGCCACATCCAACATGCGGGATAATAAGCCAATAGTTGGCATTCCATTTTCGCTGTTTTTGGCCAGAGTGAAACAATCTTTGACCAAATGATCAGATACAAAGTCTTGGAAGTCTAGCTCTTCAATATTTTTGTGTGGAAGTCTCATTGGGTTTGTTGCTTCTGAACGCAAGCTATTTTTTGTTACCGCGCCTAAGAAATTTCTGGGAACGATTCATGTAGTGATGTAAATATTAAATATATCAGTTAGTATAAATAGAAGATTTTAAATCAATTACCCGTTCGTCTCTACCACGATAGCAATGTTTTCTTTCATCATTTCAAGTATGGCTTCAGAGCATGTTTGGTCACTACTTAGAATAGGATAAGTGTGTCCCAGGGTTAAGTGAGTGACAGGATCATTCCACCATCTGATAATTGTAATTTTTTAAATACATTTGGGTTAACTTCATAAAAATCTTGAACATAAAGTTATATATTTAGACGCTCTGATTCATTCACTAGAAGTTTCTACATCTTATCGTCGTGATAATCTCGTAAATAGGAAGTACCACTGATATTTTATATATTTCTATTGTACAAATTCTCAGTCAGTTGGATTAATATTTTAATTGTTACTATATCAGACGCACACTCATATAGACTGCCTATTTTATAAAGGAGCGCTTGCTAGAAAGTGTTTTCGTTTGAGTAAAAAATCTTTAACCATTCAGCCTCTTTGTTTGATTGAATTACAAAGAGCAAATATTATAAGTACAAGAATTCTTATAATAATAGAAGGAAAAGAATGTTATAAATTACGGTAAAGCGTGTTGTGGTGGATCAATGAAAAGGTGAGCTTCCATCCATTGATCAGTGACGAACTTGGTCATGTAGTTACGAATGCTGTCTGGCAGCACCACTACCACGTGCTGACCGGCAGTGAATTTACGCTTCTGAATTGCTTTTATTGCCGCCACCATTGCTGCACCGCTGCTACCTCCTGTGATTCATTCTATGTAATTCTGTCACTTATAACAAATATATAAACATAATAATCCTATCAAGTATAAAAATGTTTCTGTATATTGTATAGTGCACGGCATGCGCCGGCCTGTGGAACTTGGCCGGCGCACTACCGTGCGCTTAGATAAGCTATAATAAATCATGAATAATTCTTAAAAAATTGAGTTAAGATCAAGAACTGCTTTTAAAGTAACGAAATTCTTGCATTGATTTACCAACAAGTAATCCTTCCTTTCTTATTATTTCCCGTGACATGAGAAACGCGTCCTTATCCGTCACAATTTCGAAATCGTCTACTAAAGATTTATCCAGAACAATAGGGACTTCCTCTCCTCCTATTCCTTCTACCTGGAAACATCATGTATATTTATATTTGACCCTGGACTCTACGTTCCATATATAACAGGAAAAGTTAAAGATAAATGTCAAAAGATACCAAATACGGATGTGGTATTCCGGATACATTGAACATAGTTGATCCATCTGGTTCCGCGGCAATTATAGTGCACTTGGGACACTTCTCTTTGATCCTTTGACCAGCACCTGATAAAGTTCCACCGGTGCCACAACCGACAACAAACATGTCTACATCACCCAACGCCTCCAAAATTTCAACTCCTGTGCTCTCGTAATGTACTTTAGGATTAACATTGTTTTCGAACTGGAATCATAGAAATACCATAACCATAAAACCATAGAAATATAAATCTTTAGTTTTGAATCATCCTACGTATATTTAAATCAATTTTATTATATATATTGCAACATTAATAGTTATTTTAATAAAAAATCTATATTTACTTGATCTAACATAACAAATTTATCAGGATCAGAATCTTTAATATCTCGAGCAACTTGTATTGATGTTCCATTAGTTGTAATTGTTTCAGCTCCGAGGACCTGCATGGTAGTTACTTTTTCCCTTGAATTCTTTTCACCCATGACGATGTAGCATTTCTTATCTAAGTATAAATAATAATAAAAAAATACTGACTCAGATGTCTGTTTGATATATTGTTAAATATTATTTAATATTTATTACCCAGTAGAGTACTGTTGAAGGCAATCGCAATGCCCGTATTACCAGAAGTTGGCTCAATAAATTTTGTATCGTCCTTAATAAAGCCACCTTTTTCAGCATCTTGAAGCATCGCCAACGCTATTCTGTCTTTCGCCGAGCCACTAGGGTTCATGAACTCACATTTTGCGTCTACAAATATATTAATAAAATAATCTTTCAATTTCTTCTCAGTGAACCAATAAAACCAAGACTACAAAATGGTTTCCAAGCACTCACAAATATCACAATTAATACCATAATCCTTTGGTATTCTGTTCAGTTTTATAAGCGGCGTGTTTCCAACAAAGTCCAAAATGCTATCGTATACCTTGTTGGCGTATCTAAAGGAATTAATCTATTTATGAGATCTAAAACTTTCGCAAGTATTCATTAAAATAACACTAAACTAAGTCCCAACGTTCCTATTTTTTTGCAAGTTTTGCTGCAGAGTAATCGAAATGTCGGGAGTATGTTGCTTAAAATAATAGAAAATATTACTTTGTTTATAATGCCAAATATATCAAAATACTTTATCAAAAACAAATATTTTTCTATGCTAATATATATCTACTACTTACGGCGACTTCCGATGGTTTAAGTATGCCTCTTTGTGACCTAAACTGTATTTACGCCTAGCGTGAAATAAGTTGAACATTTTGACAAGCTTCGACTAAGATGGAGTAAAGAAATGGAAGCTAATGTTTTTAGTGATTCCTTTTAATATAATAGCTTGTATATAAATATCTTTATCGGTTACGTTACATAGAGCCGGAGTTATTCAAACGGTAATTTACATTATTAACACCGTGTTAATTTTAATAGACCTAAATGAGAACAAAGGGTTTTCGTCTATCGATAATAATATCATTACAATAAGTTCCATTGGAATTAAATTTATGAAGTAGATTAGTGTTTTATTAACGTGAATTATAAATGGTATATTTTAAAATAGATTTGTGTTTTATTTTATACCGTTTTTCTTTGTATCTCTCAAAAAGTGAACGTGAATATAATATTTTTCGAAGATAGTAAAATCGTGTAGCGTTCCACATTTTTGGGAGTAGTTTTTTACAAAAAATAAATCGCGTAGTATAACCGAAAAATATAAGTTTCATTTAAATTAATGAAACTCGCGAAAGTCTTAGATCTCATTAAAGAGAAAGTGATAAAATAAATTATTCTTTACTTCAGATATTTCCAATAAAAATGTCTCATTAACTTGTACAAGCTGTTCCAATTTTTTTTAATAATTTTTAGCATATGTTAGTATTAACACCATTAACGGAAAACTCAAAACGTTAAGTATTTGGTGGTGTACACCTGTGGTAAAAGTGCAGTTGAAAGTATTTTTAGATAAGACCTAATTGAATTGATTTAGCAGAAAGACATGGGTTGTAAAGGACTGATTAATTTTATTTATAAGATCATTTATCCTATAAAAATATCAGCAGGCAGTCGCACAGTACTAGAGCCTTTAAAATATACCACGTCTAGGCCATTTGTTGCCAATTAAGAAAGAGTGTTTAATAATAATAATCGGAGTAAGCTGATGAATGTTAAGAGCCCTTTCGAGTGTAATTAATTTAAAAAAAAGTGTAATAAATCCTTTTTTGCCGCTAAAACTCTTTATGAAGTGCCCATCCTAGTGATTGCTGTTTTGAGGTACGAATTACATTATCTTGGCGGTTACAATAAGTTGATCCTCATTCCAATTAGCATCACTCATAGTATATGTTTTATTTTTGTCTATTCTGAAGTACATATAACAAATAAACAAAGAGAATATTAAAAATAACGATTAAATCAACTATATTGTATCATAGTAGTTGCCTTAAGTGTCCGCAAAATTAGACCCATAAAAAATGAGTGAAGTTTATAAAAATAAGAACACATTTCATATAATGACAGATGGACAATAAGCATATATTTGAACATTTAACTTTCTTTTCCTTTTGTATATTCTTTTATTTTCTAAAATATATTTTTCCTTAAAACATAAACTGGTCCATGTTCTTAATAAAACGTAATTAGTCTCGCTGTTAACATTCATTGCTTTATCCATTTTTTCTTAGCTAAGACAAATTCGTATTAGACTGTTGTTGTGACGAATCCACTTTCATATCGCTCGTGTGATCTCTTTAAATTAATACATTAAAACTATTGATAATGTTACTGCAGTCAGTAGCGACATCTGTAGTGTTCTTCACGCGATGAATTATATTCTATATCTAAACTACATAAATACCAATTTTAAAAGATGTCCGATAAGTAGTTTTAGCGTTAAAGAGCAACAAATATCCATATATTTTTACAAACTTTTTCTTTTTATAATTAGTAGAATCAACACAAGTGGAATTAAAGCTAGTGTATTATGATTATTATGAAAAAATAACAAAATGTCTTTGTTATCATTATTTTATAAAAATATGTAAAAAAAAACCAATACAATCACATATTTATTGAACACTCAACAACAACATGTTAAAATATACATCATCTATACAAATAAAACTAGCACTTATTCTATATTTAAATACTCCAAACGTTTGTCACTTAACACTGAAATGTTCTATATCATTCATTCACTCATTTTGACACACATTCGTTCATTCATTCGTTCTCGTAGTTATCATACAGCCAATCCCAGAAGCGAACTCTTTTCGGTTCCGGGTCACTCTTGATAGTGAATTGGCGCGTAATGTCGAGGTATGTCACGTGATCGGTGTTATTTACCGGCGGCCATTTGAAGTCTACCACAGACTCATAGTCGATCGGTGGTGTAGGATTACTGGGAAAATAATTATTTATTAGTTAATAATATTTACAGTATTAAATATGTATATTTAATTATTTTATATATGTAATTAAAATGATTTATAAAATTATATGTAAGTGAATCTGGTGAAATGTTTACCAGCATTCTTATTTTAAATAGACTTTATAATTCAACATTACTACAGAGATTATTGAGAATGGTTTAAAAAGTGAACCTTGCATATATATTTTTTAACAATGCACATACATAAATTTTTAATTTTTATTTGTATGCAAAGTCCAATTTAATCGTATTCAGTTTGTCGCAATCGATTCAACTGGTTTTTTTTACATATACGGTTAATCCTTTTAAACAATAATGGCAATAGCGTAGGTCTACTTTGGTTTAAGAAATTCTTCTTCCATAAAACCAGACCATAATTTTCTCATTTACAATAATTTAGTTTTTAAGATTTATAATTAAAATGGATATTATTTATTAATCCTTTTAGAACTTATTGAACTATAAAAAACCTATATAAGTAAATATTCACCCAGTTTTTGCGAAATTAGTCCAAAGTTGGACCATTTTTTTGGACACTGCTAATTCAGGGGAATCGTCATCAAGTCTATAATTGAGTCTTGAGAAGTAGAACAGATATCCCATTTCATCTCCGTGACAGACGCCCGGGTGTGTGATGCCCAGCATCCGCTTGAAGAGCCCTAGGGCTCCGTCGAAGGCAAATCTATACATATAAGTGGGGCTGGTTCTGTTTGTCCTTGCATTCAACCGTAAAGTTTCCAAAGCCGGCCGCAAGAACATTACATCTGTGAACAACTGTCATCGAATTGTTATAGTTTTTGTTAACCAAATTGTGTGATTATGTTGCAAAAGGTTTTAAACAATCCAATTCAATGGTTGGAATGTTTTGTAATATTTTCAATACAAATTCCACGACATTTATGTGAAAAATGTTTTTGTATAATTTAATGAGATCTAAGATTTTCGATAAAAACTACATACTCCAAACGTTTCGGTTACTTTTCAGCAACCGTGATCACAGGCAGACGAGATATGAGTAAGAAAAGTCAGGAGTATGTAGTTTTTATCAAAAATAAAGTCACGTAGTATATCCGAAAAATATTATTTTCATTTAAATGTATAATTTAAATTTATTTATTTTGTGAATGCATGCAGAGTTAGACTTTAATTGTAGTGTACTTTGTAAGCTCATTGTACATTATGTTGGGTTCCTAATAAAAATAAATAAATAATGTGTTTGTATTACATCTATCAGACTGTCGATACTCCGTATATCAATCTTCCGTTGTTGGAAGTAGAATGTTCTGATATGTTCCGCGACCTTCTTGGACCGTTCATCATCAGAACTTATCAACTCGGGTGGCACAACCTTCCTGAATTCACTTTCCAGCTCACTCAACAGTTTTGGATATCTTTGCAAACCTGGAAGCAATAATACGAAATAAAATAAATCTTAAATCGATTTTTTATTAATATTTTTATCGATAAAATCGATTTAAAGTAATGATAATCGATTATCATTAAACAGTTTATGAGTTTTTGTTTGAAAGTTATGTAACTAACCAAAAATACCTAGCAAATAGCAATCCCTACTAATATTATAAATGCGAAAGCAACTCTGTCTGTCTGTTACACTTTGACGTCTAAACCACTGAACTGATTTTAATGAAATTTGGTACAGAGATAGAGTTGACCTTGAGAAAGAACATAGGATAGTTTTTATTCCAGACTTTTGAAAGGTTCTCTTGGAAACGCGATATAACCGAACTCCAAGCAGGCGAAGCTGCGGGCGGAAAGCTAGTATCATATATATTATACGATTCATTTTATATTTTGCACGTAATACGTTAGAAAAGTATGCTTACCACGAGTTGCATCGTGACACTACACTACAGCGTTAACAGTTTTTCGTTCATAAACCTTCTCTAATTATAGTATTAACATAGGTTATTAAATGAAAAACGTGAAAAACGTCGTATGCAGTGTAATGATGTAAACTATTACTAAGAGTAGAGAACAATGGTCACAGTATTTACAGTGAAAACTTATTTGCAATGCATCATATTGATAAGTAACTTTAAAAAACTATTAAAAACGATAAAATTAATGTAAAACATGTATTGAGGAATAATATATTATAAGTTATATGAAAGTTTACATATATTCTATTTTTATTTGTCATCATGACGAATTTTCGGATGTAATAACAGATGAGTCGAGAATTACTCAATTTCAATATTGCATAAATGTTTCTCCAGACGTTCTCGGATCTTAAAACAAATATTTGATTTGCAATTTATTAGCGCGATATCGTAAATATCTGAGCCAATAATATGAAATAAAATCGGAATTTATTGAAAAAAAATCTATTTAAGAATACCGCTTTTCTTGTCGGCCATTTTGTTTGTATTTTTGAAGTATAACAATAACAATAACCATTGTTTAATGGGAGTTATTGTAATTTTACGCTGAAATATTTCTGTGGGTCTCAGTGACCCACTTTCTACCCATTGTCATGCTTGCTTCCCGGGTTGAGATCACATATTCTTTCCAGATCATTCTGAGGAAGTTTGATGTCACATCACGCAACACGACACGCGTGCTCCAAAAACGCAAGATATTTGCCAAATTATGCAATTGTTACCAAATGTATGACTAAGTTACATTTCGTAATCTCTCCAGATTTCTATTCTATTCAGTGTAACCATACCTTATTGCTTATATTTATTACCAAAAAATATACAGGGTGACTGGTGAATTACTATCGATATTTGAGGACGTGATATTTGACGATCATATATGACAAAATAAAAATTAATATAACATAAATATTAATAAACTTCTAAGTAAAGTTAACCAAAAGTTGTGTAATTAATTACGCATCGTGTGAACACCCTACAGATTAGGTATACACACACACTCACACATACGCGTGCGGCAGCGTAGTGTTGTATCAGCACGCCGCCGCACGCGTCCACACTTGGAACACTTGGAACGTGTCAACACTTTATTCATTTATACGGAAATTTTGACAAAAATTAAGTGCCTATTTTTTTTTACATAATTCGAATGAGAATCATGTACCGAGTATTCTCCTTAAATATTGATAGTAATTCACCAGTCACCCTGTATATTATTATTCGTCTTTCTTAATTCTCCATAAGTCTTCTAGTTTGCAAGAAAAAATCAACATCCTAATTTGATTCAGACTACCATTACGAAGTTTAGTGCATTCGTATTAAAGGGAATAAGGAATTTTTAGAAAGGTAGATCGTGTGTCGCAAAACGTTCCGGTGGATTGCAAAATCATTCGGAAGTCGCTGGCCCTGGCGACATCCTAGTGATTGGAAATATAAAGACTAGCTAGATTTGCAAACCCTTTAGATACCTTACTTAAACTGACTTTATATCTTATTCTTATTACAATTAAATAATTATCAACAAAAGATCGAAATGCGAATAAAAACCTTTATTTCCATCGAATATGTCGATAGTACATACATATTGTCGCTGTGACCTGAGGGTAGCTAAATTAAAGTTTCTCAACACGACCATCTTAGGTTGTCATTAAAATTTATTGACATTGACTTATAAGCCGACTGTCATCGAAGACGTGCATATTTATATATTGATTTAACAATTTTTTGTCCAGCAGAATATAAAAACTTCAATGTTTTGGAAGGCCTGTCTAAAGATTCCACATATTTTTTTAACATTAAATTTTGTAAGAATATCCTTATTATGTTAAACTAAAGAAAAATCTGGGTCGTGGTGGCCTAGAGGTTAAAAGTCCGCCTATGTACATGAGGGCGGAGGTTCGAAACCCAGCAAGTACCAATGTGATTTTTCTGAGTCATTTGTACTTTCTTAGATTATTTAGACACCACTGACAGACGGTGAAGGAAAACATTGTGAGGAAACCTGGACTTATAATTTCAAATTATAAGTTTGGAATCATCAACCCGTCTTGAGCAAGCGCGGTAATTAATGCTCAAACCTTCTCCATGTTAAAGGCCTTTGCTCAGCAGTGGGCTCTGATAGGATCTGACGATTAATATCCATACTAATTAATACTTACGTCGGAATAATATGATGCCTTCCTGCGCGTTGTAACCAGTCATGAGGGGTACGTCGGCTCCTGGTAATAAGTCTTGGGGTCGTGTAGTAAGAAAGGCTTCAGGTCCGGGGGGCTCCACGGCTGGTAGGAAGGGCAGCGCCACCGTACTGTGCAGGTCCGCAGCCCCCGGGGCTGATACGAGACGAGCTCCAGCCTTGACTAGCAATTCACTCGGAGTCGCTCGAAGGTACCCTGATAGTAATTGGAAAAATCAGGTTTGTCAGGTAGATTCTCCGAAGTAAAGAAAACTAAGGTTCATAGAAAAGAATAACCGAAATTATTTACGGTCACGTGAAAAGAGAACAATACATTTTTATAGATAAAAAATACGACAGAATATCCCTGTAATACGTCAAAAAAGATTTTTAAAAATTGATAGTTAATATGTTTTTTTTTATGGATGTGTATGAAATGTAACAGTTTTTATTTATTGACACACATATTTACATATATGTATAGTCAGTTCGCGCCGTAACTAGGACTCTTTCATGATAACACTATATAAAAAATCATCTAAATCTTACGCAAATACCAAAAAGACTGCTGTACACTGAAAATATATATAGCAAATTCATTAATCAAAGGCCTTCCATTAAATACAGAACCGTTTTTATATCTACCAAGGAACCCTAACTCCGAACAATAAACCTTGCTGTAACCGCCTCATATATCTTAAGGTTGCGCATGTGTTGAGCGGAGAGCGATGGAGAGAATTTATATTACGTGTTAATAAAAATACTTCGGTAAAGTTATTTCTGAGTTATTTTGATGTCATTGTTTCATGTCATGATTTATGACGAAGATAATAAGTCACTATGACGTAATATTAATTGACGAAAACGGATAAGCTCTTAAGGGAGAGGTTAATTAGTGAACTTTTCGTTTTGTTTATTGCATATTAAAAAAAATTGATAATTAAGTATGGGGTATCTCCGAAAAAAATGAGCCATAGCAGAATTTATTGATGAAAAAATTGTGGAAGTTTTTTTGGAGGAATATAGTCTTTAGAGAAAATATTTGTTCATAATTTCGGAATTTTAGAATACATAGTATATACAGATATATAATAATCTTAAGGGTGATACTATTTAATGAAAATAATACGTAAGTATCTATAAGTACGTAAGTATCTATACACTCTTCGTACGAATTTGCAACGTAAAAATAAACAGTTTTAATGTTCTCATAAATCTCCGTTAATCTTAATATTTTCAATGACTTATTATTCAAAAAATATTGCAAAATATATATTTTTGTTTGACACTAGAAACTTTCACTAAGGTTATATTATTTTACGTAATATTAAATGTATCGTTTTAATAATATATGTTCAATTATATAATGATATATTTTTAGCTCTAAGAAACAAACATAACAAGATCAACAGAGGAAATCCGTTTCAATATATAAATGTGTAAATATACATGTATTAATTTACATATAAAAGCTAGTGGCAAATCATAGCAAAGACATCTGTTATCAAAACTAAAACTCAATAATTCCTAAGGCAAATCCTATACATAATGAGATCTACTTTCGCTAGCATTCATTGATATAAAACTAATATCTTCGTATGTATTACGCTTTTTTTATTATTTTCACTACATACTCCCGACGTTTCGACTACTTTGCTGCAATCGTGTTAAAAAAAATCCGAAAACATTAGATACTTTCACTTCATTCCTATAAATACTACTACTACTTATACTACTACTACTACTCACCAAGTAGTTCCGCTGTGTTGTTTGTATCAATGCCAAGTTCCCGACCAAGATGGAAGGCTCGCTCACGAGGAGAGGACGCCAGCGCCCACGGAGAGAGAGATACGCCGCTTTGAGCGATCACACCATGGAATAAACCCTACATCATGGACAAAGAGAGAATATATTTATATACAGGCTGTTTAAAAAAAATATGTATCGTAATTAACTAGTTAGAATACCGGGAACACACCTTGTACACCATGGACAAACAAAGAATACATTTATATTTTATATAAAGTATGTTTAAACGAAAGTGATCTTTAGCATTTTGAAGTACCAAAGGTACCAAAGTATAGGCAAGAACCAATTTAAATATGTACCTACCCTCAGAAATAATATAAATTAGTTTACTAGATCTTAAAACATAGTGAAATGATATTTAATATTGTATTTTCATAATAAAAAACCTTTTGGAATTATTAATATATCCTAGCAAGTGATATTCCTGCGATTAGGGGAAGAAAGCTTGCAATATTCAATAACTCAAATTCAGTGAAAAAAATCAGTATGCTTAGTCCAAATTATCACACACGACATACGGAGAGTTAACAATTCCTAAAAAATATTCGCACAAATGTATTACGTAAATTATTGACGGAAAAAGAGTTACGTTTCGTTTGTGGTGTGATGATTTAAATTTGGATTATGACCAGATGGCTGAACCCAGTATTTACAGTTTTCAAATGCATGTTGACACTTAAGTAAATGTTGCCATTACAATAACATAATTCAGTATTACAATTAATTATCCTACTAATATTATAATTGCGAAAGTTTGTGAGTGTGTATATGTTTGTTACTTCTTCACGCTCAAACGGCTGAACCGATTTTGATAAAATTGTGTATACAGGAAGCTGACGTCCAGGAATAACATATAGGCTACTCTACATCCCGGAAATCCGCGAGTAATACGGCGGGGCGCAGCTAGTCATTCATAAAAGGATTATATTATGATTAGTATAGCAATTAGGGCGCCACTTGTAGCTTTAGTTAATATTTGTTGCTGTACCTTTGAGGCTGGTGATAGCATATGCAGATGAACGGAAGCTGCGCCAGCTGACTCTCCGAAGATAGTGACGCGTTGAGGATCACCTCCGAACACTTGGATGTTGTCTCTCACCCACTTCAAGGCCATCACTTGGTCCTACATACAACATCACACCATTAGAACACGAAGAATAATTAAAAAAACAGTTTTTTCGTATAGAAAATTAGATGTAATATATCATATTTTGCATTGTAATAGCCTTTTGGGCAGATATCCTGTGTATACATACATATGTAAAAAATGGTATATCTAAAAATTTTGATAATCAAAGAACGAAAGATGTTTCATCATCTTTGTAACATAATATACGTACTTACTTATGCATATTTTTCTAATCACGTTATTTAACAGTTTTTTAATGTTTTTTTATAAAATTTGTACAAAAATCTTGTTAATGCCTAATAAAGACTAAAAACTGTAGTCTTTAACAAAATCTTTGATGACATAATACACACAAAAACACTTAATTCTTTTTAATCAAATAAAAACCTTATTTATATATGTAATGAATAGCAAAACATATTTTTATAAAATTCTACCTATATAATAATGAACTGTACATATTCTTATAAGTATGTTTACTTATTTCTGTTTATCCAATTAAATTTAATTGTTCCCATACATAAATGTTATCAGAGGTACGTAATATTAAAATTTCGTAACATCTAAGTGCACTTGACCAATATATCATTGCCGTGACCAAAACTTAGCGAGTACCAACGCTCTAATCGTCTAGTAATAAAAGAGTCATCATGAAAATAATTTCGTCACAGTTTTGAATAGATTTTGATGATTGTGGTTTTCTATGGGAAAAAAATTATTTGCAACAATACCAGTCTTATAATGTTCATGATTTAAAGCTTACGTCAAGAAATTTAATGTATTATTGAAAGTTATTTTTTTAGTAATTCTTTGTTTTTGAAGTTCTTGTAGGTATTAAGTAAGTTTCAAAGACAATCAGGCATGGTTTCGACAAAACTAATGTATCAAAGTTTTGTAACTAAATGTGACTATATGAGACATAATATGTATGTACATATAAAACACGGAATTAATTAAAGATCCATAAACGATAAGCAACTTATGTAAGGAAAATATTAAATTTTTGTTATATAATGACTTGTCATATGATAAAACTTACATTCATTAAGAAAGGGACCTAATCTTGTATAAAAAAACACAATTCTATTTGATCAAAGAATGTCAATATAAAATTTTAATTAATAATTTTATTTCCAAAAATTTTTCCATTCAATATATTATACAAGTTACGTATATCATGTCATTTTCAAATAATATAATTTTAAAACTCCAGGCAATTTTTTCTTTTAACTTATTTTTTCCATCCCATATATAAATAAGGAAACTATGTATAATCTTAATGTATATACCTTGAGCCCCATATTCCCTGGGACCTCTTCATTCTCCAGACTGAGGAAGCCCAAGGCTCCCAGTCTATAGTTGAGAGTGACGAGCACCACCCCAGCCCCTACAAGATGATCAGGTCCATACAGGAACGCGTTACCTGACCCCACAGCGAACGCCCCACCGTGAATCCATACCATCACTGCTAACTCCGGGTTGTAGCTAAACCAAAAACCCAATGGATTTAAAAGGATTTATCGCTATTCTTCTGTTTCCAAGATTTACGTTAGTAAGGATTTTATATAAAAAAAAATTTATTCTCGATTGTATTTTAACCAATAAAAATCAATGGAATTTAATGGGATTTGTTGTTATATCACGACTTCTAAGGTTTAGGGTAGTTAGTATTAAATTAAAAGTCAGTGGTGGCCTAGTGGTTAAAAGGCCCGCTCTCGTGCATAAATCGCGGATTCGATCCTGGCTAGTACCAATGTGATTTTTCCTAGTCATATGTACTTTCTAAGAGTATTTAGACATCACTGATTAATGCATTCCCAAAGAGGGTTGATGTCAGGCGATGGCCGGTCGTAAAAACAATTAGCCAAAACTATTCACAACATTTAAGGCAAACCCTAGCTAAAGCTGGGAAATGGCCAGGTATAAGAAGTATTAAATTAAAAATTGTTTTAAAGACTCTTTAGTGACTCAAAAATTTTACATATAATAATGTTTATGGCTAAAAAATATACACGCTGTTATAATTGTCTCTTATTTCGATGTTTGTTGGGAACTTATAAAGCAGATTTCTGATACATATTTAAGTAAAATTACATTGAAAAATGAATGTAAGGCATTGAAATGGGCTGGCAAGATAATTAATTTATAATAATTTTGTACTAATTAGGTCTTAATGGACAATTAATAAGTATTTTAATGTCAATAACAGCCTTTGTTATAGCTTATTGACCTCCAAAACTTGATGTCAGCAAAATAAAAGCTACCACGGTCAATAGAAGGTCGAAATATGAATTATTGAGGTAATTGGTAAAAATTGCGTAACTTTTTAACATTGGCTTATTGATGTTACCTTGTCGATACAACAATATATGTATTTATGAAAACACTTATTCTATAAGTGAACTACCAAACAAAATACTTAAAGCTTGAAACCGACTATATTGCATTTATTTAAAACTAGCTTTCCGCCCGCAGCTTCGCCCGCGTGGAGTTCGGTTATATCGCGTTTCCAAGAGAACTTTTCAAAAGTCTGGGATAAAAACCATCCTTTGTTCTTTCTCAAGGTCAACTCTATTTGTACCAAATTTCATTCACATCAGTTCAGTGGTTTAGGCGTGAAAGCGTAACAGACAGACAGACAGAGTTTTACACATTTATAATATTAGTAGGGATTATTAATTTGAAATATTTACCCGGATAATTTATCAGGTAAGGCGGGAGTGTAAACGTTGAGGAAGAGGCAATCCTCGTCTCCTTTGTAGGTGTCGAACAGCATGAACCTGTGTGGACATACTGCGCCTTCTTCCAACGCGTCCCTTATTCCAGACCAGGGGCTTAAGGGTGCTGGTGGTCGGAACCGAAGAGCCCCACGTGGGGGCTGAGCGTACCTTTGACAAAAATCATATTAAAATGACGTCACAGTAATATCTTGATAATATTCCTCTATTTTCCTAGTATTATCTTGATCCAAGTAATGTTCCATTATGGAATTACAAAAATTTTGCTATTTATGAGGAATATGTAATGAAACAACACGCAAATAAGAAGTTTTAAATCGATGTTTCACGGCTCTTAATTCTGGATAAGATATAGTAAATAACGAATGATATTATAGATCATTCCGATTTGAAAACTCATCAATTCAATTCGATACAATATCCTTGGAAGATTAGGTTCATTTTTGAATAATTCAGCGATGAATTTGAATGTTTGCATATACTCGTATATTTACCTGATACCCTTGAAGCTATAGTAGGGTATTTGCGCCGAGGTCCTGGTTATAACACGGCGTCCCCTTAAGGAGCCCAGTTTGGTATCAACCACGGGACCCCCTCCGACCCTCATGCGGTCTACTAACGCGTGCACCAGCCTGGCTGCTCTGGCTGGCACGTTCTGAAGGCGACGTAGAGCATACTTCAGTCCGACTGATTCGCTGACAGTGCTTGATAGACGACGCCATGCTCCTGTTACCTTTAGAATAATGGAAACGAAACTTAGCATTCAATTGATTCACCTTCTGTGTATTGGGTCCATCGTTGTAGGGAGCTTCAACAGTACCTGGGACTTGTGACCCAGGTGTAGGTTTAAAGAGCCCCTATCTAACGCGCATTAAAAGCTTCTCAACATTGTTAATTAAATTAATTGAAAATACTAAGAAGAAAAGGATTTTTGGTTGATTGGTTAATGTCACACCTAACTTCTAATTTCTCAGTACATTTTGGGATAAACACCTCAGCATAATGATTTTAGTAAACTTATGACTTATTGCTTAAGGAAAGATATTTTTTACGCTTTAATTTACGCTGTTTTTAAATTCACAAAGGCAGGCACTATAAATGTAGACATAGTATATTTTCACACATTAAAAAATAACAATCAATGACTTTGAATATCTGATGTTATCTATTGTATTATTAATAGAAATAATTTCACATGCATTATTTTAGAGGCTAATATAATTTTATAAAATTAATTGGCAGGCAATAAATCTGGGTTTAAGTAAAAAAAAAAATCATAATTGAGGTTTTATTAATGAGATCTAAGACTTTCGTTTCGTTTTATTCATTTAAAAGAAACTCATATTTTCCGGATATATTACGCGCACTTTATTTTTTATATTAAAAACTACCACATTACTTAGATTAGATGTTTAGAAACTACTAATACGAGATGTCTCGTCTGACCGTGATCACGGTTGCTGAAAAGTAGCCGAAACGTCGGGAGTATGTAGTTTTTTTTTTTAAATAAAGCACGCGTAGAATATCCGGAATAAATTAGTTTCATTAGAATGGGATTTATTATTTATCGTCGCAGTTGTCCAATATAAAGCTAGGAATACATCAGCTTTATGTATATAATTTTTAATCTTAGCATTACTGTGTATGTACCTACTTCTCAATCACGTAGTATCAATAATTATGTATGAAAGTGAATATATATATATATATATATATATATATACCTATATGTCGTAATAATAAGAAAGCTTCGGTAATACACTGTAATCGATCTTTTTTTGCATGTTCAATATGTAATTATAGTTTATGCAAAGGGTAGGTTGTTTTTAATTAAATTACTCATATTGAATGCCCCATTTAACTGGTTCATATTCAAAATGCACTTTTATAAACATGTTTTAATATGACAACTCAACCTAGATGCGTCAAATTAAAAAGTTTTTATTATTTAATAAAATGTATGACATTCTTAAAATGACGGTGAAAATATCTTAAGTTAACGTAATATGTAAAGTAGGTAAGTGTAATAGATTGTAAAGCTTAATATGTTTTTTAAACGCTCGCTATAATCATTGGCAGAAATCTTAAAAATTTATGCTTATGCATAATAATTGTTATGTCATGGCATTTCGACTAAAAAGGTTTTGTATAAAATTTGTAAGCTATGGAAATTAAAGTTAGAACATACAGAACAATTCTTATATATTGTCGTAAGAAGTGTAGTATTTGCAACAAGTGTGCTCTACTTATGTTTCTTTCTAATCATAGCATTCCGCATATTAATCGTCAAAAATAGAAATGTTAATAAGAATAAGATTATCACTTGTGGAAAATATTTTAATCTCCGACAAAAAAAGAGATTGACGTCTGTCTTTCTGTGTTTGAGTATCTTTGGCATCATAACTCTTGAACGGCTCGACCGATTTCAATGCGGTTTTCTTGCCGTTCATTTTGCTTATTTTTGGTTCATATAGATTTAAGATTTCTCAATTAAATGCGTCACGAGTGCTATATATATGTATACTTATAGAAAAAACCACTTAGATCGCAGCTTCACAACTATGTGATAAGATTAAAACGTTCTAGTATTCATCTTAGAACTTTTCAAGTAACCTTTTAAAGCGAGTTTAATTCCTAACCATTAGATAAGATCATTACGGAATTCTGCAATAAGTGTCGCTAAAAAGTCTGAATGCCTTGGAAATTGACTCGGAAATTTCCACTAAGTAGTTACAATCATGCAACACAATGTTTAAACAGAGTTAAATTATAACAGTATTATATTTAAAGAAAAATAAAATTTATGAAGTGGATGTATCAACTATTTAGTTTTAAACTACATTAATAGTATGAAAAGCGAAGTTTTATATATTTAAGTACGAAAACTTCGAAACTTTTCTAATTAATTTGACAATTTAAACTTGTGGTAAAAAGAAAGATTTATTCGCTTACACTCGACGAAAAACACACACATTATAAATGCAAAAACCAGCGCTATTTAAATAATAACAAAAGTTTTACAAGAAGAAGCTAATCAAAACAGTGGCGTAACTACAGGGTGGCAAGTCGGCAAAATGCCACGGGCCCCCAGCCGGAAGGGGCCCCCGGTTAGAGGAGAACCCCAACTCCCAGCATTTATTAATTATCATACATGTTTAGTAAAAAAAGTTTTGTCTTTGATTTTTTTTTTACCTACTGAGTTGCATAAGCAAGTTCAAAAATGCATTAAAAATTCAAAGGATTTGTAAAAAAAAAGTTGTAACCCAGTTTTAGAACGTATCCGATGCCATGCGTGTTGGTATTACTGCGGATGTTCGGGGAATTCCCGCTGTAAGTTTCGGTCAACAGCGCTTTGAGTATACTTACCTATGCGTCCCGACAATTTGACGCTCTCGGGGAATCCCCGATTCAAGTTTGTATATAAGAAAGACTACACTACTCTATTATTACGCAAGCTCTCAAGCAGTTAGCTGTTTATTGTTGTAAGAATTGGGTGTTTGTTGCAAGTGAGAATATATTTAATAAGAAATGGGCTTGCTCTTGACCACAATCATGTCTAAGGTATGATGTGGCCTACGATGGAGCGAGCTTACCCAGAAGATGCCTATTCACGTTACTTTTGAAACACCCAGGGTTATAATTAGGTATTTTTATTTTAAAGTGAATTATTAGAAAATCAAGTACCTAAGTATAATTATAAAGTTTGTATGTAAATCACTACGTTAAGTAGTAACGTAGTGATTTATTATTGTACTCTTGCAAGTAAAAGTGTATAAATAAGTATTATAAAATAAAAAAATATTATTATTGTTGGTTCATTTTTTTTATATTGGGGGGGAGGGGCCCATCCGATGAATTTGCCACGGGCCTCGAACTGTATAGTTACGCCACTGAATCAAAATATTTATTAAAATAAGTAAGCTAGAAAATACATCGAGAATATGACCTTTTGGGGTCATTTTAATATTTGAGCTTTACAAAAGTGATTGACGGATCATTTAAATGTTGCTATTCATTTCATCTGTTACATAACGTCTTACATTGAATGCCACAAGCAGATTTCACACAACCTATTATTAAATTATAACTATTTATTTGCTTGCAAAAGTTTAGTGTTATGTTAACCATGATACATAACTATTACCAAAACATTTCGAGTTTCGAAACTTATGGTACGCCATTTTTGGAAGGACATATTTAGGCAAAATACAGATAACAAATAAATAATTTACATTAAAGAAAAGGTTTTTTTTATCCAAATATTTTTTTTAATATCGAAGCATTTTAAGTAGTCAATACAGAATAAATAGATAAAAAGAGAATATTCTTTTTAAAAACTTAATTAAAAGTGGACAGATTTGTACATTATCTATTTAAGCTACCTGATATCTCTATATTTTTCTGTTTATCGAATTTACCTGTTTTGTTAGAATATTTTTTTCTACATCTGCATTTCTATATAGATACAGCAAAATTTTGTGATATGAAACAAAATTTCATTTTACTTTAATTCGAAAAAAAAATAATAACGTAATTAGTATCTAAAAAGCATTATTTGCAATTAATAAAAGCATAAACTGTACATTTACCTTCATAGAATTCAAACTGCTTGCAGCGTTAGCAACAACATCGCCAAGCGCCGCTGGCGGGAGCGCCTCAACAGCCACAATCACACTAGCACACACCAACAACAACAGAAACAACAAACGCATTTTTCACTTTATAAACCGTCTCAAATGTCACAGTCACTTTGACAACAGTCTCACATCTCATCAATGTTGCCACGTCATGAATTAATGACAGATCAATAACCCGCCAACATAGTATCAAAAATATTTTTTAATTCCTGAAACAAATTAATATGATTAATTTGAGGTTGACTGAAATAATTGTACTAATAGTAAGAAAATGGATATTGTTTATTAGATTTCTGATATAATTAGGGTTTAAGCGAGTTGTGTCTCATAATATATGTAATTATACGACAGATTGAAAGTGAAATGACGTAGTAAGTTCTATATAATCTACTTTCGTCTGATACTTTTAAAATTTTGTCCTAAGATTCAATCAGAATCAATTAAAATATGTTATTTAAGGTTAATTTAAAGTGAGCGCCATATTTGGTTACGGTTGAAGCTAGAAACTGAAATAAGGTTTAATTTATCAAGATTTTGTCGAATTGATTTCTTAGTAGTAATTTTTTTATACACTACTGATAGTAGTGATATACAAATTATTATAAAACTCATATTGTCATTATATTGTATGATGTACTATTTTTTACTCAAAAATAGATTATAATTAAAAAAATAAAACAACAATGTCGGGTTTATAAAAATATTGATCCTATAAAGTCATGACTGAATAAGAAATTAAATTATCATAAACAAAACTCAATGTAGTTATTGAATATTCAAAGAAAATAGGAAAAACATATAAGTAATTGAGAAAGGAGAAAATTTTGCTTAATAAAAAAAATCCTTAATTGTCACAGATAATAATGATAAATTGTATATACAAAGAAAATAATGGGAAATTAAAATTTTATAAACATTGAATAATATCAAGTCAAACAGCTGATTGGTTAATTATAATTCTCGTATTACTCATGCTTACATTAGCACAATATTATATACCTTAATACTTAACCTTATAACCTCTATTGTCTATAAGATAAGGTTTAAATTATAAGTGTAAGTAACAAGGCAGCGAGCCGTGGTAACGTTACGTACACTTTCACTGTCCGACTAGTCGTAACCTAAACGTATGAAAAATGTCACATCAATTCCGTGACTGGGTCAAGATATATTAAAAGAAAAACAATAGCTCTAGTCATCTATTTTGACTGGTTAAATTTTCTATTCTTTCACCTGGCAATGTTTTACAGAGACAACTTTGAAATAATTTGTTGTTCCATAACAATGTATTCGAATTTTAAATATTTTTCCGATTCGATTACTGAATTGTTGTTATTGAATTTCGAAATTATCACAACCACAATGAAATAATACAATATCATACTACATATTTAAAAACTAAATTTTTAAAAAGAGTGTTTTAGAAAACTTGTAAACAATATATGTATCAAAAATTACTTGAGAAATGACTAACTCGGTCATATACCACGTTTAATTTGTATACGTTAATATAATATGTTTTACAGTAAGTTCAAGATTCTATAATCTATGGATAATAATATAGGACCTTAATTATATGTTATAAAATATCAGTCCACTTATTTATAGGAGAGCGTTTGTTTTTGAAAGTATTGTAAAAAAACTACAAACATTGCAAATTCAAGAATGCACGTGTTAGTAACGGAAGCAATTCATGTCCTTTTGACACTTTTATTATAATAACATGATTAAGATTTAAGATCATGATAATTATCTAAATTATTAAGGTTTAATCTAACGACGTAACGTAAGTCGGTGGCTTTTACGTAACAAAGAACTTGTTACGTCACATCATCCCGCGGGCTGTCGACCGTTCGAGAGTTCCGGACGGTTAGAGTGTGGCCATACTTCCTTGTACGGTTGTAAAACAAAGCTTCCGCGGTGATAGTACACCATTTAGACATTTTGAAAGGAGTCTACACGAATATAGATATTTTTTTTTTTTGGTTATGTTCGTTCCGTTCAGAACAGGCAAAGAGAACAAAGCCCATACAGCCATGGCTTTTGTATCTTTAATTATGTCGAATATAGATAATGTTGGAAGAAAATGAAATGTCAATATAAAAAAAATTCATTGTCTATGGTATAACCAGCCAGGTTCATACTTAATATTGTAAACCCAAAATAATATTCAGGCAAATTAACCTAATTTAAGTAATACATATTAGTACCTAAACTAATCCTTTGCAAAGATAAATTAACGTTCCACTTTTTATAACAAGACAGTAATCTTGACGTTTGATAAACATTACATGCGTATTTTCATGACGACCATTTTTTTATTGAGTGATTTTAAATTTTAAATTTCGACTTATTCATTCAGTTTATAAACTGTTTGATGATTAAAAATAACGATTTACATTCATTTTCATAATTATTATTATTAATATTTTTGTGAGTACACATGTAAATATAGCTACGATTTTTTTCATTTCCCTCGCGATTTTATTACTTCTCAATATCCCACGAACACAGGCAGACGAAATGAATATGTGTGAGACATTTCGCAAATTATGAAATTAAAACATAAAATTGTACTTTAATCTACATTAATTTTAATATATGTAATCCAAGACAAAAATATACTAGAGAGACCGAGTATTTGTGCGAAGACTTAGAAAGGTGTTAGAAAACCATAAAAGTATAAAAAAACATAGAAACGACTAACCATCCGTTTTAAAAAAAATGTTATCACAGATTAAAATATACTAATACACCTAACCATACCTACTAATATTATAAATGCGAAAGTAACTCTGTCTGTCTGTCTGTTACACTTTCACGCCTAGACCACTGAACTTATTTTAATAAATTTGGTACAGACATAAAGTTGATCTTGAAAAAGAACATAGGATAGTTTTTATCCCAGACTTTTGAAAGGTTCTCTTGGAAACGCGATATAACCGAACTTCACGCGGGCGAAGCTGCGGACGGAAAGCTAGTATGTAATAATTACAACAGACTGTTGATGATTTATAAAAATTAATACTTTTTACGTAAAACATTGAATTAATTGAATATAAATTATTTGTGATATAAATATTATTATGTAGATGGACGCGATATATCGGACAAGGCCGGTAGCGTATTGCACGGCCATCTTGTCATAGATTAATAAATATCATAATAATAACATAAAATAGCATTTGTCAATTTGACGTTTAGATTTCTTTTTTTTTTTAGATTTCTTCATTTTAATAAAATTAAAGCAAAGGTCTAGAAGCGAATGTTATGTTTATATTATGTACGTATAAGTTCTCTCTTACGAATAATTTTATTTTCTTACCAGATTATTTTTTTATAAGAATGATGAATAATTTAATTACTATTAGTATCACATATTTATGTTCAATATAAAGACGTTTTTTATTTTTATATTTAATATAAGTAAATTTATATTTACTTTTTGATGCCAGCAATGTCTTTTTACAATTATAATAGGCATATTTGATCCCATAAAGGTATATAGTATACACATTTCTATTAGTTCTTAGAATATTTATTCGAAACTAGGGTATAAGCTAATTATTGAATAAAATATTTACTTGTTTTGGCAGTTATCAAGAATTTTGAATGAGGTTGAAAATAGGCATATCCATGGAACCAAATATATGTACATACATACCTATATATAATAAAGTACGGATGAACTTTAACGAGAATTAACTAAACAAGACGAAAGTTCTACGGTACTTCAGTATTACATTTTACAGAGGAAAGTAAAACTGAAAACCGAAAAACCAAGTGTACAGTGTACTTACTACAAGCTTGGAAAGTCACACTACATAACTTAACAAGCGTTTCCCGTATCTTATTCATTGAAATAAGTTAATACTATAATCTTCCAATGAATGAAAAACGAGGAACGTTCCGTTTGTAGTTACTATCTAAACAAATTGATTATTATATTATATCCGTGGCCTTAGAACGGCTTTTTTTCTTCAACACTAAACAACTATAGTAATAAAAAACTGTATGGAAAACATTCTATGGGATTAGATCTAAGACTTTCGCGAGTATTCATTTAAATATAACGAATATTATCACATTACTCTTAAAAAAGTTTTCATCTCGCCTGCCCGTGATCACGGTTGCAACAAAGTAACTGAAACGTCGGGAGTATGTAGTTTAAAATAATTAAAAAGAATAGTAAACAAAAAAAATATTAGTTTAATTTAAAACTTATAGAACCTAATTATATAGACGTTTTATAAAGTACCCTTTCATACTGCAACCGGAATATAACCAAAACTAAATATACCTACAATATTATTTAAAGTATCAAGAATGTAATATATTTTATTGTTAAAATTTATCCACAACATCACAATTAATGCGAGGCTTCGAAAATATTCACGAAAATCACAAATACTCCAAGTAACTTCCTTATGTCAAGCTAATAAAAAAATATTATCGTTTTATATGAAAGTAAACATTAGAAAGTTAATTAAAAGAAAAACGTATATTTTTGTTGTTCGTAATATAAACGTTTTTTGATTTAGTGACAAATATTTCACTTTCGTACATTCCTTTTCGTTATAATATTTAAGTTTTCCACAAAATACACTTAAATATTTCGCTCTTTAACGATTTCTAAACTGAAATTCATAACTTAAAAGGTCAAATTAACAACTTATTTAATTAAATCGAACATCACTCTTTAAACTTGAAATTGTTGACTTACTTTAATTTTTATTACACTTTCATTATTAACGTTGTTTAAAATTATTGCTTTTTAAAATATTCCACTTTATTTCTTATAAAATGGTACATTTACTTTCGATAAAATATTAAGGAAACGTACGCCTTAACTTGATTACAGATTATATAATTTTATTAGTAAACACACATACTTTAATAACTTTCTCGAACGTTTCTGTCGACACTTTTGTATTACAATCAACTATTTCTGTTATAAAACACGAAGTTATTCAGTTGATAAAATATCAAATATTTTCGTTTTCGTTTTTAACGCGCGCGTCTGTTGTCGTCTGTTCACTGGCGATCTCACCGGAGCGGCGCAATGAATAGTTGTTACGAAACAACACCCACCACGGAAAGATTATTTAACATATACAAGAAACTTCAAAAAGTCTTTGTATTAAGAGTCTCTCATAATATCGGGTCAATATTACGGATGTTATGAAATACGAGTCATTGTATTAAAAGAAAGATTTAAAGAGTTTTTTTTTTTAAATAGTCATAACGATAATCCAAAACGATAATGCCACATGAGTGTCATTAAATACATTTGCTATTTTTATTTCGTAACGTCAATAAAGTATCAATGTAATTAAATGATTTTTTTTATTATTGTGATAGCAATTACATAAACTTCTTAGTAATGACAGATAGAGCAAATAATTGAATATGGTTTCTAGATTCGATGAATTTAATTTTGTAATGAACTATTGCTTTGTTTACTTTATTACTAAACGCATTACTGCATACTTAGCAAAGGTAAGCATGCAAGATGACTTGGGCCTTCAAAAATACCTGCCAATTAACCCACCAAAACAACCAACCAACTGTGACCCTTAGCGTAATAGTGGGATATATAGGATGGCCTCACTTTCGAATTCGCCGCTTTACTTGGGTGAAATGATTACCCCTAAAATTGTCCTGATACGAGAATGCTAACAATAGGTAGATCTGATTACCTGTTCCACTACGCTTTACCCTAGATTGGAGTTTGGACAAAACGCACAGTCAAAGTTTTGTGTCGCCAATGCCGGATGACCTAGCGTGGTCGAATCATCTCACTGTCTTTAACATTGTAGTTATAATTGTAACCTTAGGTTTACACATAAAGCCGTGATTAAAATCGTTTGAAAACACCACCTAGGGAACTTTTGGTTTATTATTGGTTTTGAAAACTGTGGATTCTGAAGAGTCGCGAAAAGAAGTTGAAGAAAATTCTGCTAGAATCTATTATGTAAACGTCAATAAGAAAGAATTATAAGACGTAAACGACAAAGAATTAGAAATGAAATGTGTAAAAGATGAAAGATTGCATTTAAAGAACACTGATGGAACTTACAACGAAGAAACTATAACTAAGTTGGGTGCGGCCAATAAGGCCTGTCGGGAAAAAAGGCCTAAAATACATAAATAAAATTTAAAATTACCGCCATCACTAGAAAATACTTTATTTGGACTTTGTTTATGGAAAATCCTCTAGTTTTTTCTTTATTATTCATGTTAATTGCTATAAATATTTAATAAACATTAAAATTTCATAATATATGTCAGGGGTTGTAATTTTTTTTAAATTCCCGCTTAGCTATGCCTTATTGGCCGCACCTACCTTATACTGGTAATATTATCTTTGCAATACTAGAAATATGGAGACAAACACAAAACTGAAACCATTGTTAATTGAGAAACAGCAATGGTAATTACGTGTAGTGGACACCATTCTCTCTTACAAATATAACGAATAAAAACTGATTAAAAAAATTATATGCTTCAAGAGAGATTAAACAGTTTGTCATCAATTGCAATGGCATAGATTTCAAGATGTACTTACCTATATTGTTCGACTCAAATTTAGAAGGGCACCTCTTCAATCAGTATAAATACTTATAACTTATCGTGGAGGCCGTTTATAAAGTAGGCATATTTCATTATATCGAATATAAAGAAAAAGTAAAAATAATGCTTGAACAAAGTATGTTTACGTTTTTTAGTGCATTGAAACAAAATAGTGATTTTTATTTTCACCTCATAATATGTCCAGGGCCTCTAGTAGGTGACTGATCTAGTATAACCGTAAACAGTGTTCGCGAACGGAGATTTTCTTGGAGCTATGCAAGAACATAAATATTTGTGGTAAATGATCCAACTTGGTGGGGAAAATGTTTAAAAAAAAGAGGGCCATCGCCCATCAGAATAACAGTTTCAATCTTCGTGGCAATACTTAAATTTTTTGGGTCTTCGAGTTCACAATTCAAGGAGGTGAATCATGGACACTCACTGTAGAATTGATCCATTAATTTACACAAATTAATTTTGTACACACACTTCGTGAAGTTCTTTGGTGGAGCAAATTTCACAAAGAGTTATAGCTCACTGCTCAGTGACTAACATCAACAGCATAGCAAGAAAAATTAATCTGCTGAATTAGGATAAGGACCGGTCAAGTACAGACGGTCATACAATTGATGGAATCGAAACGTGTGAAGGTAGATACTAGGGTTAAGTAAACGTAGTGCAGAGCTCTGCAACATGATGGACCAACGATTTTAGAGGGGTGCGTGATCTATGAATGGTTTCCTAACTAAAATTCTGGGTGGTAGCGTAAGTTCAGTAATGGAGCGCCTAAGTTTGACTTAATGATAGTGAATTTTATGATTTTTTAAAAACCTCTTTTTCAAATTATATTTTTAGGCGGAGTCAAAAATCAGAGGAACTATTGTTTGCCAATATACTAAACACTATATGATATTTATGATAATAATTTAATGCTTTTAACAATAAAACCAAAAACTTAAATTAATGTTAATTACACTTTATATTGCAAAATAATTTTTAAATGTATAAAATTATTAAGTATTACTTAATAGTAAATGAATAATTCTATGAATAGCTACGACTGATCAAATAAAAATAAAAATAATGTTATAAATAAAAAAGCAGTGTCATACTTAGGTATGGCATTGTAGTTCGTGTACTTAAATTACAAATTTTATCTACAATTTAAGTCCACGAGATACTGCAAGTTTGCAAATGCAAGCAATTGAGTTTGTTTAAACATTCCATGTTTTTGAAGAGCAAAATTTTATCATATTTGTATTCTAGCTGATTTTAAGCTACAAAAGATTCACACAATTGATTTCTCCCGAGTATTGAGATTGTGTTTCCAACATGTACAAAGGTTTAAGGAATGTACATGGGGAATTATTGATAGTTTTGAACTCTATAAAAAAATCTAGATGCAGTACAGCGATAATAAAAAAATTGGATTTTTCTAATGAACTGTATATAATTAAATTTAAGTAATCTCCTTTTACTTCATATGTGTTCAATAACATCAACTAAAATTGGTTTTGGTTTGTTTTTTAAGCAACCTTAATCATCTGTGTATAAAGGATCGTAATCGTTTAGCCCGACGTCAGCTGATGTTGATGTTAGACACAAATATTAAAGAGTGAATAATACTTTTTGTTATCTGTGTTCTTTATATTATTCTATTATTAATAATTGTCAGCTGTCTGTCTGTTTCGAAGATTTTTTTACATTGTTCATTGATCACTATTAGGAATTTGTAACGTTGCTACGTGTAAGAAAATTACAGCGCTAAGTATCATACGAAGCTGGAATTGTTCATGTTTATTTAAAAATGGCGACGGATATTCCAAATACCTCGAACATTCCACCTCCAAACCCCAACGATCTTCCACCACCTTATTCTGCGGTCGTGGGTAATCCTCAGTACGGTTTCGTGGTCCCGGGCGGACCGGTTCCAACTGCCGATGGTGTTTATCCACAGCCAAAACAATTCACTGCTACGGGAGTGTACCCTCACCCTGTGACGACTGCTCAGCCCCAAGCCGGGGATGTTCCACCTCCTCCGCCTGGTATGAGCGTGCCTATTGGAGTGGTGATGCCGCCCGCGGTCGGCAGCGAGCCCACAACCGTAACCTGTTATAATTGCGGAAAAGTTGTAACAACCAAAGTCATATACACAACAGCCTGGCACACGCACCTCGTAGCAGGATCTATTTGTGTTATAACAATGTAAGTCTTTATTTTATGACAAAGAGGATATTTATTTCTTATACAGTATATCTCAATTATGTGATATGACTAATATTATTATGCAATATTTTCAGGGTTTGTTCACTATGCTGCCTTGGACTGGTTCCATACTGTTTCGATACATTCAAAGATGCCGAGCACTATTGCCCCAATTGTAGAACATTTATCGGAAAAAGCAATAAATGCTAGAAAATCACAAGTTAATAGCTTCATTCAAACATTTTGTAAAATTAATTCATGTATTTTTTCACATGCAATAAACACGCATATCTTTTTTTAGATTCATAAATTTTATATTGTAAAATTTATAAAATCAACACATTTAGCTTGTTTGAAAAGTTCCACATATAGGGGAAATTTTCTTATAATTAGTTTATGAATTATTTTGACCATATTTATTTATTTGTAAGTCATAAATATTGTATGTGATCTATATCACGAGTGAACCACAATATTATATGAAAGTGCCATTAAAATTGTCAGACTAAAAATCAAGGTGCTATTTTTTTCACAATTTGCTATCTGTAATCATAAATAGTGTTGTATACTGGCTTAAAATTTTATATATTTTATACCGGCTAAATATGGCCAGATTTATAGTTAAATTTGGCTTTCAGTAGTATTATTTTCAATATATGAAATAAAGAAGTTTCAATGGCCCTTGAATATTTAAGGTATATTTGAAAATTATTTTTTATGCTTCCATTTCAATCTAAAATTCTGTTTGCAACAGTGTTTAAATATTTTAGATGTTAAATTAAGATGCTATTTTTCTATTCAACCGGATGTAAGTATGTGTGTATCCTAGTATTTTGTGTAATCTTAACAAATATCACATGTTTGTCACTTAAATTTTCATCAAATATTGTAAACCAAAATTTTTTATATAAGAATACATATTTAGATTTACCAATTCAAAAACATCCACATTCCATAAGTGTGATTTTATAATATTTTCTTATCCCTTTATGTTGATTAAAACATAGCTTCCAAATAAAATATACTCTTGTTTTGGAAACAAAGTAGTCAGAAATCTAATTTTGATGTCAATAAGCAAGGTTCCAGATTTTTCAGTAGAACCAACTAACTTATTTATTTTTTTATGTTTATTATACAATTTTTATATCAAGGTTTCAAGATCTCTGATCAAGAGGTGAAGGAAATGGTTTTGACAAATTTAGTTATAAAAATCAATGAAATCTTTTTATAACAGCTTCTTTTAGCTATTTTCTACATATTTATAAGTTTTATTTTACTTTATCGCTACACACAAATGTATGACAAAGTACCTTCCACTTATCTTAAATTATACTATTAAATTTGAAGCAATGTGTTTTTTTTCTTATACCAATTTAAATAATGCTTAATAGTTACCTATCTGACATTTGACTGAATCAATAGATAAGATAACATATCAAGTGTTGATAAAAATAAGTAGAGTGAACCAATCAATACACAAAATAGTTGGCCAAAAACATTGGAAAATGGTAAAATTGAGTGTAGAAGATTTTAAAGTTACAAACGCATCTACCGAAGTTGAAATGACTACAGTCGCACAAAATTCAGAGCTTCCTCCTCCATATACGGAGAGGGTTGAATCTGCGCAGCCGGTAACTAATCAGCCTATTGTGCTTCAAACAGTTATAGTACCTCTAACATTAAAAAGAACTCCCGTTTATGTTAACTGTCCACACTGCAATGAAAGGGTTTTGACAACTGTACAACATACAAACACACAAAAGACTCATATGATCGCTGGATTTATATGTGGTTTAACTATGTAAGTTGTTGATATAAGTGTCAAATACAGAAAGATAAGATGGTTTATTTGGAATAAATTTATTTCTTTATTTCAGTTGTTGCATGCTCTGCTGTTTATCTGCAATCCCGTACATAATTCCAACCTGCAAGAAAACTGAACATTACTGCCCGAACTGTAAATCTTATATAGGCACATATTCATAATTTGAATTGATAATGATTTCCAAACATACATTTTATAGATGAAGCTGTGATTGAGGTTATTCAGGATTTCTTTATCAACGTTATGTGAAAAATAACATTTACTATGAACTTACGTTGTTGTCTATAAACAATTAAATACCAATGGATGTTTTATTTCTGCTCTTCATTAACTTTGATTATATGGTACTTGTAATCTGAAACAATCCGATGCTATTTTCCATTTCCCATCAACTGCTACAATGAGAAAGGTCTGTTGAAAAGGTTTCTTTCCATCGTCGTTCTGGTAAGTAACGTCTCCACATGCCTGGATGAGATATGTGAGTTTGTTTGACACAACATTTTCTGAAATAGGCTGAGCATCTAGCGTCTTCAATACATGATTGCTAGCAGGCAAGTCCATAAGAAATTTCTGGATTTTATCATTTCCATTGATCCCATTTCCGTTCCAAACCAAAAGTCCAGTATCGAGATATAATTTGGAGGTTAAATGTCTGCTGTTATCCACTTGTTTATAAAACACTCTTGTGAATTCTTCAGCTGTTTCGCAAGCGTTGTCTACATTTTTAAGGGCCACTTCTGATGCCATTTTCTAGTTACAATTGTAAAATTTAAGAATTACAACTTGTCTTTTATTGTTTACTTCACAAGTGATGCTGTCAAAACATGAAATTTCAAAACAAAGTCACTAGTGACAAATACATAATATCATCTCAGTAAACAAACGCTTTCATTTCCATAAATCTTTAAGTAATTCAATATATGAACTATATCCAATGTTTTATTTAACATATATTTATGTATATACGAAGATAACTTGCCAAAGTTAGAGTAAACAATTTATTACTGACGTTAAAATTATTGTACGTGTGTTGTCTGTGCAAAATTTCGGTTTTTCCGCCTTCTGGCACTAACTCATACTTTAGTTATATAAAACACGTCAAATGATTCATGCTTTCTGTAACTACTTAAGCGTAGGATGACGTCACTGATTAAAAGCGTCTACGCAAGTAGTCGTGGTCGTCAAATCTAAAAGATTGCGTACTCTTAACGCGTCAATGTATAATTTTTTTCAGTAATGGCAAAGGAAAATTCTAAAGCAATGTTGTAATAAATAAAATAATGTTTATCATAGAAATATTTTATTTGATGTCTTTATCTAATATATGAATCATCATATAAATTGCCTTATTACACAATAATTAAGTTTTATACTACTACTGCTATAAAATTTTTCAGGACATTCGACATGGCATTTTTATGTAACATAGGCGAAATTAATGAACATTTTTAATCAAAACAATCACAAACAATAGTCATCGGTAGATAAATCAAAAATTACGCTGCCATAGAGGGAAACTGTAACGATATCCATTACATAAACACATATTAACTGAATTAATTCGATTATAATATAGAGTAAAGTTGAAATTAATATCTAGTGGTTTAATTTTGATGAATATTTCAATCATTCATGTATATTTTTTATTTCTGGTCACTATCCCTGTGTCGGCAACGCATTTTTGACAGCACTATCCCATAGACATGTCACATTATTCGTGACCGCGTGTAATGGAATAGATCCCACAATTATATTAATTACTTATGATTAACATGCATTCGTTTCAATAAATGATACAGTCAGATTATCAAATTCAATTTTTTTTTAGTCTAAGGCACTGACAAAAATGATTATATGCACGAGTAAAAAAGTTATAAATAATATAAATCTTAACAGTAAATAACATTCACTAAAATTATAAAAAAATCACACGAAAAATTTTTTATAATTTGGAATACAAAACTTCTGCAAAATCAATATAATCATACAATCAATTCAAAACAGATAAGTTTTTTGTGTTGACTTATTTTTTTCGCAATTACTTTAGAAAAATGTATCGAATTTGCAAAAAGCTTAGTATAAATGAATATAATATAAATTTTTATGGTCACAGATATTCATGAAGTTAAACCTCAGTTATATATTTTTTCATTTGTTTTTTTTTATTAATTATTGCAGTAACAATATTTTTCATACTTTAGTTTAATTTTATACTGAGGTTTAACTTCATGGCTAAAGTGAAAAAAATCTTTAATAAATAAAACAATTTTAAATGTCAAAATTTTGATTTAAATTAATTCGATTCTTGGTACAATAGAAATTTAAAAAAAGTATGTTTAAGTGTTCTACCAGCGAGTCTTAAGAATAAATTTAGAATTAAATACAGGTTACAAGCAAGTCCTATAAATTCTTGGTGCTTATGAACATTTGAATCATTCCTACATTCAATTCTTCCGGTTATTATAAAATTATAGCACTAAATACAATCCCAAAAAGTAAATTTTACATCTACTAGGAATATGTCATTTATCCCAAAGCATACTTTTCATATGGACCAAAAAAAATTCAGTCCAAAGCTACAACTGTCCAATTTCCAAATAATAAAGTATATTATATCTCACAAGTACTTTCAGGTTCCAATATATGTATAAAACTTTAAAATTAATAAATTATGTGTTAATTTAAAACATACACTTAACGCGTTTATTGAATATGTAATATAGCTTATAAAAATTATTTTAACATACCAAAGTGTAACTAAAACATATTACATCTTAAAATGAACTTATATGTTATGTAATGAGTTAACTATAGAAGAAAAAAAAATCGTTGTAACAAGAGGGCACCGCCTTTTAATCGAATATAAAAAAGATATAAATAGTATTAAAAATATTGAGCATACAATGGAAATTGGATAGTTGGTGAGTATACAACATTTAAAGCGTTAATACATATAATAACAATTTTGACACATTGATGGTGTTATCACAAGGAGTGTCTGTGGTACATTGTGAATAGTACAATGGTACATGGTACAAGGTACAGGGTACAGGGTACAACACAGAACACGTGACGGCAGTGACTCGGGCGGTACTCGCTAGCTTCATAATACAACTTCATTTTAATTTCTCGTTATATTCCTAAATCTGGAAAAAATATATCATTATTTAAAAACTAGAATTAATTAATAACTAAAACTTCTTAAGTATCTTTTATTGTTAGTATCTTTATTTATTAAATAAAGAATTTTTCTTTATATATTATATAATAACATTATATGTGTGTACATACCTACTACATACTCACTTGCAACGGCCCATTGTGTACATCTGACTCTTGTTTACTACAAAAACCTGACATAAGTCTTTCCTGTGAATAAAAATATGCATTGAAATGAAATCCAAACAAAATAATTTAATATTATTGAGAATCTTTTGATATTGTTGCTCAAATAAATGACATCTTTAAAAAGAAATCAGCCTTTAGAGATTTTTTAAGCTCAGTGACCAAAACACTTCAAGCACTAACGCAATATAGCTTATTTTAGTTAACAATTTCATATTTTAGTAAGTTGTATTTGAATTTTTTTAACTTTTGATAAAACTTTCTATCAATAAAGTTTCGAATAATGAAAATAAAACATAACATTTGTATGTAGCATGAACTAAAGTGACAAACGAGAGATGTCGCTGTCAATTAACATAGAAATATATTAAAGCACACTATTTGTTTATCCATACATATATTGACAACAAAAACTAGTAACATAATACTTTCAAGTCACCTCTGTAATCCTTTCAGCATCTGCAAAGTTACTGTGGTTCTTCGTTTGTAATTTCTGTAACTCGGCTTCAAGCGCATCTATTTTGGACTGCATCTATAAATAACACACACACATATATATATATACACACATACACCATCACCTACATGTATTGGCGAAATGACAAGTAATTATAGTGTGACGTCACAGAGGCTTAGCTTGGACATATAGAGGTAATAGTTAGAGCCACATCACGGTACAATTGCTATACCTCTGTCACGACGGTCGGCAATGATCTTTCAATGCAGGAGTATGCGAACACCAAAGGCTCCTACATACAAAGAAATGTTATTTTTTCTCAATATTTACCATTTATAATAAGATATTATATAAATTTAAAATTGAAAGTCAGTGGTGGCCTAGTGGTTGAAAGACCCGTGTCTCATGCATGAAGGCGCGGGTTCGATCCTGGCAAGTACCAATGTGATTTTTCCGAGTCATATGTACTTTCTAAGAGTATTTAGACATCATTGATTAATGAGGGTTTAGACATCATTCCCAAAAGTGGGTTGATGTCAGGCAGGCGGTCGGTCGTAAAAACAATTAGCCGAAACTATTCACAACAAGTACGGCAGACCCTGGCTAAAGCTGAGAAGTTGCCAGGTAGAAGAAGATATAAATTTTAAATTGAATGCATAACATATCTTCGAACGATGAAAACCCTGATAGGGATTCTTATTACCTAACATCTGATATTTATAATAGCGTTGGGACGAAAAACTTATCATATTTTTTTATTAATAAAAGAGTTACAATAATATGTCATAAATTATTTGGTCACCCATACATACTCTGACCGAGCCAGAATCTGCTTATCATACACTACATACAACTGATTATGGACCAAATATCTTTAATTTAAAGTAACCTAATATGAAAAGTATACAAATAATGAATAATTTCGGCAGAATCCCGACATCTATTATATGGAAACCTTAGAAGGTTTTAGGAATGGCTCTTATAGTAGACTTTTATATGGAACCCTTTACCATTTTCGGGAGTATCGTGTATGGAGTTGTTATCCTACTAATATTATAATTGCGAAAGTTTGTGAGTGTGTGTGTATGTTTGTTACTTCTTCACGCTCAAATGGCTGAACCGATTTTGATAAAATTTTGTATACAGGGAGCTGACGTCCAGGAATAACACATATGCTACTTTACAACCCGGAAATCCGCGGGTAATGCCGCGGGGCGCAGGACTTATCTTTATATTATATATACAAAAGTGTGTGTGTGTTTGTTACCTGCATGATGGTGGTAGACCTCAGCTGGTCGAGTTGCCGCTGCTTCTCCGCGAGCTGTTGCTGCCAGCGTTGTTCCTCACGAGAAACGTCCGCTTGAAGTCTACCCAGAACACCTTCCTGCAAATAATATGCATGGAATTCTTAACAGATGACGACTTAAATTATAATACATATACACATATATGATACTAACATCAAAATTTTACATTCATATTATTATTCTATTGATAAGGTAAAAAAGTTTTGTATAAAATGCAGAGTCAAGCACTTAACATAGAAGTAAATTATAAGTAAATATATATGTAAAAAAAAAACTATATTTTATAATATGAGACGAAACTTCGCAGCATACCATGGATTCACCGTGCGGGTGCCGGGTCCATCGCGTTGCAGGGAGAGGAGCTTCAACAGTGACTGGGACTTGCAACCCAGGTGTAGGTTTAAGGGACCCCTTAGCTAACGCGCGTTATACGCTCACCTCCACTGTCCAAGCTCCTCTCCCTACCTAACCAAATTTGAAAAGAACTTTTAATTTTATATAACTCACCGTATCATCTATTATCCTCTTGTACTTGTCTACGAGGGCCTGTAACTGTTCGTTCTGTGTCTCCAATTCTTTGATACGTGAATCATCTCTAACTTCTACTCGTTCCGTCCTCACTTCTGTCACAACTCTCTTCTGCATTTCATTCTCTTTCTCTTGTAATTTAATCTGTAATTCTTTCTCTTTCTTCTGTATCTGCTGTCTCATGTTCTCCTCGATTTGTTTCACAACTAGTTCTTTTTCTTGTAATTTCTTCTGTAATTCCATTTCCAACTGTTTCCTTTCATTATCCTTCTGTGTTAATTTTGTGGACATTTCATTCATCTGTTTCTTCTGTGATTCCTTCTCTTCTAAATCCTTCTTGAGGTTCTCAGCGAAGGTCTGGAGCCATTCCTTACTGGGGTTTCCGTTCGGCGCTCCAACGGGGTAGACTTTTCTCAATACATTGGCCACTTCGTTAAAATGCATCTCCTGAGCCTTTTCTATAGCTTCCTGATACATAAAACACATTTATACAACATTTTTTTTACATTAATTATATGTATATACAGGGTGACTGGTGAATTACTATCGATACTTGAGGACGTGATATTTGACGATCATATATGACAAAATAAAAATTAATATAACATAAATATTAATAAACTTCTAAGTTAACCAAAAGTTATGTAATTAATTACGCATCGTGTGAACACCCTAGCTGCGTTATCGACACAAAACAGTTATGTAGGTAGGTACAAATTGATTGCGCCCGGCAAGCTATCATTTGCACGCGCATACGCACGAACCATGTCCAAGTATTCTGCATTTGTGTATTGATAAGCCATACTTAATTACTAATAAGTAAAAACGGGTCACACGCACACACGACAGATTAGGTATACGCGTAAGATCGATCGCTAGGCGCGCGCCCGGGAAGGCGGACGTACAAACCTTACGGCGGCGCTCGCCCGACTAATTAGCCACGGGACGGGGGTTGGGGGTAGCGACACACGCGTGCGGCGGCGTGGTGTTGTATCAGCACGCCGCCGCACGCGTCCACACTTGGAACACTTGGAACGTGTCCACACTTTATTTATTTATACGGAAATTTGGTCAAAAATTAACTAACTATTTTTTTACATAATTCGAATGAGAATCATGTACTGAGTATTCTCCTTAAATATTGATAGTAATTCACCAGTCACCCTGTATATCGTCGGGAATAGTGCAAAACCTCGTAACTAGCATTGGATAATTCCGCGTATCTGTAATGGAAGCAAATTATCAGAGGAAAGTTTAAGCTGAAATATTTTCTAAATTAACCACTTTAAGGTAATTTTTTCACAGTGAGTAAAAAATTAAACACCAAATAATTACTTACTGTGAAAAAATTACCTTAAAAGTCTTTTAATTTAGAAAATATTTCAGCTTAAACTTAAGCTGATAATTTTCTTAAAATGTAGATACGCTGAATTAACCCATAGTAGTTACGCAAGTTTGCACTATCCCCGACGATACCTATATACAGATAACAATGGATTATTTATTTAATCTCTATATAAAACATCAACATATATTTGCGAACGCAAATCATAGCGTGTGTATGATACAGTGCTTAAAACTAAATTGAAGCATAAAAAGCGAAGCCGGCCGAGGTTTTGATTATATATTAATATTATTTCTACAATAATTTAACTGTTTTAACATTGCATTTATATTTTCTAAGTGAATATGTCTAGTCCATACATTTTTATTCCAACAGGTAACTGTGAAATAACAATGTATAAGTTTTATGTTCGTTTTCATTTTTCCATTGTATTTTTCGATGACTTACGTCTATTTCCTGTCTCTTGTTCTCTGTCTTGATCGATTTTTCCGCGTTTTGTAACGCCTCCATTACTTTCCAGTTTTTAATTCGCAACTCCTTAAACGAGTCAATGGTTAGTTATCTTTTTTGTTTTTCTTTGTTATTATATGTTTTATTTAGTCTGTATTTACTTGTTTGTTTTAGCTTGAGGTGTTTCATTCTTATATTTTATTTTTATTGTCTTTATTATAATAATAAATTTATATATTTAGCGTCTATAGTATTTATATATTCTAAGAAACGAAAATGTATTTGTTTCTTCTTTATATAATGTTATTTATGTTAATGAGTTGTTTTAACGTAGCAGACTGCCACAGACTAACACATACACAGAGGTTATCAACTCACATTATTCTTATCCTTGTAAGCGTCTAGTTGTTCCTGTAGCGTCGCCAGTTGTTGCTTCTGTTCAGCGCTACTCTTCTGCGCTGATGCTAGCTCGTTTCTTAGTGATTCAACCACACTTTCAACCTTAGCCAATTCAGCTGCCTGTGAACAATTCCATCAATTTCTTAAACAGTATAAATATATATACACGGAAAAATTTCCTTAATAGATATTATACAGAGTACAAAAGTTAAAAAAATATATATTTACATACAATATTAATAATTATTTATATAAATGATATGGGTGAAGCTGCGGAAACGTCTAGTATATAAAGAAAAAAAACAGTTTTTGGAAGATGATATAATTTAAATAATTGATTGTCAAAAAGTGAAGACTGTTCATATAATATTATCATTTAGAAAAAATATAGTATTTTATTGTTAACTTTAACATTTTTTCTGTAAAATTTTATACAATATATGTATATATTATGTACCTTCTGTTCGTCCGTAATACTATTCGGCAGACCATTTTGAGCGGGTGAAGCTTTCAATTGTTTAAGTTCAGCCAATTCGCTTTCAAGCTCCGATAACTGTTCCTTAAGCGATGAAATCTCCTTTGTCATCTGGAAAATACAGGTCCAATAAAAAAATTGCAGCTGTTAGGTTAAAATAGAGTAGTTTTTTAATAGAAGTTCTAGAAGGCATAAGACTATTTCTATTCAAGGGCATACTATAAGAGTTAAAACTAACACCTGGAAAAAATACGTGACTACGGAATAATAGTCGTCACTCACCATCAGTAATCATAAACGAGAAATAAAAGACAGACTTAGGGAAATTTGTACACAAAAATATTATTACAGCCATTTTATAAATTAAAACAATCATTATTAAATTTCTCTTGATCTACATCTATTTCATAGTTACATAATTTTTAATTAAATTTGGCATTGTCAAAGTTCCCTTCTCCTTATACAGATTAATTAACAAACATGTATTGAACACAAACCTCTTGTTTTTCTTTCTCGGATTCTCCTTGCAACTTTTCCAAGTGCACGATATGTTTCCTGTATTCTTCTGTATCTGTAATTATACATATTTATCTAAAATTCTAATTCTTCCAAAATCATATATTTGGTCAGTTGTAACTATATAATGTGAAAATACTGTACTACATATAAAAATATTCTAACATCCTGGATTTGTGTTTATATTTTAGGCAGTGGCGGCTGGTGGGTTATCGAACTGGTGGTGCACTTTAATAAAATATTAAAATTAGAAAATGCAACAAAAAACCAATTGACATAAAATATGTTTATTTTTTAAACATTAAATCAATGCGGCGACATTTTTCTGAAGCGAAATGTTCAATCACCTTTTTATTAAAATCGGGTATGTATTGTTTGTATAATTATTTTTTTCAATACTAAGCATAGAAAGTGCATGGTATTTCGGAGAAAAGTTTTATTCTTTTCAATTCCAATGCGTCGTACATCGGGTGCTCTCGGTAATCTTCGGCCGCTCGTGCGGCGCTCGAGAACCGACTCATTACTCGGTACATTTCTATGAACTATCTTTTGTTTCACGTGTCAGGCGTATTATTTCGTATCTCATACAAGATGTATTAGCAGGCCTCGTGCACTCGCCGAAGCGTACGAGATATTAGTTCAGTAAAGCGCACAAACTTTTTGACTATAATTAGAAATTTAATTTTTTATACGTTTTTGTATGTTTAGAAAATAAATATTAAAATGGTAATTTAAAAATAAAGATGAAGTATTATTTTGTAATTTTTAAATCTTTTGAATTGGTGGTTCAGCGCACGAGTGCACTTAAGGTACAGCCGCCACTGATTTTAGGTACATATATTATATATGAGTTTAAAATATATGTATATAAAAATCTTTATCCCTACTGATATTATAAATGCGAAAGTAACTCTATCTGTTTGTCTGTCTGTCTGTTACGCTTTCACGCCTAAACCACTGAACTGATTTTAATGAATTTTGGTACAAAGATAGAATTGACCTCGAGAAAGAACATAGGATAGTTTATATCCCAGACTTTTGAAAGGTTCTCTTGGAGACGCGATATAACTGAACTCCACGCGGGCGAAGCTGCGGGCGGAAAGCTAGTATTATGAGTTTTAAGTATATGTATATAAAATTATTTATGTACTAATAAATTAACTAAAGCCCAATAATGTTAATGTACATGATCGGTGGATATCTTAATATCAGATTCCTAAGTTCTTATATCCCCTAGTTTCCTAATATCTAAGTCTTGTTAAACATTACTAAATGATGACTCAAACATGATGGCTCAGTTTCTGAGCTATTGTTAAACATATATAACATATAATATGATATCTCACTGAGATGTTTCATGATAAGTTCTCTACACTCTTGTTCTGATAGACGAAGTTCGTGAACAGCCGCCTGCCGTTGGGCCTCCAACTTACCGCAGGCGAGTTGAGACTCCTGGAATATTAAATTATATTTATATACATATATATAAAACGCTATAACTATATATATGGAAATACTAGAATGATCTTCAAGATATATTGTCGGGGATAGTGTAAATCCGCGTTATTACCATTGGCTAATCCCGCGTATCTACATTGGAAGCAGATTAGGGGCCATCCATAAAATACGTCACACTAATTTCGTGAGTTTTTGAGCCCTCCCCCGTCCTTGTCACAGGTGGTCACATTTCTGAGACCCCCCCTCCCTAGTGTGACGTCACATGTCTTGCAATTTAACATCGAAAAATTTTTAAATTAAAACAGCAGTTCCGAAATTAGTTTTATTTCCATTTAAATTAAGTACTTTCTTATTAAATCAATACAGTATCAAATATTTGAAACAATAACAAAAAAATAAACTAATGAATATACATATATGATGACGCGCTCAGTTTTAAAGATTTTAATTAAAATTTCAAATTACGCGATTAGTACCTCTAGATTTTGAAATGTGATGTCACGAAACTTAGGACCCCTCCCACCCCTTGTCACACCATGTCACACTTTGTCGACCCCCTCCCACCCCCTTTACGTGTGACGTACTTTATGGATGACCCCTTATCAGAAGTTTGAGATGAAATATTTTCTAGATTAAAGACTTTTAAAATAACTTGTTCACATTTAGTAATAAATTAAACACTAAATAATTACCAATTGTGAAAAAGTTACCTTAAAATTCGTTAATATAGAAAATATTTCAGCTCATTTTTCTTCTGATAATCTGCTTCCAATGTAGATACGCGGAATTAGCCAATAATAATTAAGAGGATTTGCACTATACCCGGTGATATACTTTTCTATACATAATCTCTTAATTATTGTATTGAATTAAATATAAATGACATCTAATTATTGACTATTGAAATTTGAATAATATTGTGATGATATATGCCAATAGAAGATATATTTATGTATGTATGTGTGTGTGTGTGTTTGTTTATATACCTGCAACTGTTGCTCGAGCTCTGTGGCATGAGCCTGTAATACCTCCAACTGACCGACCAAGTCTGACTGCGACTACAAAACATATTAAAATAAAATATTACATATACAGGGTGACTGGTGAATTACTATCGATATTTGAGGACGTGATATTTGACGATCATATATGACAAAATAAAAATTAATATAACATAAATATTAATAAACTTCTAAGTAAAGTTAACCAAAAGTTATGTAATTCATTACGCATCGTATGAACACCCTACAGATTAGGTATACACACACACTCACACAGACGCGGCGGCGGCGTAGTGTTGTATCAGCACGCCGCCGCACGCGACCACACTTGGAACACTTGGAACGTGTCAACACTTTATTTATTTATACGGAAATTTGGTCAAAAATTAAGTACCTATTTTTTTACATAATTCGAATGAGAATCATGTACCGAGTATGCTCCTTAAATATTGATAGTAATTCACCAGTCACCCTGTATATACATTTATTTAGACATCACATATATTTAAAGCCATTAATAAAATATATTTTGCTTAGAGTTTCATTTAATATATATAAAATTTAGTAATTGTATCTTCCAATATCTTTATATATCAAAGTAAATCCTGTTTGTTACACTATTTATAACTCTAGAACGGCTGTACGGGTTTGGATGAGAATTGGAGAAGATATAGCTTAAAACAAGGAAAAAGACATAGGATACTTTTCATCTGATTGAAAAGGAAGAAAAAAGTAGATAGTCCAAAAAAATCTTATCTACTGTCTTTAAGGAGGAACAGAGTTCTCTCGGTCGGTTATACATTACATAATTTCGAAACTAACGCAGACAAAGTTGCGGGCTAAATTTAGTATAAAACTTATAGTGATTCTCACCTTAGTCAATCTTTGTATGTGCATATCCATTTGCAAGCGTTGTGCTTCATTTTCTTCATTCAGTTTAGTTTGAAGCTGTAAAACAATACATAGGGCTATAATAAAATAAATTAATACAATAAAACAGCATCACTTGAGATAAATCTATGTTATACCAGTGGAGTTACACTAAATTGAGAGCAGATATTGAAATATTAAAATTCAAATATGTAAACGACAAAGTAATAGTACAAAAAGTATTAATAATTCTATTAAAACATTTTATTTTACATTCAGGTGGCACTTCACTTGGCGTTTATTTGTTGTGTTCGGCCAAATAAGACCATGTGTGGAGGATTTATTCGTCTTCATTTGACATGTTTGCACAAATAAGACACATACACAAAAAAGCGAAAACGCGTAAAGACGTGTTGTTGGAATGCCAAGTGTGGATGTCGTGTGTGCGCTATTTGTACTATGTACAAATATTTGGACAAATACGACGAATACGCAACAACGCCAAGTGAATTGCCACCTTTACCGAAATCAAAACTGTATTGTACATGACTCGTAATTAATAGGTGTATTGATATAAGGATTTTAATGTGTTAATTATTTCGTGGATCTTTAAATTTCTTCTGGTAATATAAATTATGCTGCATATGTTATATTTTATTAAAATATAAATCTTTTTCTTTATGTCTGTTCGATTTTAAAGAATTTGTTTTGAAGACTGTTTTCTTAGTAGCAACATCTTAAATATTTTACTTTTTAGACTTATCTTTCCTATTTTATTTTGTTATATTTTACTCTAAATTTGAAACTTCAGGAACCCATGATCACGAGATACAAAATACAATAATATAAAAGTTCATATTACATATTAAGAATACAGTTAAATTTAAGCCTGTAGTTTGTTTTTGTCGTAACGTTAGATCTAACCATCGTCTAATAGACTACGACCCAGTTTCACCAAACTCTGTTTATTATATCTAATCGGGGCATTTACTAACAAACCTTCAACATTATAAATGTCTGTTAAAATATTTAATAATGTATTATTAAATATCATGTTAAATGATCGACTACCAAATTATTCGTCCTTGTTATAAGACGACCAAATAGAAATAGCGTTTAACACGACACGTTTGCCACGATGCACCACTTTATACTTTGATCGTTTAACCAAATTTGAAAAGAACCTACTAGGGCTGCCTTCGAAGTACATTCCAAGAATGAATTAATGTGAGTTCTGGACAATATAACTAAGTCTGTATACTAACCACGAGTTTCTCTTGTGTGAGTTTCTGATTATCTTCAAGGACCATTTGTAATCTTCCCTGTAGTGTGTGGAGCTCCGACCTCGCTGTGGTCGCCGCAGCCTCCGCCGCCCGCCCGGCAGCAGCGCCACGCGCTCGCTCCGCGTTAAGACTGGCCCTGGAAATTATAATTAAATAACATTAGCCATTTCCCTCAAAATAAGCGTATTTTTTAGACAAACTACCCAACTGAGGCATTGCTCGTAGGGTCAAAAAAGCGGCCAGAAGTATATTATACAGGGTGACTGGTGAATTACTATCGATATTTGAGGACGTGATATTTGACGATCATATATGACGAAATAAAAATTAATATAACATAAATATTAATAAACTTCTAAGTAAAGTTAACCAAAAGTTATGTAATTCATTACGCATCGTAGGAAACACCCTACAGATTAGGCATACACACACACTCACACAGACGCGGCGGCGGCGTAGTGTTGTATCTGCACGCCGCCGCACGCGTCCACACTTGGAACACTTGGAACGTGTACACACTTTATTTATTTATACGGAAATTTGGTCAAAAATTAAGTACCTATTTTTTTTACATAATTCGAATGAGAATCATGTACCGAGTATGCTCCTTAAATATTGATAGTAATTCACCAGTCACCCTGTATAATATACATGTGGTGTGAATGCGCTCTCTGAAAGTAAATGCTTCCATTCCTAAACCAGCTTATTCTATATTTTCTATTTGAATTCATATTCCACTCAATATTTAATGTAAAGACTTAATATAGCTTGAGTATTAAAACCACAACAATGCAAAAATTAATCTCGTGCCTATGAAAAAATTTGCTAGCCCCATAACCTGATTTTTCTTAATCAGGACCCATGTTTTATATTGATTAGAATAATCTATAAAATGATAGATTCTAAATGATATCTATAAAATGATAGATTCGCTATCATTACGAAACTTAGTTGTGATTTACAACTCTGCCTACCGTAATTCTTTCAGCTTGGCGTGTAATGCTTGGGACGCTTCAATCTCATAAGCCAATGCCTTTTCCTTATCCGCCAACTGTTTCTTCAGCTTTTGCATGGGGTCATTGGGTCCCTGGAAAAAAATCACCGGAAAAGTTACGTAAAGGTAGTGTTATGTTTGATAAGTAAGAAATATATTTTAATAAACAGAATAAAGGAGTAAGTAAAGTAAGGTAGACTCGAAGCGATAGTAAACAGATTCTAGATACGACTTAAACATTTATTTTATGCTTGTAGTTTGGACGCAAAGTATTTATGATATCAGATTAAATAATAGAGTGACAGATGTGAATGTTTTTGAGTATGTAAGGGGTTAAAAAAACAAGTAAAAAACACTTATTATGGTAGAATAGCATGAAGTGTCATTACCTCGGTCCACTCGGAATGCTGCGGCAATGGATCATGGTGTTTATTCAGCAGAGCGTCGGTAAGAATCTGTATTTCAGTCCTAGATAGGGCCGCCTCTCTCACGACACGAACCAATTCACTGACAGCCACGCCGCCTCCCTCGCCAGCTATATTGACATAAAAGACATATACATATATATTAGCTATATTAGGAAAATAATAACTGACATAAAAGTGACAAACTATTTTAATTCCAACTTTTTTTTTCAACTATAATTCATAGTCAAACTTATAATTATTTTTAAGGCAAGGCAAGGCAAGGGTAATCTTAATAACAAATGCATTCAAATAAGATTCCCGCCATTTAAGACACAGCTAATACTGTGATTATGAATTTATTGTTCCATACTAATTAAAATTATAATAAAATAAATACGAACACAAGTTTTCATAGCGTTTAGCAAATATAATATTTACATATAGGTTGCAATAATAAAATAAATAAAACATAGGCAAAAAGTAGTTGAAATTAATTGAAAACTAAACTGATAAATACTGTCTCTTGTTATTGAAATTATGATATAAAATTTAGTGGCTGATAACAAATAAACAAAAGATAAATCAATAGGAGATATAACCTCTTTTTTATGTAATCTCTACATTTTCCTATAAGGAGTCATCCATAAAGTACGTCACACGAATTTTAGGAATTTAGAACCCCCCCCTCCTTGTCTCAGGTTGTCACGTATTTATAACCCCCCTTTAGTAGTGACGTCATACATTTAAAATTATGTATGTATTTAAAAATAATCCAGAGAAGACAATTATTTTAAATTTTTTACTTATTTTTATTACATAATAATCTAATAAAATCAACATACAGTCCAACATATAATAAAATCGGAAAAACCAATGACTAGTTAGAAAATAATAAACGATTTATTATATTAATTAAAGATAAAATTTTCAATTGACGTCCAAACTACATGTTTTATATTTTAATGTGACGTCACAAAACTATAGACACGCCCCGCCTCCTTATACCCCTTGTCAAAAACGAACTTAAATATTCCTATTTGCCTAATTAAATCGTACTCTATGAAATATATGACTTGTCATTTTTACTATACATTGTTCGTGCAAACATAATTTAACTATCTGTGACATGTGATATAACACAGGTCGTGACTATAGGACTTTATTGCCCCTGTGTTGTTAAGAATAATATAAATTTTATTATCCTGTACATATTAATAAAAATGTATAAGTTCGTGATAACAAGGATCATTTATATAATATATTATTGGCATTCTTTAAAAGATAATATCTTCATTAGAAATAGTTTTCATCCCAGTCTTACTTAGACGTACTTCAATATTGACGTAGATAAAATTCATTTACTTAAGAAAGTAACACAGTCAGACTGTCATCACGTCTGCTATACTGGAGGTCAATGACCTTACAAGTGCGCTAGGATTGATAATCTAGTATGTGTTTATACAGTTAGAAATATTTTGATTACCACTTATAAAGGTAAGACACGTATATGTCCAATTCACAGCAGCGTTTTTCTTGCGTGTAGAGTTTTTTAAAACGCTCGTATGAAAAAAATGACATTGCATTGAAAATGGCTGATGTATTCGTTGTATTATATCAGTAATGTCTGTTGACAAACTTTTGATTTCTTTTTACAGTTACCGTGAATTTGAATTTAGATAACATATATCCGACGGATTCGATCGTTATTATAAAAAAAAATGTTATACCCACACAACTAATATATATTCATTTTTTTACGGTATTGTTTGTTTGTTGGTATATGTAATACAACAGTGTTTTCTTTATAAATAGCTCTGAATCTCTGATGGGCGACTTAATCATCTGTGATTGTTGAATTTACCCAAACTACCTGCACCGCCATCTATCGTTAGTTACCGATTTTCATACGAAACCAATGATTTATGATCTGTTCCAATGGCATCTGGAGTTTTAGCTTGTTTTAATACTGTTAATGTTTGTTGCTTTTAAATGCAAAAACTCTTACAAATTTTGATTAAACTTACAGTAAGGTAGTCTAGACATATAGTTATTATTTGTCCCGAAACTACGTAATTGCGAAACAACTGTTATAACTATATAGGGTAGAAAGAAAGCTGACACAGATTACGAAGTCGCTATAGATTACCTAACATACTACTACGGACTACTTAGAATAGTAATTGGTAAATTATATTTATGACAGATTTTATTAAAATCGTTCAATTAGTTGTAGAGTGTGAGTGTGACTAACAAACACACAATTCTTACAAATCTTCGCTCACATTTGAATGTCGTGTGTGCACAGCCGTATTTGCTATGACGTCATTGTTTGCCTCGTAAAAATATTTCATCATGTTTGACAACCTCTGTTCATTTCAAATAAATTATTCTTAAACCGAAATTTTAAATAATATATAATTTGAAAATCTCTAAAAAATTTAATTCTCATCCGACATTAAGCTTGGAAATTTAAATTTTTAACTCTATTTCAAAGCAATCATTTAATTATCTAAATTCTATCATATCTTTTAAAAGACTCATTTTTATTAGAAATAACGATAAGCTACTTTTATTATTTGACAATAGAATTTAAATAGATATTTTTATCTACTCATATAATAAACGTTATACTTTGTATGTATGGCTATTTCTTTTACATAATATAATCTATTTTTTTTTGTCAGCCAGACACCAAAATACCATACATCTTAAAGTCACATATAAGTTAAAAGGTAACTCCGATAAAGTAAATACTAGAAACTTAGTTTATTTGTTAAAACTATTGACTGCTTCCTAAATTGTATACATACACAAAGTAAATGATAAAAGCTTATGATGTCAAATATTTCCACGAAAATTATTATTTGTGCTTCACTAACATCCTACATGACAGAATTGAAATGAAGATAAGTAAAGAAAATAACTTTTTATATTTTTACCAAGATAATAGTGCATTTAGCCTCAGGCGAGAGCGATTTAGTGATATATATCACTGAACTCATAAAAGCCAATTCTCTTATAGCTTGAACATATTTATATTTCATGTTCTAGTACAAATATGAAAAAACTGTTTCAAGCTTTTATATTATAACTAGAAGACCCTGAAGACTTCGTACTGCCTCAATCAAGAATTAAATAATTTCTTATTTATTTTTTTCGGAGTTTACCTTTAAACCATAAATCTCCGTGTTCTGAAGTGCGACAGGATGATTGACGTATTAGTTAGTTGTCAAATATAATGACAAAAAACCGTTTGTATGGGAAACAGAAAAGCGCTGTTTTTAGAGTTTTCCCGGTAATTAATAAAAAAAAAATCAGCTTTTAAACGTTCCCTGAACCTTCACGAACATTTCAAGACTAAGATAAGATAAATCCGTTCAGCCGTTCTCGAGTTTTAGTGAGACTAACGAACAGCAATTCATTTTTATTTATATAGAAGATAGATGTATTGACAGTGACAAATATTAAATAAGATAATATTCTACTAACCAATCATAGCCAGTACATTCTGTTCTGGTTTCTTCTTCTTGTTCTTAGGCGGTGAGGTGGTGGTGTGAGTGGTGACTTGGACCTGCTTCAAAAGTTTCTCGGTGGTAAGCTCACTTGGCTGAGGAGGATTCAGTGGTGGTACCACTTCCTCAATCACTTCCGGAATCTTCTCAACCTTCTTAGCTACAATACATTCGTTTACATTAATATAATACATAATATATATCTACATATACACCAATCCCTACTAATATTATAAATTCGAAAGTCTGTCTGTCTGTCTGTTACGTTTTCACGCCTAAACCACTGAACTGATTGTAATGAAATTTGGTACAGACAGAGTTGACCTTGAGAAAGAACATAGGATAATTTTTATCCCAGACTTTTGAAAGGTTCTCTTGGAAACGCGATATAACTGAACTCCACGCGGGCGAAGCTGCTGGCGGAAAACTCGTATATTATGTATGGTTGCATAGAATATTGATAAGTATACTAATTAATATTATTCAAGATAATTTAACAAAATCATCAAAATTATTGGTATAAGCTGAATTAAAATTTTAATTCAATGAAGACTAATAAGTAAATTATGTATGTCTGTCTGTCTATCTGAATAACATAATACTTTATATAATTATAATAAAAAAAGATCTCAGTACCTTTCTTTTGTTCCTGAGGTGCTTCTGTATTATTCTTCTGTTCATTGGCTGGTTCTTCTTTAACAGGCTCATTCTTTGTTACTTTTCCCTTCGCCTGTTTTGTCTTGGATTCCTTCTTTTCAACAACTTCCTCTTTTTTCTCAGCCACCTATCATCATAACTCGTTAATGTGGGCGAAATATTTTAATTCTAACATACAACTAAAACAAGCGACACCACAGATTATATTACACAAAAGACACAATTTTACAAAATACACAAACACAACACTAGGGCAAATAAAAAATAATTAAATAATAAAAAATGTAATTATAATTAGCAAATCATAATGAAAATGTAATATCAATATTGCATTTAATATATATAACAAACCAAGCATTAAAAAAGCGATTCCCTAATAATGAGAAAAATTGAAATTTCGAACGTGAAATGTGATGAAAAATTTCAAACATAATTGAAAGTATGATTATACGTGAAATAGCATTAAAATAAAGCATGCAAAACACAGACATACACCAGCGAGAACATAAACTAAACACATATTACCACTTCGTCCTAGGTAAGTGTAAAGAAAATAACGAGAATTAAATTCATCCATATTAATTTTTAAACGCTCACAAAATACACAAATAAAACAATCGGCGTGATTTATTTATAACATCAAATGAACTGTCGGTTATCAACCGAAATTTAAAGGTCACTCAAGGGCGTAGGTAATTTCGTGAGGTCATATAAACGTTATATAGGCGGGACGGACGTGGGACAGGTGTTAGGAACATAGGAACTCACTTTTTCTAACGTAGATTGTAATAATTCAATTTCGTCCTTGGGGTGCATTTCCTCAAAATGGTTTGCCACCTCTGCCACCGGCGTGGTAGCGGCGCTGGGATCGCTAACACAGCTTGGATCCTCTTTGTTAACCAATATCGGTTTAACTTTAGGATCCTTGCCGCGTTTGCGAATCTGCACACACATTTACATTACAACTATCAAACTTCGACAACACCGGTCTAATCTACTAATATTACATACATATTATCCACTTAATAATACTTTTTTATTGTTAGTAAAACCTTAAAATTTAAACTATTTACAATTAGGTAACCATATGTTTTAAACTACTGCGACCTCCATATATATCTTACAATCACCTGTTTAACCTGTGCAATATGTGTAATCTGTGTAATAAACATTATCTCTATACAATATCTTCAATAATAATTAGTAACCAAAGTACAAGCTAGTATGAATAAATGAGAACCAGTCATGCGTGCATATCAAAGTATGAATATTTTAAAGCCATCCCCCGACATGTAAAAAGTTTTAAAATTTACTTTGATGTTTGGAGTTTCTGCTGGATGCTCGACAACAACATCGGGACTGAATTCGACATGCGGTTTAGGAACTGCCGAGTCATCTTCGGCACAACTTTCAACAGTCGCCTCTTCAACCTCACTGCCGGTAGCCGCTGCCTCTTTCTTTTCTTTCTTGGCCAACTACAAATAAGAATAAAAATAACTATTATATATACATATATATTTAAATATATTAATAGATCTATAGCATGTAAAGACATATGAGATAGCACTATTGACATTTTATTATCCCATTAAATATTATTATCACATCACACAATGAATGTATGTTATTGCTTGTCAGCAATTTATTTATTATATAATAAGAAATTGCATCACATTTCTTCGACAATAGAATATAAACATATAAATAAAATTATTTACATATTATTAAATGCTTATATTTAAATTTGGAATTGTTCAATATGAACCTTTTTGTTAGCTTTCTTATTAGTCTTTTTTGATTTGTTCTTGTTGTCGGCCAGCGCTAATAGCTCATTGGTGGCACGACGTTGCTGGGCTATGGCTTCCTCGTAACTAGTTCCAGATGCGGAGAAAAGTCCCATAAGAAGGACAACAGCTACACCGGCCACACCGACACCGCATAACACTAGCAATGCCTGCAGCTCCATTTGAACTGCTGCAAGCTAATTAAAAAATAATATATCAAAAATTTTCTAAGAAAAAATTGTTATTTCATTAAAAATTTAAAGTTGAGAAAAAAATTTAGATGACACTTTCAAAGTATGATCTTCATGAAAATCATGATATTGTTTAAATGAATACATATATAATACTATATTTATATGCAAATCATTTGGAACAATGTATTTTCATAATACAAAAGGCATTAAAATTATCTATCAATAGCATTTTATTTACAGTTAAAATTTTAATATAAATTTGCAACAGAAATTTCGGTAAGCGTGAATCTAATTAGATTCTAACTGTAATGAAAAAATATCTTACCTAAATATAAAAATTAAAATAAAACCGAACTGTAATACTTAAACAAAATTCACGCGAGCGGCTCGTTCGATATAACTATTAACTACGGGAGCTGACACGTAAGCAGTGACACATGTCAAAGATCATTGACAGGCAATGATATTAAAATAACTCGTATTACAGAGATATTACAGTTAATATGGAACTTTTCAACACAAAACTAAAGGCAGGCAATGATTTACAACGTAATTTAATGCCTCAAAGTAAATATCATAGCGTACTTAGTCTCGTTCGTGTAATAAAAATTTTGAAAAACTTACCTGAATAACACGGAAACTACTTGTTTGGTAACTACTGAATTATAACGATATAACATGCATCAGTATTCTTGTTATCCGTGATAAAGTAATAACTTAACAAAAAATTGTTATAAAGTGCTGCGATTTACAATGTTTAACAGCCGACAAAGCACTATTAATTTAAATCCACAGACTATGTATTTCTTGTTTGTCATATAGGTACATTAATAATTTTTTGATACTAAAATAACGTGTACAAAAATATAATCCAGAAAAATAAAAGTATTTTCATTTGAATAATTAAAAAAATATTTTTATTAATGAAGATTAACTCATATAAAACCCAAGTTAATATTATAAAATTATTGTAAAGGTCATTAACTAATGGATAATCTTTTAATACTTATTTATTAACAATTAGTTAATACAGATTTTACTTATTTCATTTTTGAAAGTCAAGTAATAACATTCTTAGATAATTGTTTTCTCAAGCAATGGACAAATTACGATAATTAACTAATTATCTTTAATCTATACTAATGATTTTAGGTGTGTAGATAGGTAACATTATACAAAAAAAATATGAATAGTCGCATGACAGTTGGCCTGTCAAGTGTTGGCCTACAAATTTGTCAATTAAAATGAACAGCTGTCCATAAACATTATTTTTATTTATTCATGATTGATTTGTAACATTATAAAGTGTTCGTTAAATCTATACTAAGATTAGTGGCTGTTGATTTATAATATTATCTTCTAGTTTAAGTTCGATTATGTCGATACCTCCACTAGTTTGCAGTACTCCTCCACCTCCCGAACAGTGCGAGGATGACAAAGACCACGAAGATTTTGATTTGCAATACAATTGTAATTTTTTTTTGTGACTTTTTTTTATAGATTACTACTCGTTCTACTTACAAATCATATAGCTTGTACTAAAGAGTTATTGTAACACTAATCATTACTCAATACAAAAACAATTCAGTGTAACAGTATACAATAGAAGATATCGCTATTCTCATGTATAATGGTTGACTGTGTTAATGTTTTAGTGTCTCAAGATGATGATGAAGATAACAATGAGTTTAACTACGGTAATTACACCAATTACAACTATCAAACCACAACAGAACCGGTCGCAGATATACAATGGCCTCAAAATGTATCAGAAACTACGGATGACATAGACAAATTCAGTATTAAAAGTGAAATTAACAGTTGTGATAATATTACTCCAATCAGTTTAAACAATGATAATACATCAAAAGTAGAAGAAGCAATAGTTGAAGACTTAAACTTAATTATTGATAAAGATATAGATTCCACGGATTTAGAGCCATGTTCGAAACAGGAAAGTAATAAGGATGATAGTAGTGTGAGCTCCGATAATGATTCAAGGATAAAGGATAATATTAATAGTGATGTGGAAACAGAGGATTTAGCACCGACAATAGATTCAAATGAAAGTACCAGTGGTTCACCATACTTTAATGAAGAAATCTGTGACAAGGAAACGCAGAAAATAGAAGTCTGCAATGTAGATATACATGATACAACTTTAGTTAACGAAATTAATGGTGAACCAACCATTGAGAAAGATAATTTAGCTTCAATAAATAGTTCATCAGAAAATGTGATTGAAAGTGAAAATGTTCCCGATGTTAATAAAACGGCAGCTAGTGATGATGACTTTGGTGATTTTGAAGACTTCCAATTTACAAGTACACAGAGTGAGCAAGTTCTTCCGATTAGTAGTGAAAATCCATGGGACGATACCTGTGAGAGTTCAGATTTTGTTGAATTTAAGGCAAATTTTGATAATAATGAAGTGTCTAAAGATAGTAACAATGTGTCTCCAGAGGTTGAAGAACCTAAAATAGATGATGATGATGATGATTTTGGAGATTTCAATGATTTTAAATCATCCGAACCTGTTAAGGAAACTATGGAAGATGTGAATGATCATATGCCAGTGTTTGACGTCAGTTTACCTGATAATGAATTACAAATATGCGAGAGCATAAGTGGATTGTTAACTCCAATATTTGCCGAGGAGATATTAGAGCCTGATGATGAGATTGTTGGAAAACTGGAGTCCTTTTTGAGCGAAACATGGGGACACTTGATTGACATTGATGTGAGACAACCGTATATGGTCAACTGGAATAACTCGTTAGGTCAGAAGACTCTTCTAAAAGCATTGTGTATAGATTCAAGAAATATTGTAAGAAAATTATTTTTATATGATAAATTTAGGATTTACCTAAATTTATTTCATTCCATATTTGTATATATCTATTTTATAATGAAAATTATTTTTATTTTCTAGCTCTTTGGACCTAAATGGCATTATAACATGCCAAAGTATGCTGCTAATTTGAGTGCGGCACCACTTCAGCCGCAGAAGCAGGTCCAAACTTCCAATTCTGTTAACACCGACTCAAATGAAAAGACCAATAAAGAACCCAACACCTGGGTAGACCCATTCACACAGGACGGTCAAGAATGTAAGTAAAACATAGACCAAAGCTACATTCATGCAAACAACACTAATATATGCTATATGATTAACAAATAAAATGGTACTAACAATGTAACATTTGTATTATATATAAATAATTAACGAACACGTTTTTATTAACAGCTCTTGAGTTAACCGTCACTCAATAATAAATATCTTTTGCATGTCTTGCACACGGATTGATACCACACATGTTTGTATTATTGCTTCTCCCCTACCTCCATTCCCATCATATAGACACGTATGCTGAAGCTCTGCTCCTAGACTTAGAGCACCTTATGGCCACTTTAGACCAAATGGCTCACAAACATTCCACATTAAAAATATCAGAATTACTATCACATGGTAAGTTTATATGTAAGGCATGCTGTATTATGATACAGGTGGTACATATTTGGGTTATTTATTTACTAACACAATGTTTTTGATACGAAAAACGATAAGTTTTTTTTTTACTACCAAATGTGTCTTTCATACATGAATTATTCATATGAATGAAAAATATACATGTTAGTTTATTCTGTATGGAATTTATATAATATAATGTATACGAGACAATCCATTTTAATATTCCAAAACCTATTAGGACGGCGGAAACCTTTCCTTGCATAATATCGAATTACGTGTCGATGGCCTTTGGATTTAGTGTACACTGAACCTTAAGTAAAAAGTATATTACCATTCAAAATTAATAAGAAATATAGATATTTATACTTCTTCATTTATGGATCTGGTATTAAAATACGTAATTATGTATATAACACAAGGTTATTTAAATCAAAACTAACATAAAATTACAATATTTCATATACTTATATGATATTTTAATTTTGTATATTAAAATCAAACAAACCAGTTGGGAGTTTGTGATTCATAAATATTTGATATATAATGATTTGCTTTGATAATATTGTGTATTGTTTGGGAAGATTTAAGGGGGAGAAACTAGAAAATGTGTGTGTAAACTCGTTTTAGCGGTTCCTTAACTAAGCAATATTCAGTCCATATGGTCATATATTAAATCATATTTTCTTATTTTGTATACATGTTTATCTTCTTTATATAAACTAAGAAATCATATGAGTATTCAATAAGTTCAATAAAAATCTGATAAATTATGTTTAATTCTTATATTTGCTAATAAAATGATAAAGTCCATTCAGAAATAAATACAAGAAACTAATCAGTACAGAAGTATATAAAATATCAGATTGTGTAATCGATAAATGTCATTTGATATATGTTAAGTGATGTTTTATATGTGTAGGGGCAGGCGAGAAGTAAGGATATGTGATACCCATAACTTTTTTTATAGGCGGTAATATTAAGTTTATAAAAATAGTTTTGTTCTATCCAAAAAAAAACTGTGAATATGTGTTGCATGAGAATTGAGATGATTTTTGTGTATTAAATATGAATACAAATTAATTACGATTTTACATATTTTTTCAGCTTGCAATACAGATAATGAAAGCACCATTGAACCGGCTAAAAGACCGACAGATCTAGATGTTTTTGGGGACACGCCTACACCGATGAATAAGATCTATTCTAGCACCATCAAGGTTCAACCAGTGAGACATATCAATTTACCAGACACGCATATATTCACACCTACTGATTCAGAAACGCCAAGATCCAAAACAATACATTACGACACTGAATCTAATCCGGTCCCCATTCCAATAATAGAGAGCAGTAAAAACGAAGAAAAACTACCTTCCGATAATACAGAAATCGATAATGAGTATTGGGAGTTTCAAGATTTCAAAGCTCAGAATGAAGTGGCTTCAATAGAAATAGTCACTCAACCGACGGAACTCAAAACTGAGCCACAACCACCTGTAAATACTGCACCAAATCCAGGTGTAACTTATCAGACACAGATTTTACAACCGATTAAAATGGAGCCGGTTATGCCAACACTGAACTGGCCTGATCCGGGAGAAGTTAAAGAAACATTTGATGATTTCTCCGATTTCATATCAAACAGCGCTTGGAATACAGATAAAGGGAATAATTCGTCAGTTTTAGACAAAAAAGTTGATGAAGACACTAAAGAAACGAAAGAAGTAAATCCAATTAGATTAGATAGTATTGATGATGATTTTAATACATTCCAAACAGCCCCAGCTTCGACTGTTACTAATGATTTTTTAGATACTTTTACATCTCCACAAATAGTCTCACAAAATTTTATGCCAAAAATTACACCAGATAAAAATAAAACAATTTTATCAGAGAGTAAAGATAAAATTGTTGACCATAGCAGCATGAAGACAGAAACTAAAAGCCCCTCATTAAAAGCGAATGCCACTGATAGTATGTTCAAGCAAATCCCCAATAACAATCCGATTAAACATCTTTCATCTGACATATTACAGCCAACTAATGCAAGTACTAGTGGCTTCAATAGAAATCAACAAAATTCGGTTCAAATATTACAACCGCTCTCCTTAGAAGGTTACTCCCAAATAAATTGGCCGAACCCAGGAATAGATTTACAAGATCTATCTAGATTCAATCCAGTTGATAGCGTTCATACAATTAAGAATGATGGCAGTGTTAGTGGGAACAGCAAAGGGTCATCACCAGCACATAATGTAAGTGTGGTTCATAAAGAAATACCAGAGGATGATATTTGGGGTGATTTTGTATCAAGTGTTCCAAAACCTCAAACGGCAGCAGCAAAGACAATACCAACTTTCCTCGATGATGATGAGTGGACAGATTTTGTATCCAGTCCATCTGTTAAACCGATCAACGGTTTAAGTACTATTAGCTTGAATGTGCACACAAATTTGAACATGCATAAATCAAACACTAACAAATTGGCTAGGACCAATCAAATGCAACTCGATATTCCACAACTGAATTATATCACACCTAAATCTAATAATCGTGGTATATACACAGAGAAACATTTCCAAAATTTATAACAGTACTGCAACTATGTTTATCTCCTGACTGTACTTAATGTAGTGTAAGTGATATGTAAATAGTGGCGGTGATGGTAAATTACAAATGTATGATCATTTTTACCAATTTTTTAAATTATTATTTATTATTGTTATGTTCAATTCATAATTATTGTTTGATTATATTTTAGGTAAAATGTATTAATTGAATTATAATATAACTCATGCCCGTCCTTAGTATTATGATTATTTCAATTTTAATTATATTTGTTTTTTTCTTTAGAAACATTCTGTAAAATAATTTTATGTGATAAAGCTTTCAATTAGGTAACATTGTATTATTTTGAAAAAGCAATACCTATTTATTATTTAGATATAAAGTATTAAATCATCTGTATATAATGTCGAAAGTGTATAAAATGTAAAAAAAATACATCACATTAAAATAATATACCGGATTTTGTTTTATTTTTTACATTGATTTTATCAATTGTCATGATCTTTATCTTGTCTATTTGATATTTAGTCCGATAACCTCATTATGTGTAACAAATACTTAATAGAAGTAAATGGGACTAACATCGACAAAATTTAAAATTAAAAAAAAAATGTGCGTGCTATTTCCTCGGCGTGGAGGAAGTGAACCTTCGTAATGTTGGAATAGAAACAGAAAGTGGTATAAGTTGAATTATAAGTAACCTTTCGTGTTTCTTTAAGACTAACTATCAACATTACTTAGTCACAATTGATTGCCCGCATGCGTTCTAGAGCCACGCATTCACTCTCGTTCTGCCTCTTTTTTTCCCCCTCCCCCGAATGTAAAACGTTTAAAGCAACTTTGAAGTCGTATAAGAAGTTTTACAAATTATTTTGTTTTGTTACTTTTTTCATATAGACAAGATCTTAAAATTTAGACAGACAGTTTAGTGGTGGTAGAGCCTAGCTGTGGTTAAGTTACTACAGCTTGAACATGGGCTGGCTCGACCGGGGAAGTACCACCCTCTCACAGAAGATCGGCGTGAAGTAGTCAGTAATGACTGCGTTTCGTCCGATGAGTGAGAGAGCCGGTTGCCCTTTCCCTTTTCCCAACCTTTCCTTGTATTTCCTTATTCCCACCCTTCCCTATCCCTAAAAAGAAAAGGTTGGCAACGCATCCGCAACATATTTGTTGCGGATGTCCATGGGCGACGGTAACCACCTTCCATCAAGTGGGCCGTCTGCTCGTTTGCCACCTATAACATAACAAAAAAAAAAAAAAAAGACAGGACTTAAAACTTAGACCATGATTCTTTTTATAAATATTCTTTGTCTTTATTATTTGTTTTTGGTAACATTCTCATTGTTCTATTTAAAAATGCACCCATATTTATGGTGCGACCTTGAACTGAAATAAAATTAATTTGAAGTAGATTGCTACGTCGTTTTCCTTTAATAATAATATAGTTCCGAAAGCTTAAAATCATTATAGTCCATCATGCCGATGATTAATATTAGACTTAAAATAATGATAAATGTAAAGACACTTCTCCATTACACAAATTATTGAAATTTTTTTGGTTTGAACTCTGAGAATACAGGGAACACAGCGTTTTCTATTAAAAAAATATTGCCTGATAAATTGCGGTTTATTATTGAAAATAATAAAATTAAGGAATCACTTACTTATTCGACTGGTTGAAAAATAGAAGACGCTTGAATAAAGTTTGGGCTAAAGTTAGCGGAAATCAATCAATATCTTTTCTACTACATTATATTTTTACACAGTTATGCGAAGCCTCACAAGCGCTGAACGTCCTAAAGATTCATTCTGCTGAAAAATTCAACTCAAAATGTCCAAGAAATGAAGCTATTAGCTTGTCTGGTAGTTATCGCCACTAGGCAATATTAAGACCGCCTTTTGAGTTGAACATATTTTATTGTTCTGTATACTGGAGGACAATATTAATCATCTTAAATTTTTTGTTCAAATATAATATTTATGATGTACAAGTTTATTATATTGAAGCGCTTTATGGTTTTCAGTATTATATTGATATTTATTACTATGTGCTATCCAATCTGGAATGAGGAACTTTTGCTACTTGAATTGTTATCCTGTTAATAAGTCAACATTATTTGTTACTATTACTAACGTCTAGTATTAGCAGCAATCAGTATAATACTCTTGCTGATGCTATCACCTCCTGAGGCATGTGCAGGTCTGCTAGTGGTGCTGATTGATCAGTGATTTGACAAACTCGAGATATTTGAGTTCAAATAAATCTCCGAATAACAATTTCAAAAACTGTTTTAATTAATAATGTATGAAAATTGTGATATTTTTAAGAAATACACATTGGAAAGTACGTTGGAGTTAACACAAATCAGATGTTTTAAAAAGAGTGACGTCACCAATGCCTTGGTTCTCGGTTATCGTTAGCCTTGCAGGATATTGAAGACAGCCTCGTTTACGGTTTGTCGAACCCCTTGTTTCCTAGAGGTCTGATCGCTACCAAGGCTGTATCAAAACTGTTTTTATCTTTTTTGTTTTGACTTCACTGTAGCTGTTAACCCGATTGGCTCTGATAGCGTTTCTTTGATGTTTTTATATTAGCACTTTCGACTCTATTTATACCAAAAGACACTCAGTGTTGTGACTAAATTGTACAAGTGGCCATGCGGGTGACACCCGATAATATCAACTACCTTTAATTGTGGGTTAAAATAGAAACTCTATTATTTTGTTATATCATGTATTTGTAGTTGTGTACCATACTCTTATTTATTTTAATTTACTTGTTAAAAAATTATTGACAATACATAAATATAAAACATAATATGGGACCGAGATTAAAATTATATATATATTATATTAAATAAATGATAAACAACATGTATTGAATAGAATCTGTTGAATATTTAGGCTAAAGGATATTACATGCATAAGGGAATTTTTCGTTCGAGAAAAAAATTATATACATTTTAAGTATTATATGTCGTGATATTGTCGAACCAATCTTAGGATATTTATACCCTGTCCGTCAGGAACCAACGGAACAACAAATAAATGAGTGATATGTGTTTTTACCCAAATATCTATTTACTTTTGCCACTACAGCAGTAACTAGCACTAATTAAAGATTTGTAATATTTCATAATAAAAATAAATTCACAAAGAATAAATAACATCTTTATTGTAAATCATTATGTTTCGATGTCAGAATCTGAATTTTCTATTTCATCTAACTGCACATCTTTTTCATCAGCAATGTGTGTTGCAAACTTTGGCAAATTATTCTCCATGGTCGTTCTGAACGGACAGTGCTCAAACTCCGGCCAAGATATGAACCTGAAATTAAATATATCCATACATATACATATATATAAGGTATTTATAATTTTATATAAACCTTGTTTATGATTTCATTATTTTAGTAGCCTAATTGTCCATGACATTAATGTTTATTGTAATCAAAGAAATGTCATGACTAAGTAGTAACTTCACATTCTCATTGGATGTCCTAAATTAATTCGGTAATTCGAGCAAAAAGTAAATTTATAATATAATATACAAGTCTAAATCCAATACCTGATGACTGATTTAGTAACAACATATGTAAAAGACAAACGAATATATATTATATACCTCTTAAAAACTGTGAGTTTCTGTTTTAAAGTAAGATCACCAAATTCAGTGAAGATGTTCATATGTGGTAATGCTTCATCATCACTAGTTGGAGCTCGTTGCATGTCAGTATCCGGTGGGTCTTGACCTGTTATCAACCATACTCCGCAACCAGGAATCCATTGTCTAGAAAACAATTCAAATTATATTATATACATGTTAATATAAGTTATGCTTGCTTGGTCTTTTTTACCTGGCAATTTCCCAGCTTTAGACAGGGGTCTGCCTTACATGTTGTGGATAGTTTTCTTATTGTTTTTACGATCGGCCGCCTGCCTGACATCAACCCTCTTTGGGAATGCAATAATCAGTGATGTCTAAATACTCTTAGATAGTACATATGACTCGGAAAAATCACATTGGTACTTGCCCGGGCCAGGATAGAACCCGCGCCCTCGTGCATGAGAGGTGAGCCTTTTAACTACAAGGCCACCAACGACTTTAAATTTTAAGCTTGCTTGGTATCTTTAATAATAACATGATATCAAGTATAATGTGGGTAGATAGGTAGGTAAGTATTTTATTTTATTCTGTCATTCAATCTTGCTACTTATCACAGTACATACATCACAAATTTAATATAATGGTTGCTGCTTGTAAATAATCTAAAAATCAACTAGTTTCGTCATGTTAGTTTATTTCAAAATCTATTTGTGAGCACAAGGAATGAAGAAAGCTATACCATCTAATTATTCAAACTCTATAGTACCTCTTATTACTGTACAGTATATGAATACTTCATACACTTAACAAACTCTGACTTAGGAATCATAGATTCTTATCAACAAAAGTAGGGAAATCAATTTTTTAAGTGATTATTCACTGTTACAAGACAAAGTACCTCAAATAAGCCTTAGCAGTAGTCAGACATGTGAAATGTTTGCTATTTTTATTTTCTATCCCTACTAATATTATAAATGCAAAAGTAACTCTATCTGTCTATCTGTATGTTACGCTTTCATGCCTAAACTTCATGAAATTTGGTACAGATATAGAGTTGATCTTGAGAAAGAACATAGGATAGTTTTTATCCCAGACTTATGAAAGGTTTTCTTGGAAACGCGATATAACCGAACTCAACGCGGGCGAAGCTGCGGGCGGAAAGCTAGTAATATATAAGTAGACCATATACTTACTCTAACATTGGAATAACTCTGGTTGATTTTGAGAATGTGTGCCGCTTGAAGAAATACCACAAAAGTGGCAAGTTGTTTGGGTGACAGGGCAATGTCTCTTTTTGTGTAATCCTCACTACATTAAGACAATAATCATCCATCTGAAAAGGATATTTAAAATAAGGTTTAAATTACCACTTAGTACATAGATACAAAACATTGTTTATCTATGCTTATGTTAATTAATATATGATTCTTTAGATTTCACATATATAACTTTCCTCTTGTGATGCAAATTCTAGCTTGGACATTTTCATATTTTAGTACTGTATCAATATAAAGGCTGTCTCATAAATAACAAACAAAATATAAAATTTATTAAAATTCATTTTCTTGTTTTTTGGTATTATTTAATAAAGAAAGTGGTATAATTTAAACAAGTGTAAATTATAACACAAGTTAAATTAGGCGGTTTGATATCTGTTTTTTCATTACTCCTAAATAATTTATATTTCTTTAAAGCCTAATTTCCAAGAATTCATACCTTAAATGCTATTGAACAGAATTAAGTAATATACCATTTAATTAGTTATTTTATAGAGTGTAATCAAAATATTTTAGTTTGGACATATAATTTAAAATAACTAATTTACTTACCACAGATTCTTTACCAGTATTCATAGAGTATGTCCACGGCAGAAAATGATTTTTGGGCACTCTCATGAGAACTTTGAAATCAAAGAGCAATTGGAATAAGGCCGGCAATGACTTGTGTTTACTCAGCATTATAGATGAGTCTGTAAGAAACTAAAATTATTTAATAATCTACAAGTTACAAACAAACAAACAGTTAATAAATTTACTTCATAATTGCTCCCACTCATAGCTATATAGAGATCTGGCCTGCCGAGTTGACTTGTTGTATTATGGAAAACTATTGTATTAATCAAATGTCTCACAAACGAGAGGCTCTGCATAGCACCTATGATACTTATTAATCTACCTGAAATTAGACAGAATAAAAGATTGTAAATAATATATATATTATTTTTCCACTTCATAGATAATATTTTTAAGCAACTGTCTCAAAACAATCATAAGGAGGGATATATATTTTTTAATTATTATAGATATAGGGAAATTTGTCTACCATTGTCTGTAGTAGCAAGATCTCCAAGTAATTCTGGTATTCTATTCCCTTGGTCCATTTTATCTTGGAATGCCAGTTTCCACATACCAAAGAAATCTGCATTTTTATATTTCACTTGTTCTTTATATTTGTTTTTGATATCCTGAAATATTTAATAATTTTCTTAAGTAATTTTATTGACTCATCAAAGTTATGCCGAAATTCTTATATGAAAGCTGAATATATTTAGAGAGGTTACTGTAAATTAACTTATGAGTTGTTAAGAATAGTTTTGATAAGAAATCAGTCTAATACTGACCAGAAATGTTGATTTCAAGCCAATAATAAATTGCATATAGTAACATACTACTTAGTTCAAAATTAAAAATTAAGTTTCATTTTCGAGGAAAAACAAAACTGTAAACTACGATAAGTCACTTACGTTAAAAACCTCTTTAAAATGGTGAGAATTTTCATATAAATAGACCGGTGTTTTGCGATGTTTTAAAATTTCTTCAGTAATGTAACCCAAGCCAGGATTCACTTCTATGACGGGTGCATCTTTATCTAAATATTTAAATATAGTTTGAGTCATATCAACTGCAGTCTTTCGATTTATTAAATACATAGTCTCCGGCGTTTTATATTTTTTCAACAGAGTTTTGGGCAGAACATTTATAATATTCTTGTATTCTTCATGGCTTTCTAGATATTTCATAACATCAGGTGCAACTTTTGAAGGTTTTTCTTCTTTCTGTTGTTTGTTTAATTTTTGCCTCCATCTCAACGATATCCAGAAGGGTCGGTTTCCCGACAATATAGTCCTACTTGAAGAAAACATTTGCAGTTACGGAGTGGAGTAGAAACAAATAAGTAATCTTAGTACTCTTAAATTAAAATATATTCTTATAATTCCATTTATTAAAACATCATTTTCATTTTGTAATTTCTAGTTTTGAGTTTATTTACAAAATGTGTTATCAAGGACTACTGTCAAGATGACAGTCGACCGCAGACTTTTTTTTTTGGTTAAATTCGTTCCGTTCAGAAAGGGCGAAGAGAACAAAGCCAATACAGCCATCACTTTTATATTTAAACTATTGACCAAATCTTTTTTCCGTTCATACATAATAGTTTATTTATACATGTTTGAACATAAGCTAAGAATTAAGATTGTAACATTACGAAAGTGGTGATGTAACAATGTATGACTCATATCAATCGGATTTTCAACCCTCACTTCTTCTTGGAATTTTTTTTGCTAGATTTATGAGTTTGAATTCAATATTTGAGTAAATACTTTGCTATGTTTTTAACATCACAATAAAATAAAATAAAATGCTTGTTTCATTACATACCTGAATTTAAAAAAAAATTAAATAGGAACAGTTTGTAATGATGTGGGATTAATATTGTTATTTCATAAAACGCATACATATTTTTATATTAACGGCAGGAGCATAATTTTTTTAAGTAAAAATTTTATGTCATCTGTGGTAGGTATACTTTTACAGAACAACAGGGTTTCCATTTTCTTTTCAAAACCTACAATCAACATATTTCAATATAAATTTCTACTAATAATAACATTACACTTTCAGTAAAAATTTTTCGATAGAAACTCGAAATAAAGGCAAAAACTCGAAAACATGTTTTGATGGCAAAGTCTAAAGTCTCGTTTTCACAAATGCTAGTAATTGAGATTTAAAAAACCGCGTACTTGTAATTAAAAGACGTTGAATCAAGTTCAGAATAAATATTAAGACGAGGTTGCTTGTATTACTGTTATATACCTACATAATATTACCTGCGTCTTGCACTCTCGAAACTCTACGACTATAATCTCTAAGAATGCTTTATATGCCATCTTCTTTTTAATTATTCTAAACTTCCTTGGCCTTCCTTTCTTGATTACGTTAAAATTTCTTTGTGGTGTGTGATTAAGTAAGATTAGAATATAATTGCGTCGTATATTTTTCAAATTTATGTAGTGTAATTTTTAACACATGTATGTAATGTAAATAGAAGTTTGTAATACTTTAGGTTTGTACCTATATATATGTATCTAACTGACTTCGTTGATGTATACATGTTATTTTGTTATTTACCAAACATAACTTCATCCAATACGTAAAACAAATAATTATTTTGTATTGTCCATAACTAAGAATATTTTTTTTTTAAACTTGTCTTTAAAAGTTAATTATATAATTGTAGCGTGAATTATAGTGTTATAATACAAAAAAGTTTGTAATGTAAAATATGCTTTAAGATATTAATTCGAGAGTACAATCATATGATCTGTGGTGTGCCTTATTTTAAACAGCTAATCCGTTATGCAAAGAATTAAAAGTGGGTTTTGAGCATGTTATCTCTTCGATAGGTAATCAAGGGGAGTATGATATATTTTCGTGAAGCCGCATTATGGTCAAGTGTGATTTATACTATTGTGAAGTGAGGTACGAATGTTGTTTTCGTGCTTGGTCTTTCTCTCAGTTTTTGTAACCGCCCGCACCGTCTACTTTACGGATTGCGGTAAGCATATTAACATAATTAATAACTTCATTGATGATAATTCAATAAAAATTGCATTTAAATATTCAATGACAATTAATACAATATACATAAAGTTTTTATTGAAATACTCGCTCAGTTTGACATCTTTGCAAGAAATTTCATATTTCAATTGTGCAAACAAAAAGTTTTTTGGAACACAGACAATAATATTTCATTAACATGACAGAAAAATATATCACAAATCCACAAAAATTAATCCCGTTGAAATTTTATCTTAATCCTACTATTTATAGTTTATAATTAGTATAATGCGTCTGTTCTAAGATTATTTAATTGTCCAAAAGAATCGTAACAAAGAGTATGCATAACACATATGAAAACTTTTTTTTCTTTTGTGGCGCTTGAAATCTTTTATTGATAATATTTAATTATATATGGCCAGTACTTAAAACAAATTTTTCGATTTTTGAATTGGACGAATCTTCTATATATATAAAAATGGATTGCTGTTCCTTAGTCTCGCTAAAACTCGAGAACAGCTGAACGGATTTATCTTATCTTAGTCTTGAAATGTTCGTGGAGATTCAGGGAAGGTATAAAAGGTGAGAAAAATTGATTCATTTCCGGGAAAACCCTAAAAACAGCCCTTTTCTATTTCCCATACAAATGTTTTCTTTGACATTAGATTTGACAACTAACTAATATGTCAATCATTCTGTTCGATTGAAACAGGAAAAACCTGATTATTTATGGCCTCTAGGACGGAATAGAGTTCGCCCGGTCAGCTATACATATATTACTAATGATGAAATTAACGCAGACGAAGTCGCGGGCAAAAACTAGTAATTAAATAAAATATAAACTACATACATATATCGTATTTAGATTTACCATATTGGGAAGACTTTGATCTATGGAGGATTCGGAAATTAATTTGGTTAACAATTAAAACAGGATTCGTAACTAAATAAAAATAAATGTGAGTAATATCTAGTGATTAGTGTAGGATTAACTCACGGACATAAGTGCTTACGTGCTGATTAATTATTTAAGCATTATAATCCTTTGTAATTTTAGGTAAAACTGACATTGCTTGTTAATATTTCGTCGAAAATTTTTTTATTAAGTCATCCAAAGGAAACTTTACCAGTATAAAAACTGAAATGAATTCTTAACTTTTGGAACTTAAGGGCTGTTTGTTCTTGCGACTGTATACTGCAAAGTATGCGTTTGAGCGTCAATGTAAAGTAAGCTCTGTCCATAGTGGTATACAATCCCTACTAATATTATAAATGCGAAAGTAACTCTGTCTGTCTGTCTGTCTGTCTGTCTGCTACGCTTTCACGCCTAAACCACTGAACTGATTTTAATGAAATTCGGTACAGAGATAGAGTTGACCTTGAGAAAGAACATAGGATAGTTTTTATCCCAGACTTTTGAAAGGTTCTCTTGGAAACGCGATATAACCGAACTCCACGCGGCGAAGCTGCGGGCGGAAAGCTAGTTTTAAATACTTTGTCAATATCTTGCAAAATAGTCTCAGAAAAAGACTACTTACATTGCAAAGACAAATTCAATTTTCTGTTTTATAAAGTGCTGGCATAAAATTATTAATCTTTGAACTTGAACATTTATGATAGCCATGTAAATATGGCCGTACGTGTTTGTGTTTATACGGCCCTAAAAAACTAGTCTTAAAATGTAGGTACATATACATCTGGCCATATACAGATGCAGGGCAAACCGGAATTATACATTATTTAACGAATTTCAAAGAAACTCTTATAAATTGTAAAAACCTGATTAAAATCTTTAAAGTTTCGCCACCAATACCTGTAAGGGACTCGGTAGTGAGTTTTTTATTTCAGATGTAACCAGCCAGCCTTTTGTATATACTTTAAAAATATATCACGACTAGAAAATGTTTGTACCTAGTATGTTCTTTAAATATATATTTTTTAATAATAACGAATCAAATCGCACTGAAAGATAAAGGAATGCAAAGATTTCCTTTGATAATAATAAAAGTATTAGAAACTTGTTATAGTAACAGATAAAAAACATTGATTTATAATTGACGTTATTTATAGAATAATTATTTGATTTTTTTAAATTGAATCTAAACAGATAATAAAATGATAAACAGGATGTAAACCAGGGAATTTTATGATTCATTAAATTTAATTATAATCAAAATTATTTTTAATAGGTATATATACAGTTTTTTTTTCAGTAAAACACATGAATAGTAATATATTAATTAAGTCTGAATAATATTATATTAATTTTACTCTTTTAAGTACTAGAAACTTATAATATTTGCATTATACACACGGTTAGTCCGAGTTTGGATAGTCGTACTACATAGGAAGTGTTTCCCGTTACTTATTCAAAAGCCTACGTTTATACTGTAATGTTCGATTATTTATGGATTAAAAACTACTACAACTCTGAAAGTAGCGTGATGGTGCTAAATCAGGCTAAGCTTACCATTATTATTCTGTAAAACTTTAATGTGTTTTAATTTTTTTCTTAGCATTATGTCATTCATCCTGCAATATATTATTTCTACTGTGCTCGTAATTAATTAATACACTCAAATTAATTAATTGCATAAACACTTCATATTTAAAGAACGGCAATCATACATACAGAAGCATAGACAAAATTATTCTTAATTCTTAAAATGGAAGTAATTAGGTCTAACTGCCATCTAGTTAAATTTAACCACACATATGACATATCCATACTTGAGTACTTTGTATTTTATAACCCATAATATATGAAGAGTTTAGTGGGACTTCCAGGTTTTGGTAGATTTTTTTAAAAGAAGGTGCTTGTGTTGAAAACTATAGTCTTAATAATCATAAACAACCAGCAAAGAACACTTAATTTAAATATGATTTCAGAGTTGATTAACTTAAAGGCATGTCATGTTTATTTTGTATCTACATATATTAAACTGCTAACTTGAAAAAAAAAAAACATTTCTTATATTTTCATACTCTGAACTTCGACTTAGTAGACTAGACTAATGGCATTTTTTAGTTTGTATCAACATAGATGGTATAATTATTTTGAATTGAGTCATAACTAATTTATATTTCATGATTTTTTGATTATGTATATGAATAACAATAAATATAACAAATTAAATTAAATCATAAGGATAATAACAAAGGTTTTATTTTTACAGAATTTAACGGAAGTCAAAAATATACATATATAAAACACTTTGTGTAACCCGCGATTCAAAAAACAAAGAATAAACTTTTAAGTATTTTTTACTTAACAAGAATGAATTTAAATATAAATCATCGCAGAAAAAGGCACTATAGAACCTCCTTTGTCGTGGCTCCATCAAAATATTGAAGGTCCATTAATATGAATCACATTGAAGATTTTTTTTATATTAATCATTGGAAAGCAATAAATAATTGTGGCTTTAGATGTTCAAGTTATTATAAGATATCAAATAATAGTGATAAATTAAATGTATAAAACAATTTCTAGAAGCAAACGAGCTTAATGACCCGATAATTAATGCTTGTAAATAAATATTAACACCATTTAATGCCTCTCCACTGACGTCACACGATAATCGGTACAAAGAATAACATTTGATTGTTTGATTTCATTGGGTTTTTTGTTGGGAAAATAAAATCTCCAATCCTTGGCAGCAGTGCTGTAATTAGCCTTTTATGCACCTGGTGCGAGCTTTCAAAACTGCCCCCCTGAAAAATACTCTAACCAGGCTCTGAAAATAAAATGGGCCAATGTGCATACAAATAAATCTATCTATTTATTGTTTACCAAAGTAACAAAGTATATAAGTATATAGTTACAATGCATGAGACAAAACTAGAAGTATCTAGTACTAGTACTAGTAAGTCTGGTCATTTCTCCGCCCCTCCAGGGTCTGCACCCTGTGCCTGGGCACTGCTGGCACCGCCCTAGTTACGGTACTGCTTGGCAGATAGTTCCCCATTAAATTTGCAGTTTAATTGCCCGATTTTACTTATCCTTAATCGGTGTAAATGGTTTTAAATTTAAATCGATTCAGTTAAAAGTTAAAATGGCTGCAATGAGTGAGAGAATCGGTTGCCTTATCCTTATTCGCACCTTTTTCCCATCCCTCCCCTTTCCAGAAAATCTAAGGTTTGCAACGCATTCGCAACAAAAGACCGTTTGCCCGTTTGTCACTTTTTACATAAATAACAAAAATAAAAGTCTGTAACTGTTGAAAACTTTTGATAATCTATTGTGTATGATAAATTATTAATAATTGTGATTCCAGGGTCGGCTTACGATCTGAGACATGTTGAAATAGAGGGCTGTGGGTCGCGGCTGCCGTGTTATGTGGCGCTGGGGGACAGAATACCCGTAAGGCTTGATTTCTATGCCGGTAAGAACAGTTTTTAAGTTTCTTATCAATTAGTTAACATTATAGTGTTATTTTTACAATGCATTCGTCTTAAGAGAAATACTAGAGATGGTATTATGTATAAGTAGAGAATTATAAAATAACTATGTAATTTTAAGTATAAAATATAATATAGAAGTATAAAATAACTATGTAATTTTTCTTACTGTGCAATAAAGAGTATATATTAATAAATGTAATACTATGAACTTAACCGAAAAATATATTACGTTCTTCTTCTACCGGGCAATTTCCCAGCTTTAGCCAGGGTCTGCCTTACATGAATAGTTTTGGCTAAGTGTTTTTACAACCGGCCGCCTGCCTGACATTAACCCTCTTTGGGAATGCATTAATCAGTGGTGTCTAAATACTCTTATAAAGTACTGTATATGACTCGGTAAATGACTGAAAGTACTATGACTATGACAGTACATACTTTTTTTCTGAAAATATTTACTTTTAATCGGAGCCTTTTTTATTTTTATAACAATATTTGAATTGTAGGCAATTTTGTTTATACAATAATTTAATATTTTGATATTAAGAACAATCTCTAAATGTTATTCGAATAACCGAAGTATTCGTCTTACCACAAGTTTCCATTGTCACATTACATACGGAGCGGTAACAGTTTTTAGTTCAAGATGTTTCGCACGATATGTTAGATGAAACTATTCAGCATTCTATGGATTCATCGTTCGGGTAGCGCGTTGCAGGGAGAGGAGCTTCCACAGTGCCTGGATCTTGCGACCCGGTGTAGTTTTAAGGGGTCTCTTTCGAATGAACGTAAATGTTCACCTCCACCGTCCAAGCTCCTCTCTCTACCTAACCAAATTTTAAAAGAACCTTCTAGGGCTGCCTTCGATGTACGTATCAAGAATGAATCGATATTAGTTCTAGACAAGAACAAGTTTTTGAGTAGTTTGTAGAGAGATTCAGCTGTTATACCTCTCGCTCCCACTTCTACTGAGTACAAATTTACGACAAACCTATTCTTACTGAGTTCTATAGTAAGCTCGTAATACTTATTAAAATATATGGCATGGTCTTTAGGGATGTTGGTTTCCCAAAGAACCGTAATGTCTATTAATACAAAGCGTTTTAAAATTCGCGAATACATAAATATGGTCTGGCCGACGCACAAATATCCTCTGGCATTTTATACTGTTCTTTATAAGTATCCATCATTATAGTCCACCTCGGAGCCGGTTTAAGGACAGAGTAAGACTTAATTTTATAGCTCTAGTGCCTTCAGAAAATCAACATAAATTAACAAATTGCTCTGATATGTTATTTAGTATGAAACGGGTAACGCTTTGTGTATGTGACGATGAAAACTTCTGCTGAGCGTACACATTCTGATTTTTGATTGTTTCACTCATTTTAACAACAAACTTAAGGCGCATTGTTTTTTGTATCAAGGAATTACGTTTAATAATTTTATGTTATTAAATTTCTTAATGGATCGAATTTAAGTTATTAATTCTTATAAAATGTGATATAATATAAATTACTTTTGTTTTTTTCATTATTTCTCTTTATATGAAACTACTTAAATATTTAATTTAAATTAATTTACTACCTCAATAACTTGTGATTAATCAGAGATAGTTTTCAGTTATCAACATCTCAATGAATGAATTCTATAACTAGAAATATAAAAACTCTATTTTTTTCAGATTTTGAATCCCATTCCCTCGATCAGGATGTGTTTTTGAACATTAATAACGTACAAGCAAGAACGCCGGTTACTCCTGGTAAATATATTGAGAATATATTTTTTATATAATAATACAAGCCTTTTAGTTATGGGTAAGTGAAGTGAATTCGTATTATGTTTTTAATTTTTAAGCAGTGTTGAGTTAATATTTAAATTAGAATTAAAATAGCAAATATAGAAATTGACACGACCAGGACTTGAACCTCTTACATCAGTAGGTACCTTTTTGTGACTTTCTGAATTAAACTATCGTGCCGTGACTCATAAACTAAGCTTTCTATATTTTCTATTAATATTTTAATCGTACACATGTATTTAAAAATATTCTAATACTTTAATACAACCAAAAGAGTGCAAAAAGCTTTCTTGATTGGATCAACTTCTAGTGCGTATACAATGTTCACGAAAATATTGTATGTAAATTGTAAAAAGCATAGAAGGTTTTAAAGTTAATCGTTTGAAGAGAGTTTTGTGACCTATAAAGTAAAATTTAATTTAGCGAAGATCGGAGACAATCTTGTCCAATGGCTTAACTACCGACTATTTAGTTAGTTGGTCAGTTTAATTTTTAATAACTTATGTTAATACTATAATATATAGGTAGATGTTTTGACGGTCTGTTCTCAAACTGGCCCTCTCAAATTGTCGCTGTAAAAGCCACAGTGCTAAGCAATAAACTGGAATGGAAAACCATTTTGTAGGATATTACTCCCAGAAATATCCTACAAAGTTGCTGAAGCCAGTATTTATAGTCTTCAAATGCAAGTTGATACTTAAATGTTGCCATTACACAGTAACAATGGTTGAATATTATAATTAATTATAACACAGCACAACAAAATCAAACTTTTTTTTTTGTTGCATGGAGTTTTTCTACTGTTTTTCTACTGTTTAATTTGGGTGCGCTAATTTTAAATCTGACCTCAGATTTTTTATAGCAGCTCTAGTTAGTCAGATACAGGTCCGTCTTGAATTTACATAAGTTGTCAATAGTTTCTACCTATAGCGGTGTAACTTAACTAGTCCCTTTATAAATTTCATTATGTCTTCCTCAAGAAGGACGTGTTTAAATAATCCTGAGTGTTTTTGTGCTATTTGCGGATAATATATGTTCCAAAAATATCGTTTAAGTGTGTTAGACTTTGTAAAAAAGGCATACTTTGACTACTTTGGGTTTACGTTGCCATCAAACGCTAAACCTTTGATACCAATTTTGTTATGTAAAAGTTGTATTGAATCTTTGCATTTATTGGCAAACAAAAAAAGACCAAATTTTAAGTACAAATCTCCCATGATATGGCGTGAACCACCCAACCATCATAACGACTGTTATTTTTGTGTAACGAAAATCATAGGAATAAACCATAAAAATTGCTCTAAATATATCCAAAACTAAAAATGTGTCGTAAGAACAGTCTTGAGTATTAGTGACACATCAACACCACAGCAGCCTTGTAGATATTCGGAAATCCAGACCAGTGCAGCGGACAAACCGAAACGACGACAGTGGTAGAGACAATAGTCCCCGATTACTAAATAAAGAGGATCTAAGTGACTTGATCAGGGATCTTGGCCTGTCTAAAAGTTGATAGATGATAAAAATTTCATCAACCATATGACAGCTATTGAGAAATGTGCATGAGAAGAGTTTGTTTGAGTAGTGAGAATTTTTTTGAGAATATTAAGTCTGACGGCTACATTCAGCACGTTGAACAGTTGCTGATACACTTCCAGGGGCTTGGATGCAACATGACTATTAAGCTTCACTATCTTCACAACCATCTAGACTATTTTCCTGAAAATCTAAGTGACCTAAGCGAGGAACAAGGAGAGCGCGTTCAACAGGATATTCGCTCTATGGAGAACAGGTATCAGGGGTACTGGAAGGAATATATGATGGCTGGTTATTGTTGGAGCACTCAAAATAGTACTCATGATACATCTCACCCTAGAAAATCCACAAAAAGGAAATTTTATTCAGACTAAATATATTTAATAATTTTTTTAAACTTAAATTTTGTGCATTTTTAATGAAAAACCCTGTCTCTTCATAACTCCAAAACTAGAGCTGCTACATAAAAACGGCATATATTTTTGAAATCAGCACGGAAAAACTATTCAGATTCATGTAAAAAATCTCATGCAACAGACATGCTGTTTTCCAGTGTAATCAGTCATAAAAATATTTTAAAAAATTGTAGTGTATTATAAATAGTACGGAACAGATGGCTCCACTTGCAACAGTATGAAATTCAAAAATCTCCGTATACTTTGTGACAATACTCGTAGAAAGGAATAAGGCAACTGTTACACATGCTTATTTCAAGCAAGAAAGCATGCTTTTTGAGAACTTGCTGTTTACTAGCATGTGTGTCCAAATGTTGCTTCAAATAAGCATGCTTACTATATTACAACTACTAGCGGTTTGGGTAAAAAGGTGCATATTGTGTACATATTTGGAACGTTTGCTTTGAGCATGCTTATTTAGGTGCATGCTTAATAACATGCATAATGTAACTTAAATGTAGCATGATCAAATATTAATACTTCCCATACTTCTCATACTACATGTATTTTATGATTTTTTACAGAACAATGTGAATCTGAGATGTGTCCTATAAGAACAGACGCGCTGTCAACTATCACAAGCATTATGTCCGTACCTTCTAGAATGGCGTTGGTGAGTTAAATATATAACAACATATAGATAGGTATATAACAATATATGTATATGATAAGTCGACTAGATAAAGGCGTATATACATTTTGGATTACCAGTATTAAAACAGAATCAAATCAACGAGCGTTTTGAAACTGACTTTTTTAAACAAGTTTTTAGTACCAGTTTGTAAAGTTGAGAGTTTAATATAATTAAATTACGATGACAAAGAGTTAATATCTGGGTTTAATTATATGAATACATGTGTAACATATCGTTCTTGACCAGATTTCTTTCTTTAGTGTAATTAATTCCTAGGAATCTCAAAATACAAAACAACGTAATTGCTACTTCAGATAAATAAGTAGTTTAATTCATTCATATTCTTTATTGAGCACCCTTATATTAACAACTATAATTATTATCTTATATATAAAATTCTCGTGTTACGGAGTTGGACAGAGAACTCCTCCGAAACGGCTGGACCAATTTTGATGAAATTTTGTGAGTATGTCTGTAGGCCAACATCTATTTTTCATACCCCTAAGTCATAAGAGTTGTTCACCCTTATTTTTTTTTCGGACGAAATATTTTTATAATGCATTAAAAATACATACAACTCAACATTTTTACTTTTTTATCACCAACCCCTATTTTTTATATGGGAAAACAAAGTTTGCTGGGTCAGTTAGTAATAGATAAAAATGTACAATCCTGGTGGCCTTATCGCTAACGAGCGATCTCTTCCAGGTAACCAACGAAGAAGAGTAAAATATACATACATATGTATTAGCTATTTGATGGGCGTATTTAATTTTATTGTAAAGAAATGTTAATATGACCCATCAGTATACACTATACTTGTCCCACAACACTCACTCTCACTACATACGGGGTATTATAAATTTTATTAAGTAAAAATATTCCCTTTAATCCTCGCACTATGTACCATTAACATAGGTTCTTGCGTAAAAAACGTTAAACTCATCGTATGTAGTGACGATACAAACTTGTTTTAAGCGTAGTTTAAACTAAAGTAAACTAAAATATTCAGAATTTTAACATAATTATGATATGTGAACATAGGTTATGTCACGGACATCTTGCTCAGAAGTCAGATGTTTTGAAATGATACATAGATAAATATTTATTTAAAACGTCACTTACATTTATTCAAGGATTTCAACACAAGGATTGTTTTGATTTGATGTTGTCATGGAAACGGAAAGAACCAACTTTTCAATTGTTTTATTGAAGAACAAAGTAATAAAAAAAAATAAGTAAAGTAAATTGTATGTGTATATTATCTTGTTCAATTTTGTAAATTAATTCATTTATTTGAAATTACTCGAATTATGTTGCTATATTTAATTTTTACTCGAAATTACGTAAAAAATATAAAAATAATTGTTATTGGTTATTAAAAGCTTTTAATTTGATTGAAATTAATTAAAAACTACAACGTATCTTATATATTTCTATGATATATTTGAATTTCAATTCAAGTGTGACCTCAAAATTTCTTTAATTTTAAAAAAGTTATCGTAATTGATGATTGTAACAGTTTCTGCCCTACCATAAGTTTGCACGTAACTACTTATAAAGCATTACCCGTTTCCGATTAATAACCTATGCTGAAAAGTTAGTGGTGGCCCAGTGGTTAAAAGGCCTACCTCTCCTGCACGAGGGCGGAGGTTCGATAATGGCAAGTACCAATGTGATTTTTCCGAGTCATATGTACTTTGTAAGAGTATTTAGACATCACTGATTAATGCATTCCCAAAAGAGGGTTGATGTCAGGCATGCGGCCGGTCGTAAAAACAATCAGCCAAAACTATTCACAACATGTTGAAGACTAATGCATAGTGAGGAGATTAATGAATGAAAAATTGTTAAAGCTTCAATCACGATGCCACTATGTCGTATGCATACTAGTCAAATTCTGTAAATAATTTTTCCTGTTAGGAAGTAACATACACACGTACACGAATATAAACGTGTTTAACATATGAAGTGCTTTATTTACGAGCTCAATATTTATGTAATAGCAATATATGTATATTAAATTATTCAGATGCTCAATATTCTTTACTGTATATCAAAACACGACGTCCTCGGTTTTGACAAGGGTTGATAGTGAGATGTAAAACTGTTGCGAGTATTCATTTAAATGAAACTAATATTTTTCAGATTACTTCGCGTTATTTTATTATTTTTAAAAACCCCATACTCCCGACGTTATGTTTACTTTGCAGCAACCGTGACCACGGGCAGGCGTGATAACGCGTAGTTATCCGAAAATATTTGTACCATTTAAGGGTCGATATACTTGTAAAAAAATTGCTTATGTAATTTTGAATTAATTTTATTTCACGAAATTTTTTAATTTGCCTTCGTGCAACCAAGCAGGTAATAAACTATTTTTTCTATTCCAACTCGGTGGTTTTCGACTATCATTCATGTCCTGCAGTTCAAAGGTTTAAACCTAGTATCCCAAGGTTATAGTGAAGATACCCAAATTATCTCAGGAAATACAGACTTATACTATGCTATCCTTTGCTGGCTCAAGAGAAGCGAGAACGTATTGCTTAGTACTACTAAGATAAGTCAGTGGTGGCCTAGTGGTTAAAGGGTCCGCCTCTCGTTGCCGAGGGCGCGGGTTCAAACCTGGCAAGTACCAATGTGATTTTTCGGAATCATATGTACTTTCTGAGATTATTTAGACACTACTGACATACGGTGAAGGAAAACATCGTGAGGAAACCTGGACTTATAGTTTCACAATTATAAGTTTGAAATCACCAACCCGTCTTGAGCAAGCGTGGTGATTAATGCTCAAACCTTCTCCATGTGAGAAGAGGCTATGCTCAGCAGTGGGCGTTCATAGGCTGATGACATGACTAAGATAAGATACTCGTATACACGAAAAGCGTGGAGACGTGCAGTGTATCTGGTTGACTGATCATAAAAAGGATGGTACCAAAATATGTATATATTTTTGCAAACATCAATGTCAACCAGATTCCCGAGAATTTGATTGATATTTTGATTCTTCAAGATGGCGGAGACGCTGACAGCAAATGTCTTTCATATGGGTAAAAACAACGCCGGCGCACTAAAGAGTTATACGCAATAGTGTACTCGTAATATATTGGGTATGTGAGTGACGTCGGATATAGAAACTGCAGTGCCTTAAAGAAAGCACAAGCTTCTTATTCGTTTCTGGGTGGTGGTAGGTGGTGATTTGGCAGGATATTATACCTACTGTTGAGCTTTGGTGTAAGTAAGGAACACTTTTACAAAAGGGGAAATGCAACCGTCTACAAAACTTACTTTTCTTCTTGGTACCTTTTACATTTTATAACCTCTTACGCAAAAAGAAGTGTGTTATAATTTTAACATCGATAACTCTGTGGGTGTGTATCTGTCTGTGGTCATATAGCTCTCAAACGGATCCAAAAATTTCAATGCAACTTTTATTCATTTTAATTTCAATCTCCTAAAAGTCCATTATTTATATTTAACGTTATAAACATATTATGAATCCATCGTTATTTATGAGTTAAAAATATTTATAAATGTATATATTAAAAGTACTTTACGTACCTATTAATAAAACTATCGCTCATATAGGGAGAAAATAGTAACGTATTTTATCTTCAACCCTATCATATTAAAAGCACTTGTCAGGGTTATTTTAAATTGGGTAATAAAACTTTATAACCACACCCAGTACCTACTTGAATGGCGTCTTCTCGGTAGAACCCATTTAAAACCTTGAGGGCAGATGTAATCTATTTTAATGTTGTACTTGATGTTTTATAGAAGTTTCTTAGTAATTTTATAAGAACTATACAGGGTGACTGGTGAATTACTATCAATATTTAAGGAGAATACTCGGTACATGATTCTCATTCGAATTATGTAAAAAAAATAGGTACTTAATTTTTGACCAAATTCCCGTATAAATAAATAAAGTGTGGACACGTTCCAGGTGTTCCAAGTGTGAACGCGTGCGGCGGAGTGCTGATACAACACCACGCCGCCACACGCGTGTGTGTGTGTGTGTGTGTGTGTGTGTGTGTATACCTAATCAGTAGGGTGTTCACACGATGCGTAATTAATTACATAACTTTTGGTTAACTTTACTTAGAAGTTTGTTAATATTTATGTTATATTAATTTTTATTGTGTCATATATGATCGTCAAATATCACGTCCTCAAGTATCGATAGTAATTCACCAGTCACCCTGTATACTTTTCATATCGGCTGAATAATTAAATTAATAATTTATTGACATTGACGTTTAAGTGTCATTGTTGTCATTTGAATTTTTTTTTGCGAATTCTGAGCGTGTAATTATGTAAAACAGATATAAAATAACTTTATTAAATGTGAATTATAAATTAATTATTTTAATTTATTGAGATTCATATTTTTTTCAAAGTTTTTTATATAAGGTAACCTTGGTTACCGGGAAATAGATTTTTGCACATAATAATTGCGATACTAATATAAAAATAGATACATATTTAAAGCAAAAAGTCGGTAAGATTTTTTCATCAGGTTGTTGTTGAATTGTGATTTTTTTTTCGTTTTACTCATTTAAATTGCTAACTTAATAACTTAAACATTATAGAATTATTATTCATTTCGTCTCAACTGAATTATTGTAATGACAGATGAGCTGCAATAAAAAATATGCATTTTATTTTGATAAAGTACCTAATTATAAGTGTTTTTCTCTTCTTAAATCTTTTTTTAAAAATCACTGATCCTAATCGTGACAACTGTTTATTTTAAATATAAGTCTAAAAAATAAATATTCATAAAGTTTTGTCGACATAAGCGAAAAAAATAAAAATGGGAGATTTCATTACATACTCACAATGATAACATTGTCAGTAATATAGTAGGGAATAAGGATATTCCTTCAAAGTATGAAAGTGGGTGGTACAACACAATATATGCCATTGTTAAAAAATATAACATAACGTAATTTTCCTTCCCTCCAAAACCGATTTAAATTAGAAAAAAAAATTGGTTTGAAAACGATGACAGCTTGAATTTTCGTTGATAGGGATGAATATTTACCGCTGGCTGAGTTATTATAAAGAAATATTCTAAATAGTGAACAGTCATATTTATAACTACAATTCTCTTTTATGACAGTTTAAAAGCAGCTCATATAACTTCTTTGATCTTAAGCCTCATATACAATCGTGACCCACTTTGTTCACCCGTCCACACCCACTGGCCCTTGCTTAAACTATATTTTATAATGTTTTCAAAAAGATAATTATCTATTTCAATCACTATCTAAATATTTAGGATTCACGGCTTAACAGCACATAAAACTGTTATTCTAGTAGACCACAAAAACAATTTGATCTTCAATTAAAACTTGAGCTATAATGAGATCTAACAGTTTTGAAGTATTCTTTTAAATAAAACTAATATGTATTTTCGGATTCCTACGCTTTTTTCGTTATTTTAACTCGCGATGTTTCGGTTACTTTGCAGCAATCGTGATCATGGGCAGACGAGATGAAAATGTCCTTTGAGTCATAGTATAAAATAATTAATATCAAACATTTGTTTATTACTATCTTAAATATTCAATTATAGAAATTTTAAATAGAACTGTATTAATATTTATCTTTTAATATTTTACTAACAAACCGTACTGTAGTATAGCTACAAACAGTTCATTAATTTCCGACTATTTACTGACGAAAAACTCAATTAACCTTTATTTTCTGACGCACTTAATTCAAAGTATTTTATTTTTTGATAAAAAATACATACTCCCGACGTTTCGGTTACTTTACAGCAACCGTCATCACGGGCAGACGAGATGTGAGTGTCTGTTTAAAAAAAAATGTTTCATTTAAATGACTCGCGAAAGTCTCAGATCTCATCAAAGTATTTTCATCTAATTTAAGTATAATAAAAAGTTTCCAGCAATATAGAATATATTTTGGCAGTTTTTTTTAATTTTTTAACCTTTTTCATACATTTATTTCTGATTACAGAACCAAAGAGGTTATTTGACATGGCGCGTGTACAATGAAGATGGCAGGCAGGTGTTGTGTTACTACGTTATGGTGCAAACTCAGACGTACATTCAGAAGACATTACGCACGTTTCTAGAACAATTGGATTCCATACAAGATACATCAATGGCATTCACCCGTCCGTTAAAAATGAATTTTGTTTTGAATAAGCTTGTAAACAATCAAAAAAGAAACCAGACCGCTCTAACTTTTGCCTTGACATAAACATCGTTATTTTTATGAATATACATATATATCTTTTATCTTTGATTCTTAATATTAATATTATATATGAATATTTAAATGCTCTATATTATTGTAAATTTGAGTTTTAATTTTAATATATAATTTTGGCTACGGAACAGAGATTTTCATTTAATTTTTGTCACAATTTAGTGTCATTATACGTCTTATATTGTAATTCTTTTTTATCTGTGATAAAATTAATAAAAAATATAATATGAATACAACTGGCTTATATCATTTTTTAATTTAAAAAAAACAGTGGTGATACAAAAATAAGGTATACAATTTATTAATTGTAAAATTTAAAACAAATCTATGTTGATATAATAAAATTATTATTTATTTGATATGTGATTTAATTATTACTTCTATTATTTGTTATTAGCTTCTAGGGATTTACGTCTCTCTAAAGAGAACATGTCAATTTGAAGTACAGTTATGATCACAGTAGGTGAACGACATCCGTGAATTATCATTTAATATTTCTTATTATTGTCTAATTTATAGCATTTATAACTCATCAAAGTATGAAGCTTGTAAAGTGACACATAAAACTCCCCAATTATAAATATTAGATAAAATAATATTTCGTTTTCAGTGCCTTTTTTTTCATACACTGAACCAAAAAATACTACAGACAAAAAGGTTAAGGCTAAAGAAAAAAAGGTTAAGGCTAACTTTGTAAATATTATAAAAGTATGAATTTAATAAAATGTGATTATTAAATAAATGCAAGAAGTGTTAAAGGAATTTTTATATTATTTTGTTTATTTATACGAGTACATCTTCTTTGATAAGTTACTCATTAAATTTCATTTGCATATATTTTTATTATTGTAAAATAATATTTAAATTTTAAGACGTGGATTTACAAAATTTTTGTTTGATCCATTTATTATGTACTAAAATCTAAATTCATTTTATTGTCATTGTTAACGCTGAAAATAACAGTAAATGAAATAAAGGTTATTTACTCTTTTCAATTTACTTTTTCGAGTCATAGTGCTGTCTAATTTTAGCGTTTTCATTGTTCTCACACTCAATTTGTAAGAAAAAATATTTTGAAGTTTGTTATCTAGTATTCCACACATAACTGTATCGGGATTTTTTATAGACAAAGTAGTTGCCGATGAGTAAAGTGTCGCTATCATTTTGCAAAATCTCAAGTTTCCCTGTTACTACTTCAGCAATGAAGATGAAGTTTGAAGTAACCTCAAAAGCGATTTGTGTATTCCAAGGAGAATTTTTGAAAGTTCTATATGAACAGACTTCTACTAAAGAATGCATTGGAAAAGGGTTTTAGAGCCTTCTTAGAAACTGCACCAACTAAACATTTGAATATGGTCTTACTAGCTATTTTTCTTCAAGGAATTAACATTATTCTCCACCAAAATAAACTTAAACAGGGAGGCATAGCTTTGTGGCTATCGGGATATTATAATTATTTAAGAAATTTATTCACAAAAGTGTCTTTAAAACTTAACTTTAATGTAAAGTTGACAAACTAATCTTACTGAATCACCATTGTATTTTCTCAAGAATTAGAAGAGTAATGAAGCGTTTATACAGGGTGACTGGTGAATTACTATCAATATTTTAGGAGAATACTCGGTACATGATTCTCATTCGAATTATGTAAAAAAAATAGGCACTTAATTTTTGACAAAATTTCCGTATAAATAAATAAAGTGTTGACACGTTCCAAGTGTTCCAAGTGTGGACGCGTGCGGCGGCGTGCTGATACAACAACACGCCGTCGCACGCGTATGTGTGTGTGAGTGTATACCTAATCTGTAGGGTGTGCACACGATGCGTAATTAATTACATAACTTTTGGTTAACTTTACTTAGAAGTTTATTAATATTTATGTTATATTAATTTTTATTTTGTCATATATGATCGTCCAATATCACGTCCTCAAGTATCGATAGTAATTCACCAGTCACCCTGTATAGTTATGTATTACAGTACTATTCCTAACAATGGCAGTACTTCTAGAAATAAATGAAATTGGAGGGTATCTTTGTAATAAGAAGTAGCTTAGGCTACTTTTTGTCCTGATCCCAAATGCCGATCCTAAAATTAGGTGTTATTACGTGGAGAAGAATGCTGAGCGGGCGGGGCGAGACGCTTTTAAGTGTTTTAATCGTTTTTTAATAGCTAATACATTATATTATCTAGCATTTGTATAAGCATATTATGAGTAAAATGTAGATACCTATTTTTTATTCGCATATATAAAACGTACCATTTGGACTCACTACACCTTTTTTGTTAACCTATTATTTTTAGAAATTTTCGTCCAAAAATGGTATCTAGATGACGATTCAGGACCAATAATAATTACAAATTGTCTAATGAAATTAATATGATTCATTAATATCTTCATAATTTTTGTCACGATGGTGTATAATAATTGTTAATACTCTGACTTTTTGGATATATGCTTATAAATAAATAAAAACACACAAAAATTTAAATTTTAAATAAACAACTTAATAATTATTTTATGATATTAATATTATAATATGGATAATTTAAGTCATAAAATTCGCTAAACAGAGCTTGTGAGAATCGATTATTCGTTGAAGAATCAGTTTCCATACTTATAAAGATCAGACCTTGGACTCCTTACGTGTCAGTTAAATTACAAGAGAACCAGTTTAAACATGAAAAAAAATAACGTCCGTTAAATTTAAAGTTATTCTTGTTATAAAATAATTCCATGATGTAGAATTAAATTGACTTCCAAGGACTTTTTTAATTTTCAATATATTAAAATATTCCGCAGATTCTAAATCTGCATAATTGAGAATATATGTGTGTAAATTAAACTTATAATTTATTTAAAGGTGGTAATTACCTATCTTAATAAATTAAGCCTAGTTAGATTTTTTATAAATTACCTTTAAAATGTAAAAAATAAAATCAGTTTGTTAATACTTTCTATGTGTATTAATTATAGATTAAAAAATTAGAAGTGGCTCACACATTTTAATAGATCTATTTATGTATTGTATTTTTCATTACAACTGTTAAGACGAAACAGTGATTACTCCTTAGCTAGAAAAAAAGTCCCAATATAAAAAGTAGAAGTAAAACGTCATTGATTTTGTATACATAATTTTTGTTATTTTATTATACTAAAAAACTATTATGAACATAAAAATATAACGTTTTTCTAAGTTCTTAACAAAGAAAGACCATGAAATTTTTGTTTGTCTTCTTTTAACCCAAAAAGAAAGTACTCAAATCATTATACGCAATATAGGCTATTTTATATTTTTTTGTATAGTACCCCTACAAAGCTGTGGCTCATACCTACGTCCAATACAAGGTACAAGTATGTCCGAAGATTTGTGATTTAGAAAATCGAGAAGCTTCATATGAAATTTAAGAATACAAACATATGCCATATAGTTAGCATACAATTGTATCAGTGATTACGGAAGCCATAAAAAATGAAACAGACAATATGACAAACTAATTAATATTTTTATCAAGTAATACAAGATCTTCCAATTGATCGACTCTGGATAAGGAAATGAGCTCATGATGTGATTCCACAGACTATAAATAGGCTTGCGCTGTGTAAATATAGAAACTTATTTTAGTTTAATAGAAAAAAGTATGGCACTGTTTTAGGCCGCAAAGTAAAAGATCAAATCAACTCATATCAGTACAAATTTTAGTTAATACTTATAATTCAAATAAAATTTTGCCATATATCCAAAGTAGAGTTGCAAAGAATAAAACGTTGTTTATGCAATCGGATTTTATCCAAATACTTTTTTCTCTACCAAAACAATAAAAAGGTTGATAATGAATAGGGAAATACTACATTTGAATATAGTGTTATGTTGTTAAGAGGAAAAATCTCCTGTAAACTATAAAACCTCTTTAAGCAAAAACACATTTATTTTTTATTGTAATCATCCATAAAAAGTAACAAAAAAAACAAACAAATAGATTTTTTTGTAAAATTAAACTCATCATCCAAAAAAATACTACAAATAAAACTAATTACTTAATAAAATTCATTAAATTAAAACTATTATTAATAATGAGAAAATTAATAACACTTTTCAACAACCTAAGCGTAATTTAATGAAATGTAAAAATGTCAAATGAATAAAGTTGTAAAAAATTGTAACTTGAGATAGTTTAGTTTACGTATTTTCGTCATGTCGAGAGAAATTATGGAAAATAGTGAGCAAAGAAGAGAGGCGAACTAGATTTATATCTATTGAACTCTTCCCTCTCAACTTTTAAAATCACAAGCATTGTGTAGTGTACACGGCGTCTTACGATGAAAATGACTTGAAGTAAAACAAACTTAACTTCGAAGTTATAAAACAACGTATCAATGAAAATTCACCTCTATTACATTATAAATAAGTGTTATAAAAATATAGTAGACGAGATATTTGTGTAGGTGTAACGTGGTATGTTCTGTGGTGCAAGTTTTTATAGTCGCTGCACCTTTCAAAGCCGCTCAGTTTTCGTCCGACCTTTGAGTGGATAGCATCATGTTGTTTCTCAGTGTATTTGTGTTAACTGTCGCGCTAACAGCCGCTACCGACGTACAACAATGTCCCGGTTAGTATTTACGCAATACCCGTACTAGGTCAAACTTTCCTACACATTTAAAACCACAGATAATAAATGAATAACACTTTTATGACGTCTAAATAAATAATTGATTATTGCTATTATTATTTGTTTTAAATTATCTTAATAGTTCGTATACTAATTATCTGGTCAATTGAAACTACAAGGATCTGGAAAAGTATGTTTTTAGGTTAATACTCTTTAATTCAACCGAAAGCAAAAGCTTAGAACATTATGCCTTGTATTAAGAAATTAAAATATTTTTCATTAGAAAATAGGTTT